AATCAATTGAAATGGCTATAGCTCTTATATCCGAGAATGTCCCAATCTCAAGTATAGAGATCCCATCAGCTACAATATTGAACATAATACAAATCCAAGCCCTGACGGTTACTCCTGATGACTGATTAAAACTCCATTTCATTCCTTTACGTGTTTTTGTGTGCATATAGGCCTGAAGATCTATGCGGCAAGAAAATTCTCAGCACCGCGTCGCGTACCGTGTACTCCGTCGGGCATCTATCCGGACGTTCCAGGAGACCCACACACTAATGCAGTCAAAACAACGAGGGGTCGCTTAGTATTCTTCAGAGTCATAGGCGTCATCGACCAGCAATGAGCGGTAGCCACGTGAAGCGAGATTGGCTTCCAGTCCACCGTCAGATGCAGGATCAAAGTAACCTGAATAAAAGTTAGTAAGTCGACAGATTGAAGGTCAAGGGAAACGAAGGAAACGTACCACCGCCGCCGAAGTAGCTCAAAGCAACTGGCAGGAAAATAAGCGCATGGGTAGCAGCAAAGATCACTAGGGCCAACCACACGCGGAAGTAGTAAATCTCGAAGATCTTGCTTCTAGTAAAAGCCAAAACGCAAACACCTAAGAGCTTGGTGATGGTGATGCCGCTAAAGACGCTTCCACCAACGTTGACCAATGCCGTCCATGCTCGAGCATCCTTGCCGCGATATTTGGTGGGCACTTTCTCCATAATGGGTCGAGCAGGGAACATAAAAGCCCGAGCAATGTGAGCACAGAACTCAACACCAATACCCACGCAAATGACCAAATTGACAAGGGACACAGCGTTCAAAGATACGCCCGCGATAGCCATCGTGCCAATGATATCTACCACTGTCATGACCACCGTGGTAGTAATGACAGCACCGGTAGCAATTGAACCCAGTAGGACAGAGGTCAAAACGAAGATAATGGCAACGGCAGATCCCAAAAGTGTACCGGTAAGCCGAACAATGGAAACATATTGGTCGAAGAAGATATAGAACTTTGAGTAGGGGAAGACATCAATATGGTGTTCCTGCGAAATGCCTTCTGCAATCCGGCGAGCTGCAATGTACGCTTGGATAAACGCATCCTGGCTTCGAAGGGGCGTATGGCTGGTACGGAAATGACTTGCATCAATTGTGTCCCGCTTGTCATCGATGACAACAGCGTTGCTGTATGGGGCCTTGCCACCCAAGGGACAAGAAGCGTCGGTAGGAGCATCGATCCATTTCTTGGCGTAATGGATAAATTCAGACCCTTCCGGCATTCCATACAGAGAGATGTTCCACGGGGGAATACGATTCTCGAAGCAAAGCTTGCCATCCTCTTTACAGCAGTCTTGCTGGGGATTCAACCAGTAGAAGAAGTCATCAATCCAACTGGCGGCAGAACCTGCAAGATACGATACGTCCGGACGCTTCGACTCTTGCTCGAGAATAAAAGGCAAGGAATATTCTTCACAGGTAGTGAAGCGCCCACAGAGTTGCTGTTGGCGATCCCGCTGCGTGATATTCACGTTCCGGGTCACGAAGTAGACTGGAGGCCCAACGCCGAAATAAGCGTCTAGATCATTGAAGTAATTGATCAGGTAAGAGTCACTAGGCAGTGCAATCCGCTGATCTAACCCGAGAGCAACCTTTGGAATGAATGCCAGGCCAGCAGTCAAAAGGCCCAAGAAGAAAATGATAACACCGGCCTTGACTCGGCGATCCAGAAGGAACGGAGCGTAAACACGGCGAATAAAAGTCTGCAGACTGCTTTCCCCTTCTTGGTCATCGAAATCGTTGGGAAAACCGAACGAGCTTGCCTTGCGAACAGTGAGGCAGGGCAGACAGTCGGCGCGAAGACTCTGCACGCGTCTCTGGTTCAGAGCCAATACGGACGTGAACATCGTGACCTGTAAGATGGCGTTGATGAAGACAGCGCCCGCAGCATATGCCGCAAAGTTCTTGACCGCAGGCATACCAACGAAAGCACCCAGAGCAAAGGCCACAGTTTCCGTCAAGGCAGACAGGAAAATGCTAGGTCCGATGCGACTGACTGCTCGGGCTACTCTTTCGTCAATCTCTTCGTCGGGGTGACTAAGATTGACTCGCTCAAACTCGTGGACAATCAAGAAAATGTTATCCACGCCAACTGCCAGGACCAAGAATGGAATGACTTCGGCGATAATTAAGGTCACCTTGACGCCGGCTGCGGAGAACAAACCGACTGATGCAGAGACCGACATCAAAACTATGGCAATACCCGCAATCCCCAGTGTGAACTTTGACTGGACAAGGGCATTGGCCGGGTTCGATAACAGAGACCGCCAAGTAACCGTAGCCGAACCTAAGGCGATTGAGGCGTAGAGGAACATGATCAGATAGCTGATGACGACGATTTTCGCGTCGGTGTTGGTAGACTTGTTGAGCTCTTGCTCCAAGCTGACTTCCGAATTGAAAGAGACGCGAAGGCCACGCTCTGCGGCTTCTTCTTGGACCACCCCCAAGATACCCTGGAAAGTATTCTCCCAGTCAATGGCTCTTGCCTCGCCATCGGTTCCTTGGTCATAGTTGTTCACTACCCACGTGGTGATGAGTGCTTTTGAGTCTAAGACATTTCCTGTCTCTTCGTATCCCCCAAGGATCATTTCTGGCTTGAGAGGCTGCGAGAAATCAGGAAGACAGCTAGGGTCTCCAGGTGATTCAGTGCAGTGAGCCAAGCGATCCATCCAGGTATCAGGGTCGAGGTTCCCAGCCGAGCCACCAAAATACCCAGTGACAGACTGTATAACACAGGCTTCACCGGTAGGCTTGAAGCAAATATCGTCAAGGTTGAGAGCCAGCTTGACTGAAATCATGCGTCGCACACGAGACTCCACATCAAACCACCAGTTGAGGGTATCATAATCCAGAAGTGGTCTCAAATCTTTCCCTGGGTGGTCGTTCACCAGGAATGCTTGTTCAGCTCGGTAGAAGGGACCAAAGTTCTTATCGAAGAAGTCTTTCTCTTGAGCGGCTGCCGACGATGGGCTTACCCACAAGCGAACAGGATCTGTCTCAACTGTGAAGCGCAGCCAGCCCAGACTCAGTAGCACAACAACGATGACGCTAGACAATATCGTGATCGCTGGGAATCGAGCACAAGCACCACCGATGCGATGGAATAAGGCAGACAGGAGAGAGTTGAGTTTGTACACCCCCTGCGGTTGTTCGATATGCCCCCCATGGCGGACAACTTCTCCGTCATCCTCCTCATCGCTGGGCGTGGGGTCTTGCAGTAGGCGCACTCGCTCTGGTTTGCGGAAACGGCGTTCCTTGTAGGTTACGTAGCTAGCGAGAGCCATAACAAAGAGCAAGAAGGTGGAATATACCACGATGACGGCAAAAGATAGACATGGGAGAAGGCCGACGTGGCACGCTTGATGACTAGACACGGCAGGCAACTCAGGGCACACATCTGGGCAGTCAACACAGGAACAGCGGAAAGCTTTGTCCGGGTCATTGCAAGCCTTTGGCGTAATTGATAAAGCTTCCATGCCTTCTGGGTCTGCGCCAGTAGGCTCTGTATGGTAGTTGATCTGGAACGGGCTTCCAAGGAATTTCTTGTCGCCTAAAAATTTCAAAAAGCCTTCATAATCTTTCGCGCCCCCGCCGATGAAGTCGATGGCTTTGCCACCGGATGCACCGTTTTTGACATTTTTGCAGCTGTCATAGAAGCCACTTTGATACTCCTCGGACCAGACATTATCCAGCTCGGTCACCAATCGCTTGTCGCCTTTTAGCTCTGTTTTTGTCACATTAACAAACAGTGACTGGTCAGGCGAGCAGGTGAAGGTACAGAAGATGTTGAAAAAGTTATCTCGGCAGGCCGGACAGGACGCGATGATTCCTTCGGCTAGTTTGAGGTTTTTCGCGAGCGCGTCGACCTATTGGCATATCAGCATCGACATAACGAGCACAACTTAGCGCAAGAGACTAGAGCCCGAGATTGTCATACCTGCTCGTCTTTACAACAGACTGCGGCCTCGCTCCATTTGCTGCCGCATAGATTTACCAGCTTGTCGCGCACAGAGTCCTCCGGTTGCTCTGCCAGGCCATTATCGGGACAGGGCAGCTCTCCTCCAAAGATAGATTGCTTCCCACAATGTCCGCGAATCGCACACCGGCCCTTTTCGTGGATTTGCGTTTCACCCTGTGCAGCCACGACGATGGGCTGGAGCGCAAGAACACCCAGCCCAACGATCGCAGCAAGCGCCTCGAGTAACTGCATATTGCGGAAAAGACTAGTGGTCGGTCGCTATATTCCAGGTCTAGCAAGGTGGTGCTGTCAACAACGATGGTCGGCCATGCGCCAGTCGTGTGGGGATGGAAGGTTGATCGAGCTCGGAAACGTGAGGCAATGAGAATTCTAACGATGTACAAGGAGGTACAAGGAAATACAATGATAATCAAGCTTTATCAAGGACTAAAAAAAATTAAGGATCAATAATAAAGAAGGATGAAAGCCCGATGTCTTCAATGCGGAAGAAAGCAAGTGACGAAGGCGGAGACTGAACATCCCCCGCACGGACAAGCTAACGTCAGGCACAAACCTGAATATTTGGACTTTTGTATGATGATATGACAATTTATGCTGCTTGGCATCTTAAATAAGAGATCGAATGCTACAGCATTATGTCGCATGTACTCCATACACCCACCTGATATAGATATTTCTTAAGTACGCCATCTCTTCCATCGGCTTTACTCAGATATGGTGGGACGCTTCCCAAATGCTCATGATTCATTCCACTAATAAGATACAAAGAATTGACCGACTCCGAACAGAACCGCGTTCTATGAACAGTAACTCCTAGTCTCAAACCGAGACAATATGAAATCTGCACCGCCAGTGTTTTAGTTAGCGATGAGAACAGACGCGAGAGCTGAAAGAGATATCATCAAATAAAGAAAAAAAATTGAAAGGGACATAGCCATATGTCGGGGAATCATCACAATGCAGTCTGTCAACATCAAGCTTAGTAGCCCTCATCCTCGGCCTGCTGGTAAGTGTGGCGGGTTCGCGTGGGATCCTTGCGCATCCGCTGACCAGAGCCAGTGAAACCCACTAAACAAAAGTTAGCATTGTGAGCCCTAAAGAAAGGAAAAGGTAAATACCTCGTGCGTTGACACCATCACCAGTTCGGAACATGCTGTCCTTCTTGCCAAATTTGCTCTTGCCTTTGGTCTTGGCAGCGAAGTCTTTCCACTTGTTCTTGCCCTCCTCGAGCTCGCGATTGGCCTTGACCTTGCGGGGTGCCTTGGCAGGGCGCGCTGGACCATCACCCTTGGTTTGGTCGTTGCGAACCTGGGTGGCCAGTGTGGGGTTGATATCGGCTGCAGCGGAGATCACACTGGGGGGAGGGGCGGGCGACGATGCCGAACTGCCTGAACTTCCATCAGCCTTGCGCTTGCGAGATTCAGTGCCAGAAATGGGTCGGATGTCCTTGGCCGTCAAGTTTTCCACGTTTGCATATGACTTGAATGAAACCAGGTAGACCGGGTTGGCCGAGGAACCGGTGATGGAGGTGATTTTGGCTGGGTAGAACGCGTTATCGCCGGAGACCCAGCGGGCCAGGACATTGTCATTGACCGAGAAGTTCATGAGAGGAGGAGGGACTTCCTCAGTCGCGGGCTTGCGGGGGGCATTGTCCTTGGGTCGAGTGTCCTTGGGAGGAGCAGAGTTTGCGGGCTTCTGTTCAGCGATAGAAGCTTCGGTAAATGTTATGAATTCTTCAAGTTCAGTTTGGAGAGCCTGAAGTTCTGTGTTGTCGGGGTCATCCTGCAAGCTCGATACAACAGTGTCAAGCTGATCATGTGTTAGTCCACATTCGCGTGGCAGAATGGTGTCTGACTTACCTGAAGCTTAAACTCCTTCACCTCTGCCTCCAAGGCAGCTACGTCAGCCATGATGAACGCTTGGATCCGAAGATGCAATGTTTTAGAGAATGGAGACAGAAGCGGAGGCCATGCGGAGACAATTCATGATCAAACTCGTGAATTTTCGATCACGTGATTACACACCGCCTTCCCAAGTCGCCACCGTCCAGACCACTATCCAGAGTACTAGATAGGTCACTTACATATGTAGATATCTCCCATAGCTCTGGAAGCAAAGGATTTTCTATGGAAGAGGTACGATAGGAGGTAATTGAGGATATCATTATATACTTCAAATTGACTTGGTGTCAACAAACATGGGCACACACTCCGTTAAATTTACAGTGAGCTAGGTGGATATAGAGCAAGACCCTGGGGCTGTGATAAGCATAATCCCCGTTAACCCACTTTCGACGCGCAAGATCGGCATGGGACATGCATGTTTAGTGTGCTGATTCTTGTTTTTGTTGGGGTCAATATACGAGATAGGCACATGCCATGTATAGAGTCTAAACGTCATAGACTGCGAGAACGAAAACGAGGTACCTGGAATGCCTATTGAGTCTGGCCTGATTCTGATCGGATCGGATCAGAAGGATCTCCGAGAGTCAGAGCATTCCACAGATGACTCAGGACCAAAAAGTGTAGAAGCTTGAAGAAACTCCACCTCGGCCAGTGAGAGAAAAGAAACGAAAAGAAGTTTTGGCGCTGATTTCAAAGCATGGCAGATCGGTCCGAGGGGGCGACATAATTCAACCAATCAGGAGCCTGCTAGGCTCACCGCCTGTGTGATCGCCTCTCCCCCTCTATCGCTTTCATCATTTCGCTCAGACAGCAGTACAACCAACTGCCTTTCTCTGCCTATAACACTTGTTTCAGGCCTCAGCCTCGTTCCAATCCTGAGCCACATTGCCGCAAGTTGACTAGCGGCGATTTTCCTCACCTCAGGCCCCTCAGCCTCTCCAATCCTTTCTTTCTTTCCCCCTCCCCCATATTGCCCCATTCCATCTCATTTCTTGATTTGCGATCTGATATCAGTTATTGATATCGGATCTTGCCTCTGACCGTGCCTCTGGTCTTGCACTCGATTCGGGCTTTTCAACTCCAAGCCATCAGGCAGTGAGACTCTTTCAAGTCTAAATCATCGACCTTGCCTCCAACACTTCGATATCGGTCACGGGCGGGAGGCCCGGTCTGCTGCTTCTGTATCAAAGCTTATTGATCCTCCATTGACATCTTCTTTCCCACCGTCTTTTCTTCATATCCTGCCCTAAATTTGTCACAATGGGCGACTATGATCAGCGATACCAGCAAGGTCTTTACCTGTCTCCAAACCAGCAAGACCTCCTTCTTGCTGCTCTTTCCTCCAACAATCCGGAACACAAGCACCAGAATGAAACCCCTCGGATTAAGACTAGCCAGAGCCCGGACCAAAATTCGTCCGGTCTGAGCGCTCCTCCGTCGGGCGACTACGAAAACACCCCCCATGTGAATGCCTATGGTTTTGGAGGAGACGATGAAAGTCCTTTTCTTGACTTTACTCCCGACGTCGACTTCGATTTCCCCGGCTCGGCGGACCTCATTGGCGACTTGCCAGGTTCGGCCGAATATGAACTGGGCGAGAAGCGCAAGTCCCTCGACGGAAAGTCAGATCTCGAGGGCGAAGAAAATGGAAAGAAGCGCAGAGAGAGTGAAGCGAAGAAGCCTGGCAGGAAGCCATTGACATCGGAGCCCACTACGGTATGCTTCTTGAAATTTCTTGGAGGGTGAAAGTCTAGGACTAACCCGTTGAGCAGAAGCGCAAGGCGCAGAACCGTGCTGCCCAGCGAGCTTTCCGCGAACGTAAGGAGAAACACCTGAAGGATTTGGAGGACACGGTGGAAAAGCTACAAAAGAACTCCGACACGGCGAATCAGGAGAACGGTTTGTTGCGTGCCCAAGTTGAGCGTTTGCAAGTCGAGCTCCGTGAGTACCGGAAGCGTTTGTCTTGGATGGCTTCAGGGACCGGTAACGGCATCTCGGCTATGAGCTCAAACTCAATCCCGAATGCTCCGTCCAAGGGGTCATATGGCCTTCAAAATAACGAGTTCCTTTTCGATTTCCCCAAGTTTGGAGACTTGCCCGGTGGTCATCTCTTCAACGGACAGGTCAAGGACCAAAACAAGCCCAATCAAAAGCCCAATGATACCAACAACCGCGCCCCGGGTGTCATGGCTCGCGACAGTATGAATGGTGCTTCGCGAACTTATGGTGGTTATGCCTCGTCCAATAGCGCCAATTCGGATGGAACCCCTCACAGTGCTACCTCTGCTAAAACTTCCTACTCTGGGCTGAAGTCCTCAGCACCCACACACGACCTTTCCAACTCGGATTCACCTTCATCTTCGTCCGACTCGCACCAAAGCCAACTGCTCTCCTCCAACGGCACATCCCCTGAGCCGAGCTTGAACTCTCCCCCAGATGGCAAGCAGCACGAACTGGGACCGGGTGATACCTGCGGAGGGCACCTTACCATTGATGGTGAGAAATCCTTCTGCGCGCAATTAGGCATGGCCTGCGGCAACATCAATAACCCCATCCCAGCATTGCGGGATAGCAAGGGCAAGTCCCACAGTTTCTCGAGTAACCAGACTACAGCTGAGGCCACAGGCCCAGTCGATGATACTCAAGACCTTGGAATCGACTGGCTGGCTCATCAAAATGGCGGCCAGTTCGATCCGGTGCTCTTTGGCGACTGGCGTGAGCCCCAGGACGCTGTGCTTTCCCAAGACTTTGGCTCATTCTTCAACGATGCCTTCCCTCTGCCAGACCTGGGCAGTCCTTCTCACAACCTCAGCGAGGTTGCCACTGACTCGGCGCCTAAGAAGAGTTTGATCAGCCAGATTGACAGCAGGCAAGAGGAGGATGAGGTTGTTCCAGGAGAAGACAAGTCGCAGATGTTGTCGTGCACAAAGATTTGGTATGTTCACCCTGCACGATTCTCCATCTGTCAGCTACTAACTCGTTATCTAGGGATCGTCTCCAATCCATGGAAAGATTCCGCAACGGCGAGATCGATGTCGACAACCTCTGTTCCGAGCTCCGCACTAAGGCACGCTGCTCTGAGGGTGGTGTGGTCGTGAACCAGAATGACGTTGACGACATCATGGGCCGAGCCAAATAGCGGACCACATCTACGGTCATCGCTAGACCCTTAATTCACGATTCACGGAAAACACCCCTCTGATACTCGCGCTCTTGTTTCAACGCATACCCAACATCGAACAAACATGGAACTCGCACGGCGTTACGAACACAGCAGGATAAAAGGAGGAGCAAACGGACAGGCCAGGAATTACCTCCCAACATTTGGATATTCGATCTTGAACTTTGATTATTTGAACACCCATGGCAAATTACTGCCCATCCCAACGGAACACATCTCCCTATCCTCTTACATCTTCATTTTCTGCTATTTGCAATATTTCCCATTTCAGTGATATGTTATTTGAATTTCTATTTTGTTTTTGAGATTGGCGAATGGACACTCGGTTCCCAGGTGGCCATCTTTACCTATGGGATGGCGCATCCATTTCCTATTGTATGGAGGAACTGCGGATACGGCGAACTTGATTTGGCGGGACTTGCACTCCTTTAAGAGTCTGTAATTTTTTTTTTTTGTAAACAATCAATTCCTTCATTGAATCCTAAGCAACTTTTTCCTGACCTAGTCCAGTTAGAACGAGCTGACATTACATGGACTAGACTTGGAGTAGATCATCTACTGTGTTCAAGAACATAGAGCGAAGCTGCTAGGGTATCGATGTGTCTCTCCACGGAAATAGAACTAAAGTACAAACAGAAAGGTGGGATGGTGTATTCTTTTTCCATGTTTTTTTCTTCTCCTTTTGCTTTATCTTCCTGCGGTCTTCCACTCCCCGTTCCGCAAACGCGCTCTCCGCAGACTTCACCACTTCACCATTGAATCCATTCCATGAGTCCACCAGGCTAGAAGCCGTTCAAGATACCCGTCTTAGATAGGCCTGAAGAATTTTCAAGTAAAGCACGGCTCAGGTTAAGGAGAATTGCAAATATGATGGGATAAAAAGAAACACAAGAATTAGAATATTGGGTAAACATCAAGGGGGCGTGCGAAAGCAGTGCAATCGAATATCGACGCCCGAGAGAAATGTGAAAACGAGAGTCCAGATGTCACTGCCTAGGCGTCAGTGGACTGGGAAGGCTTATCACCGGCGGGAGTAGAGGAAGCGGGAGAGTCGTTTGACCCTGCGCCGCTCTTGAAGCCTCCACGAGCACCTCCACGGCCGCCACGGCCACGCTCGCCACCACGGCCACGGCCGCGACCACCGAAGCCACCACGGCGAGCTCCTTCGCTGTCACTGGCACTCTGATATCCACGCTGGGTTGCGTTGGATCCACCACGGGCGCTAGCTTGCCAGGTACCGGCACCGCCCTGAGCACGGTTGTTGGCGCGGTCCTCGAAGTACTTGAAGTTAGGCTTGCGAGGCTGGCCTGGGGCAACATTAACAACCTTCTTGTGTTCGATAGGAAGGTGGTCAAGCATAGTCTTGGCCTCATCGATAGTAGAGAACGTAACGATGTGGTTAAACTTGCCGTACTTCTCCACCTTCACAACCTTGGACTTGTCTTCTTCAGGGATCAAATCACGAACGGCCTGCTCGTTCTCCACGTTGGACACAAAGAGAATGTTGCTAGGCTTCTTCTCACGGGGGCCGGTAGAGTCGCTGGGCTTTTCGTGGGGAGTGTTTCCGTTAGTGTTGGGATCTGCGGCCTTCTCCTCGCCTGCGGGCTGAGTGGAGGCAGGGGTGGGGGGAGCAGGGCTGGCAGACTTGGGGATGACGGGAACAGGAGAGGCGCGAGCCTGTCCTTTTTGGCCCTGAGGAATGGGAGGACGGGCGGGGGGAGCCTGACCGAATTGAGGAGCCACAACGGGGGTGCGAGCAGCACCAGTAGGGGCAGGAGAGGCAGTGGTGGCAGGGAGACCACTGGACACAGGCTGGGGAACACCGCCGGCCTGGGGCTTGCCACTGCGGTGGGCAAAGTTGAAACCTTGAGCCCGCATCTCTGTAGCAATGCGACCACCCTCAATTTCGAGAACCAGGTAGCCGAAGGCAGCATCCGCCAAGTTGAAGTTCCACATGTTCTTGAAGGCACTCTCGTCGACCTGACCAGCAGCGTTACCGGCTGCGACAGGGCCACCGAAGGGGTTGCCGCCATTGGCGATGGAAGGCATTTTGGCAACCACATCTAGGGCATTCTCCAGGAGAGTCTTTTGGCCATCGTTAGAAGAGATAGCCGACTCAACCTCACTGCGAACAGTCTCCCAAACATCAGTGAAGGAAGCCTTGGAGGCAGCAAGCTTGCCACGGTAGTGATCGAGAGATGGGTTGACGGAGAATTCGTTGTAGGAGGAGCCGTAGCGGAAGTGGAGACCAGCCGAAATCGAGAAATCGGCCTTGAGGGTGACGGAGAGTTGGTTGAGCATACCCTCACGGGCAGGGGAGGCGTGAGTGACGAAAACACGGGTCTCCGAAGGATCGTATACCCGGTTTGCTGTGTCGATAAGCTCGCCCATTTGCAGTAGCGTTGTCCACATGGTTCCTTGTCCACCTGCAATAGTTGTCTTCCCTTCGCCGTTGTCGAAAAGCTTGTGCATGACCACGGCACCACCCAGACCCAACAAACGCAGCTTCACTCCGCCGATATCGAGCAGGCGCGAGTTAGCCTCATCAATAATGTGCAGCTTATCCACCTTGTACTCGCCGGAGCGGAACTTCTCCAGAACGCGCACATCTTCGCAAGCACCCCAAACTGTGTAAACGGGCACGTCGAGAGTAATCCGCTTGTCGAGAAGCATAGAAAGCTCAGAGAGGGGTAGCTGATCAGCGGGGAACCGCTGCTTGATGGATTGCTGAGGGGGGACCTGTGCGATTGATCGCTTCACATTTTCAGGTAGAAGGGGGGAGTATTGTGCGACGTGCTTCAATGTCCTGTTAGATTCTCATGTTAGTTGATGCTCTTGTCGTTGCGGTGGACGTTCACCCAATGACGTATTGGGCAGCAAGAGTCGCGCCAGACTGGTTTTAAGGCAAACTCACTTATCCGCAATCCGCTCCAATGAAGTATCATCGTAGAAACCGAAGTCACCAGTGTGGATGATGTGGTCTGCGCGAGCCTGTTTGGCAAGTTCATTCAGAGACTTCAAGTTTCCTGTCGCACGGGCCCATTAGTCCATGTCCTCGCCCTTGAATCAATTTACCATCACCAGAGGAGACATACCTCGCACGTCTGCGATGCACAGAATTCGAGTGGGACCATTCTGGATCACTCGGCCATTGTTAGGGAGAAGCGGCGTAGCACCAGGAACGGGACCGGCGGCCGCACCGTTGGCGAGAGGATAGCCTTGGGAACCGAAGTTGTGAGGACGGGGCTAGAATAAAGAAGAGTAATCGCGTTAGTTCTGGACTGAGATATCTCGCAGGTGTCGCGCATCTAGAAGCTGGTCCTAAGGGAGACTGTCAAAAAGCCACGTACAGAAGCCATGAGTGTCGTGTTATCAAAGGTCGGATGTGATGGAGGATGGAGGGTATAAGCTCAAGAGGAAAGAAAACGAAGAGGGAAGAAGTGGAAAATGGAATCGAAGGGGAACTTTCGATGGAGATTGACTTTCCCATGAAGCAGCAGGCGTGATGCTGAGTAAGCCCCCTGGCAACACTTTTCCCAATTGGGTCTATTGGGCTGGCACCTTTTACTTCTTTGTTTAATGTTATTCTATGGCATTGTTGAATTCTGGCTGTATTCATTGTATTGCTCATGACCCATTGCGCTTGCCTGGGCTCCAGAGCATGTCGGACGCCATGTATGCCTCTGACCTGGCGGAACTGGTTATGGTATGACCATTGCCCAGATCATTTCGAAATAATCTTCGATTTGCGCCCAATGATCACTTGACATGTATGCCCTAAGCTGACAGGAGCTTCCTACAATATTGCCATCAGAGACCCAGTAGATCAAACTACATACCGTATATACAGCTATCATCTATGCTTCAATCTCAGCGAGGCCAAACCTGACGCAACCATTGCATATCATAGCTCTTGAGACTCAAGCATATGGTTCCGCCAGTGTGTCCTAACTGCAGACTCAGATTCTTGTCCATGTACCAGACTCGACAAACAGGGAATAGACCTCGGCCCCTTCAGTGCCAACAATGCGAAATGACCACCGACAGTTGGACGTGCTCGACAAAGAATAGGAACACCGGGCTCATTGCCATGGGCAGAATTGGCAACATAACGATCGGAAAACGGCCAGTTGTGCTTCCCATTGGTCATGAACGCCCACAGGTCATCGACGAACTCATCACGAGTGCTGGTATCGAAGGTGCCAGCCAGCCACATATTCCAGTCTGACTTGGCCCAGTCCTGACGATTGTCAAGTGGAACACCGTACTTACCTCGGACTGTTGCAAAGAAGTCACTGCCCATTCGATAGGCAGCATCGGGGAACGTTTTCAAGTCCAGCAAAACATCCGGGAAGAGGTTGTATGGAGTCTTCCATGTTTCTGGGTAGTCAGGATACTCCAGCACAAAATGTGTCTTCTCATTGTCTGTCCCTAGGCCCTGCCCAAAGAAGAGGTTTGCATGCTCTTCTCCAATCCGAGTGTAGTACGTGTTCCCACTCATCTCTCCGAATGCTTTGAGACCCACAGCAGCTTTGATTGCTAAATTTGTCTCATTGGCGAGTGGCCCAGCTGCGTCATTGGAAGAGAGCTGGGTCGCAATATTGATGCTGTTTTCAACTAAGTAATCGGCATACTTCTGGAAAATCTCCGTGTACTGTGAAGTCCACTTGGTATCCCCAGTGGCGTAAGCATATACCGAAGCTAGAATCAGAAGGTTTCCACACTCCTCAATTGGCATCGGCTCTGCTCGCTGGTCATCATGGCCAATGGCATGAGGATAATGAGTGCCGAGATCATGGATCGTGTATGGAAGATGCCAGCGACCAGCAGCGAGGTACTTCATCACGGGCTCCAGCAGGAGACGAATATAATCCGGGTCCATGACAAAGTAAATTGGGAAAGCGGGCATAATGACATCGATGGTGTTGATGTTTCCATCACTGGAAAGTTCTTTGATGAACGCCAACACATTCTTGGTGTCGAGTGTGTTGTTAGGAATAGTCAAATCGATACCTCCGTATGCCTGTCGAGTTGACAGAGCGATGATGTCTGCATACTTGGGGCCCGCAGCAGCAGCAGACAGAGTGACGATCTCCATATCCAACTTCCATGACTCCAACAATGCGCTACCATAATCGTCTAAGAAGAATGAGAGCGTACTTGAGGTTGTTGGATACTCGGCCCGATAGTAGCCAGTATAGGCTTCTCCGAGATAGTTGATAGCAGCTTCCCTCTCGTAGCCTACCACAAAGTTCACAGAAAGTCCATCTGTGACATGGCCTAGATCGTGAACCAGCGCGACGACACTTCCATCACTCCAAGTGTCGTCTTCTCCAGAGAGCGCACCTACTTTGGCAAATTCACCACGCACTTTCTCGGGGTTTCCGGAGAGAGCGGTTATTGTGCTAAAATTAGAAGGTCGAGAAGCTAAGATGGCTTGACCCCAAAGAGCCATGTCATCTGCCTCGGCATAAAGTGATGCATCTTCAACTGTCAGTGAGTAGATAGCAAGGCCATCCCGTTTTTCAAAGTCACGCTGCGAGCGACCAGCCTGGCCAGTCCATCTGGCATCAATATCCGAATAAACTTGGATTTTATGGCCTTTTGACTCAGACACATGTACAGTCAAGTAACCTGGTGGTGGTGGTAAGTACAAACAACAAAACAGCTTTCAAAGCGAACTCACTAAAGGGAAGCGACTGCCGAAGATAATTTGAAGGAGAAACTGGCGATAAGAAATCCAGCGTGACCTCCACAGAGCCAGCCATGAGGTCAAAGACAGAATGTGTAGCAGTAAACTCAGCCCGACGAACAATCGCAGGAAGGATACCACTTGCTTCGGGACTTGGAACACCCATCAAACTATAGGCTTGTCCATCGACACGGACAATAACCGACCAAGTAAGATCCTGGCCTGCCCAGAACTGGGGCTCCGAGTAGGGTAAACGCTGGACTCTGTCGCTGGGCATCCATACCGACAGATACGGGTTGCGTACTGCTAGCGGATAAGATGGTGGAATTACTGGATGATACGTTACAGAGCCTGAGTCCTGGCCGGAAAAGAATGAGAATACCGATGCGCAGAGAGAGCCTAGTCCCAGTGGGCTTTGTAGATTGAATCGCATGTTCAGAGGGACCAGCCCGTGTATGATGGAGATTTGATATGAAATAATCAGAGCCACAGAGGATATAAATGCAAGATGTTGAGTAGTTGCAGAAGTATGAAGTATGTCAAGGGCGACCCCCCTTGTTGATCAGCTGGCGTCATCTCGGCGAAACCCCACACTTTGAGTCTCTAGTTGTTTTGGAGTATACTCAATGAATCTGACGTTTATAAGTTTTATAGGCTGGGTAAGTAGAAAGGCAAAATTAGTTCAATGTTTCATTGTTCTTCTTAAGTTTCGAAAAAAATCCCGCTACAGCTGGGCCTTCTCAATGCGGCGTCCAATCTCATCGAAGCGAATCTGCTTTGCAGACACAAGAGATTCCTGAAGGTAAGAACCAATCTCAACAGCTTTGACTGCATTGGTCAACTTCATAGGAAGCGGCGTGTTGTCCAGACAGGCAGCTGTGAAATCATTGGCCTCCTGCACAAAGGCCGGGCTGAAGCGACCCATGAAGTTGGGAGGGATCTCGCGAGTGATGCCACCGGAGTGGTAAAGGTTGACAAAGTTGGACTGGGGGTTGCCGTTGACGGTCAGCTTGCCCTCGGTGCCAATGATCTCAGTAGTGTCTTCTTGGCCAGCAGCCATCATGCGGGAGCAGTAATAGTAGGCGATCTTGCCATTCCAGAACTCCACAATGCCGACCGCATTGTCATAGTCATTGTACTTCTTAAGCTCCGGCTGCACAGCGGTGATACCATATGCAGAGATGCTCTTGGGGAGAACATCGTCACCGAAGAACCACAGACTGAGATCAATGTCATGCACTGACATGTCGACGAAGACACCGCCAGACCACGCAGCGTATTCAACGTAGAAGCCCGAGGGATCAAACTTGTCACAAGTTTGGCTGCGGATAATAGCCGGCCTTCCAATCAGGCCCTGCTCCATCTTGGCATGGGCATCCCTGTAGGAGTCATCAAATCGCCGTGAGAAGCCGCACATGACCTTCAAATAAGGCTTCTTTTGGGCAGCTTGAACAACCGCTCTGCACTGTAGTTGAATAAGGTAAGTATTTGCTATGACCTTGGAACAATATATAGGATCTTACCACTTCGACATCGGTAGACAATGGCTTCTCGCAAAGAACATGGAGGTCTTTCTCAATGGCCTTGATAGCTTCCTCGGCGTGAACAGAGGTAGCAGTTCCAATGGCTACAGCCTGTAAGCCAGGATGCTTTAGCATCTCATCGTAGTTGCTATACAGAGTCACACCATGAGGTTCCAAGTTCACTCTTCCCCATGCAATCTCAGCAGCGTCGGGGGTGAAAGCTGCAACTAGTTCTGCCCGAGGGGTTTTCTGAAGAAAGTTGGTGGCGTGCAACTTGCCGACACGACCAAGGCCGGCCATACCGACTTTAAGCTTTTCAATGCCCATTTTGTTAAAGGTATTGAAAGTATTGGAAGAAGTCGAAGAAGATTGAGGGTTGTCTTCTGTTTCCCTCGTCCCATGAGGGGGTTTAAATATATTTGAGGGCAACTCTGCTGCATCGTGAACATACTGCTTTAGATCTCATAGGTAAAAGTCTCCGCGAGAACTGGTGGAAGGGGAATAAGATGTGCATGGAAAGAATTTCCTTGAGAAGGGAAAGCCAAGTACCACTTCAACGTGGGGAAGTGATGTTCATAGGACGTGATATGCGCACGCAGATTCACTGTGCACCTAGTCAGGCTAGTGTGCCAAGATACGGATATCACTGACATTATTGGTCATCATTCTGAAGAGCTAAGCCAGGTAAAGTCTAGTGTATAGTGTTTTTGCGTGCGAATATCAAATCTCTCCCCGCAACTCCAACTTCCACTTCGACTTCAACTGCAAGTCGATGAGCATAGTGGGTCATATTCCCGGAAAGAATACCCCCTCCTTGTGCTTTTCTTTTTGCTCAGACAGCAATTCGCTCCATGCATATGTTTCCATGTTGTCCAAAAGAAGTCGCCTAGTGGCCAGCTGGTAGGTCATAGATCCCACCATATGTAAGATACGAACTAATTGATTCACAGCCAACGATGTCGTGGTAAGTGTTCCGGGGGTTTGATTGAGCCAATCTCTGACCACCACACAGCTCGACACTTGAAGTGTAAGCTACTTTGTACCTGTGTCGGGACACTTCGCTAAACTAGAATCAAGGCGATCTCAATAACCAAGGTTGCGGGCATTGTCAACACGCTAGTGTCGAATGTGATCGAACCAATATCCGTTTTCGCAATGGCATTTTCCTACCCAATGAGCCTGAACTTGCATTTCCAGATCAGAGTAGCTGGCCCCAACTACATGGCCAAGGTTTGTTTTCTATGTGATCTACTGCAAAAAATCTAACTTATTTCGTAGTGCGCTTCCACGACGAAACTACTGAGATCGCCAGTTTGTACTCGGGTGTGCAGCAGAGCACACAACGATTTGCCGCTAATGCCTTGACGCCAGTTCCAGCTCGAGTTGCAGAAAGCCATTCACCGTCCATCTCGTCATTTTCCTCTCCGAGGTCAATACAGTCTAGATCATCAAACACATTGCATTTGCTAACTGAAAGAGAAGCTGTTTTGATGAGAAACTTTGTGGAGAACATGGCCCTTTGGGTGTGTATTTGTTTACCTGTAAATGGATTTGCAACTGACAACTAGATCTTTAGGCCGACATCACAGACCCTCAACGGCACTTTGAAACAGAAGTTTCAGCCCGTGCATTAAAAGAACCTTTCTTGCGTCATGCGGTATTTGCATTTTCATCGCACCATCTAGACCGCCAGGATGGCAGTGATGTGGCAGAAGCATTGCAGCATCACAGTTGCTGTGTTCAACTACTCATTCCCGCACTATCTGAACCTCGAGAACATATTTCCGAGGACATTCTTGCAACAGTAGCTATACTTCGCCAGCATGAGGAAATGGACGGCATGTATATCGGCAGTTGTGTGGCTCATTGACACTCACACTCTCTAGGCGAGGATAATCAATTCCATCTTACCGGTACGACGCACATATTGAATACAGTGTCAACCTTTGGCTCCTCAGGTGGCTTGGGCGAGGCTGCTGCTTGGCTTTGTTTGCGTCAGGACATCTATATTTCTCTGACAACTCAACGGCCTCTCCGAACCAATTTGCGCAGTTTTTACCACTCCGATGTTTTTCAAAGAAATGACGACTTTGCATGGTCTAGCCGCATGGTCTTCCTGCTCGCCAAAGTTCTCCAAAGCGCTTTCACCGACTGTACGACAGCACATGGCATAGGAGCCGAGATCGACGAATGGTACTCCACTAAGCCTTATACATTTGAGCCTGTCAGGTCTGTTCCACGAGGTCTGGAGTCCGACCAACGATTTCCGACCATCTGGATGCTATTGCCCGTACATGGTAAGCGATGTCAGTACATTCGAGGATTCCAGGCTGATTTGGTAGTCATCGGCATTCAATACTTCCATCTCGCCAAGATCGTCCTGGCTGTTTCGGAGGGATCGAACGCGTCATCCGCCTATGACAGTCTACGCCACTCGAGAATAGTGGAGGTTCGACCTTTTCTTCTTCAGTTTGTCGGTCGGAGATACTTACAATGCTCTGTAGAAAACTGTTCGTCATCACCTGCTCACAGTGTTGGGTCTAGCCCATTCGAACAGCAAAGCCGAGAATACACTGTTTACTGCACGGCACAGTCTAGTGGCCTGTGAGTTACCAATACCTCTTCAGCTGACCTTGTATTAACGACCTTGGAAGGGGGATGGGTCCTTCGGCATCGCCTAGATCAAAGGGCTGCGGAGGCTCTATTACAAGCCATGCATGCAAGGACCGGCTGGAATATGGATTCCCTCATCCAGTCATTGCGGGCACAGTGGCAGGAGGTGGATGACAATTGACGATCCTAGTGCCCCCGCCAAGCTCAAGCCCACAAAGGACTGGTGGTGACTGCAGCCGATGCAGCCACGGCATAACCGAGCGAAGCGGAAGTATACGAGCAAGTATAGCCGACCAAACGAACAAACACGATATAAATGTTATGTTCAGTTCATGACCACAATGCATGGAAATGCAAGAGTTCAAGAATCAAAAAGTCCGAGTATGACAATCTTCACCTCCTTCGGGCAAATCTGACGTCTGTACTCGGGGCCTTGCATCATTGTAAGGGGGAAAGACCCACTCAATATTTAAATCACCGCGCGTTCCTAGACGATCCTCCCTGGACGGTTCTTCTCTCTTCATTCTGACCTCTTTGCTTGAAACATTCATCCTCAACCTCTTCAAAATCATCATCTACGAACTTTTGGCAGACGCCACCCTTGTCTCACCCCGCAAACTCACTAGCGTGCGGAGGCGTTTTACCCCAGACCGCGTGATATCCAAGGCACTTTTATCGCACTACAAATTCGCGAAGATCCCAATCCTCAGCCTCAAGTCTCTATTCCGTATCGACTCTATATACCATGCAAAGTCAAATCATGTCCACCCTCCCCACCATCCCTACATTGGGAACAAAAGAATGCGCAAGCACCCGAACATCGCCCCCACTCCCAAGCGCAATCCCTCCATCATACAACGATGTGAGCGGCGCAGTCGTCATTGGCGCTAATGGCCAGCCTCACTTTCTATCCGCAGAGGAAGAAGTAGAGCGACGATTGCGATTGGAACAAGCAGTGCGCGAGAAGATGCTAGGGCTACAGCAAACAACAACATTCGAATGGTCACAAGGCCCATCAACCGAACAATTACCGGCCTATACACCGCGAGAAGAAGGAAAGAAATGATTTGGTTGCATGTATCTTGGAGATACACATTGAAAGCGAGCGAGATACCCGGACCACACACTGTATATAATACCATACCCACTGAACAACTTTGAATGCACAGAGATTCGCCTTTTATTTCATGGTCGTAACCACTGTAATACAAAAAAAAAAAAAAAAAAAAAGATGCGTATGTATGTAATTGTGCAGACCTTCTAGTTTCGGAACAGTCGCAAACCACCTTCCTCACGGTCATCCTCCGCCTCGCTGCCACTCTCATCACCCTCACCAAGAACACCACTAGCCGTTCGACCAAGAAGAGAAGCGAAGAACTCATCACGCGCGCGCGTGGTCCACGACGCCCGATCATCTGGGGCCATGAAGTTCTGCAGCTTCTCATGGACAGTGTAGCGCATCTTACGGCCCTTGGAGGCGCGGGTATCGACGTCTCGCTTGACCTTGTCGTTGCGCATACCAGTGACAGGGTGGATCGGCAGGCGGGATGGCAAGTGGTGCAAATCGAGACCGTTGGTCATAGCCTCGGAGGAGGACATGCGCTGCTCAACGAGGTCGCGCAGAAGGGACTGGTAGAAAGCGCCGTCGTCGTAGAGGGGTTCTTGCTCGTCGGAAAAGCGGGCGCGCTTGGAGGATCGTTCGCCGATCTCTGTTGCGATTTGGGCGTCCAGGACAGCTGTGATGGTTTGCTGACGGCCTGCAGCGCCAAGGAGCTTGCCTCGGGAGTTGGGGCCAGCTGCGGAGGTGCCGCGAACCTTGGAGGACCATTTGTCGAGGATGGAGCGGCGGTGGGAGAGGGATTCAGATTCCAATTCGGACATACGCTCCCAGAGAGAGGCGGTGGCAGTGGTGGTGGAGGTGGGGGAAGGTCTCTTGCGCTTCTTGCTGTCGTCTTTGGAGTTGGCGTCGGCCAAGGCAGATCGCAGACCTTCGAGAGTCGACCATAATGCGAGGGCTGCTGATTCTGCTGACTTGATAGCTTCCTCGTCAACCATCTCGTCATCGCCGTCTGCTCTTTCGTTAGATTCCAAAGAAGCGATGCTGTTCACAGCCGTCAATCCACTCTGGAGCTTGATACGGGTGTTCAGTAAGGCATCGAAGGTAGCACGTTGCTCCTTAACGGCCTTGCCCTTGGTGGCATCGGCCTTGGCTGCTGAAGAAATCGTCGCGGCAATGGACTTTTGGTCTGTGGCCATCAATCTGCGGAGTTCATCGCGATCACCCGAGGTGGGGACACTTATTTCGACACTCTTCTTGCTCTTGTTTGACTTCTTCGGGCGTGGCGCCTCCTCCTCAGATTCCTCGCTTTCGTCCTCGTCGTCTTCATCAGAGTTCCCCTGATCCAATTCATCCTCGTCATCGTCGCCTGCTTCTTCTGAATCCGCTTCAGAGCCTAGATCTGAACCTTCTTCAGATCCGCTCTCCTCGGAGCCGGAGTCTTCATCGGAGCGAGCTGCGAAAGGGTCATCATCGCTGTCGGCGCCTAGGGCGTCTCTGCTGACATGGGCGCCTTCGTATTGTTTTCCTAGGGCGACGGGGTCTTCCTTGCGGAGTTTTCCTTTGCTATTTCGATTATTAGTATGTCATTGAGCCTGAAAAGCATTCCTCACTCACCCCACAGCTTGATAATGCTCCCGTCCTGCGTTCTCATCAGGCGTCTCGACATCGTCGTCATCGCTTGACTGGCCACCGTTCTCGATGTCCTCGGGGTCAAAATCTAGGTGAGCAGTCAGCATTGCATGTCCCAAGGCGACGGATCAAGGATGGTCATACCCTTAGGTGTAGGGTCTTCAAAATCAGCCAGCTGATCAGCCAGCGAACGTGTTCCTTTCGCCATGATGCTGTTGTTCTGAAGAAGAGAAGATTGCTTCGCGACTTTTTTTTTTGCGGTTTTTCCGGATAACGGATCAATAGGCCTATCTGGGACTAGCGGTAGGCGGTCTACGTCTATGGCTTCCTTGTGGTCAGTGCTCTGGGCGGTCAGAGCCTTGTATCGGCAGTATCGTTAAATCATCCCAGCTTCACTTTTGTTCATACATTGTTTAGTCAATTCCTTAATCTGCCTTGTGCAATTGCCAATATGCTAGTATCTCCTGCTCGTGGAGCTGCTATGCGTGTGAGACTCTTCTCTACTTGCAGGGCCCTCCAACATGATAACCCTTTGGTCAGTTCTTATATCATTTTCGGAACTTCGTTGCTGCTTAATAGTGCATCGAGTATCTGCAGAAATCCCCGGGCTATAGGAAGCTCAATCAGGAAAATTTGGCTAACCTACCACAGGGGCTCCCACGCTCTGGTACTCCTCCATCTTTCCGCTCTCGTCGTAATCTTCCTGAAAAGCGGAAGATTCGCGATGTGAAGAAAGTTGTCGCAGTTTCGTCAGCCAAAGGTGGTGTGGGAAAGTCAACGATAGCAGGTGGGTCCTTCTCTCTTGCTATATGCACCCCAGCTCTAGTCACATCGCAATATTCAGAGAGAACGTTGATTGAGCACGCACTAATGATATATGCCAGTCAACCTTGCGCTCTCCTTCGCACGCCGGGGTATAAAGACCGGTATTCTGGATACAGATATCTTCGGTCCATCTATCCCAACTCTTCTTAACCTCTCCGGCGAACCTCGTCTCGATGAAAGTGAGTCCTCGTATTCGCCAAATATGGGAGCGCAACCGATCAAATACTCACATATTCACTAGATAACTGCCTCGTCCCACTAACAAACTACGGCCTTAAATCAATGTCAATGGGCTATCTCCTCCCCCAAACACAAGCCGACAGCACAACAGGCGAACTGCCAATGGACACCACACCAATTTCCTGGCGCGGCCTGATGGTCACAAAAGCAATGCACCAACTCCTCCATTCAGTCTCCTGGGGACCCCTAGACGTCCTTATCCTGGACCTACCTCCAGGAACAGGCGATGTCCAACTAACAATCAACCAAGAAATCATAATCGATGGCTCGGTCATCGTAACAACACCTCAAGATATCGCACTCCGTGATGCAGTCCGCGGCATCGGCATGTTCCAGCGCATGGAAGTCCCAGTCCTCGGAATGGTCCGTAACATGGCATTCTTCGCTTGCCCGCAGTGCGGACATCAGAGTCGCATTTTCTCACATGGCGATAAGCCTCATGTTCACGATGAGACGCATGGTGTTGTTGCGGAATGTAAGAGACTCGGTGTGGACTTCCTTGGTGATATCCCTCTTGATGCTCGGGTCTGCGAGGATGCCGATCGGGGCATGCCTACTGTTGTTGCGGAGGAGAGTGTCGAGCGTAGTGCTAGGCGCCAGGCTTTCCTTGATGTTGCGGAGCAGGTTGCGAAGAAGATTGGGCTTGATTGGCAGTGAAATAGTGTCTTTGTTTGAGTTGTAAAGATATTATCTTTGTATGTTATTATTAGACTTGTGTTATTGTGGCTCGTGGCTACAGATGAGTTTGGTGAAACTTCGTCTCACCTCCAAGGAATATTACCTATTTTACGAGGACGTGTATGATTCTACACAGCTGGTTCTTTAGGGTATAGATTGTATTCACTCTCCAAGATTCAAATGCAGGTTGTAGTAGTAATCAGAGGGCTAGGTTCGGGACCGCCAACATCGGGTATATCCAAAATCAAAGACAAAACGAGACGGTAGCTCATAGAGTAGAGCTTAACATGGTGAACAGGCTCTCGTAAGAACAGTTCAGGCATAAGTAAAATCAAATACGAAGGAAAAGTTGAAAAAGACAGGAGGAGGACGTAAAAGATCCGAAATAGATCATGGTTAATGGTAGAGATGGCAGCCTAATGGGTTTCTTCTGCTGTCTTGAAAACCTCTCTATCAGGCATCTCAGGACGCTGGGACATGGAATCACGACCAGCAGCAGAGAAAACCGAAAGTGTATCAGAAGACATACGGCCATTCTCGTGTGCCATCATTGGGATAACCCCCTTCGCGCCCAGCACAGCACGGGTGCTAGCACTATCAGGCGCCATATTCATACGAGCAACAGAGTCCTTGTCGCCACCAACAGTGCTAGCAGTGTCAGATACCATCTCACTGCGACCGGTCATCGAGCCGGCAGCAGACCCTGGCCGGTATCGACTGTTAGACAAGGAGATATCAGACTTCATAGGGAGACTACCAGCCGCATGGAAGAGGGCTCTAGTGCTTGCGTTTTCATCGGTAAATTTGCGGTTGTCCACTTCAGGTAAAATGAGCATTGGACCGCTCTTCTCCGACAGAGGCCGAGAGGCTGTATCCGGGTCTGTGGATATGCGACCCGTGGAAGCATCTCCATTGTTATTGGGATGTTCTTTCTCATTCCAAGTTACGGAAGTAGGACCGCTGGCGTGTGATTTCTCCTTGCTTGGGTCGTGATCCGCACCAACTTCGCCTTGAGGGTTTCTCGACGGTGTGCTGGACCAAACTCCAGCCTGACCAGCGTCGACACTGGGACGAGTCGAGGGTCGGCCTGACTGTGTAGCCAGCCGCTCCTTTTCCATCGTGCGCTCATCATGCTTGCTTCCCCAGCCGCTCCAAAGCATCATACCATAGTTTTTCTTGGCATGACGTTTTGGTAGTACACCAGGCGCAGCACGTCGAGCGGCCAAAGAGCTTGCAGGCGGGCATTCACCGTCAAAATCCTGGAACCCATGGGCTAACTCTCTCATGCGACGACTTTGGACCCGGAGCTTCTCCTTGGAGAACCTGATGTCCCATTCTTGCTTTGCTTCCAGCCACTTCCGAATGAGTTCAGGATTGATAGCACCGACGTGAGCGGGCGGAATGTCTAGTACCGGATATGAGGAAGGAGGTTCAAGTGGGAAAATGTGTCCATGTCTATCGACACGTTGGCGAATCATGTGCTGATGGAATGCCGGTAGGGGATCTCCGGCTTTGCCGACAAATGCAACTCCTTCTTTCGGAGGTAATTTGTTGGTCTTGGCCTGAGTACTTGGGAGCCCTTCCTCAGAACTGCTAGAGCTGCTAGAGGTGAGGGGCATGAAGACAGAATCGTCTACAACATCAATTTCTCCCTTCTGCGCACGAGCCAAAGCCCAAGCGCCGAACTGGGCGATAGATCTGAACATATACTTGGCAGGTCGTGTGAAGCTGAGAGTGGGAGCCACATGACAAAGATCATCCCACACCTGAAGCTGCACATAAGTTGGTGCGTACTTGTTCAAGGTCTCGCGAGTTGGGTCATTCTCGTCCAGATACACATCACTCGGCGGAAATGCTTTCGGGTTAGCAGCTTTGTGAGCCACGTAGAACTGCTCATCACGAAGCATCTCACCGCCACCGCTGATAATCTGAAGAGGAGGCAAACCACCGAGTGACGGCTGCAAGACAGGCGAAACAAGCGGGTGGGACATGAGCTGATTTGTCGTGTACATTTGGATTTGATCCTTCAGTTCAACTGTCTTTCCATCCAACACGACATGGATGTTGTCGGGTTCAGTTTGCAAGGTAGCAGGATCCTGGTTCTGTTGTTGACCAGGGTAGGCAGGTTCGTCGCGAGGAGGGGTTTTTTCGTGGACAGTATATCCACGAACAGCCGTCTCCTCCGCTTCACTATTCGGAGCAGGAATTGCCTTCTGTACATCTTCGGCCGTGACTGTCGGTTGCTGCGACATTCTCTTCATCTTCAGGATATCATCGGCATTGGGAGGTGGCCAAGCGGTCGACGGTTTGTGTCGGAAACCCCATGGAGGGATGTAATCGCCTGGATTATCCTTCACAATACTTGGGAAAGAGTGCGTCAGATCAACCCAGGGTGAAATCAAGATGGCGCCTGCGGGCAGAGGAATGCCTTGGTCTCGCATAATGACCAGCATTGAAAGGGCCATGCCTCCACCCGCAGAGTCACCAGCCAAAATGATTTCCTTGGGCTCATATGACTTGAGCAGCCATAAATATGCAGCCATTGAGTCTTGCAACCCACATGGGAATGGGAATTGTGGCGAGAGACGATAGTCCGGCGCGAACACACGTCCTTTGATTTTGCGCGCATGACGTTGCATCATATACCGATGTGTGTCGACACTTCCAAAGAAGTATGCACCACCGTGGATATACAGCATAACTCGATTGGAGCGCTGGTTGGCCTTCTCGGTTTCATTGTAGTGGTTGCGCATTTCAATCCACTCTCCCTTCAGACCTTCAGATGGCCCACGCCATTGCCACCACTTCTCTCCTCCAACTCTTGTGATACCTTTCGGGCCCAGTTGATTGACAATCGCGTCTCCGGCAGACGATAGGAACTCATCGGGAATTGTGATGGTCTCGGTTCTCACCCAATGTGGGCTAGGCACCCACTGACGGGTGAATGCTTGGAGATCTTCGACAGGATGCTTAGACGCATAGTAAAGGAATTGGCGCACGATCTGGATGCCCTCATCGTAGGTGATATGAACGGTAGGTTTATTGTGCAGCAATTTACGGTGCAGGTACTGCAACACGACATCAGTATGGGCTTCGGTATTCCCCTCAAAAAAGAGCTTACGTGGCTGATCAGAGTGTGCAGCACTGTAGGCGTCAGTGCTGCACCGAGGGCGAATGTATGCAATGGCATTATAATGCCTTTTCAGAGGTATAGAGGACGTCGCGTGGTTGCGACAAGAGGCCAGGTGGGTTTGACGGTCAAAGTAGAGTTCAATGATATAGCGAATACTATTAACGAACGACAGAAACAAGAGATTCAGCAACCCAATGCCTCGATGAAGAGAGAAAGAGAAGAGAATGTGCAGTGAACAAACAGAGACAGGGGGACGATGATGTCATAGTCGATCTCAGCGAACACCTTTCTCTCCACCAACACTTACACTACACTCCACTGACCCTAACACTAACACACTATGCAGTCATAACAATCCACTTGGCGTTTCTAGTCCCCACTTCGTCTCCTTGGTCGTTGCCTAAGCCATACAACGGCCACATACCCCAGTGCCATGACTCCAGCCACAACGCTGGTCGCAATCACCGCCCCGCGCGGTCCCTGCGCGAGCTTGAATCCTAGTCCAGCATTGATAATTCCCAGGGTGATCAGTAGTCGCCCAAACCACCGATGAGTATAGGCGAAAGGCCCCTTTCCGCCAGTATTCCGGAAGAACCGGTGCTGTAATAAGCCCATGGCAGGCTGGAAAGCAACAAGGCACGCGACAACTACCATGCCGATAATTGGATGATAGTGATCAACCAAGGAGAGATCCCTTGCCATAGAAACCCCCACACAGAGACCAGAAATTGCAACAGCCAGAGTGAACAGCTGACTGAGCCCATGGATATTGACTGTCCACTTCGCTGGGAAGAGGTGGAGGCCCATCGCGAAAAATGGGAACATGACCACAAAGGCCAAGATCATGAGCACAGCATGTGCCGTCTTCTTTCGATTGATCATGTTAGAGAAGGGATCAGAACTCGGAGCCGGACTGGAAACAGACGCTGGAGCCAGTTGAGCAAATGGATTCTCCGAGCTGCCACCCGTCGCTTTCTTCATGTCGATAGACACAATGCCCCGGTCGTCATGCTGGGTGATTGTCGCGGATACACTGGTTGAATCCAGGGAATCTCCGAACTTCACAGCCCAAATCCATGGACTTGAAGAGCTGTTGACATTCTCTGTTCCACCGATCCATTTTAGGCAGCTGTCACACCGGATATTGGTGGTAACGACCCCGTTGTGTACACCACTGCCATCGAGCATTGTGATTTGGGCTTCTTTGTTATACAACGGCTCAATTTCGGCTGCGCCGGACCGTGGCGAAACTGTCACCTTGTCGCTAGAAGTATAAGCAACAAAGATATTGGCGCCTGACATCTGCATTCCTTGCCCTAGAGCAAACCACCGCACCTGACGGGTGGAATTCATTTGGAAGTATATAGACCCAGAGCCAGTTTGGGCGGTCTTGTCGGGGACATTGATACTATAGGTGATTGCATCGTGGCCGAGAGGGTGGAAGGTCTGTAGCTGAGCCGGTACAGGGACGGCCCAGAGCCACGCGAAAACATACCGGGTCATAGTCAACAAGGTGGTAATATTTCTTAGCGGAGAACAATTTTCTCAATAAATAAATTGGCATTCACGACTCAGCTCCATGTCGCATTGTCGCACAGTTCTTTTCATATCAACTGGTCCTGTGGCTGATTGGCGTATTCACCTCTGATTTCCTAGTGCTGAACTCAGTCCCACAGCCTAACATTTGCTTGAAGTAGTATTTTACGAGATGCCTAATTAAGTGAATTGACAGTCTTCTCGTTCTCGTTTTCGCCAAATGGTGTCGAATGGTGAGCCACTTGAAGATCAATACGGAGGATCCTTTGCTGCGCCTCCACAGTCTGGAATCCGAACCAATTTGCAAATCAGCTGATACCTCTATGGAATGACGCATTCGATGATATTCATAGCTTGAGAAGTATAGAAGGTAGATCTCGAGGCTGTGTTTGCTTCACCTCTCTGCTTAAGCTTTTGGCACATTAACCTAATAAGGCTACCGCGCGAGAAGGCTCAGAGCTTAGCTGAATCTTTCCGTGGCTATGCGAAAAATCTATTCGTGTCTAGATCATTTAGTATTTGGAATAGAACGTTAACCCCGCAAGTTAGAGGTGATGTTGGATATAAATTGGAAGGCCTACGGTAGGGAAGTATATACTTCCAAAGGCCAAGAAGTCCATCATAGTTACCTTTGACAGAAAAGAATGATGACCCCAATGAAATTTCTTCTGTTTGTGCTTCCATTGACCAACGCCCAATATGGCTCAAACGATACTAGCATGACAACTACTGCATCGACAACCACAACAGGCTCGGCATCGAGCAGTACCCATAAAGTCGATGTCGGCAAAAACGGCTTCACGTTCGACCCAGAGACTCTTACTGTGGCTGCAGGAGAAAAGGTCGAATTTCATTTCTACCCACAGAACCATTCGATGACTCAAGCTTCCTTCGATAATCCTTGTCATCCCATAAGCGCGTCGAGCTTTTCTAGTGGATTCATGCCAACTACAAAGGCATCAGTAAGTACCCCTAGAAAGGATCTGGCAGTATTATTTAACTTGAACAGGAAACCGTTTTCACTCTGACAATCAACGATACGACCCCACTCTGGTTTTATTGCGGTCAGATTGGGCACTGTCAGGCCGGCATGGTTGGAGTTATCAATCCACCGTATCTAAGCATAACCTTTCTCTTAATTGGCGCTAACTGACACTTGTCTCTCAGATCGAATGGCCAGGACACCCTTGACTCTTTTAAAAAGGCTGCCAACACTGCCGTAGGCAGCACTATACCTGCATCCGTTCAAGGTGGTATCCTGGAGAAGTCTGGAGCTGAGACTTTGAGCAGCAATAGCAGCAGCGCCACTGTATCTGCCAGTGCCACTACTAGCGAGCCGGCGAGCGGCACAACTAGCTCTACTGTTAGCCCGACTAGTGCGGCTAATAGTGTTGGTATTGCCTTCGACATGTGCATCCTTGTTATTTTGGCTTCTTTCGCTGCACTTTGTATGATGTAGTTATTTGTTTATCCATTCAACCATGCGAGTCCTATAAAGTGCAGAGTAGTCTCCAATAAATATCTTTTTCATGCTGTGCAGGACCTGGAATGAAGTCTGGCCGTCTAAAAGTAGATTCCTCTATGGGGACATTGTAGGCATATAGACTTCTAGTCTAGACATATTTGTCATCGAGAATCGAGGACCACATAGCTATGGACGATAATTTACAGAGGCCATTCTGTTGAACGTTGGAAGTAGAGACCCAGGTCCGAGTTCAAGTCTTCGCCCCTAAATCCCGATGATTTCCCAGATCTCTGTACATGCGCTCTAGACGACATCAGGCACCAATATCTGTCGTAAAAGCCCCATCTAAGCAATCCGCCCTGTAGGAAGTTGAGAGTGTATTTGTTAAGCTTAGAGCAGCAAGAAGTGTGTAGACTAGATCATAGAGCCTGATCTAGATCCTGTGGACAAGTGCATTGATATAAATGTTAGCGTCTTTTCTTAAGCTAGCATCTTTGTCAGAGCTCATTTTCAACCTCCTGTTTAACGAATTCTATACTATCAATAATATGACCTCGATCCAGGGAATATCGCTCAATAGTGGCCGATACTCATGAGGGTGGCTTCGCCTGATCTCCCAGACTGGCAAAGGAGGGCTAGGGAACATTGCCACATCGGCGATATCAGACGTCATTTTGTTGATAGTGGCCTGAACAATACAATGTCTATCAGGGCGAGTACCATCCTAGAGGGGATTGTATCATACATTATTCGTCAACATCGGTGTTCTCATACAATGTTCCTTTATCTGGGATTATATGATCCGAGAGGACGAGTCATGATGCACAAATCTCGCAGGTATGAGACTTCGGACTTGACATTGTTGTCATGGTTGTCTACTGAAAGACATCGAAAATATCGAGCAAATCTGGATGGAAAGTTTGCAGGCAGACGTGTCGTTACCACGCAGAGTAATTCGAAGAAAACCCAAACATATAAACTAAAAGAGAGGGGCAAGCACATCTGACTGCAGAAATGCCGTTTCACATTATTTGTCTCTACACGTGTCAGCCCAAATGTCACCTATACCAGTCCAGCGGAAATGTGCACGAAGTTTCAGACTGAACCTGCGAAAATAACCCTGTTGCCAACTATCCAGGTTTGATTGATTACCTACATGGACACAACCTTGAGAGAGAATCCCTAGGATTATGTCTATCGTCGGCAAGTTCAAGTCCGATGAAATCTCCGAGACTTGACGTAAGATCATCATGCTAAGTATTGAGAGCGGAAAAGAAGCATCTGTGAACAAGCCGCAAGGTACACGAAATAACTCTTGGCTTTCTCCACGGTGCTCTAAAGGTACTCTTCTTCACTGCATTGCGAGAAGACGATCTGCAGCTTCATACCGCACTTGGTGACTTTCTCGGACATTTCTTGGCAACGCCAAAGGTCCTCGAGGGTCTTGTCGGGATCTCCCGCAGAAGTTATGGGTATATAAACCAGACGAACGGATGTAAAAATGTCAGTCAAATTCTCGGAGAATGATCGGCAAGTTGTCTCTCGTGGCAGCTGTGGTCGCCCAGTGTCTGCCTGGGTTCGCCAGGACCATCGAGCAAGAAACCGTGAAAGTAACAACATCTGACACGGTTCGACGCGGCGAACTGGCCAATGTCCATCTCAATTGGCTTCGAGAGCCACCAAGCTTGATCGAGTCGACGTTTGCCTCTTGTGATGGTCAGGCATCTGCCAAAGAGCAAATAATTGCGCATTTCTCTATTCTAGATGAGCCTCCTCAAAGATTGGTCTGGGCGGTTCCCGAAGACGCTCCAACGCATCACTGTGTGTATGTTTATGGGCGCAAAATGTTAGACAGTACGCAAATTTTGCTGGGTAAAAGCAGCCCTGTGTCTTTGAAAAAGAAGCCGAAAAAGCGATCAACAGCAGACACGAACATTCCATTGCTGAAAGACTTTGATTCTCTAGGAACTTGGTTTGACGGGGTAGCCAATATCAAGGACAAACTTGAATCCACCGGAGGAGTCACTACAGGGAGCTCGCCAAGGAATACTTCTATTGCGATCGTTGGTGGAGGTATCTCTGGTCTCGCAACAGGCCTGATGCTGGACAGTGTCGGCGTGCACAACTGGGAGATCATCGAGGCCAGCGACCGTGTTGGGGGCAGATTCCGAACCAAATATGTGGCAGATACACAGGAATGGGCTGAGATGGGACCGATGAGGTTGCCATACTCTGTGACATACAAAGACGACAATGATACTCTTCTGTACTCTGACCACCAATTGACCTTCCAAATGGCAAACATCTTGAACGACATGAACAAAAATGCTTCGCAATGGAAGATCGACTTCATTCCCTGGATCCAACATAGTCCCAACGAGTTACTTGCTCAGGGGACTCGTCGCCATCCAGATGGAAGAATTCCAACGCGCGCCGAAGTCGAGGCAGATCCAAGTCTGGAGGACGCGCCTGCTATTACCACGGCAGAGTTCAACAACACTCAGGATCAGATGGACAAGATTTTGAAGAACGAAACGACTCTCAAGTCTCTTCAAACGGATGTGTGGAGAGCCCACAAGATTGCCATGGACCAGGGCCTCGATGACTGGAGCGAACAGGCTATGATGCGACATGTCTTCAAGGCCAGCGAGAATGTTACTGATGAGATCTGGACTTCATCCGACTATGATGTGTTCTGGGATGAGTTACACCACAACTCCAACCTGGGCTTGGATGGCACAAAGGGCAGCTTGGGAGAAACTCAATGGCTATGTATCGATGGAGGATTCAACCGTCTATCTGACGCCTTTCTTCCACACATTCGCGACAGACTCACCCTCAACCGGAAAATCAGAAAGTTGGAACCCATCCAGGACGGCAACGGCAACACTCGCACCCGACTTTCCTGGTATCCCAGTGTCTCGAATCGAACATACGAGTCCAAAGAATATGACTACACGATCATGGCCACACCATTCACCATGACCCGCTTCATGGATTTGCCAAAGTTCTCATCGGTCCTTGATCGTGCCATCAGCGAAGCTGGTGTCCGCTTCAAGTCTGCTTGCAAAGTGGCCCTCCTATTCTCCGAACGATTCTGGGAAAAGGGCGACCGACCCATTTTTGGCGGATATTCCAAACCGCCAAGCGACCCCATCGGTGCTCTCTACTACCCGGTCTACGGTCTCAACGAGTCACGTCCAGGCCTGATAATGCACTACCGAGGCGGCGACTGGAGTGACCGGTTTGTAAGTTTCTCCGACGAAGAGCACGTTCAGACAGTACTTGACTCAATCGTCAGTCTGCATGGCGAGCAAGCGCGAGACCTGTATACGGGTGATTACGAGCGGCTCTGTTGGCTCGAGGATGAACATACTGCGACTTCGTGGTGCCGCCCGGATGTAGAGCAGCATAAATTGTACATTCCTGCTTATCATCAGACGGAGCATAACACCATTTTCATTGGTGAGCATACTGCACCTACGCATGCTTGGGTAAGTTCTTCTTTGCAGTCCTCCGTTCGTGGCTCTATTCAGTTGCTTTTGGGGCTTGGGTTGGTTGATGAGGCGAAGGAGTTGAACCAGCGGTGGATGGGAAGATGGATTAAACTGTAGTCCTTTTGAGGAACTACGATTGGATCGCTGTACATAGGAGGATTCAAATTGTGCATATTCATGCTAGAAAATGTTTAAATACTTGGTCTCTACCACGGCAATATCTCGCCAGTCTGAGTGACAAATTTACCAGAGAAGTTTTCTCTCGTCGCTCCATCAATTACCTCCAACATGCCATTCACACTCTCGTCAACAGTGACAGGCGGACTACCTGAGTATCCCCACTCCTTCGCAGCAAAGTCCCCAGCACGCGTCTGTACCCAACCCGGGTGAAGTGAAAACGCAACAAGACCATGCGCTTCATTCTCAGAATGAAGCGCTTTAGTAATCCAGTTAGATGCAGCTTTACTGGGACCGTAAGCACCACCAGGGACAGGCTCCTGTTCAGTAATCGACCCAACGGACGATGAAATGACAGCAAGCTTAGGAGAAGAAGGTGACTTCTGCATAAGAGGCCAAAATGCTTGAAAAACCATCAGAGGTGCGATGGTGTTGACTTCGAACGAAGTGCGCAGGTCTTCTGCTGAAGTGAGACTAGCGCGGGTGAAGGGCGCCGCGAATCCAGCGTTGCAAATCAGGATATCGACGTGGGATATCGGGGAGAGGGTGGTGGTAACAATTTGGAGGATCTCCTTCGGGGAGATGGCGGTATTGAAGTCCAGCTCGATAATGTGGAGGACACTGTTTCCGCCTACGGTGGCATTTTCGATGCCTGACTTGAGGCTAGTGGCAGCCTCGGGGTTGCGGACAGAAGCCACGATGGTAGTTGCTGGGCGAGCGAGTAGGCTTTTGGTCAAGCCGAAGCCGAGACCTCTATTTGCTCCAGTGAGGACATAGATCTTGTTTTCGGGGGCTGTCATGGTTGGCGGTACTGTGAGGGGCAAGTGGTGGATGTGGGCAGAATAAGGTGAATTGACTCTAGATGAAACACCAATATGAAAGATGAACTCGAAATAAAAAAAACTTTCGGGTTCCAAATGTCTCCTCACTAGCATAAAACAAAAGGGAAGCAAGTTGAAGTTGAACTGTTCGCCTTTATACGCTTAGGGCGCCTTATTCCCCGTGATCTTGGACCAATCAAAAAGACCCAAGAGCTTAGGAATCCGGAAACATTGTCGTTTCTGGTAATTTTTCTTCTCTTCGATGAACCAAGCATATATAGCGTATCTGTAGATAGTATAGACATTTAAGATCGAAGCCTTCAATACACGTCATAAAGTCAGAGTATGACTATGACCCTGAACCAGCGAAAAGCTTGTGGTCTTTCTGGGAATTGTACGCAATATCAAGCTCCACGTCGTCTTCGGCGACGATCGTGTCCGCCTGTCGCTGGCTCACACGCTGAACTGTGTGGAGGAACATCTCTCGCCACTGTGTTGTGCATAGCAGAGGCGGGATCACGCCGTCAGTTGGTTCATGGGATGGGAGGGCTTTGTAAATAGCAGGGATATCGAGGTCGGCGCTGACGTCTCCTGTGGGATTCGGATTCCGTCGCACCACCCGCGTCTCTCGGGGTATTCGTGGTTTCGTTTGAGATAGTCCATCTATCGGTACTGGAGGAGCCAGCGGCGCTTCTTCTCTTCGGTTGATAGACCTTTTGCTTCGATTTCATTGACGCGGTCCTGGCTCGTTGGATGCAGAGCAACAAACAAGACCTGAGCCTCCAACCTTTCATTCCCCAAAGTTGACAGCAACTCCGTCTCTGGATCTGTTTGTCCACGTCGCCAATATAATTGCAGTAGAAGTTGGAATGGAGGCATCTACAATCCTGGGAGAAGCACGTTTTGATGATTGTTAGCAAGGACTGGCAAACTACGCCGCGAAGCGCTTTCGGTCCGTGTGGATGGGATCGTCTTGTCGGTGATCTTGTGATTCGCGTCTTTGATGGTGATCATGAATCAATCATAAGCCCTCCTCGGGTATGTGTGCCCTGGCCTTTTTCAATACGGTAAGAACGAGAGGACTAATTGCTTATTACGACTACAGATCGATATCACCGAGAAGCATGTACAAGATGCGATCATAAAGATATTGGAGATGGAAAGATAGAGGTATCGCTACGATATCTTGTAATCATATGATTTATTACGAATACTTGGCTATTTAATTCATTTTCATGGGGCTAACTGATTGCAGCGCGTACATGTAACAACGTCAGAGTCGTTCCAAAGTCTCATCTTTCAAGCCAGCCCTGGAGAGAGGAGAGCAGCAGAGATGCACTCCCACTAAGTGCCTCTGACATGTATGATGAGAGCACACGTAATTTGACGACTATAGAGACGAGTCTAGTTTCTAGCGAACTTGTCGGCGGATATCGGACCGGTCTAAGTAATCCCCACACCTTATGTGAATACCCTCAATATTATCGCTGCTAGGAAGCCGAGGAACATATACCGTCTCTCATATCTAACTTCACCGAAACATAACTCATAGCTTCAATGCAACAATAAACAGCGCTACTTTGATGGAATTCGCGAAATACGCTTCTCTAGTATACGGCCGCTGTTGACTCTCGATCGTCTGAAGTTACGTATAGATTCGATTGCGGGGGCACCTATTGATTGTTCAATCAATCATAACTGACGGTGGACACGATGTGGTTGTAAGACTAGAAAAGATCGGCGGCCCTATGTTGGTGAATGAAGTGATATAACCAAATTATCATTCAATTCACCTCCCTCAATTTGACGTCCCAACCCCTCCTTTGACTGACTTATCATTCGTTGCTTATTAAGAAAGATCTTTTTGTCACTGAGTAACTATTCACTGGAACGTATCTCCATAGGGGATCGAAGCGAATACTTAGGGCCATTGGCTTCGAAATGGAATGGGAGTAAACAGGCGGTCAAATAATGGCGGGGAGTAGGAGGTGGCAGATTCGACGAAATCAACAACCTGCTCAAACAAGATTGAAATAAACTGTATTTATGCACTCTTTTCTACACCAAAAGCTCTACCGTAAGGATCCCAAGTATGACCATATGGATCACATTACCAGACCAGGTCCGGTGGAATGAGTACGTGTGATATAATTAACTTCTTAGAGATTGGTCGACCAGATTGCTTAATCCACACACTTTTGCGGCTCTAATAAACAAATAGTCGACTAGACGCTGGTATGATCTAGAGTATTACTGCTTCGCTGCGGGAAAGATCGACTATATTCACATTACTCGGAAGAGGAAAAAAAACAGAGCCATGGCCAGCTTATCATGAATGGTAATACCATCACGCCATTTATGACCGCCAAACTCTTGGGATTAATCTTCGATCGTGAGCTTCGGTGGAAGAAACACGTAACAGCAAGCCTTCAAACAAACTACCAAGGTGAACATCGCGCCTGGGGGTCTGCGACAGCTCTAAAAACTGTGCGTCATAATTGGGTGCAATTGTGTCTTGTGCAAATAGTCTGATGTCGAGTTGACAATTTTTGGTATTGACCTGCATAAAAAAACCAATTACAAGTGGAAACCCTCGCGGACTCTGTTCGCGCCGGGTGCAGACTTGCAGGGTGCCCCTCATATTCAATGCAGGAACCGCCAAATCCATGCAGGTATATGTCGTCAGACCTAATATTGGATCGAATGCATTGTTACTTCTCTAATGCCCAAATCAAAAATAGATACTAGGCTATTGCCTACTAGGGCCTAGCACTCGTCGTTGTACTGGGCGTCTTAACAGAATAGACCGTGGTTTACTCAAAGTCCGGAGAAAGGCTTCGGCTTGCCGAAATCAAGGTGAAAATTTCTCAAGTTTAAACATAGACAATAGCTAAAGACAAATCTATCTTCTACAACTGCTGGGTCTCTTCCAGCACCACTTTCCTAGGTCCAGCGAAAGCTTCAAATGAAGTCGCAGAATTTACAGAATATGTCAATTTTCAAGTTGATCTAGGTGAGGTGGGGGGTTTGAAATTCTGCCCGAGCGAATCTGTATTGGAGGCTACGGTAAAGTATTCAAAGATCAAAGAACTTGCGGCTCACTCTCTAAATGACTAAACGGGGCACCACCTGTTATCCGCACAGCGAGCGACAAGAATGTTTTCAGTCTAGAAACCGCAACTGCCGCTTTGACATTTGCTATAAGTTTCATTATCACGGCTGACAGGTGGTCAATCATGACAGTAGACCAAAGGTGAGCTTCTTCTCATCGACGATAGACCTTTCCATGTTCTTCAGCTCGTTGATATCCCAGTTTGCCCAAACGAAACGACCGTTCAAGAATGCTGCTGCGGAACCGGAACACCAAACCACGAAATGAGAGGTCAGTTCGACTAGTTTTTCATCAGTCATATTGATATCATTACAAAAAGGGGAACATACTGTCATCAAAAGGGACTCCCTTGATGCCGGATTTCAGATTCATATCGGTTTGTATAAAGCCCGGATGGACATTAACGACCCTCAGGCCTGGATACTCTAATTGAACAAACTCGAGGACTCGCAAGAACGCCAATTTGGACGCGGAATATGCCGACAGTTCATGGGTCGGAGGAAGGTATACGCCGGCAGTGGTCACATTGATCAGGACGGCTTCGTCCGAAGAAACCGAGAGAAATGATTGAGTGACAAGAAGAGCGCCTTTGCAGTTGATCTCAAATGCTTTCCACCAATCTTGAATGGGAGCAGAGGCTGCAGGTGCAGGCTCAGCCAGGTATCCAGCGTTGTTCACCAGTACATGCAAGGGTCCGATCTCGGTTACGAGACTGCTGAAAGCACGTTGAATCTCGGTGGCATTTGTCACATCTGCAACAATTGCTTTGACCCTTGTGGTGCTGGCACCCTCAATTTCTTGCTTCGTAGCATCCAATGTTTCTTTCGTGCGTCCGACGACCACGATGTTGGCAGCATTCGCCTTAGAAAAAGCAAGGGCGATTGCCTTTCCGATACCAGAACCTCCTCCAGTGATAACAACAGTTTTCCCCTTTATGTCCCCCACTTGACGCAACGGGTCAAGATCAGGATAGGGCTTGGAATGATAGGTGGGCGTAAAGAACATGTTAGAAGCCATATCGATTTGGAAAGTTCTATTATTTGTAGCGTTCGGTTGAGGAGAATAAAAGAAAACTTCGTTGAAGAAAGTGAGACGAGTTTTCACTTATTGCGAAATTCCTTATACTTATAGTGGAAGAGCACTGGGTAGGCTAGCTTTTGGTCAGCTGAGAAGTAGTATTTGTCAGTCTTGAATATCATCTCGGCTTATGCTACACCCATCCAGTTACAGATGGTATTTCGGACTTGATAATGCCGAGACGCCAACTCTGTCCGAGCTGGCGAATGAGGAAGCTGGATCTGGCAAAGGTAGAGAAAGGTCCGGCCTCTACAACCCGCCACTCTCACAGAAAGGGAACCCCCCGGAACGATATGGAACTACTTCCAGCCGATAATAAAGTACTAATATTTCATATTACTTCAGTAGCTACGGAAATATTCTTGCACAGGTCATTGTTCGTGAAATATACTACAATATTGATGCTGTAGCTGGAGACTTTCGCACCCCACCCCATCATGGTACCGTTCATTTATCGTCCCTCAAATGGCTGATTTTCGTTACGACATTGCATTCAAAACCTATGATGGCCTACTTTTCCGACGTTGGTTCTATCCCGCCAGCGGTAGGGATCGCGCCCCAGTGATTGTAATGTCCCATGAGGTGAGTCACTCGATATCCTGTCCCCAGCCGTATCACGTCTGGCATTGCATGATGGAATTCTGGGCTGAATCGTGTTTCTGATTGCAGGTTTCTGCGCTGAAGGAGTTTTATCTCGATAATTATGCCGCCCGTTTCCAGAAGGCTTCGCATTACTGATATATGACAACCGTTGCTGGGATCCAGCGGCGGTATCCTACGAGTGGTGTGGAAAAGGAAGATCCTCACACGTACAACATTGATAAATTGAAAGCATCTTTAAGCCACAAATATGGTCAGAGGTACAGTGTCTTAGGAAACCTATCAAACATGTCTGTAGGGATCAAACGCGGGAGATCAAGACGAACATAGAGCAGCTATAGTTGGTTGATCCATTCCAATGCAGTCGAAGGCTCCATGCGGTTATGCCAGTAGGGATCCAACCACACATTCTTTACCAGTCCCGACTTCTCCACCAGAATATTCGCCGGAATTGGTATTTGCAAGTTGCCGTCCCCGTAGCGTGCATCCCAATCCACTTGGATGGCATTGAAAACTGTCCTCATTTCATCCGGCTGGGAGAAAACAATTCCCAATTTCCGAGCTAGATCATTCTGCAAATCCGAGAGGACGGTGAATTCCAATCCATTTTTCTCAGAAGTTGTGAGCGACTGATCAGGTAGCTCGGGTGAGACGGCCACGAGACACACCCTTTTCGCTTTGAAGTCGGGCAGGACTTTCTGCAAAGCCCGCAGCTCTAAGTTGCAGTACGGGCACCAGCTTCCACGGTAAAACGAAAAGAAGACTGGTCCATTCGCAAGTAAGCCAGATAGGCTGACTGCGTGGCCGGTTGCATCTTGTAAAGTGAATTCAGGAAATCGAGCACCAGGCTGTATCGCTTGGGATGCGTCATAGGATGCCTTGAATTCATCGCCAGTTTTGTTGATGATTTTGACCAGCTCTGGATTGGCTGTTTTCAACGAGCTTTTTCGCATATCGTCTAATGCAGATTGGAGACTCATTTTGTCTTGGCAGCGCGAGAGATAATTGTTGGAGAGAATCAATTGCTCGAGCCGATAACTGAATGTTTTGATAGTGACTCTATGCAAATGCAGCTTCTTTTAAAATGTAGAAAACCGCTTTGATTATTCACCTTTATTTCATGTCAGCCACTCAGCAGTTTCTATTTCAGGTCTTTCTTTGGCGTTTTTGTGATTTCACCAATCATGGTTGACATTTCGGATTTTGGCCAAACGGCCGGTTCCCGAAGAAGCGAATGAGTGAGCGTGTCTCGGCCTTTTGTCACCCCGGGTCCCCGCATCAAGATATCCTCAAAGAAAAATAGAGCCAAGATAATTAATCACTCGTTCGATCGGGACCCGAAGTCAGTCAGATAATTCTACCAAAGCTCTAGGGAGTGGCAGTACTCCTATAAACTAAGAAACTATGATTTGAAAACAACCGATGACTGAATTTCCCTATGGAATTAGGAGATGTGGGAATTGTGTCCCCACCATACAAAATCATTGCCACCAATTATCCAATGCCGCCGACGGCAGCAGATCTTGGGCTGCTGCACCATCCTGATCCAGTGACAAATCAATTGTCGTTGTCAAATCCACCATGCTGAAATAATCATCCGCAGTCGGGAAACTGATATCATCATGGAGCAATTCAGGCCCATCCCACTGTGTCATCAATGGGTTTCTCTCAGCATCTGGAGGGATAGTAAGATAAGGGTTGCGCACTGAGACCGGCTCAGTACCTAGACTAGACATGTCTTCTAGCCTGGATGGCAAGAAAACGGGATCCACAGTTGAAACACCCGTCTCACGAGTCACAAATGGCCGAGAGTCTGGGATATGGGTATAAGAGAGATCAATCGGGTCCAGACCATTTGCCCTTTGGGCTTTTGCCAATAGTTTCTTCATGCGTAGCCAGATTGTATCATGTCCCTTTTCTGCGGCACAGTCTGCCCATTCTAGAAAGGCACCCCGTACCGCCTTCCATGCTCGGTCCGTTATATCGCCTTGTTTCCGCACGCAGAGCTCGGAGAGGATAAAGGTCAGAGCTTGCCAGGGGACATAGTTTCGGAAAGCCCATCTCCACTGTTGTATCGACTGCTCTCTTTCCAAAAGCAAGCAGGTTTCCACGATCGTTAACGACATAGAAAAAATGCGATCTCTGCCATGCTCCTTGTAGTCGTTTCCTGTTCCTGCAAGCTGGAAGCGATGATGAACATTAATCCACATCTTCGCAAGCATCATACGGGCGACAGTAGTAATAAGCCAGTGAAAAGGAACATGCATATCGCAGTACTGAAGGATTTGAGATTCGAGCTTTTTGCTACAATCATCCGTGATTCGGTCTATTTCTTGCACGACTGAGTGTGAATATTCGGCATCATAAGCAATGGCGCAGGCCTTGGACTGTGACCGCAGTTGCCAAATGACGTTGATAATTTCATATCTCATGAGCGAAAGAGACATTTCAGTGATCCCTGTTCGCAATAGGGGAAGGTCGAGACATCCAGGGACAAGGGCTTCGTCGTCGATGTTGGAGGGAAGTCTCGTATCGAAGATTTGCTGCGCAATGTCTTGGTCGGAGCCATGGTTTTCGGCGGTACGAACGTCTAGTATACAAATCTGCCACCAGACACGGCGACGCATTTCGGTATCAAATGTGGTGAGCTCGAGGTTGGAGCCGTCGCGATGGATACCCAAGGACTGAGCTATCCGAATAGCAGTGGCTGTCAGTGTCCAAACCAGTCGAGAGTCATCATGATTGCGCTGACATGTATGTGAGAAGAACTATTAACCTGTGGTCTGACCAAAAACATCATGGTCGGGTTGTTACCAAGAAAATTACAAGAGCTTGGAGTGTGACAAGATTATGAGAGCTTAGAAACTCGGCTCTCGCAAGGCTCTGCTCCACTGCGAATCGATACCTGCGCAGCGAGGAGGCTTTCCCTTCCTGAAGAACGTCGCGACATTGTTTTTCATTCATACTTGTGATACTTGCAAAGTAAATTGCAAACAGCAACGCCTCATTAGGTTTGCTCATTTCAATTGCGTGATCTTTTGCCTTAATGACTTGCGCTTGCATCGTGGGCTTGTGAAGCATTCTGATAATGGGATCAACTTGGTCGACGAAAATTTGCCAGAGGAGGAGAATCCGATCCGGCGTTGGGTAAAATGCAGCAAGATTGCACACAATCGAGTTGAAGCTGTAGACATATGCTTGGCCCCCATCTGATATTGACGGCCCATTTTCAAGAGAAGCAGTATCACTCTCGTAGTCCGGGCATGCGTCTAGAATATCCTTCATGCCAGAAACCTATATAGGGTACCAACAAGTCAGCAAAAGTATCAACATAAGTCATCAGAACACCAAAGTAGCGAAGTTGTTACCTCATCAGACAGAGTCACCCAAAAGCTATTTTCCATGTACCTGATTTCACCTTCCTTAACTTCCAGCCTCCCTAGTTCCACTCTATCCTTGCTAGCCTGGCTGCTGACATGTGTGTTTGGCGCTGCACCTTTTTCAAGCCGGAATTTGTCTCTGACAATATCTCCATTGATACTCCGGACCATCGTCTCGAGCCTTTCAAGTCGCTCCCTCAAGGCTAAAGTTGAAGTCGTCTTTGATTTGGACTTACTTTTTGCACGCGTCCTGGAGGGATAGACGCATTCAAAATTGGATTTCTGACAACCCGAGCACGGGGATTGTTTGTCACATTTCGTTTTGCGCTGATGGCAAGTTGTGCATGAGCGTGTATGCATTTGGTGTCAACTAGTTAACTCGATCGTTATCTAGCGGGATATGTGATTCGGGTTTCCAGTAGCTGGACTGACAACCCTGGGCAGCAGGCTGACAAATGCTTGTCCGCTGACAAAGCCCCATGACTACATTAAGTCAACTTTGGAATTTATACGGGTCCAGCTCAACGGGACCCAGAGAGCGGCTGACTAATCCTTGGTCCCGTTGAACTGGAACCCGGATCTATATGATTTATGACTGCCTTTTTACGGGGTATTACGGACGTACCAGGCACCAATTGACGATGGGACCGCAACCTACTGATGGGCCACCGAGAGCCAATCAATTTACCCGACAACAAGATCGCGTGCGATATCCTACACTCAGACATCCCTAGGTATCGGGAAAAGAGAAATCACGATCATGCTCACTGAGGAAGAGCATGATCCGCCCTAATCGGACCCACCTAGCAGAGAATATCCCATATATAGGTTACTCTATATGCTAGATTTCCCTATGCACTAAATAGGCCACTTCCAGCTCTACAGGCACAAACAACGTGATTATATAAGTAGTAGAAAGGTCGATTGTCAATAAGTAGATTCTGCTAAGACAAATCTACTATTCCACTTCCTACTTATCCAGCGAGGAAGGACTTAGGATATAAGAGGACACTTATATATCTATCTAGTATAGTTCTGTCACGGACTCTATGGGCATATGTATCATGCCAGTATCAAGTCCTATGGGCTACCCCGATTCTTGACAGTGCATCCCTGTAGAGTCGTCAGCGTCACCTCGCCGCCCTTTCTGGTTATATTAAATAAGTCGTTCTTGGTGTACCTAGAAGTTCCCAATGATCAGTCTCTATACAACCTGCAATACCACTTGTTCTAAGACATTGTTGATCTTACCTAGTTGACAGGCTCTATCCTGTAAACACTGGACCCCTTGCTTCCTTCTAAAAAAAAAAAAAAAGCAACCCGCTAGCCCTATTCACGTGCAGACTTTTCTACGCTAGCTTGCACCGTTGCCCCATTAACAAAGGACAGATGTCATTGGAGCCGATCGTAGTTATTTAGTTTCTGCTAAGGTAGCAATCGCGCATAAAGTAATCCCTACTTTAGAACTTCTGAAGTTTCGAAGATTATCTGACCGATATTCCTCAGCTGGGATACACTCGAGAAGTCCAACTGATATGCACTCACTAGTACCATTCTTCTTCTATAGTTAAGCCGAAACCCTAACTGGTGTACATGTGCAGTGCAATTCCGACCACCCTCCCACCCCCCCTCCCTTTCTCTTTGGGGTACAAGATGATGGAATTCGTGAAAATTGCTGAAGAGGCGTAGGCGCTGACAATAAAAAGCCAATCATGTAAGTGAGAAGCTTGCCATCGTGAAATCTCTGAAGACATTCTACCTTAGAGAAATCGTTCGGAGAGTATGTGTATGTTGCATGTACTGTATGTATTTACTATACATAGTTTCACAAAGAGTGAACTACCCCCTTTTACTGCAATGGACCAAGATCGAGCTGAAAATAAAGCTGCTGTCAGATTTACCACGTTACTCTTAGGATATGTGCTTCAGGGGCTGGGGGTCATGAGGTTTTAAACTTTGAGCAATTCGCAAAGTCGAAACAACTGAACTGCCCAGACAATCTAAAATCTCCAAGTCAAAATTTCAAGCGCGAGCAAATCAAGATTCGAGCGCGAGGCGAGCAGTGCCGTCAGGCTCAACGTTGCCCGCGATTCTCAAGCAGCCTTTAGCACCGGTCGAGCAGCACCGGTATAGTCAATCTTTCGCATCCAATCTTCGACAGTTCGCACTCGCTCTGGGAAGATACGATCCAGGAATTCATAGTCACGCTTGAGTATGTTTCGGTCATTCCCTGCACGTTGATAAAGCTTCCACCAAGCCGTGAAGTTTTCCCGATACGACAACAGGGTTGGATCATCTTGATCCTTTTGAGGCCCAAGCTTTACTTCTGCAATGCCGCTGAGAGGGCCGGCGGTGAAAAATTCATCGAACGAGATATTGCGATAGATAGCAGGTCTCCCAGTAACCTTGGTGAACGTGGCCGCAAGGTACTCATACGAAACATGCTCTATTGCCACTTTGACATTTAGTCCAGCGGACTGATCAGGGTTGGAAAATATCCAGTGCACGTAGTGGCCCAGATCCTCAAGATGAACAAACGGGACCAGACCGTTTCCAAGAGGCACCTCAAAGATGTACATTCCATCATCCCTTTGACGGGGTCGCAGCAGTTCAGAGAGCATTTCGATGTAAGGTCCCGTGGTTAAGATAGACCATCGTGTCGAATCTCTCCGCTGTGGAATAGCAGAAAGCCACTGCTCAACATAAGCTTTGCCGTAGTAATGACCAACGCGCGTTTCATCGTCATAATTTGTATCGGCCATAAATCTATCCAAAGAAGACCAGATGAAGTGTTTTACACCAGCTTGAACGGCGATTTCGTAGATCCGGATGCCCCAGTAGAGTTCGTTCTTGATTCCGAGAGCGAAACTATTCAAATTGACGTGGGCGAGATCGATTCCAGCAAATGCCCCCTTAAGGTCCTCTTCATTGTCGGTTTGGCCTACATATAACGACACTTTAGAAATAGTTGCCAGATACTGAGAGTTTTCAGAGGTTGAGTCGCGCGTCAACACTCTGATTGCTGAGTACTGCGGCTGTTGCGATAGCCCTTCAAGATCAGTCAGCTAGTGGGTAGGTAGATTTCAGGAGTGCAGAGTGCTCACATCGCACAACGGGCATGCCTTGGGCTCCAGAGCCACCGATGACTAATATAGATTGAGATAACATCTTGAGCGTGTGCGAAAGATTGATTTGGGGGAAGATAGTCTACTAAAACACAAACAGGGCGGGGTTTTTATAATGCTTCAGTGAATGCAGTAAAACAATCACTACCAGATTTTTGATCGGATTTGTAGATCCGTAATCAGGACCGGCGGCCGTGTACATAATAACGGAAAATTTGGCAATTGGTCAAGTATGCGACTATTCTGTCCACGTGTCATAGAGTAAGTTCAATATATTTATTGATTATGTTAAAGCGCGCTTTGATCTAGCAGCATCTTCAATGATTGATCAATGATTATTCTTGGACCCCACCTCCCGAGCATCCCTGCAGGAGCAGCTAACGTTAGCTCGGGATGATGAATAATGCGTCTCCAATTAGGGTACGGCGTCTACCGCAACTGATCTAAATGGCCTAGGGTAAAATATTTAATCAACAAATTGATGATGTGAACAGAAAATGAAAAAAGTTTGTAAGCACAGGTCTATGAAAATTTAGAAGTTCAGCTACAACTAGTATTTATCAAGACTGTGCCCATTTTCTACTTTCAAATACCCGACTTGACAGTCCAGTGTGCTCACCGACGACTCCTTTAACCTCATCATGGTCTCAAAGCCCTCGTTGTCAATACGTCATGGCCCTAGTACATAAAAGCGTCCTAATTATGGGGTAGGTCAATAAGCCCAGCAGAATATAGGGCTTCTTCGCAAATGGGTTCACAATATAGGTGATCCCTTGGAGGAATCGGCTGCGCACTCAGTCTTCAACTTTTGTCAAAGGGTATATTCATCTTGCTGCGCTATATCGATGATAGAGTATCTGACGGTCACTATCTCCAGGCTACCGAGTCTTTGCGATCGTGCTGTCCGCACATAAGCTTGGGTTTTGGGTCGGATCCTTCGACCCAAGTTGGGTCATGCGCAAGTCTAATCGCGAACTCCTATCTGCCAAGAATGCCAATCTCTCTCAAGTTCCCCAACGCTCAGCGGAATTTACCGTCTGCTGATTCTCTCCGGTGGGGTGCTAAAATAAATCAGAGAGCTCTATCGAATAGCCTCTAAGGACCTCCGGGGACAGCATGAATACCCCAAAAGAGGGGGAGCCCCACCGTTATCTCTGCCAATTTGGGGTTTGGAGTTCAGGCACGACAGCCTCGGAAGGTCGAAGAGAAGCCAAGATAATCACCTTGGCAGTGTTTATTTATTTAAGAACTGCCCCTACCATTCAAGTTATTTACAGCATTGGATCAACTGAATCATGGCTTTGGGCTTGGGTTCCTGCCTGTGGCGTGTTTCCGCCTCTATAATTCTTCTCATCGCTACCTCAGCCACAGCAGAGACTATCGATGATGGCAAGCTGTTCACAGTCAATGGGATCAGCTATTATGGTGGAGGCACAGCTGTCTCCAAAATTGTGACCTCTGCAGACTTCAATGCCACCCAATTCAGCGCGGATATTGTTCCTATTACTATTATTCGAACGGGTGATGCGGTTTTCACAGAGTCCCTCTTAAAAGATACTATCTCAAATTATTCCGCCTCCGATGATGTGTTTCAGACTGGCTTCCTTCAGTGTAAGTTCGAATCGAGCGCCTCGTCCTCCCAACTGGGTTGGACTGACCTTCAAAAACAGCCGTGTTTCTGCTCTACGACGGAGACGGTCGGAGCAAAGCTGATGCCTCAAGCCACCAAACTCTACAAAAGCTTGGAAGCAAGGTCATACTGGCCTCACCTCCCTATAAGCCCGAAGCGCATCTTACACCTGCCAAGCTGTCGCATGACCTACCCAAGGGACCTTACTTCTTTTCTCCCCAAACTGGAGAGGTTTATCAAGCTTTCCGTCTCTATTCCGACCACCAAGTTGCTTTCACTGAAGCTGCCCTGAGTGACGGCAAGGGGGGATTCAAGCCTCTGCCAGCAGCGGCATCGGTGAGTATTTTGTAGCAAACTTTGTGTTATCTGAAGCTAAATGGATCTAGGGAGCAATGACCAAGAGTGTGGCTGTTCCATCTCGGCTTTACTATACACCCACTTCCAAGAAGCCACTTGCAGGAGTGAGACAAAGTCATAAATCATAGGTTGGCCTTCTTGCTGACAGGCTTTAGTTACGTTTGGGTGTCAAGGATATTTACCACATCAAGGGACTCCGGACTAGTGCGGGTAACAGAGCCTACTATGATCTGTACTCGCCGCAAAATGCTACGGGTCCCGCAATTCAACGCTTGATCGATCAAGGTGCTATAATGGTTGGAAAGATGGGTACTGTTCAATTTGCGAACGGTGACAACCCCACTGCTGATTGGGTCGACTTCCACTGTCCCTTCAACCCGAGAGTAAGTCTCTTCATTCATGCACGGGAACTTATACTAATATCTCTCAGGGTGATGGCTACCAGGCTCCTGGCGGCTCATCGTCAGGGCCAGGCGCCGGTATTGGTTCTTACGGCTGGCTAGATATCGCTGTGGGAAGTGACACCGGTGGTTCCATGCGCAGCCCCGGAGGCATGCAAGGACTTTTCGCCAACCGTCCTTCTACCGGCGCAGTCTCTTTGGATGATGTTATCCCCTTGTGCCACGCACTCGACACAGCTGGTGTCTTCTCGCGCGATGCCGCGACTTGGTCCAAGGTCATTCATGCTTGGTACCAGAACTTCACCGACTACAAGCAATATCCCAAGAAGATATTTCACCAGGACTCTTCATTCCCCGCCGTAAACACCTCGGCTGGTGCAATGCTCGAAGATTTTGTTGTCAAGGTTGAGGATTTCCTCTCCACAAAACGTGAGCATGTGAACATTTCTTCGCAATGGGAGAAGACCCGTCCTGAAACAACACCTGCCGGTATCAATGACGTTTTGAATACAGTGAGTTCCGCAACTTCGAGACTGCATCGGCGAGTACTAATCAGCGACAACAGACATACGCATTCCTGACCTCCGTTGACCAATACCGTTCCCTTGCACAGCCATTCTACGAAGACTACGCAAAGAAGCACCAAGGTCGCCGACCCTTCATCAACCCAGGGCCTCTAGCCCGCTGGACTTGGGGCCAGAGCAATGGTGGCAATGCCGCCTTTGACGAAGCGATGAAGAACAAGACCATTTTCAAAAACTGGTGGGAAACCGAAGGATACGGCAAGGCAGACAAGGAGACTTGTTCCGAGGGAATCTACCTCTACCCTTATACAAAGGGAGACACACAGTACCGTAATGTCTATTTTAGGTGAGTCATGAAAGTAGCCTAATATTGAAATAGTTCATAGCTAACTTCCACAGTGCCCCGACCGCACCCCCTCTGGGCTTCTCGAATGGCCGTATCGCTGTCCTGGCAGGGACCCCTGATATGGTCGTTCCTGTTGGTGAAGTTGCTTATAACTCTACTATTTCGCTTAAAGAAGAGTACATGCCTGTTACTATGAGCTTCGGTGCTGCCAGGGGCTGTGACTTTATGTTGGTGAACCTCATTGAGGATCTCCAGAAAGCTGGCATTGTGCGGCCTGTCAGTACTGGGTCCATGATGTATCCTTCCTAGGTGAAGACTTTCAGGGGGATTAGATCTCATCTTCATGAGAATAGATATCTAGATGATTTCAAGGGTAAATAGAATCGAACCTCATTTCTGTCGTGCAATTCATCGCTGAAATATATCACCTTCAATTTCTCGATGAATCCCTTAGATCATAGTACAAAAAGGCTCTGTTTGGGTTTGATGGTGTGGAACTAATACAAGAAAACCAAAGGTAAAAGTATCCAACGAATGTACAACCGAGCGCCGCACCCACCTAGTATATTGACTCTTATTTTATTGTTTTCTCAATTACAACCCGAATCGAATGAAACTGAAGTTAATTAAGTCTAATTGCATCCGTCGTCTATCTGTTATTGCTGACTTAATATGCTAGGGCATCGGTAAAGGATTGGTAGGGTGAAACTAGGATTTTATGAAGACCGTCCCTTTGAAACTGACATTTAGAGGCAACACCCCAACCCTTTGCGTTTATAGCCTCAACAGCTATCACCTATTCTCGATTTCCGGTTTGCAATAATGATCTCCGTCCCTATAATGTTTTCGTAACAGTTTTAGCGGTAATAGTTATACCGAGCGCGAATCCAGTTTTGTCGATGTTGTATATGTCGTTATCCGCAATGCTATACTTCTCGAACGTGCTTCTAACGCAATTGAACTATTTAATATAAGATTATAATCCTTATACTAAGCTCTCCGATAATCGTACGCACGTGAGAATTGAGTTGTAAGCTTATTATACCATTTAACCAAATTGTAGACCTAATGTATGCCGACCGTAAGAGGGGGGTCAATATCGCGAGCTTGTAGCAGCAAATTAGCTACCTCTCGTACAATATTTGGCCGAGACGCTGTTCCGCGCTTATCCTAAGAGATGATCCAATTCTTAAGAGATCCCTATTCTACATCAGTCAATTTTTGGCTATTTGGATGAGTTTCAGCGCGACATTTCACCCCGGATAGGCGGCGGCGGCGCGGTCGATCAAGTATATTGTAATCGCGCGCCTATTGACATAGAGAGCCTCTTTCTTCATTTTGAAAAGACTTCGTAGCTAGTAGGCTTCTAGAATCTTCCTCTGTGCATTTTTGCAAATTTTGAGTACGAATTGGAGGCATGATGGGTGGATGAAAATAGAGGGTTGGAATGAAACGCGAGAGTTACGCGTGGGCGCGGCGCTCGCTTGTACGTTACGTTGTACCATTCTACCTCTAGGTAGCACCTTGGTTCAACCCGATCCTTTCAAGCCAATTTCTAACAATAATGTCCTCTATGTTTCCAGAGTAAATTGGGTCCATCGTCAATGAACGACGAGAAAGCCAGAAACCCAACTCAATCACAGTGGATAGATGAATTTCAAGTTCTCTCGATCCGTCTTATCAAGATCACGAGCACCAATTTTAACAACTTGATGGCCTGTATCGATCACTTCATCCCCCTCTGATTCTGTATCGTTCTCCAAAAGAAGACTTTCTCTGCGTCTATTCTCGCGCTGGAGATAGAATCGAATAATTATGCACATCACGGGCGAAATGAACCAGAAGGCAGTCATAAATGCCCAAGGGAGAACATAGTGTGGCTTGTACTTTGACTGCCAGAACCTAGTTTCTTGACGTTAGCAGTTGACTATACAAAGGCGGAGGGATAGAGGCTGCTCACTCTGGCGATATCATATTGGCAATAGAAGCAGCCACAATACACGAGGTCATCAAGCATAACTTCTTGGTGTGCCCTGTTGTAGTTGTTCCAGCCCAGCTGAGACCGAGAAGATAGGAAGGCTTGAAGGTGGAAATCTGTGTGCCCACTACTAGAGCTACCTTGTTTGACCAGGGAGATGCCAACTAGAAGTAGGGGTTAGCCTAGATGAGAGATAATAGAGATACTGGACTTACCTCAATGATACCCCCAACAAAGCAGGGGATGTAGGAGATAGCACACGTATAACCTGTTCCAAGTCGGGTACTATACAGTAAGGTGGCTGATCCAAGGATCAGGATCAATCCCCAGAGTGGCTTGATGATATTAAACAAGGCACTTTCGGCAGGGGTAAATCCAAAACCGACCACTATAAGTGGTAGTTGTTGCGAGGTGTTATTAGGAAGTTCATTGAAGAACATGTGGAAGCTAATAGTCCAATTAGTATAGTTCGCAGACGAAGGGAGAGTGTCTTACATGAACAACCAGCTCTTCAAATCAGTAAAGGATTCTCGCACTTGTGACCACTTGAACGTCGAGTTCGTGATACCAGCATGCGTCTGGCGTATAATTTGAATAGTGTGAACCTTCTCCTCAATTGAGAGCCACTTTGCATCCAGTGGAGAATTTGGCAGGAAGATGAGAAGAGGAACAAAGATGGCAAAAGTCAGAACTGCGCAAATGATATGAAGCCATTTCCACGAGTTGATGCTTCCAGCTAGCAACCCCGTATTATCATCAATGATGAGCTTGTAGGCGATCATTGTCAGCATGACATTTGCCATACTTCCAAAGGCCCACCATAATAGTTGCACCCAAGGACTTTTCTTGGGGGGGAAGAAGGCCTGGTGAAGGATTGCTGTCGATGGTACGATCTGCGATTCGGTCTACTTGAATTAGCCATATCTGTCATTATCAAAAATTCTTTCATCGCAAACTCACCATTCCCAACAAGAATCGCACTGCCATCATCTGTTTCCCTGTTTTCACCGCTGGGTGAACACCTAACAATAAAGCCCAGAGGAACAGCGAGCCCGTAATGAAGTGCTTGTGTCCAACCCGCTGTGAAATCCACGCACCAGGCCAAAGGGCAACAAGATAGCCAGCATAAAACAAGACAAAAAGATCATTGTACTCATTTTTAGACATTTGCACGTCTTTGAAAATACCCATTGTGCTAGCCTGGGAAAGAGTCGACTTGTCAAGGTGAATAAGGAAGGAAATCCACCATGTCTGACTGAGAAGACACCAGAAGTTCTTGCGGACAAGCTTTCCTTCTGCTTCTGGCGTCAATGGTCTGACCTTGTCTTTGTTTGTGTTATAGAAAAGTGTCGTATCATCCGCATCTCGCTCGTCTACAACGTGCGGATCATGTGGAGGGTCGTTGGATGTTCCTGTTTGAACCTTCGTCTCATTCTTTGCGTTTGGAGGAACTCCGGCCGAGTCGACAATAGCTGCTGTCTTTTCGTCGAACATCTTGAGATGCCTCACGTAAATAAGTATTGTAAACTAATATGGCTATGAGAGATTTCGCTCCAGTATCTTATACTCTATGCTGCTGCGTATAATCGGAGAAGTCCGATATCAGACTAAGCTTTCTCCAAGGTTCCCAAAGACCCCTGTCAGTTTGAGTTTTACTTCGCATACTGCGGCTGATGTTGATCTACAATTCTGTTTTCAGACTTTCCGAATTGTTATTGATTGTCCTGTGATGGCACCTTGAGAGCCAGCACCTCATCAGCCAAGACACGGCTGCCTCATGGCCCGCTCTTGGCCTGCGCTGCCAAGAAATCTTGGTTGCATTGGAGGACCTTGAGAGTGCAAGTTGTTTGAGACTTCGTCACTTGAGAGGGTGGCAATATAGATTCCTGTAACTACAGCCAAGAGGGGTATATCAATGTTGGTAATTACTATTTCTTCCCGTGGTGCGGCCGCACATGTCGATCTTCTATGTGTATAACTATATCAAATTTGAAAAAGAATATCTGTATGAGCGAATAAATTCAAATCTAGATGTGCGAGATGTTTCTCGGTCCGTCGGGGCCCTCTTCGAGTCCATTCCTTCGTGGAGCATCGGGGCGCCAGCGCCAGAACTCTCGCATGAAAGATGAGCTTTGGTCTCCTTTCTCCAATATATCCGCGGCATGCTGCGAAGTTCCGTTAGTAAGTCTCTCATCATTACAATAGACGATCTCCGTACTTGTCCCAGAACCGGTAAGAATTTGGCACCATGTCCACTACCTCCTGTGCAAACAAATACAGAATTTTCTGAAAACGTCGGTACGTTGTCAATCTATTATATTCGGAGATTAGCAAACAGAATAGTTGAGTATTATCATAACACCTTACCACAAAGGAATTATCTAGTGAATCGGTGTACCAGCAGAGCTTTGTAGAGAAAAATGGAGTACCATCAAATTCCGGCAGAAATATAGACACAAATTGTTTTATTGAGTAGATGGCCGCCTCTGGTATTACCGAGCACTCTTCCACTGGGAGTGGAACCGACCATTTCCCGTTCTGGGTGAATGGGGTGTTTTCCGGTGCTGGCTGGAAATTAGTCCACTATAGATCCGGTCAGCTAAGTCAAGAGAAGAACAATGATCTGCTGATACCTTGATACCACGGTAACCTATTTTTACCAAGCCTTCTGGAGTTCTTGGTAGAACATAAATACTACCTGTATCCTTGCCAGAATTATCGCGAGGTACGCTCTTCCAAGTCATGACGGGGAATCGCTCTGGCGAATATTTCTCCCATAGCGCGGTGTTACTCCTATCAATCTTGAAAGTAGCAAGGCTTCCTGCAGAAGACTCGAGATGGTAGCTCAACTCGGGTAGAATTTGTGTCGAGAATGAGCCAGCTCCACGGAAGTCAGCATCATAACAATTGAGAGATGTTCGGCGACTTACCAGCCACAACAACGACATCAGCATCATGTATAATGCCGCTCTTAGTCTTGAGCCCTGTCACTTTTTCTTGGCCTGGGCTGAGGCTGCTTTTCAACTTGACTAACGAGTCAATCGCCCCCTCAGGGCCAAGGTAGAACTTGACACCTTTGTCGGCAGCGACCTTTTGATAATGGGCACAGGCATGACTACATCGGATAAATCCAGCAGTTGAATCCAGAACTGTTTCGTAAGACCTTCCAGGGGAACCTGGAATCTGGAAGTCAAGTATCTTCTCTTTCCAACCCAATTTTTCGGCGCGCTGAGAATCCGCCGGGTCACTCTTGACAAACTGGGTGTTTCGAAGACCATCACGCTCCATGTTCGCGAGAGTTTCCTTCTCTAGGGTAGCCAAATGGTCCGATGGCTGGATACGAAGCATCCCACTATCAATGAAAATCCTATCATCGCTTCCATTGCCGTGCTCCGAGAAACCTCGCTTCTCGTCTTCGGCAACCCATGCCTTGCGGCTCTCAAAAGCGAGACGCTGATAGTGAATCTCTTTCCCGTATGATGCGCGGAACTATTTCTCTTGGTCAGTAATGACTTCTTTCTCATTGTTCCTCACATACAATCTTGTTGTGATCAGCGGAGGCAGCCTGAACATCATCCGATGCGGGGTCATATCCATTCGCATCATACTGGCTTCGGTCGAAGACGGTCACTTCATAGTCTGCAAAATGGTCAGTCGGTGTATTCATACATATAGGGCCATGCTTACTCTTGTCTCGCAGCGCAATGGCAAGAGAAAGTCCGAAAATACCGGCTAGAATGGTGGTCAGTACATATGGTGCTATCAAAGATAAGTACTCTTGCCTCCGATAATGGCAACTGACTTGGGCGCTGTCATTCTGGTGACTCTCGAATTATAGTGATGAAGATGGAATATATGGATGGTGATGCTGAACTTATACTGGCAGGTGGAGTGGACATCCCCGCAAAGCCAAGCTCCGATTTCCACGGGGTCCCCGATATCACTTCAACATATGATATCTCATTAGAGTGACTTTTTTTCTCCTCAAATTTGCTCTCCCAATCTGTTATTATTAAGTCGGATGTCTGGTTACGCCGAAACTGATTGTAGTCTCAGTATCCCGTATCGGTCAGTCAGATAATCACTTGCATTAAGATTAAGGCAATTCATTTCGTAGTCAAAGGGTCGGTCATTTTTATAATAACATTTCTTTTCGCCTTCTCTTATTCTCTTATGGGAACTTATCTCATTTATTGGCTTCATGGGAGGCTTGATCGGTGATAGGATACGCGCGCATAGCGATGCTCAGACAGATACAGATCTTTAGTATAAAAGCGATCTATTTGCTTTGCGCGATAAGTCTGCATTTCAATTGGCTGGAACTATCTTTACTTTTATATGAAACGTAGGCTTCTATAGCTAAATTCATGATACGGCAACTAACAGTCGGATGGTTGTGAAGGCTGCAGACCAAAGTAGAGGGTCATAGAATTAAGGCTTGTTTCAGCTACCAATTTCCTTAAGTATCAGCCAGGTTTTCTGTGCGAATTTTGTTTTGCGTGGAACGGTGTTTCCCCTGTTCACCCAGTGGTCATCCTAGGTGGATGCAACGGACCTTGCGGGGTTTATTTCCATGGATAGGGTGAAGCCGATCTACATAAAGGTGAATCAAGGAAAGTCGAAGAAATCAGAAGATTCAGGAGGCACACTAGTACTGCATGATTCATGAGTTTGAGCTTTATAGAGCGATCCCGGCAGGATTTATTACCTTCGCTCATATAGTCTATATCAACCTTTATCAATTCTTTTATGGACCTGAACATCGACCAAGATCCATACAAGTCAATAATTGAGGGTGGTCAGAATCTAATAAATTCCACAGATCCTTGAGCCGGTTCACATGGTGCAAATTGTCGGATTTGCCGACCTTGTGCAGATTTTAGAGTATACTCGGCCCGTATACATCTGCGGCAGAGAGATCCCCTCAACATAGGGGTCTAATATCCGAAAAACCTTAAAACTCTGTAATTTGCTCGTCTATTCTCTCCTATATTAAAATACGAGAGTAAAATCTAGGATTTCAACCAATCTGAGCGGGATCGCGGTCCCCGAAATGAAGTCTCCACCCCAGTGCACAGATCGCTCAACTACTTGATCAAAATCCAGAAACCAGACGGCTGGGACTGTTCCACTTGGGGCTACTAAGCTTGCTAAGCTCTGCGACGTGAGAACGGGCCGCTACATCCAAAATTGAGTCCGAAACTGCTTCATTTCTCCTCGGGGTCAAGGGTGGATTAGTGAGATTTAGATTGCACTCTATTTCGATCGACACGATAGTTTGTTCTCTTCTTCACTTGCGTACACTAGAATATGCTCGTGGACCATTTTTCTGAATCAGGGGTTCGGTGGCGGTTCACTACCATTGCGCAGGTGGTGCTCCACCTGCGGCTGGTCGGGTTCTGCAGATGTTGTGCCGAATGTTACATTTGGTCGTTTTGCTAACACTTGAAAAAGCTTGATGTTTTACGCCGTAGTCTCAGTCTGATGAACACTTAAATATCAAAGTATTTGGGCTGGACATAAAATTAATTCATATATTAGAAAGGTCCGTCAGTGGAGTTGGGAATACCCGAGGAAGTAGATAGGGTACATGATTATATACAAAATCGTAAAAGGAAAGATGATGGTCATAGGCAAGATATCCGAAATTCAGCTGTTGCGGCGCTCAGTGTGTTCATCAGACTCATATGCAGAGGCAGGCTCGTGTGAGATCTCAATCGTTGTTTCTTGAACCACACCGCCAAAGTTGGACATTTCCACGCCGTTCTTGGGGACGATATCATCGGTCGAGTCATCAAAGGGACTGGTCTCTTTGGCATCGGGATGCGAAGTTGGGCGGAATCGGGAGCCAAAGCGAGATCTTCCTTTGCCGCGGTATCCCTTGCTGCGCGGCTTCGATGATCCACCAGCGTTGGTAGTAATGTTGGTCTGCCACTGCGAGTCAGTGTTGTCGTAGTTGCGGTCGGTTGTGCTGCGCTCGGTGTCGATGAGCAGATGGCGACGGGTCAAGGTGTAGACCATCACATCGATGAAACCAGACAAGGCCATCAAGCAACCGGCCACACCGAAGTAGGTCTTGCTGGGTGCACTACCACGTGCAGTGGCCATACGACCGGCTGCAAGCGGCAAAGACAGGACGAGATACACCAGAGGGTAAACGACCATGTAGATAACGACTCGGTTGAGACGGGCCAGACTTTCTTGTTGACCACGGCGCAGTTGTTTCGCTTGTTGCATACGACGTCGGAGGTGGAAGAACATGATAGCATAGAGGACGACGGTGCCAAATTCGGAGACAAAAATCCAGAAGTAGTGACCCCAGAGACGTTCGTTTTCATACTCGGGACTCAGCCAGCACTATCAACGAGTCAGTATATTGAACACCAAGAGCGGTATATGGCAGGATGTACCCAGTTGGCCTCGGAGACCACAAAAACATCTTTTCCGTATAGACCGACAGGAATGATTCCTAGAATCAAGATAAAAGCCCAAAGTCCGACCACACACCAGATAAAGGTCTGGAATGACACTTGACGACCACGCAGAACGACTGCACCGGTATGGATAGCAATAGACAAGACAAACAATCCACTGCCAGGATCACCTGTCTGAATCCACCATCCTTGCAGGTAGCAGGCAGCTTCACCAAATTTGACACTGCCCACAGATACCCAGTAGAGAGATATCAAGAAAGCGATAGATTGTTGCAAGTCGACAAGAAGCAAGTTATAAATCAGCACGACATACTGGTTCTTGGCGAGCGGGCTTTTGTAGTATCGTTGCCAGTAGATGAATCGGTAGGTCAAGAAGGTAAGTAGAAAAAGAGAGGACACCAGGGAGATCAGAGCAATGACTCCCATGACAATAAAGAGCGAACGGTCGGAACCCAACAGCGGAACTTCCTCGCGGAACTCCCATTTGCGAGGAACGAGGCCATGATCCGACGTTAGGGAGCGTAGAACGTGGGAAAACATGATGAATCCGTGCAAAAAAGATTGATAAAAGCAAGGGGTCCAAGGTATAAGAATATCCTAACAGGATCCGGGGGGAGAGCATAGATGCGCTCCACTCTGCCAAGCCGAGCGAAATGCTTAGGAGATCACTGGCAGCGGACTTCCACGATCCCACACAATAGTCCACACTAGTCCCATTTATGGAGCAAAGACTGTATACTCCATTTGGCAAATCATCCAGGTTGGAAGGGGGTGGAGTTGGAACACTCCTCGCACACTGGTTCATACCGAGCCCTAACAAAGTCGAAACTTCCACTCTCATTTAAACTTTGCGCTGCTGATCGACATCGGAAGTTAACAATCAAGAATTGAAGCGGACTTTACCTCAAGCGCCACTGTTCGAGCCAGGGGCTTAGCCCGTGTTGACTAGATCTTTCACTGGTTCGCCTGCGCCCGAGGCTGCCATTGACGAGCCAAGTGGGTTGGCTAGTTGGGCCCTTCGTATTTGACGCGACCTAGCCCACAAGTGGACGGAATTGCCAGCGCTTGGTCTTGGGGGTAATCCGAGCTGCTCGCATTGTCAATGGCCTAACCTCGTGGGGCATCACAGGTGTTGGAGTCGTGAACTTTCATGATCGCTGCTCCAACCCGAGCCATTGGAGCACCTCAATGCAATGTCGATCAAACGATCCTGCATTTGAAGATACGAACGTGTCTTTGGAAAGCACATCCAAGAGTTTGACAGCGAATATACCGCTGTGGACATAGCCCCGACTCCGCTGTCTAGGGGATCCCCCTATTTAGAATCTTATATGCACTCGTTCTTGTGAATTTTATGTACGTCGTCATTTTTCAGGGGCGCGCGCGTTGGGATGATCAGGAGAAGTGAAGATCAAAGATTAGGCCAATATCATGACAAGTCGGGGAAGTGAGTCAGTAGGAAGCGAGCAAACATTCAACTACAGCATGTTGTCTTTGGTCAAGAGTCATAGTTCCAGTTCTTTCTTCAACAAATACGTCTCCGTGGCGCAATTGGTTAGCGCGTCTGACTGTTAATCAGGAGGTTGGAAGTTCGAGCCTTCCCGGGGACGTCTCTTTTTGTTCTTGTTTTATCTCTACGTTATATATGCATAATATATTTATTGTATTTGTTTGATTCTTTCTTTTTGGAAATACTTGTTTTCTCTATTTATCTTGCTCGCTTTAATCTTATTTTGTCTTAGATTAAGATGGAAATACAATGCGGCTGTGATGCTATTTTGGTTCATATCTAAATGCAACCTCAACTGCGGCCACCCATCTATACTGTAGCATCGTAGCATAGGTCGATCTTCTCTGTTTAGGATGTTAGGCATTCATAGCTCATATAGAAATAGCATCTTGCATGTATGTCTCAGTCTTGCCCGCATCTTCCTGGTCAACCCCACACTGATCTTCCGCCTCATTGCACCGGTTTCGCAAAGCATCTACTACGGAAGTATCGGGTGATGGTGGACCCGAGATGAAAGCCTCTTATTTGAGTGTCAGGTGGATGTCTCTAAGACCTGCACCGGGTACAGACGGTGGTGATGGTAGGAAGTAGAATCATACTTGGCGGGAGGCCTGGTGGTCCAGATATATAAACCACCATGTGAGGTACTCAGAACTATACAATCCAGCAAAGCATTTGATTGTCTTCAAACAAACAAAACCAACCGTTTACTATATCATCACCATGAAGTTTACTATTGCAATCACCTCCGCCTTCTTGGCAACCCTTCACCTCGCCGCCGCAGCTCCCACGGTGGCCGCCAGAGCGGAAACAGTCTCTGTTTCCTACGACCAACGATACGATGTTAGCGGATCCTCTCTAACAACCGTCTCTTGTTCAGACGGAGAAAATGGTTTAATCCCTCTTGGGTACACCGACTTTGGCTCTCTACCCAACTTCCCTAATATCGGTGGTGCCATTACCATTCCAGGATGGAACAGTCCTAACTGCGGCAAATGCTACCAGCTGCATTACTCCAACGGAAAATACGAAAACACCATCAATGTCCTTGCCATTGACGCCGCCCCGGGTGGTTTCAACATTGGCCTTCAGGCTATGAACACCCTGACCAATGGCCAGGCTGAACAGTTGGGCCGTGTTTCCGCCACCTACGTTGCGGTGGATGACAGTGCGTGCGGAATGTGATGACCGAATGTACATATGACACGAAAATAACGGAGCTGGAATGTCATGGGATAACTAGTGGAGAGTTGTGAATGTTTATCTAAATTGATCGATATATACAGTTTTGTTTTACATAGAAGGTTCAATCAAGCACCTCCAGCATTTCTTCTACACGGCCAAGTTTACTCCGGGGCTTGCCCTTTTCTTGACCACGTTCTTTCTCAGCGGCATCGATCTTCAACCAGTCCTTCCAGGATGTAGGCCGGAGACCGCGGCGTTCAGCCTCGGCCTTAACTCCATCCCAGCCGAGCCCACTGCCTTGTTCAGGTGCATGAAGCAAGGACTGAGACCCAGCACGCTTTGCTAAATCCTGGGCTAGGTTGTCGGCGGTAGTAAAGGCGTCGGTCATGGTTGAAGCGATTACTCCCGTAGGACCCCGCTTGACCCAACCAGCACAATATAAACCAGGCAAGGTGGAGATCTGAGATCCATCTGGTAGTTTCTCGGATGCTCCCTTACCTGAAAGACTTGTTACGCGACCGAAACCATCGTTCGGAATGATTCCGCGTTCGGCATCGAAGTCAATACCGAGATCCTCTAGCCCGGGGAGAGGAAGTGATTTATAGCCAACACTGCGGAAGAACACGCTGGCAGGGAGATTAACCTGCGCACGCTTTCCACTCGATAAGTGCTTGGGGAACACCTTCGAACTGGGGCTATGAGGATCGGAAGGATCGAGTTCATTGCGAGAAAATCTCGCATGAGACAGATGGTAAGGATACTCTGGGGACCAGCATAGTGAGTCGGGTGCAAGTAAAAAGTCTAAAGACCACGACTTGGGACATCCCCGAGGATCGTTGGCTGACCCCTTAGCCAAAAGCTGCATTAGACGCTTCTGCGCCCGGGGCAATGCCGAGACTACATCGTCGGGCGGAAAGACATCCTTCGGGATCGGATCGAATGAGACACCAGGAAGTTGAAGCATCTCACGGACCTCCTTGATGGTGAATGCAGCCTAAATTAAGGGAATCAGCAATTGGGATATAAATAGCCAGTCTAATTTGACTCACCTGGAGCGGTCCGCGACGCCCAACAACTCGCACTCGTTTAATGCGACTTGTAGCAAGCTTCTCGAGCGCATAGTCTGCGATATCGGTCTTACGGAGTGCATCGACATCCGAAAGAAGAATACGGGCAACGTCTAGTGCAACATTGCCCTGCCCGACAATCACAGCATCCTCCCCACTCGTTAGGTCGGGATCGAGATTCCGGTGTTCGGGGAGACCATTGTACCACCCTACGAAGGCGCGGGCGGAGTGTACGCTCTTCAGTGCTTGCTCGCCGGGAATTCCTAGCTCCTTATCCTTTGCGGCTCCGTAGGCGAACAGAATGGCATCGTAGTGAGGTTTGAGTGCGGAAAGCGGGAGATCGTTGCCGAGGTCGATATTCCCGACGAAGTTGAAGCGTGGAGAGGTGGCTACTTCTGTGAATTTATCCTCACAGTTCTATGAAGCTGTTAGCTTGGCTCTATACTTCAATATACGATCCGCTATCAAATTGCGGTGACCGTGACTCACCTTGACTTCGGGATGATCCGGCGCAACACCATACCGAGCAAGACCAAATGGCACGGGTAGCTTCTCATACATGTCAACTATTGCACCTTCGTGTTTAGCCAGCAGTCGATAGGCAGCGTAGAACCCTGCTGGGCCAGAGCCCACGATAGCAACACGAACTGGTCCGCCAGTTTGCGTGACATGGCTGTTGAAACGGCGCGGCGAAATGAACTGTGATACAAATTTCTTATGTCGTAGAGGCCTGTAGGCAGTCCGCGCAGTGCATTGAGCACATACGAAAGCCGTGTTCAAGCGCATGATGCATAGTTGGAGACCTCGCGGAGACGAGCGGAGATCAATCTGATAACGCACGTGATGTCGGTTGCCGGGCCGACTATCTTGTTGACTCGCAGCTACTCTCACCTGTCACATCTCAGTCACATTCCAGCCTTCTCCTACATTCCTATTCTTTTGCGCGTGGATGCCACGAGTGTCTTTGAGTTGCTACCATGGGGAGATCGTCGCCTCCATTCCTTTACGATCGTCCTTCTGCGTATAGCTTCTATGGACCGACCGACAAGGCCTTCAACCCGAAGGCGGCAACCGAGGCAAGCTGGACGAGTCCAGCTCCAAAGCCCAAACCAACAGGGCCATTGGTAAATGTGAATCGCCACCCTGATACGGTATGTGCGGTGTAGATATCGAATGTGGATTCTGCTAATGGTGGATGCAGTGGGGTTCCTTTAATACGGTCAGTTCATGGACTCCGATGAGCCCCTACACTAAGGATCGCGTCAAGTGGGCACGCATAGCCCAGATCACATTACGTGTCCTTACTCTCTTGGGAGCTCTTGGGTCCCTGTTCTGTTCAATTGTTATCACGGGAGCTGCGTTGACTGTCATTTGGATCATTCGCGTGGGCGTAAGTATATTTATTCCCTTTGACAGGAAGCTCCTCTGCTGACCTGGATATTAGCCAATTGTCTCTATCCTTCACACCATATATGGTATCTGCCACCATGCCCGCTCTCCCATTACACGACCTTCCGGTTCTCAAGCCGCGTACGGGCTATTTTCTTCAACCCTTGACTTGGGACTCATCGCATTTTACGTGTTTACCGCTTTCATGGCATATGGCGAGTGGACATCTAACGCATACAACTGGGGAACTATGTTCAAAAACAGCGACATCACTGTCAAGTTGTCCGAAACTACCTTCATTCTGGCTCTTGCCAATGGCGGACTTCACCTGATCTCATTCTTCATATGTATCTTCTTCGCAATTACCTTCCGCAAGATCTCTCGTCTACCACCTGATATGAATCCACTTGAAGACAACTTGACAGCGCGTCCTCGCAAGAGCAAGCACGGGAAGAAGGATACGGATGAGAAGCATCTCAGTCAATCTACCCTCAACTCCTCTATGGAGGATCCACTCATTGGACATCCTCGTAGTATGCCATTTATGCACACTCGCGAACAATCCCTCGGTGGTCAAACCATTCATGAAGGAATGGATATGAATAACTACCGGCAATCACAGCCTTCGTTCTATCAACACCGCCTCTCTCATCTTGAATCCCCCACTGAGCCTCACATGAATCCATCCAGCCCAGAGATGCTATTTCACCAAACCGAAAGCCAGCCGTATGATATTACATCCCCGACACCCCCACCCGCTCCTGAGTATCGAAATGTTGCCTCTCATGCCCCAGAAATCATTGATGCTACTGCTCAAATGCGTCACTTGTCGTCCCGGACTGCTGATAGATCGGATACTGTCAGTCCTTTGTCTGATAACTGGGTAGCGTACTCTGAACGCACTCATTCTCCGCTGAGCGAAGCTCAAAATGAGAACGAAAATACTCTTCGCCAGTCCTCCTCTGTTTACAGCCGTCGCAGCAACACATCTACTGGTAGTGGGATTCGTGATTGGTTTGCGTATGGTTCCAAGCCTGCTCCCAGCGTTGGAAGTGCTATCCCAGAAGATGTTCGAGGGGAATATGCTTCCCTCACTATGCACGAATACTATGGTAACGACGACAACCAGCGCGAGTTGGACGTAGGCGACCAGCGCATGGATATCTTCCCCGACCCCGAAGAGCACAATGATGATATGGATGATGAGCGCAATGGCTCTATTCCGTTCAACCCCCTCATGCTCAACCCACCCACCCCACAGCCTATTTTGACTGAAAAGCCCGAGAACACTGATCCCGTGAGACGCATTATTTTGAGCGACAACCCTAACTTGTCATACAATGAAAAGGCACAGCCAGTCACCGTTTCGCCCAAAAGTCCCAGCTCCCCTCCACCCCCCAGATTTTATGGTGAACTGGATGTTCCTGGCAAGCCCGGCCTGGACACAACCCGCGAGCCCAGCTATGACATTGTGAGGAAACCAACCAAGCTTACAAAGAAGCGCACCAAGAAGATGTCAGCGTACGAGGCTCTCAAGAAAGATGAGAGTGATGGTGAAGATGGATACGCACCCAGAGCTCTCAACGCCGCTGAAGGTGACCGTCAAGGCCGTGTCATCAGCAACTCTGGCGCAGACACCGCCAGACCTAGCATTGCAGCTGGCGTGGGCGCCTCCCTGTCTTCATATGGAAGCTACATCGCCGGTCTGGGCGTTGGCCGCCGCCGCGACGTCAGCGGCAAAGTCGCGGAAGAAGGTCGCAGCGAACCCATTCTCGAGGAGGTTCCTCCCGTTCCCCAGCACCAGACACCCGGCGTATCGCCAGTTCGGGCAGCTGGATGGGCCCGCTTTGCCGGACTTTGAATATCATATCACTTGTATTTCGAGGAGTTTATGGTTTGTCTTTATGAATGGCATGTAGCGACTGCTTATTTGGGGACTCTGATATCCCACTTTCATTGGTTCGATTTTCATGGAAATATGTTTGGGTACTGTTGGGTGTATTAACGTTATGGTTTTTTCATTATTGTTATATGTAGCTTCGGATCATTCAGCAATCCAATTGAACAATTTCGCATAACAATATTTGACCTTGTAGGAAGCATTAAACCCAAGGAGTAAGAATTAGATTCCCAGTCGCTAGTTTCTCTTGAAACGAGTTTAGTAGATTTATGTACAAGAAAAGATCAGTATGCTAGAGGCGTATGCTGCGTAAAAGGCGGTCTTTCGGCGCCAGTGGGGTATCATTTGTTCAAGTAGCCTGACTGGTGACAGCCAGGAGATATAGGTAGAAGTATAGTACGTAGATCTAACCAGTCTCAGCAAAAGATAGTTTAGATATCAAAAGATGAAAGGACAAGGCACATCACGAGGGCACACCCTCGTATTCCCAACCTTCAATAACACGTTTTCCGCGTCGCGAATTCCGACGGTTGGCATTGCACTTGACAAAGAAAGTCAAAGCCGTAATAATGAGAATAATGATACCGGCAATCGCAGCAACAAGCACAGTTTTGCGCTCGATTTGCTGCGGATCGGAGGCATAGGGACAAGCAGCCTTAGGGCCACCGGAAACCCAACAGGAAGTAACATCAATAGAATTAAAGTCGAGAAAGACCTCGCGCAGAACAGCGTCCGTAGAAGCGAGATTGATATCCTTTTCTGGCAAAGAAAGAAGATGTTTATGAAGATATTTGTTTTCGAGACCTGTGCGAGGTACAGCGAAGCTCGTTCCTTCTGGACATGTATCTGACACATTGGAGAAATATGTAGATGTGTCCGATAGAACCCAGGAGAAGGGCGAGTTGCCAATGCGACAGGCACCGCGCCGCTGTTCAGTGCAATTTGTAGACCGCCATTGACCGTCAGATGTGAGATCCATGATGGCACAGCGGTCATACTTTGGATCACCCTCACCACCACCACCATAAGTGGCATCGCGAGGCTCACCTAAGGCCCAGGCCCAAGATGTCGAAAGGGAAAAATTGCGGTAGTGTTCAACATTGGCGTCGGCAGTTTCACCAAAAAGAGTGGTGTTTAGTATTGGCGAAATACCACAGGATGTGATATCGGAGAGGGCATTTGATATAGATGCCATTGTATCATGTATGGGTAGACCACCCGGAATAGGTATACCATGGGTCATTGCCCATGATGAATTGGCCTGAGACACAGCTGTAGCTTTCGGTTCATACAGGCAGCCTGATGTGAGGGTGCCGTTGGTTGTGACGGAAAGATTCGCTGCAGATGTCAAGTATCCAGGAGGAAAGATCGAATCTTGATCCAGAGACCAGTCGTAGTCCGCCAGCTGAGGATCCACCGAGCCGTATTCGATAAATACCCGGTCACGCTTCGCCAGCTGGATGTACTTTGATGACGGCCAGCCATCCGGAGTGCTTTGTTCGCCTGCTTCATTCTCATGAACAGTGAAGTACTCAGTAATTGGCATGTAGCTCTGGTCAACCTTATACCAAGACTCATTCAAGTTGCTTCGGTCCGCTGCCAGCTGGACCGGGCTGTAGATAAAGTTCCTAAGGGCAGTTCCAAGTATGCTGCCTACTCGCTCATTTTCTGATGGCAATTGATCTCCAGTGACGGCAGAAGCCGGATAATCTGGTGCCGAGTCACTTGCCGCGACATGAAGATTGAGAACGAGATACGTCGTATATACCGTCAACCGCGAATTGGTGTCTTGGAAGTAACCCGCAAGTATCTGAGCCAACATGTATGGGTCCAGATCATCGGTGCATCTATACGGTCCTAGCTCGTAGAGGGTATTCCCATGTGAATCGTCAAAGCCGGTGATGGTCGCGGGCTCCGCATCAGCTGTTGAAGTCGTAGCGGCTGTAGTGACAGTCGAAGATTGTGAGGTACTGCTCACAGTAGATGTCTCCGAAGACACTATCACGTCGGCCTCAGTTGGAACAGAGACCGGACATAAGGACCAATTCCTACGGTCCGGCGACCAGTACAGGTCGAGACCAAGACGCCGGTATCCAATTGCTAGCAGATTCGACACACATTGCGCCGCCTCAGTTTTATCATATATGCCATTTCCAAAGCAGGCAGCCGACAGCGACACCGCGGGGTTCGTCACGAAATTGAGTGGGATTTGACCGGCGACATCGCGTTCACTCTGGCTGAATTAACACTGGGTTTGTGTATTGCATAAAGTTACTCACTAGTAGAACAGCTACCCAAGTAGCGTTTACCAAGGCGGCCGACGAGTCATATGTAACTGACATGGGGGCTCATAGTGAGTTGACACTTGATACATGATGTGACGAGGAAGAGCTGCGGGTCACCTGAGTCAATCTGGCCACTTCTCTTTCTTTCTTTCACCAAACTTTCCCCAACACAACCACTTCTTTCACTGCTTCTATTCCTCTTATTACCCAGTTTTAATCGCCTGTTTTATTCACTATGGCCGCGCCCGGCCCCAGTCCCCAGCAGATGGCGGCCATGCAGCAGCAGTTCGCCGCCGAAGCCGCCAAACGAGGGATGACGCCCGAACAGTTCGCCCAGAAGCAGCGCGAACAGCTCACTGCCGACGCCGAGAAGCTCGGCCTGACCACTGAGCAATATGTCGCACAGTTGCGGATGCGAGCAATGCAGCAACATCAGGCGCAGCAGCAAGCGCAGGCCCAGCAAGCTCAGCAACAGGGTGGACAACCCGGACAACAACAGCAACAGGGCCAGACACAAGCTCCCCAGCAACACCAACACACGACACAACAACAGGTTCCCGTAAACCCGAACAACCCTCCCGACCCAAAGGCGATTGCAGTCGCCAACTGGCTGCGGTCGCAGAACCTCAAGCCGCGTACATGTATCATGGACGGCCAGCGGAAGGACATGTTCAAGGGTAAGCAGAAATCCGAACTTGCGTCAGTGTAAATAAGACCGATCCAACTAATTGTGTCTCTACATATAGTCAAGCGAGCAATCCGTGCCATTGAGTCTCCCGCATACGCCAAAGCTGCCGCAAAGAAAAACTCCCTCCTACCTCCCGTGACAGACCGCGCCTCAGCAGAGAATGTATTCAAGCTCCTTCCACTGTCCTTGCTAGCTCTGCGAGTAAGCAAGGTCGACCCGCATGCTGGCCACAACCACGCCAAACCTAAGAACCGCACCAAGGGCCTGTGGACCGTCAAGATCGAGCAGCACCAGGAAACCGACCCTATGATGCACTACGTCTGGCTGTACGACGGCCCGCAATGGAAGCAGAAGGCCATGGCCGCCGCCGTTGTTGCTGGTATCTTCGCTGTTGTCCTCTTCCCACTCTGGCCCATCATGCTGCGCCAGGGTGTGTGGTACTTGAGTGTTGGCATGATGGGACTGCTCGGTCTCTTCTTCGCCATGTCAATCTTCCGTCTGATTCTGTTCTGCATTACCGTGTTCGCTGCTCCCCCCGGTCTCTGGCTATTCCCCAACCTTTTCGAGGATGTTGGATTCTTTGATAGCTTCAAGCCTCTATGGGGCTGGCAAGAGGTAAGCTCAGTTTTTCTCTCCAATAATGATCAGTAGAGCTAACCATTCATCTCATCTACAGACGAAGGAGAGCAAAAAAGCAGCCAAAAAGTCCAAGAAGACGGCCGCTCCCGCAGTCACCGAAGCCGCAGCACCCTCAGCAACGACTACCTCCGCAACCACCACCTCTGCCGAGCCAACCTCAACTCCCACTTCCGCAGTGAGACGAGATCTGAGTGCGCGGGTGGAGGAAGAGGCGGAGTAGTGTCTCTACCCCGAACAATGTTTAAGCTGTTGGATCGCATATGATCAAGGAAGCGGGTTTCAAAACTACTTTTCGCGAATATTCTATTTCACAGGATTCTCATGGCGTAGAAGGCATCCACGAATTGATTTCATTGCGCCTGATTTCATAATGGCTCCCACGTAGATCCAGCATGACCACGTGCGTCTATCGAGATTAAGCTTTACTATAAAATAGACCTTGTATGCTTTTTCTAGTACATCTTCATATGAAAAGCAGTACAAGATAGGTAGATATTAAAGCAGCGATAGTATTATAACAGGTCCTTACGTTCTATAAGTAATGCTAATCCCAATCACATTCCAAGATATAAAAAAAACAGGGTATATACAAATTTAAGGTCTTTGCCAATGGAAAAACATGCGAAGCGAAGAGAGAAGAGGAGTAATATGAACACAAAGGGGGTATCGTCTTGTGTAGTAGAGAAATTAAAATGGATGCGAAGGAAATAAACATGCAAGACTGTGTAGGATCCAATGCCGAGCGTCGCAAAATGCCAGATAAAACGGTAATAATAATAACAGCTGCGAAGTGAATATGAGAGAAGGAAACGAGGATATAGGGAGTGGTATCTCAGTGGTTTCATGAGAGATGACAGCGTAAGAGAAGGGACGTCGAAGTAAATGGACGTCGGGGGTATTTAGAGAGCGAAACGTCGTTTACGATATGTTATTATGAAAGGCATTCTTTATACTGGTGGTCCTTTAACCAGTTTCGAGTGCCGAACTTTCGCATGTGGTTTTGTTTGAGCTGTTGGGGCCCCAGGCTTGTTACCGCTTACTCGACAATCTTCAACATGGTCTCGCACTGGCTGGGATCCGTAGAACCGTTCCATCGGAGAAGTCGGAGACAAGGGCGATAACATCTGTGGCGATGAAACTGCAGCAGGAGCAGGAGCGGGGGTCGCTGCGGCAGTGCCAGCGGGATTCATAAGGGAAGGAAGCTTGGGAAGGGGACAATTGGGAGGCGGTGCAGCGGGTCCAATTGACAAGCCCAGGCCTGGCATGCTCTTGCGGCGGGATATGCTAAAGGGATGGTTATCGGGATACACAGTCGAGACTCTGTTGCGTGGCGCTGGATCAGCCGGGGGAGCAGCAGCAGGAGCAGTGGGAACGTGTGGCTCGCTACTAGCCTGAGGACTCATTCCCGGACGGCCGACTATGCTCGAAGGGCGAGAGGAAGCAGTCGGATCGGGCAGTGGTCCCGTCGGAGGTGGTGCTCGAGGCATGCGGGAAAAGATGGAGCTATTTTGGGTAGACCGCACCGTCCTTGCCAATGCATCTTCCGAGTTAGACACACGCAGAATACGCCTAGGTTCGGACGAATCCGTGTGACGCGAACTGGCAACGCTGAATGTTGGAGACTGTGGCGGAGAAGAGAATGTAGACATATTGGGATCGGCCTGATCAGCTCGGCGAGAGAACGCATTGCCTGACAGAGGCGGGGAAGCCTGGGAGGTTGACACTGGTCCACCTCTGGGTACGAATTTCTTGCTAAACGAGGGAACGCTGAAATTTGGCGCCGGGGGTGATGCACACCGGATCAGATTCTCAGGCACAGGCGGCGAAGGGGCTTGCCGGTCCTCCATCACGTCTTTTATGGGCAGAGGCGGCAGCGGAGACGTATACACAGACAGTCGAACTCCATGACTCGAAGACGGCGGACTGCGCGTAAGATGGCGCTCGGCCTCTTCAGGCAGAGGCTCATCAGATATGAAACCACCGTTTACCGGCGAGGTGGGAACGTTTGAAGTAAATGACGAGGAACGCAGATCAGAAACAGAGGAGATTCCGGATCCGTTCGCGGGATTTGTAGCTTCAGTTCGACTTGTCGATACAGATCCAGATCGAGACTCAATGATGGATCGGCGATTGACTGATACGTATGAACTACGGCGGGATTGCCAGGTCGTGCCACCGACAGATTGTCCATCATCCTCCTCAGTTGGAGATTGAAGCGTTTGTGGCTGAAGGAACAGACTGGAGATACGATGGGGGTCCTTCTTCACCATCTGTCTGATGCTCGACTTAGATCGCAATTGAGGTATCTCATCCTCAGAGTGCTTCTCCTGCGTGAGCTTCGGTCCTCCCCGTTTCTCAATCTCTTCCCTCACAGCTGTCAACCAACCGATCATTGCATCCGGGTTATCGAAGATGAGGAGGAAGCTGCCTGCAAAGCGTCGGGTATTAGATCGTGGGAAGCCAAATCGCGAGAAACGAGGCTTAGGAGGCTCAGGCACGATGGAATTTGGGTCCAACGAAGGGTTATGAGACACTTGAAGAACCCAATGTTTGCCCGGAATGGCATCACTGGCAAATGCGACAGAACTGGGACCCAACAGCAACATTTTCTCCGGGAGGCGATCGTGCTTTCCATCCCCTGCATACTGCAGGATGTACCCTGCAGTAGCCAGTACATAAATCTTCTGCATCCATTCCACCTTGTTGATGGTACCAGAAAGTGTCCTCAGGTGCTTTCTCTCTTTTTGTTCGCGCTTCTTACGAGCAGCATTGGCAGCCTCATCTTGTTCCAGCGCATTGACAGTGCCTCCATCGGTCGAGTTTTTCGCCTGCATCGCGTGCAAGCGCAAGATCGAGTCGGCGGAAAGCGCAGGCGCGGAGAGGGTGTCATGCTTGGTCGATTGGGGGTATGCTTGGAATAACGGGGGCGGTTTCCAGCCATATTGGTCCTGCTTGGATAAGTTTCCCTCCTGCGGTCTTGGACGGGCGGTCTTCAATGTCGCGCGAGGACGTTGGGCGGTCTTCGGAGAAGTAATCGTAGGGGCCGATTCAATCGTACGGGGACTCATCAGTGAGGGCGACATTGGCACCTCACTAAAGATGGCCGTCTGGGGTTCGGGTAGGGACTCGTCAACTTCCTCCAGCTTCGGCTCGGGAACGCGCGAAGATTTATCGCGACCAAAAAGATTGCGCAAACTTGTTTTGGAAGATTGCCTTTTTACCGTAACCGGACTTTGAAGCGGGACTGGGCCTTCTGAGCCATTGGTACTGGGGTAATCCGTCGGCCGCGGACGTTGCAGTCGTGACTGGGATTTCGAAGAAGCCGTTGGTCGGCTAAAATTGGTCTGCAGCGGAGCGAGCCGATGCCCTCTGCGCTCGCCAAAGGACTGAGCATCCGGATTCATGGCGTGCACCAGGAAGTTGGAAGTTCACTGAATTCTAGCATGGGAAAAGGAGCGAGGTTTAAGGCAATGATCATCGGAATGACGGAACGTGGGAAATCCTGCAGGACCGTTGTCCAAACGTCATGGCCTTGAAACTGACACAAATGAAGGACAACCCTTTCGGGAAAAACAAGTTGGAGGAGTTGAGGATTTGAAGATTTCAAGGGGAAATTCACAACCTGGCTAGCCCGGTGGGGGGGACTAATGTCGGGGTGATGGGTGATAGTACAGACAGGAATAGCTCAAAACATCGCCCCTTAAATATCCCACAAAACTGTAGATCATACACAAAGAAACATACGTAAAGATGTATCTCCACTGCCTCAAATTCGAGACTCGAAGGCCCTTCGAAATGGACAGGTCACTTCACTTTCCCTTCGCACAGTTTAATCCCTGACTGGGATCAACAGCCATCAGACCAGCGCCCTGCTCACAGTGCCGAGCCAAAGCCACATCCTTGGACGTAAAGCCCTGCGGGCGATGAGTGGTCCAGTGGACATCGACCGACCCGATCCGCTGCAGCGCGTCAGCCTTAATTTCCTTTCTATAGATGAACTTCACGTACCACAGTCATGGTGGGATGATGCTTCTTTGACGCACTCTCTGCAGCAATGAAGTTGACGAATGACTATCCTGTCAGCAGCATATCCTCGTCCACTGGGGCACACCTGCAACAACAGACAGGGCGCAAAAATAAGCAGGGAAAAAGCAAAACTCACCACTGCCTTGAAATAGGTCTTAAAGTGAAAGGTTTTCGTAATTCCCATCCCTTCTCCATCGAGGGCCCAACCCTGCTTCAGCAGAGCCTCGGCATCGCGACTTAGCTGCTGTGTGTCCTCGCCCTCGGCGAACTGAAGGGTGCTGCTCATCCGTGGGACGGGCTGCAGATGCAGACGTGGAGTGACCGACCGCAGTGGCCTGATAACTGATGGCCTACAGAGACGCATTGTTGACTGTAGATTCATGTTTAGTTGTGCTGAGGACTGAGTTGCATTCTGGAGGAACTGCGTACCTGAGGACGCACGGACCACCTTATCAGTGACATTGGCATCTATACCGTGTTGTATGGACTATTTCATATTGGACTGCTTTCTATATGCAGGATGTCTCTGACTGCTCTTTGTATGCTGAGTACCCACCCGTCAACGGTATACACCATTACGAGGCATCGAGCATCCTCACTTTCCAAGCACTAAATCTCCAGATCACCGATGGATATAACCAAACGAACCACATACTCCTATATTGGATAATTCAGCCATCCACCCCCTCTCTATATAGACGCAATCTACCACTCCAATAAAGAACAATCAACCCTTAATATCTACCCAACTCACAGGATTACATCCAAGACCAAAAGCCAAAGCCAAGCCACCCAAGTCCTGATGTGACCTGACCAAAGCCATGGCCTATGGTACTATAACATACATGACAAATCGAGAAAAGGAAGGGTGATATCGATCATGACAGTATCATCAAGTCAATTCTTCCGTCGAATCATTTACATCGGCTTCAATGACCATAGTTCATATCTCTGTATAGCAGTGCGGGATGGTGACCGGATGCGGATATCGAGAAACATAGACCTGGGGATCGATGCTACGCTATACCATCCCTTAGCCCCGGTATCATGTATCACTTCATACGAAGCCGGATCTGCGAGCCGGATCGTCGTGGGGATTCGACTGCCGGGTCCCCAGGTCGGTCTCCGCATTGTAGATCTTTTTGTAGGATATTACCGGGGGGGGGGGGGGGGATACCTTCATCTTTACTATATTGATATCTACATGATCTTGGGAAGAAAGTAAAAGAATGATTAATGTAAGTAATAATATTGATATAATTCATGACCGGTATCGCTGTCGTGAGAACCATAGTATACAACCCCCAGATCGTAAATCTCTTTCGAATCAAAGCAAACAATTAGTTTTAGCCCACGCCCGTGCTTCTATCGACAATCAGAGGTGATCTAGAGAGACCAGAAGTATTTCCACCGAGCGTCGGGAGAAAGAATTAAAGCCATTCACGCACAGCGTCAGGATCCATACCGCCAAAAACATGCACAAAGAGGAAAAGAGAAGTGGCATTTAGATCCCAGGTCAGTGACTTTGATACTATCGACCTGTGCAGGGTTCCATAGCGAAATCAAACAATTTTAAGCATTGGCGACGCTGTTACGGCGCGAGTTGGCCCGGGAATTGGCCTGCGAGTTCACTCGCGAGTTTCCACGGCTGCCCAGTGTCGGACGAATGCGGAGGTCTTGCTGAGAGCGAGCATATGAACTTGCGCGCGATTCCTCAGGAACCTTGGATCCTCGTCGGCTGGCAACCTGGGCGTGCACCTGGATGCGGGCATCCTCGAGCTGCTGGGCGAATGGAGAGCGCTTGCGGAGAGCCGGGCCCTTCCAGTAGATGATGTAGACTGCAACGACGAGTGGCACCGAGATACAGAACAGGATAGTTGAGGCATATTCGAGATGATATTTGCCACCAATGTCTGTCACATTCAATTAGTACAATATCGAAAGATCAATGCTTAAAACTTACTTTCAAAGAATGGTGTAGCCGGAATGGTAAGAACACCAGCAAGGAAGTCTCGAGACCATCCATTGCCACCAGTGGCAGACGCAGAGTACGGACCGTAGGCGCAAATCATGTAGTCGATAGTAGCCATGTAGATGGCATAGTTGGCAATACCAATGATCGCGGCAAAGATCATAGATCCAATCCAGTGGCATTGTGGCAAACTGGTCCAGGCAAAGCCAATCAGACCAATCGGGAGGCAGGGGGCGGTATACAACAACCACCACAGACGAGATTCATACTGAGCCCGCTCACTCTCAGGGTTGTCGCGACGTTCCTTGATGTTTCGCTTGATCACGGGAATGAAAGAGAACCAAGCGATGAAGTAGCCGATCACAATGGGAATGAACGCCAGACCCTTCTCCCAGGTGTTGAAGCCATACTGGCTGTACACGAGCGAGAGCGACTGAATGAACATGAAAATCAGAGCATCACTGAAACCACTCAGAAGAGAGAGAACCAGCACAATCGGCTCGGTCAGGAACATCTTGAATGGGCGAATCCATGTCATCATGAGTTCGCGAGGAGGGAAACGCTGGCGGAAGGACATGCCCTCGGTGGGACCGTAGATGTTAGGGTTCTCGCCGGACTTGCGCATCTTCTTGGCGATGCGGTCCATCATCACGGAGGTACGGGTTTCTGGGACCAAGACGAGGTGGGCGATTTGAACGAAACCGCCGAAGATCAACTGAATCCAGATGTTCCACCGCCAAGGCAAGAAAGCCTCGACAAAGCCTCCGACGACTGGACCCAAAACTGATCCGCCGACTGACGAGAAAACGACTGCGGCGACAGCATACTGTTGTGAATCCGGTTCCCACAAGTCTGCGATCATACCTAGAGTGACGGAACCACCAGCGGAAGAGAGACCACCCAGGGCACGACCGACCATGATGGAGGCGAAGTTGGGGGCGAGCGCCACAGGGAGCTGCCAGATGTTGACGAGAAGAAGCGAAGCCTGTAAGATTGGCTTGCGACCCAATTCCTCACTCCAGGGAGCCCAGAGCTCACAACCGAAAGCGTATAGAACCAAGAAGATCATGGCACCGCATCGTGCGGCCTGCATCGATACGCCAAATTCCTCCGAGATTCCGGAGAGGGCGTTGGAGTAGAGTGAAGTGTTGAAGTTCATGGAGACTTGCACCAAGAAAATGACGGTGATGATGGTCCACTTCTTAGTTTCGCTGAAGGAGTATCCCAGTTTGTCGTAGCACATATCCTCGGTGAGCTCAACCTGCTCCGACGGGGACGCCAGTTCCAACTGGTCATCTTCATCCTCTAACTTTTCAGTAGCGGCATTGACCACAGCCTGAGCATGTGCGGCCTCAGCGGCCTGGACCGTGTCCCTAGGCTTATCGAAAGCCATGATGGACAAAGAAGTATGGGGTAATAAGGTGTCACCAAGAAAACCTGGGGAAGACAAGGATGAGAAGAGAAGAAGAGAAAGAAGAAAAACAAGAGGGAAAGTAGGATGATTAAATACGGAAACAGCAAAGAGTCAAAAAGGAAGGTGCAGTGTACTTGTATGGTATTGGTATTGTACGGGATGCCGATTTGTTCCCCGTGTTTTCTCTCCAGATATTCTTCTCTTTCTTTCTTTTACATCCATCAGATACATCAGATACTTCTCAGATACATCTATTCTAGTTATTCTCATCCGTCTACACAGCTGATAGTTGCTTGCTCTTTCTGTTTTACCTGACTGAAATCACCGCATTGAGCCCACGGGGAAAGCCCGCAATGGGGTAGACCCACCCTGGAGAACTGATGACTGCAGCATTTCCCCGGAGACAACCCGAGGCCGATACTTGCCCAGGAATGTCCGAATCGGGTAGTCTGTTCAGGGCTCCCAATGCAACCTAGAGTCGACTCTTACCCATATGGTGCCCCACGATGCAAGGAGTATACAGCTATTGCCCCGTGTTTTTGATACAGAGGGGCCAAAGGACCTACTGGATCTACCTCTGACAGTACAAAACTCTGCCAAGTCCCTATTCGCTGGATACCTGCTTCGGCCTGTCCGTTGTGACGTCAAAGGCCGCCAAAGCGCCAGTTCGTGGATCAAACAGAATCCAGGCGCACGGCTACAGCGCCCCAAAGTCGCCATGGCGCCATTACGGGCGTGGCGTTCTGGCGTTCTGGCGATCGCCGTCTGGGCAGGGGCCACAAGTCTTGTTTTGATCTCGGACTGCGGTTACCTTCCCAGACAACATGATTCCGGCCCGATATTTGCCAAATTATCCCGTGGTCTCCCGACCTTCCTTTCCAGAATTGCGCATGGAAGGTTGACTGTCAACCACGAGAAAATCGTCGATCGCAATCCCTTGCTTTGCAGGGCCTCCCATACTTACGTGGACGAAGTTTCTTTCTTGTAATTCCTCCTTCCCTGATTCATTTCTTCCCTGGCCGACTGGAGCAAGAGACCACACTGAAGGTTTGACCGGTTCACCAAGTCACATCGCTCAGGGTGGACCCCATATACGTTGTCCGAAAACAACTATAACCGCAGGGGCTTCCCCCGGACTCGGCCTGGGGAATGCAAGGTTGCATTCCTGCACATGGCAAATCTCTCGCTAGAGGATCGACAAGATTGTATCCGAGGCCACGCGAGTGATGATCTTTCCGCGCGAGGATCAAGGGATGTTTACTCTGTTCGCATTTACAATGTTATAGAATCTAGAACATGAAGGTTTGGCGCCACCCGGAGGGTCCGGTGCCTTTTCCCTGTAAGTTTGCCAGTTAAACCTGCGCGCAACCAGGGCCTCCAATCGCAGGATGAAAAGATTTTTACTGTGGCTGAATCGACCCTGGTACGCCAAGTATGGCTCATGTTCCGGAACGGTGATCCACGGGCTCGAGTTAGGAACAGAATTGTACGTGAAGTCATACATGCTAGATAGTCGGGCGTAAAGATGGAATAGAGCAGTATACCAGTACACGAGTATACCAATGAGATGTTACACGTTCCGTACATCAATGTAGTTACTCGAGCACAGGACATGGTTTGCTGTTTGCTTGGTTTGCTTGGTTTGCTTAGTGTGCTAGGTTGTCTTGGCATTTATGCCTCAGGCACACAAGCACTAGTCCCAAAACAGCTGTAGATCATGTGACCGACCCCGCGAAAACAAGATGAGTCAGCAATCTCAAGATGGCCTGACGTACGTTGCAGCTTGGAGCTTGCCATCAACGCCATTCCAGATGTCTCCCGATCTCAACTCTCTGCCACCATCTCGCTCTTCCTCAACCTCATCCTCGATCCCATACCGCAACATGCCTTCCGCCTCACCAAATGCCCCGCCCGCAACGGCGAACACCACATCCCCCAGACCCTCCCGGGGATCGAGCATAGGCCGTTTATCGGTATCCGAGCGCCGTCGGTCAGCTGCCGGTATTAACCTAAACTTGAGTGAGATGCCGGCAAATAATGGCGACGCTGTCCCATCAGACCACCGCAGCTCCATCGGGCATGCATTCCGCACAACCAGCCCATCCAGCCATGGGAGCAGTCCTGTCTTCGCGACAGCTGATCCTCATCATCAGCGAGCACCATCACTGGGGGAGTTGCACCAGGAGTTGGAACAAGAGCAGGAAGCGCAAGTGGTAGGTCTTAATTATAGTGCAAGCACCATTGAAGTAGCTGAAAAGCTAAAACTCTACTCCACTAGAACCGTCTCTTGCAGATGATCCGCAGTCAGCAGACCCAACTGCAGCAGTACCAGCAGCAGAACCCACAGCAACCAAACACACAGTCAACGGCCATCGACGACACCCCATCATCGGAACGGTCGGCATTTCTGCCCCCAACACACGCACCCACCGGCCCAGCAGGAAACAGACTATCGATCTCTTCGTCATTCTCGAACCGTCGTCCCTCTCGCCCATCCAGCCAAGCAACCTCGCCCAATTTGCGGCCGCTTGACACCGGCGTGGAGGCATTCCCGGGGTTCAGCCCATCTCGGCGGGGAAGTCGGGACGAAAGTGCGTTTTACCAAGCTGAGGCTAGCTCACTTGGCCGAGAAAACATCCTCCTTCGGCAACGAATTCGGGAACTTGGTAAGATTATCAACTTAATCCCGCAATGTTCTTGCGGCTACCCCGCTCCGAAGTGGAGATTAATATGGACAACACTGACGCTGCGCAGAGAGACAAATTGGCGAAATGACAGCTTCGGCATCAACTAGATCTGGTGTTGTCGGGCAAGCGGGCCCCGAGGGGGACCCACCTGCCGTGAGATCAGCACGAGACGGTAAAGATTGAAACAAAACTCTCGTCTTGCATCCTTACAAGGCGATGATTGACACATCAGGCAACTTCATCTGTGATACAATACCATGACCAAGTCAGATCCTGTCACTCTATCACGCAATGTTGAATCTTGGCGCCTAGATTTTATGTAGGATCTCGAGTCTATTGCATTTCGCATTCGCTTTATCTGTCGCCAATGACAAGAGTGTTTGGACAACTTCCGAAATCCAGTGCAGAATCCTTCACGACAGACCGATGTGCTGGAAGTCTCATTTTCATGACAGTTTACAGTGGTCGGCTGATCCACTCGTTGTCGGATACATCTTGCTTTTCAGGTCTGGACAGTGTGAAATACCCTCGCGTGCATAATTTGTGGCATGTTGATGGACACTTCCAGTCCCTCGTGGCTATGTACAATTACAATGCAGTACAACAGTACAATAATCGATTTAGCGCGTTACCACGTTTGACAGACTTTTTTTTCGTGTAGCCTGATCGAAGGAAAAGGATTTCCGTTGAAAGTTCTAGACGATTGGTCACGGTAAAATCCAAGGATATGAATAGGGTTCTCTGAGAGACATGATACATAAGCTGCGAAAGCTAGGTTTAGGCTAATCTAAAGCAGACGAAGCTGCTGTCCATTTGAAAGAATCTCAAATACGCATAGAACTAATTAGCAATATATACCCTCAAGACCACTCACCAGAAAGACAAATATAAACCAATCTAAACGGAATCAAAAATATTCAATATTCAGCAAAGACAAAATCTTAATCACCAAAAATTGATAAGTTATATCTTCTATCGGAAAGGTACATATAGAAAGAACAAAATCCCCCAAACAAAAACCGGGTATATGCAAGCAAGACATTTACAGCTTCGGCTTCTCGGGCTGAGCGACCAAGTCAGGCATGAGGAGGTCGCGCAATTCAGTAGCGGCCTCATTGAGGTAGTGGCTCATGCGCTGGGCGCCGAGACGCTTGCAGACGATGTTGAAGTTAAGGCTGTGAAGGACTAAGTTAGCAATGCAATAAGATTACAGAGGGAGGTTAACTAACCTGTTCTCGTTGATCATGTAGGCAATTCCGAATCCATCATCAAGAACCTGACTCCAGCCGTATCCGTTGAAGTACTCAGAACTCAACTGCGAGGTGGACAGGTACCAAGAACTAGAGTAGGCGAAAGCAGGGTCCTGGTAGATCTCGGGCAGCTTCTCGCCAGGCTGGAGGAGCTTCTTCAAACCGAAGAGGTGACGGTCGACACCGTGGCCGGCGCTAGCCTCTTGAGTGTACTTGGTGTGCTGGGCAAGGGCAGCTCGGAACAACTTGACGACCTCCTCGCGGGGAGTGGTGTGATCCTGGTGGGCCTTGCAGAAGGCGACACTCTCGTCGGAGACAGAGCGAGTAGTCTCTGTACGGCCTTCGGCATACTTGCGGGTAGAGGCGGACTCGTAGGTGGGACGGTTCTTGCCGTACATCTTGAAGTAGGCGAGTTGGATGGTCATCTGGACGAAGGCGTCGGGGCTGCACTTGAACTTCTTGATCAGACCCTTACCGTAGCCCTGGTAGGCCTGGACGACCAGCTCGTGGGAGGCGATCTGCTTGCGGTGGTATTGGGCGGCGAAGTCGATGGCCTCATTGGACTCGTCGTTCAGCTTGAAGTTGATGGGCTTGGGGTCTGCCAGCTGGGAGCGGACAGACTGGGCGGAGAGATCGATCTTCTTGTTGAAGATGAGGTTGTTGACGTGGTCGTTCAGACGGTGGGTGGGGGTTCCATCCATCATACTGTGCTCACCCATGAATCCAGCGGTACCGTTGTCATTGACGATGAACTGGAGGGGCTTGTCGAACCAGCGGTTGGAGCCATCACCGTGCCAGTACTGCTGGGCGCGCTCCTGGAGGGTGACAGGCTTGGCATCATCCAAGCAGATGACGAAACCAGCGGACTCGATATCCTGGAGAGCGAGCTCGTTAGCCGCATCGGCAGCAACGAGCTTCTTACGAGCAGCAGTCCAGTGGTCACGATCAGCAACAGTCAAGACACCGACCGGCGGTGCAGGCTGCGCGATCTCATAGATACGCTCGAACTGCTTCTCCAGCTCAGAGACATTGAGCTGCTGACCATCAACAACAAGAGGAACCTTGAAGAACTGGTTCTTGCGCACAACAACAATGTGCTGGTTCTCCGCAGCAGGGTACTTGCGAGGGAAATCAGCCCCATCAGCAGGAATACGGCAGCAGTTGAACATATACTGGTAAGAGCTCATAGCCTGAGGTTCCTTACGCAAATACTCAGGCTCAAGGGAACCATCATCAACCTGCGCCTTGAACTCCAACGCAGCAGTAGTAATAGCAGCAGCCCGCTTAGCAGGGTTCCTTCGCTCCCGATCATCACGGTACGAATAGAAGTAAGAAACGTAAGGAATAACAGGATCCCGGTAACCGAGGTAAGCAGCCTGATTCCACCACTCAGCCAGCCAGTTCTTAATCTTAGGATCAGCAGCGCGAGCCAGCAAGCGCTCCTGCAAAGGCTCACCCTGACCACCAGGGCGGATGAAAGCCTCAACAGCGCTCTTGGTGCGCTGGTACTCGGCCTCGGAGACGACCGCGTGGACAGACTTCAGGTACCGACGACCGGTCTCTTCCAGGGACGGAACGGGGAGTCGAGGGAGGGAGTCTTCGAATCGGAGCATCTTGCCCTTGGAGAGATCCTCCTTGTATCCTGTGTACATAGCGTGTCAGCGATTGTCATCGTTATTGCGATCTCGACTCCGAGTGCAGGACGGGTGAGCGGAGGTCCGCGCTGCACCCAGCACGCATGTGACACTCACCCTCGGGGACGGATGAAGCTGCGCGGCGGGGGGCCATTGTGAGAGACTGTATAGAAGTCAATGAATTGATGCTAGGAGGAAACCCTAAGCTGAACGAAAAGCTGGGGAACTCTTCGGAGGAGGCCGACTTACCGAGCGGGCTAGGAGAGGGTTCGAAGGGAGCCGTTGCCGTGAGAGCGTTGAGAGACGGCTTCGCGCAGAAGCAGTGAACATCCCTGTGATAGTGAAAGTGATTTGGAAAAGATAAAAGAGAAGAAGCTGGACTTAAGGAGAGTGCAAGTACGGGCCAAGCCTGTGAGCCTCGGTTGGCGGGGAAGCCGGTAAAACACGGTATGGCCGTTACGGACGGGACCGAATTGATTCCCGAGGGAAACACTAGTCGAAGAATAGAAGTATAGAGGGTGTATTAGGCTATTCAGGGCTATTTACCATATAAAATCGAGTCTAACTATCCAGCTCTATCTATGTTGAACTGCTCAGTTCATCGCATTCACAACTGTATGTAATATATTCGGTATTACATACTCCACTCTGGGCCTCGGTTGATGATGTCGTCGATCGGTCACAAGGGATATCAGATCGAATATTGGACCAGTTCGACTTTTATATATCTAAGTGACAACGTCAAGTGTCAAGTGTCAATATAGAACTTAACTATACCTTAAATATTAGCCTCCGGTGACCCGGGCGATCAATGACGTGCGGGGGAACTTTCATTGGCAGTTACTTGGTACATGACAGCTACGTCGTATCACAGTTAGTACATAGGAGAAAGAGAGAGATTATGTAAATGAAGTACATCAAGATTACGCGCCACCCTTTCACCCGTCCCGTTGACCCGACGCAAACCAAAGAGGTATCAAGGGAGAAATATGATAAACAAGAAATGCCCAAACGCCGTGGACCGCCAAAGGACAAGAAGGCTGACCGGAAGGAACAGAGAGATAGTAGAAGGTCTGAGTCAAAAGAGACTCCAGCACGAATAAAGTAGTCATTAGGAGACTGGCTGAACAGCCCCTGGCTTGTCCTGGCCATCAATAGTGCGAGGGACCTGCACCCCGCTGCGACGAAGCTCGTCCATCTTTGCCATTGCAGGTCCGGTGCAAATGCGGCCGGACTGCATGAGAGTTCGGAGACGTTTACGACGGGCTTCACCGCTACGTTCTTCGCCACGTCCGACACCCTCGTCAACCCAGTCGACAGCATGAATCTTGAAGCTCATGCCGTCGTGACGACCAGTGTATTTGCGAGACTTGAGGCCGAACAGAATAGTGGAGTCGTACTGAGCGACACGGGGGAGCACGAGGAGAGTAATGTGCAGATCTTTGTCTGCAGGAGGTATGGGTGGTAGGCGAGGCTCCTTGGGAGACTTGCCCTTGCCTTCAGTTTCGGCGGGCGCTTGTGGCGCGTGCTGGTAGGTATCCTTGATCTCGAGATCAAGCATCGACTCGTCCACGTCTTCGCCCCAGGCACCGCGGATGAAGCCCGAGTGAATGGCAGCGGCGACGGGATCGGAGTCATCGGTGTAGACGCCGGTTCCCCAGAGTGCTCGCCGCGCACAGATCTCTTCGCGGTGAGACTGGTCAATGCGGAAACGAGGAACCCGAATGGTGAAAGTGCAATTCTCACGCTTCTCAAAGCGAGGAAGAGGCTGAGGAGTTGTGGTGTATCCAAACTTGGAGCTATCCGTAGAGGATCTAGCAGCTGGAGCACCAACACGAGGAGTGTAAAGTGTGGAACCCAAATGATGACGAGGGAGGTGAGCAATGCTGGAAAGTAGTGGCTCAATGTTTACGTTAGTGCGAGGCTCACGAATAGGAGACGCAGCCGGAATGGCCTGTCTAGGAGTATGGTGATGGTGGTGATGGTGATGGGAATGATGGTGAGCGGAGGGATCCGCTGGGGAAGTGCGATGGAAGAAGTTTGTAGGGCGATGAAGGGAGGTCAGAGTAGCTGCTTCCTCATCTGCCTTGTGGCGGTGATGATGATGACTAGGGACAGTCAGTAAACTGGAAACCAACGCAGAACTGGTAACATACTGATGATGGTGGTGATGGGCATGTCGTGACCGACGCGCGTTACGAGCTGAGAGTACACCACGAGGGTCGTTAGCCTCGAGTTCCATCTGCTCTTCATCACGCGGCCTCCTCGACCGCCTGCCAGACGCAGAGGGAGGCCGAGCAAGTCTCGCCGCCTCATCAATAGCCTCTCCATTGATCGAGCGACCAGTAAGACTATCACGCTTGAACGGACTGGAGCCCAATGGTGTGGATGGTCCGCTTCCACCAGCAGAAGCTGTCACACCACCCACGCCACTTCCAATACCAGAGAAGACACGACCCAAGTCATTCTTGATAGAAGACTCTCCAGCAGGACCGGCGAAAGGAGCCTGTGCGCCCTGCACAGCTTGCGGCAGTGGAGAGGCACGGCCACCGCGCTTACCGTCTGCACCTACCGCCAGCAAGCTGCGATGGTGCAAGAGCTCATCACTTCCCTTGCGGCGTCCTTCATCCGCCAAGGCTGCAAGGCCAGAGGAGGCGACCGCAGTCGAGACCGCTAAGGCAGGCGTGGACCCCAAGCGAGGAGGTTGGGTTTGGTGTCTGGCATAAGGATCGTGGGGCGGAGTGGGTTGGCTATTCCCAGACTGTAGGGATATTTGCGGTTGTCTGTTGCCGGGTTGCGATCCAAGGGACTTGGTGTAGCTCTGGATAGCTCCAAACCCGAACGTTGACCCATGGTCCGGAGCAGGGAAACGCTTACTCTCCGGCGATGGAGGATGAGAGCGATGGTCCCACGTCGAGCCAGAGTCACGCTCTCGAGGATCACGCTCGGCATAGTGAGGACTATAGCGATACCCAGCCTGCGACAACTTGGGATCTCCAAGAGCCGCTGCACGTTCTCGCTCACGCTGTATGGCATCCTCCATCCGTCGATCGCCAAATCCACCATACCGACCGTGTTGCGAGTCAGTACCTCCATAAGACCCCGAAGCAGGTCGAGAACCGGGCTCGAAGGCTCGATCGGCGGAACCTCCACCTGGCTGAGAGATCGGACTGTAACCGGGAGGTCGGGTGGGTGTTTCAGCGTTTGGCGGTTGACTACTAGGTCGAGCGATCGGGCCGCTGAGACTCATGCGACGCGGCTCACGAGGCTCAGTGTACGATACCTCTGCCGGTGAGATTCTAGGCGAAGGATGCGTGGAGTGTGGCTTCTCAGGATACTGAGAGAGCGACGAGCGCGCCAAGCCCCCAAATGTATGGTCTGCCCCTAGGCTCGAACCGCCGGACCCTGATCGGTAAGCACGGTTTGTTTGAGGCTTTGAGAATGACTTCTCCGGTGTTTGTGATCGACGGAAGACGTTGTTCTCGAGCGGCGATGGTCGCGCAGGGGCGGTTGGCGGTGACATGGCAGCAGAAGATGACGACGGCGGTGGATTTCCAAAAAGAGATGCAGACGGTCGCGAAAAGAACGGCGCTGATTCTCGCGTCGGATCTCGTGCAGGGCGGTCCGGGTCCGAACCTAGCATGGCGGAGATAGACATGCTGCTGCCCGGCCGGTGTGCCTGACTGTTCGGAGCATCGCGCGACATGAGGGAGGCAGGCGCGTTGGCAGATTGAGCTCGTGAGGAATAAGAGTGCGGAGGGGAGGGAGGGGGCATCTGGCGACTCCCAAAAGCAGCGGATTGTTCGTGAGATGCTATCGAGTTTGCGTTAGTAGGGTACCAGAGAGGAATCCCGGGATTGGTGTATCGCAACACGGGAGCGTTGTACAAAGACAACTTACCAGGAAATACACTGCCCTGAGAAGTGCGACGCGAATGCGTGTTCATAATAGCACTCAAGCCTGTTTCGAGTGAGCAAAGGGAAAGCAAGGGCCAGATCAAGAAGAACCCGTGACTCCGGAAGCTCAGCCGCTAGTCCCAAAGGAGCAGGGGCTCCTCTGGCAACGCTAAGCCTGACCTGGACTAGCGTTCCCGAGCTGTCCAGTCGATCGTCGGGGAAAAGCAGGGAGGAAATGAGGTGAAGTGAAGGGATATAGATATGGGAATATGTAGTGAATATGTGAATATGGGCAGGTATATCGCATGGCTATCCCCTCTAGGTCCAGGTTGTCTCCAAGTCGTCCAGTCCCCAAAGTGGAGTGCCGGCCTAACTCCGATCCTTGGTTTCCTCCTGAATCTGGGGAGCCACGCGACATGGGGAACAATAGAAATTGCCTACCTTCACGAGATTGAGGTTGCGAATTATTCCTCTGATGTGATTGTCCATGGTGTTTGCTCTCTAAGCTGCCATGTCGACGGTGTGTAGGCCTTGGCCCAGACTGAAAGTATGCGCTAGCAGTATTGCCCCGAAACAAAGTGTGTGAAGTATGCGAAGCGCGTGACGAACGGGCGTTCCCCGGGTAGATTTGCGATGGTGAAGTTGAATTCGACGTGGAAGTAGGAGAAACGTGCGGGCGCGATTCGTCTTCCGAGCGACGAGACTGTGCGAAGGTGCGAGATGGATCGGGTCGCTCTGAAGCCCCCAACGGTGAGGGTCGGGGCTGATACGAATGTTGTAGTCGTCGGTAGTCCATTCTCCCCAAGAGTGTTGGGCAGCAAGAAGGAGAAAAGGGAAAATAGAAAGGGAAAGGTAGAATGGCGGTGGAGTGTATGCAATGCAGGCAAGCAGAAAGAAGAAAAGAGGTGCAGGGTGGATCCGGAGATAGAGAGGGAACGTGCAGTTGGGCGCGTCAAAAGGCAGAAATTTCCTGAACGGTGTGTGATGACGGTGTTAGCGTGGAGCCCATGCGGGGGAATTCCCTGTGTATTACTTGTCGAGTGTACCGTTTTGTGCCTCATTTCGCTATACTATGAGCCTCTCTGTTATTACCTATTTTTCTTAAAGTGCCTCGGGTCATCTAAACTATATAAAGGTGTGGGAAATGACTTTGGTACAATTGATATAGGACCCAATGCAAATAATAAATACTAACTCAACCACATATCAGAACACTATATCCAATTCGACTGCGACACCCTAACCAAGGTGCACACGGTGTTTCCACTTCATGACTTCCTTGGTCATAGCCCGCTCTGTACGTTCCCACGGGTAGTTGACCGGCGACTCACCACCAGTAAATATGAAGAAGTCATACAGGAAAGCACCGAAGAAACCACCGCAAAGAGCACCAGCCCAAGGTCCATAGAACCAATAAGGGTTAGTGAACATGGTGCTGGGGAAGCCGACAGCAAGCAGAGCGAGACGAGGACCAAAGTCACGAGCAGGGTTGAATGCAGCACCGGTCTGGTATCCGAAGGTCATACACAGACAGGAAATAACCAATCCAATAATCAGCGAACTCATACCAGCACCGGGCGGGGCGTTCTGGTCATCACCAAGCGCCAACACAGTAACGAGCAAAAAGGCCGTGCCGATGAATTCGTTGAAGAACGCCGTGGCGGGTCCAATCCACGTTTCGCGCTGACTGGTGACGAAGCTGGTGATGATACCAGAGTCTGCATTGAGGAGAAGGTAGTTCGTGATAGACTGGTAGTAGATACCATAGGCACAAAGACCCGCGCAGAACGCAGCTAAGAACTGGGCAGCGAAGTACTCGGGCATCAAGCGCTTGGGGAAACCACGGTAGAACCAGAGAACGATAGTGACAATGGGGTTCATGTGAGCACCAGAAACACCACCAGAAATGTAGATACCCATCATGGTAGCCAGGCCCCAGCCCCAGGAGGTAGTGTTAGGGTTACCCTGATTAGCACAGGTGACAGACAAATCGACACAGAAGCCCATAGTGAGCTGAACGAAGACAGCCAAAGCCTCGGCGAGAGCTTCGCGGTGGTGAGTACGAATAACAGACCAGGTGGTGTGGTTGTTGTGCACTTCATCCTCGACGAGCTCTTGGACAAGTGGGTGAAGGTCTTCGGGGTAGCCTGTTTTCTCTAGATCCGGAAGAAGATCATCCATTCTCTCTTCAAGACCCTGCTCTGGGAAGTCCTCCTCATTTTCATCAAAGGCGGGACGTTCTCCAGGCTCATCATTGTCCTGGGACTCTCCCTCTTCAACGGTGGAAAGGTTATCCGGTTGCTCCCAGTTTGCCGGGCGTCTGCCGCGCATGGAACGGCGTTGCGACGAAGCACGCGACATACGGCGCGACATGCGCGAGGTCTGTCTCATGGACTGGCCATCGCCAGTGAGAATCTTGTTCATAAAGTTTTGCTCACGCTGGAGACGAGCATCCTCGACCTGAGCGGCCATCTTCCGCGGGTCATTGGTCTTATCAATACGACCCTGCTCGACATCATTGGGGTCGACATCGAGACCGTACCGCTGCGAGTTCTCGACGGGACGCTGAGCATTCGCGAGGTTCTGCAGAAGCTCTTCCTTTGTCGGGACCATACCAGACCGCACCACACGCGGCAGCGGCTTGGCTAGAGACCAGACGGGTCTGGCATTGGATGGTTGTTCATATGAGGGGTTCAAGTCCGCGTATCCTGGCTGAACGAAGGGCTCTTGAGCCAAGCGCAGCTGGGGAGTCTCATCCGGACCTGCCAGAGTGAACTTGCCCTGAGTACGCTGAGCGAGAGTAGTGCGAGGAGCCAAGCTAGGGACTCCACTCACGCGGCTGCGTCTCGACGCAACCGAGCTACGACGGCGGGCGGTGCCTTCCTGGCCGTCATCGACTCCAGAGGCGCCTCTCGTCGGCGAGATATAGTCTGCGTCGCTGGCAGTCCGGTTCCGCCCGGTTGGTGATTGAGGTGCCTGGGCATCAGACTGTGAAAGTGATGGTAAGACATTGATTCTTTTATAATTTGCGTGTCATTTTGAACTCACTCTAGCCCGGTTGCGTCCGGTTGGGGATTGCGGTGTCTGAGCATCGGACTAAAAAGACAATTAGACAGTGAAGCCTTCACAGTGCCTTTTCGACTCACCCTGGCTCTAGGCCGACCACTTTCTCCTTCGTCCATTTTGACTAAACGTCAATTGACGATTTCACCTCGGGAAGGTCGGCAACGATATTAGGGCAAAGATCTTTCCCGAACCAAACGACAGGCAGCAGAGAAAGAAAAGAAGAGAAAAAAAGCCAAACCAGGCGGAGGAGACAAGCAACAATTTTGTATTCCAAGGGACCCAGAAAAAAAACCCCTGCTTCCCTGGCGGAAAGAGCAAAATGGATCAAGAGCCGACGAACTTACGCAATGGCGCCAGGATCTTCGTGGAACTCCTCATCTGGCGTGCAAAATGTCGAACGAGTGGAGAGCGACTCAGCATATCAGAGTCCCTGGATCTGAAAGTCGTCACTATGCTTGACATCATTTGGCAGTTCCTGTCCTGATCCACCGGAAGCGAGTCCACAGTGAGGGTCCGCAAAAGCTTGCCTCGTTGACCCGTTCAGGCCCGGTTCTGGCACTAGCTGCGCCACGCCGTGATAACCGGAATTCTAATAATGAGGTTGGCATGCTGTGAAGCAAGTAGTTATTGGACTGTATACTCCAACTGTACAAGTTGTAGTATAGATGCCAGTGCGTAGAGGCTCGGTTAGAGAAGCTTGGCCAAGCGTGGGGGAGTGGCGTGCACATTTTCATGCAGGAATGTGCTGTCTGAAGATCCTTTTAGTCTTAGCAAAAGACCCTGGAAAAGTAATGAACCCTTGGCAATGTGAGTACTGTATATGAATCCTTGAAATTGGACAGTGTTCATGTTCAGGACAAATTCCGAGGGGGATTTCCGCCTTAGTCATGCTAGAAATTATATTCACCTGGGCATGCACTTCAAACTCTCCCGCATGTACTGAATCATGAAATTAATTCCTTGATTAATTGCTTGATTAAGATGAGCTCCATAGCACTAAATTGTGCAATCCACTTAGCGTTGCTAGTGGCGTCAGTGGCGCCTCATCTTCCATAGCAAATAGCGAATCTTGGTTGTGCTTTTTCCACTATGGAGCTTGGCTATCATTAATTTTCTCAAGATCATCAAACTGCATGCTCGGCTACAGTCATAAGAAGATCCTATATCCACCTGCACATGTGAGAGAGAATGATATTCTGGATCAGGTGATCCTTCCCGAAGCCCCCTATACTCTTATCAGGTTCGGTGATAATTGATATTCAATAATCTCAAAGTGGGTATCATAGAATCAAAAATACTCATGCTATACAAATGGGCGACAAATGTGGGAGGCTATCCTTCGTAAGATCACTGGTGCTAAAGCGTCCATCTGGCAAGGCCGACCAGAAAACATCAGAATAGGAGTGACTCGCACAGTCGCTCGGAGCGAACGCCTCCCCAGTAACAAGAACAGTCACAGGACGTTGAACAACATTCTCGCCATTCCAATGAGAGAGATACCCCCGTTGCCGAAGACCATCCAGCTGCCCAACAAGCAAAGGATACAGCTCATGAAACGAAGTCTTGGCATCAAGCATGAAAAGGAATGTCCGACTCAGATCGGCATCCAAACTAACGGGGGTTTCGGGATCGAGTGGTATTCGCGACTCGCCTTTGTCGAGTTTCGCTAGAAGAGGGCTTAGACCGAGTCGGTCAAGGAATGCATTGGGATCGGGACCAGTCACGGCGTTACCAATCTGTAACAGGCCGTCGTACATCCAAATGGCGGTTCGGACGCTGTCGCACCCGCTGTTTAATGCGTTCTTCAAAGCTTGCGGTCGTGTGTCTAGTGTCGGGAATGTGCATGCGCTAGGCTGAACATGGGTCTGCGCTGCTGATGCCACAGCCGTGGGCGGAAGTTCCTTGGGGAGGTTGAGTGGTAGTAAGTGGAGGCACTGGAATGCGGCTCTAGAATAAGGTCAAATCTAGCATTCTTCAACCCAGCGATCGATTTGAACTTACAAACATCCAAGCACAAGAGCCGCTGTTCGTCCGAACGCTTTCCCCAGTGAAAGTGACTGATAGATCTCGGAGAGATAAGGCGATAATCCGGGGATACATTCGGTCGGATATGTGCGTAGTGGATGATCCTCTAGCAGCCATGGATCATACTCGAGTTTGTTAGACTCGAGGTCCAAAGGGGAAACCTTTTCCGACATATTCTCTCAGGGAGTAAACGTAGCCTAGATGCACAGAGTGAGGAAGTGCCATGCTATATAGCTTGGGAGTTGCGCGATTGTGCACTGAATGGCGAGAAGCACGCAATCACTAACAATGATTGCGGATGATCGACTACGGCAAGGAGTGTGTAGAAGTGGAAGGTGCTCTCGAGCGCGGTGTGCATTATACATATAGAAATCTTCATTCTCATTCTAGACTCTGATGCTGTGTTCCCCAGTGTACATGTAGTAAACTGCATATGTAGGTGACTGCAGAGTACCTTGGTAACTGGATCTCACAATTCACCGCTGATCTGACGTTTCCGCCAAGATGCCAAGACCTGTAAACTGAGCGGGTCTGGGCTCATGGTTTAATTGGAATATCAAGCCACTAGATTAGCTGCATATTGAGACACTATAAGCACATGCAAATATATTCAGTCATTACAGAGAGCCGTCCTATCAATCGTGTCACATACACATTTGCTCTTCTGGAAATTGCCAGACTGCACAGCCAGGTCAGATCGACAACACAACATTGCATGGCTTCTCCAAAGAGAAAAACGTCTTTTCGACATCACTGATAAGATGGCACTTCAGCTACGGAAATTAGAATGACCCCAAACTGATGAGCACGGTGATGATGAGCTATTCGGCTTTATAGTCTGCTACTATTGCAGAGTGAGAACCATAATAGTATTTGCTAAAAGTTGTATGAATAATCGCTATGGAGGACCCACAGTCCGTGAAATCAATCCAAATCCACAGCATGCTGACTGAATTTCCGAATCCGAGGTCCGTAGATATAAAGTAAATATGGAATCGGAGCCATGGCCGCGCTGATAGCACCCAGAATGGTAAGAGTGTAGTGAGGACCGATGGCCTCGTAAATTGGACCACCAGCGATTGTCATACCGCCAGCCACAACGTATCTGGTGAAAACGAGGAAGCCCAGCGCCGAAGCGGAGTAGACATCGTATGTATCGATAATGTACATATATGCGACGATGAAAATGGCCATGATGCCATATCCGAAGAGGGCGGATGCGACAAGAGGTGACCATATCGAGACGGAGGGCTGAATGGGTGTAAGTGTTAGTGACTCATACCGCGATAACTGTGAGACGTTGCACTTACATAGCAGGTCCAGCCCATCCAGAATAAACTGACAGGTACTGCTGGTGCTCCGCCGAGCATTGCATACCAAAGACGTGTCTCTGGAAGAATGCGACCTGTCTTTTGATACTCCTTCGCCGTCCAAGAGTATACCACCGGGACAGTCCCGACTGTGAGGACAATACCAACAAGCATACCAGCCCACGAGAGGTTGGTCAGCCCCAGTGAAAGCCCATAAGGCCGACCAAACACGTAAGTGTATCCCTCCAAGAAGGTAAAGAGAACAATATAAACGACAGTGAGGTACAGCGACATGAGCATGATAATCAACTCAGTATAGCTCCAAAGAAAAGGTCTATAGATAGCGATCAACAAGCGACGTCCAAGACCCTCACTCCTCGTCTCCATCGGCGCGCGATATCTCTTATCACCAGTCTCCTGACGAAGAATCGAAGCCTTCCAATGCAACAGAAGATTTCCATATGTCTCAGGTTGCATCAAAACAACAAGAATGAGGACGGCACTGCCCATAATGAGCATGAGCCATTCCAACCAGCGCCACCCTAGTGTAGTTGGAACATAACTCCCCATGATCTGACCGATCATCGGTCCACAAAAGGCTGGAATGGCATACACGGGGAAAGCATACGCCTTTTGTACCGGATTCCACAAGTCGGCGACTGTACCGCCAGCACAGCTGAGGGGAGTTGAACCAAAGAACCCAGCGAAGAATCGGAAGACAAGGTGGCTATGGAGATTCGGAGCGAGACCAGCGGCCATGATGAACATCAAGAAGACAAGCATTGTAATGAGGTACACCGCATTGCGTCCGAATGTCTCGGAAAAAGGCCCTGATAGGAGAGAGCCAACTCCGAAGCCGATTAAGAATAGACCTAAATTAGGATATTAGACTGAATGCTTTTCCAGAAGAGTTGAGATTGACGGACCAGTAGCGAGAGACCCAACAACCTCTGAGACATGGTAATATTGACTATACTGTTGAACACCACAGGCGTCAATCGCAGATGCTGCCGTGACAGCAAGTGCAATAAGAGATACCAATATGGTCATAAAGAGCTTGCGTCCGACGCAATAGTTTGCTGGATTCAGGGGATCGCCCTTGCCATCCCAACCGACGAGGATGATAGGATCTTCGAGGTTATCCGTTCCCTTCGGAGTAGCAGGTGTTTTCTTCTCATTGACCTGAGAACTAGACAGTCGAACATAAGCAACTAGTCAAACCACCAAGAATTGAAAATGGAATTGGGCACCTACTTTGCACTCCCGCTCAGACTGTCATCGTCGGAATGCTTTTTTGTGTCTAGTTGTTTCCTAACAGCGCTTTGTATACGCTTATACTGGAAGTAAGACTCCATGGTAGCATTAGTCAAAGCTCCCAGGGGGGTCAAAACAAAAAGGGTCACTTAGTCTAGAGAACGGTGTCCAGGCTTTATAAATCATTGAATTTTCAGCCCTCAACGGGTGTCTCCACTGACAAATTTTGACCCATCGGTATTCGACCCACCTTCCACCCCTTGTCCGACCAGTTTCACCAGATTCGGGGTTTCACACAGACTCCGAATGCACGTTGTTCTCGGCCTGTGACCCACAAACCGAATTTCCGTCTAAGCTTTACCGAGATGCTTACTTGTGCAAAGTTAAGCACGGCCAACACACTCAATACGGTCCTTCTATATCAATAGACTCATCTTCGTATACTTTCTTTGAAATATCAAAATAATGAAGCGGACATTCAACCCTGTGTAACCCACAATATGACGAGGCATGTGGACGCATTTTCCCGCCACGCTATTCAGGATCTGCAGAGAATTGGGTAACGCAGCAATAGTTTGAATCCTGATATACAATCTTAATGGAGGATAGTCTTTGCTCTCCTTGTTCGCCGGAACTCACCCGGGCATACAAGGCGTTATGCGTACCAAGCTTTATCGAGAATGATCGGACCCCTTGGTCTACGACTGCTCGATCCCGCGGTTCTTTGATCACGGCTACACCGAAGAGAGAGGGGAAATGGACAATAAGGAAGCCAATCAAAGGGACTTCTCACACACCTTTGCAATCTCGTTTCAGTTTGATCTTCGCGGCTTTTCAACCGAAGTTGGTGATCTCTACTGACAAGGAGGAGAAACATCATTGATTCCTAGACTGAGCTATACCGACCAAGCAAGCTTATCACTGCTCGTGAATCCATCTTTGGGTCTTCCTACGAATAAAATCTGCAAATCGATGCATTTCCGGGCCAAACAAGCTGTGTCTGGCTTGACGTCACCCATTTGGGGATATGGAGTCATTCCCTCATCATGTAATAACACCAATTCTACATGAACTTATCACGAAAACCAGGTATATCGGACCAGACCGTATCTAGGATCTCATTAGGTGCAAGACTAAGGTTGAGGTGAGCTGTATGCACAACATCGAACTGCTCCGCACGTGATAGCACTCCATCCCTTGCACAAATTATGTTTTTGCTAACCTCATAGTTTTTTGAACGGGTGGAGAATATTTGTCGTTAGCAACGAAATCATGAAACTGGACCATAGCGTAAGGCCACCCGCCGCCTCATCCTTGGCGAAGCATCGGCGAATCAACAAACGCCTTGAAGCTGACAGGTGCATCGCCAATAGTGGTTTCATGTTGCGCTTTCTGTTGATGAAAGGTTCAAAAAGACTTAGAACCGTCCTGTATTTTTGATCTCGCTGTTATTTTCCAAATAGGTGACTCTCCTCCATACTTGAAGATGTCTACCACAGATTCAGTTTTCCACTATGTGTATGGCCTTCCACCACCAACGACTTCCAAACGAAAAGAGCCAATGCAGATCTTGGCTGTCGGAATTTCCCGATCTGCCACCGAGTCTCTTCGCGAGGCACTTCATATACTAGGCTTCAACCATACATTCCACGGCTTCGATACCATCCTCCCGCCATCATCCCTAGAAGCAATCTATGAACTTCTACAGAAAAAGTACAATAAAGCCCCAAAGCACGGCGAAACAAACAAATTAACCGCCGAAGACTTCGACACCGTTCTAAGCGACTGCGTGGGCGTGAGCGACCTCCTCGCAGCAGAATTCGCGCCCGAACTAATATCCGCCTATCCAAAGGCAAAAGTAATTCTAAACACCCGCCATGATCTAGACAGCTGGTACAAAAGCATGGAACAAACAATGGGATATTTCGACAAAAACCCAAAAGACTGGGACTGGCTCAAGAGCTGGTTCAACGCGGACCTATTCTGGATTCGACAGACAATGTGTCGTACCATGATGCCACGCTTCTTCCGGGGTAGCTTTGCTGCTAATGGTAAATGGGTCTATCAGCAGCATGTGGCTATGGTGCGGGGGATTGGATTGCCGCCAGATCGGCTGCTGGAATGGTCTGTTGAGGATGGATGGGGGCCGCTCTGCGAGTTTCTAAATAAGGATGTCCCGCAGGAGGAATTTCCTGTTGGGAATCCACCTAAAGCTTGGGCGGAACGGATTGCTGTTACTATGCAGGGTCACCATGAACGGGCGTTGAGGAATATGGGTATTTTTGGGGCTGTTTTGGTTGTTACTGCTCTAGTTTTGGGGATGTTCATTTTGAAATAATAATGTCCGAGATGCCGCTATCCTTCAAAAATCATATTCCCAAATTGCGCAATGAGCTCTTTGACCTGGTCCATATCTGTCTCATCGTACTGACCTAGAACTGGTTTTGTTTCTTCCGAATCCTTCAAGGGTGACCGTTCTACAAGTAGACAGCATAAAAGCCAATACTCATATGCGTTCTTGATGAAGCCGATTTGTTTCCACATTCCTGGGAATGGATCACCTTCGTCAGATTCAGAAACAACGTCAACGACTCTCTGGTTGTTCCACGCGGTTTTCCAATTTCTTAGACCATGTTCAATTCGTTGCATCGCGCCTGGGGGTGCTAGAGAGTTCTGGATCTGGAAGGTGGAGGTGTGTAATCCTATATGCGTAGCTTTAGCATTGAATCATGCCCACGAGTTAGTCGCCATACCGGTAATCATAGAGAACATGTTGAGAATTCCCATGTTAGCAAATAGTCTGCCTTCTTCTACGTCAAGATCAGGCTTGCAAAGCATCTCCAGAGCCGAAGCCATGGGGCACTGACGGGGAATCGTATAGACCCATTGTTTCAGAAGTGAAAAGCATTCGGCTGCGGTGACTGCTTGGAATGTCTGATTGGGACTCGTGAGACACATTCGCATCTCGAAAACCATCATTCTGGGTGGCGTGTTGTTGAATATGGTAAATGCTCCATCGAGCAGATAGACGTAGCAAATAGTGCTTAGAAGGTGTCAGTAGTCACTCAAGTGAAGCAGACATGGTTGACAAACCGAATCTTGGTTTCTGTTTCAATAAATTCCTTCCACTCGAACATACTTTCATCGTTCAAGGAGGAGAAATCTTGGTGAGTGACCGCAGTCTGTTGAAGAGCTCGGGCGACCTATGAAATAGAGTCAGGTCTCAACAGAACTATCCAACCGAGGTCTTGAGATAGCTTACCGCGATCACGGTATTGTAGCGATGACGTCTGATACGCCCCTTACTGGAATCCGAACCCTCCCAGTTCTGATAAAGGCACACAAAGTAGGCTGCCTGCAGAGATTGCAAACGCTCTCCATCTTTCACGTTCTGAAAAGGCACCGATGCTCCTAAATCTTCGTCAAGCCAATCGTCATCGAAGACCATCTCCTCGACTGCATCGAACCACCCTTTCGCCATTTCATTATCGCGCGCATCTGGAGAGAGGCAACTTCCAATAATTGCCATCGATGCTAAGAGACAAGCTGATGCCTCTTTGGGGTCAAATGTAGGTTTATGAATGATCGGACAATTGGGGTACCATAAGCACCAGAAAATGCGAAGGAACTTGCGGAGATTAGCCGGGTTGAAGAATTGCACACACGTGCTTTCCATCAATTTGGACCATTGGATGGATATGGGGCTTTTTCTCGATTTTTGTTGGATAATCTCCTTGAGCCCGTCAACAATTTCGTGTGCTTTGAATACCATTGGATCAAGAGCCCATTCGTGCAGTCCGGGTAGGAGCGTATCAAAGTTCGTTGGAGACTGTGAAAACCCGGCTCTGAATGAATATTCCCAGCTCCAACTACCTTGTAGCAATTTATCAGCCCCAGATGTAATGTCAGTATCGAGGCCTTCTATAGCAGCAACTTGTTGCCGTTGACGGAAACTTCCACAGCTGAAGGAATTGGCAAATCCAGAGGTGGTAGTAAACTTGGATAGAAACCTGAACTTGGTATGTGGACTCCCTGGCGTTATTTCTTCACCCCAGGAAGTGGTCCAGGATGAAATAGTCAGGTCCAATGCTTCCTGGGAAAGATTAAGGAATGGTGATAGTGATGGTGTGGTTAGGAAGGGAGAAGTCAGGTCAAGAAACTCCGACGGTATGGTTGCAATATCTGAGGCTGCAAAAATAGCATGGTGATCGGCAAGACCAGCTTGTATACTCATAAACGACTGAGCATTCTGATAAATCTTTTCATCTGCGTCTTGACATGCTCTGCTGCGCGAGACCGAGCTCAAGCCTATGTTCAAGCCAGTGTAATTACAGTTATACTTCTTGTTTATACAAGTGTTACAAGGTAGCTTCGAGTCGCAAGCTCTCTTTGACTGGCAGCATTGATCACAGGCTTTTCTCGCTTTCCCCTTCGGGCGGGTTGAAAGCGAAGGGATGGGTGATCCCTTGCTTAGCCGTGATTTGCATGTCTGAAAGTGTCTTTGAAGTACATCCCTGATTACGTGTCAATGGCTAGAAGTAGGGTCCTCGGAGGGAGACCAATAACTCACCGACGTTTGAATGAGCGCTGACAAAATTGACACTCAAAAGGCCGGTAATTCTCATCTGCAACTGAGATTAGCCGAGCTGCTCCACAAAGGCCAAGCACACATGTCCATGGAGTATGCATCGCCACTGGAGCAGGGGTCATTTACGGGATAAAATGTGGCGCTGTAGATGCTGCAGGCGAAGGAATTGGGCATCGCATAGATAGCATTTCATTCTGCCAAGGAGACTCTGCTACCCTCAGGTGTTTAGTTGAATAGACTCAAAATGTTGGACAGAACCAAGCAGACCAGGTATCAACGCGAGCATATTGTTTGCTGAAGATCCGAAGTTGCGGGGGTGGGTAAATGCCGCGGGACCTCACCCACTCGTTCTTGGCATCTCTCTAAGCTGTTAGTGGATGTTCGGTTATTCAATATGTCGCGAAAGCATGGCAACACAGCTAAATATGCATGACGGGATGGCTGTGAAGGAAATCTCCGGCATGTGGTCGGCTGTCTATAAAGATGGGGCAAAGCCTGCCCCTCAGTACGATTCAAATCTTTTTAGAGCAAAGCTCTTCCACGCTTTTACCTCGTATTCACCTTGGAAATAGCTGTCATGAATTTCGGAACACCACTCGCACTGCCTCCGGCCACAGACCAGGCTACCTTCAGGCGCTTCTTAGCCAGAGTAGCCGATGTGGTTGGCCGCGAGAATATCCAAGTCGTGACCAACAAAGACGAACTAGAAGATGGCTCCTACCACAACCAGCCCTATACCCATGACCCACATCATATCCTCAACCAAGACCACTTTGTTGCATCGGCTGTTGTCTGCCCCCGATCAGTGCCTGAGGTTCAAGATCTGGTGAAGCTCGCCAATGAGTTCAGTATACCACTCTGGCCAGTATCGATCGGACGCAACTCCGGATATGGCGGTGCGGCACCAAGACTCCGTGGTAGCATCGTGATTGATATGGGAAAGCACATTCGCCGTATCTTGGAGGTCAATGTCGAGGGAGCTTATGCGGTTGTCGAGCCCGGTGTGACTTTTGCGGATCTTCATCAGTATCTGGTGGAACATAACCTGAAGGACAAGCTGTGGATTGATGTGAGATTTACACTTTTACGCTAGACTTTGTGAACTGTGCTAACCTAGATTATTCAATAGGTTCCTGATTTGGGCGGTGGATCAGTATTAGGCAATGCGATGGAAAGAGGCGTCGGTTACACTCCATATGGAGGTGAGTTTCTGAATCTCCACATTTATCACAGCTACAACACACAGGTTGTCTGACAATTGAAAAAAGACCACTGGATGATGCACTGCGGCATGGAAGTTGTTCTACCAAACGGAGAATTAATGCGCACTGGAATGGGCGCTATGCCGGAGCCTCGGAAGGCCGGCACGGTACCAGGGCGTCTGGATGAGGAGCCTGGTAACAAATGCTGGCAACTCTTCCCTTATGGCTTCGGTCCCTATAACGATGGCATTTTTTCGCAAAGTAATCTCGGTATCGCCACCAAGATGGGAATCTGGGTAAGCTGGATCCTCTTCAAACTTGTATTCGAGGCGATATGAGCCTAATGCTAACGATTTTGTCTATTAGCTTATGCCAAACCCTGGCGGTTATCAGTCGTACTTGATCACAGTTCCAAAGGAGGAGGATCTTCGCAAAGCTGTCGATATTATCAGACCCCTCAGACTGGTAAGATACAATAGAGCAAAGTTCGGATGATGGCTGCTAACTGTGCTCTTTAGCAAATGGTGCTCCAGAATGTGCCATCTATTCGCCATATTTTGTTAGATGCCGCTGTCTTAGGATCAAAAGCAAGTTACACCTCAACCCAAGGACCTCTTGGGGACGAGGAGCTTGATGCGATTGCCAAGAAGTTGAATCTAGGACGCTGGAACTTCTATGGAGCCCTCTACGTGAGTGAATTCTCCCCGCTAGATGCATTCTCGAGGACTCACACCCTATCAACAGGGACCGGAACCCACCAGAACTGCATTGTGGGGCGTCATCAAGCCAGCTTTCTCATCAATCGAAGGAGTCAAATTCTTCTTCCCGGAGGATATCAACGAGAACTGTGTCCTACACACTAGACACAAGACTCTTCAAGGAGTTCCCACATTCGACGAACTCAAATGGATCGACTGGATTCCAAATGGTGCTCATCTATTCTTCTCGCCGATTAGCAAAGTATCAGGCGACGATGCCATGCTACAATACTCTGTCACGAAGAAGAGAGTCATTGAATCCGGCCTTGATTTCATTGGCACTTTCACAGTGGGAATGCGAGAAATGCGTAAGAACCCCAAGTAATCTTGATCAATTCAGCTACTGATGCCTTTGTCTGAGCAGATCACATTGTCTGTATCGTTTTCAATCGCAAGGATGAAGACATGAAGAGAAGAGCTCATAACCTAATCAAGGTTCTGATCGCTGATTGTGCCGCTCACGGTTGGGGAGAGTATCGGACTCATCTCGCGCTGATGGATCAGATTGCAGGAACCTACAACTGGAACAACAACATTCTGATGAGGTTTAATGAGACTATCAAGAACGCTCTGGATCCGAAGGGAATTCTTGCCCCCGGGAAGAATGGTATCTGGCCGACCAATTACGCACGAACTACCCACAAGTTGTAGGGCTATGGGTTTAGGGTAGCTGTACCGCAATGACTTGGTTGAAGTCTTTTTGTCCCGATTGGGTTTAAGTCTCAGATTGTCATATTTATTCTCGAGTCATGAAACCGAACTGAAATTTCCACTTTCTCGGCATAAAGCACAGCGCAGATCAAGTATAAAAGCTATGTAGTGTTAAAGCTCAGCCTGGACACGGCCAATGAGGCAATCCCTAAGTAGTTTTAAAGCCTCGCTCGCAAATGCGACCATGTTTGCTTCTCTATCAGTACCCTTGCCTGTCTCGACCTCTCGCGTGACAGTTCCAGCCTTTGAGCTCACGGCCAGAGCAACGTAACCGCTGAATATCAAAAGTCAGGTTAGTAGAGTCATACAAAGGTTTGCGGAGAGAAAGACATACGGGGTCCTGTTCTTTGTAGCTCCACCAGTAGGTCCAGCAGTCCCACTCTCACTGATAGCAAAGGTTGAGCCAAGCTTAGTGCGTACACTCTCTGCCAGTCCAGCTACTATCTCGGGAGTAGGACCTTTGTAATCCTTCAGATGCTCTTCAGTCCAACCAGCGAATGCGATGCGGGACTCTAGGGTGTACACCTAAAAGGGTTGATGTGAGCCAGCATATTGGGACAGACACCAGGGATCTAGAGGATTTTCAGTGTTACCTACCGTCACACCTCCCCGGTAGAATCCACTTGCTCCTGGTGTCGCCAGCAGAGTTGAAGATATGAGGCCTCCGGCCGCCTTCGGATGATGTTGTCAGCCATGTAGCTTCTATTACTCCAGTCGACTGAGATTTTGTGAAGCAATAGGGATAACAAACCGTTTCCGCGACAGATACAGTGGCACCTTGCTCTTTCAACAATGCTGAGACCTCATTGGCGATCTCTCTGATACTGGTGGGTGGGAACCCCGCAATTTCCGAAGGTGCCATTTTCTAGGAATTGCCGTAGAGAGATGTTGGTATGAATACAGGTCCGAGTTGAAAAAGTTGGGGATTGGTATTTGAAACAGGAGGTTGATCAAACAAGTGTTTCTGTACTTGGCCAAGCAGCGGATGTCGTTTAGCTGTGCAACTCCCCCCACGACACGTGACTCGATTACATGTATTTCAGAGACTATAAAATGATCAAGCGAAGGTGAATAGGAAAGAAAGAAATATCAATTCAATATTTCCGTTATTAAGTAAAGTGGACGCTTTGTGGGAATAAGTGCCCAGGTTTGATGCTGTCTACATTTTCGGGAGTGATTCACACAGGGTCACATAGAAAGTTCAACTCTTAACCAGAAAGGGTCTTCATTCAATCATGCACTAAGCATCAGCTGCCTTTCAAATTAATCCAACTAATGAACCGAGTATATCGCAGGCGGAAATAACCCGCCTCCGCTTTGCGGGGGATAACACCAAAGTATAAGGCACGAAGTGAAGTATGCTACAATACTAGATTCATATCTTGAATTCACTTAGGTACTCGGACAACGCATCTATTGGCTAAAAGAAAGCTCGGGTAATGGAACAGCTCAAACAGTCCGAAAAGTGTCTACAAACGAGCCTCTGGCTTCCCACCTTCAGGAGTACTAGCAAAGGTCTTGTTTTTCCGAGTCTCCAACCGAGCTGAAGTAGATTCAAACAGCCGCGGTAACCCAGTTTGCCCATATCTAACGTCATTGAGAACCATCTTTGCCACGCCCTCAGCTGCAAGGAAGATCTGAGGCATTCCATGTCCCGTGAAACCCGCAATGATATACTTATCCTGCTGTCCGGGAACAGGGCCAACATGTGGTAAGCCATCAAATGAGTACCCCATGACTGTTTACAGGTTTAATATTAGCCAGTCGCATTTTATATGGTGTGATAGCATAACATACTTCCCGTCCACACTCTGTCAGTGTAAGCATTACTATTCTCCCAGCCAATGAAATTGCGCTGCATATAGTTATCCCAGTAGCGAACAGCTGGTTCGAGTACCCGGCTATCATCGCTGACATTATACCAGCTATCCAGATCATCGATAAAGGTCGGTCGGGCTCCTCCAACGACAATACTACCATCGGCACGGGGAATGAGGTAGTCGTAGTTCCAGTTGTTCCAACGAAGAGTATAAGTGTTGGTTAGCCGAGGGGCAGTTGTACCTGGTGGAACGATAATTCGGCTACAAGTTCCTCGTACTGGGATGATCTTGTCCCTGTATTCGGGAACCAGGGTGGAAGTGTATGCATTTGTTGCCAGAACAACGGTTTTGGCTGAAATGCAGCCTCGGACAGACTTTACTGTCCAGCGATGGCTTGACCCCGGAGAATTGGACTCGGTAATTTCAGATACTGGGGTATGCGTCTGCAGGTTCACTCCTTGGGCAATCGCCTTCTCTAGGAGATGCAAAACAAATTTGTATGGCCAAATGTGGCCTGCATCGTATGTGAAACAGCCCTTTGCCCCTTTGACTCCCGAGTACTTTTCAAATTAGACTGCAAATTCTCTACTGGTAGTAGGATTGGTTGGGCATACCTTCTCTGCCTGATTGGCATCAAAATATTTAGCCGTGGTGGTCGGGGCACATCCCTCTTTGATTAACTTCTCATACCCATCCTTGAGTCTTTTAGTGTGAACTGCACTGAGTTGAACATCAATAGCCTTTGTAACAGAATAGTCACAGTCGATCTTTTCTCTGTCAATAAATTCCTTGAGGAACCAGACATGCTTGGCTTCAAAGGCTGCAACTTCCGCGGCAGCATCAACACCATATTCAGAAGCTAAGCCAGCGATGCCATTGTAGAGATCTGGCTTTATGTGACCACCTCAAATATGTGTTAGCTTGCAGAAACTGGGCCTTTGTCTAAACAGGGCATATCTCACCATTGCGACCAGTAGCACCAGAACAAGCCTGACGCGCCTCCAAAATCACAATCGACGGTGGCTTGACCCCAACCGGAGTCTGGGCAAGGATATGATGCGCGACCGAAGACCCCGCATACCCAGCTCCAACAATGACGATATCAGACTCTTGAGGGAGGAAGTCAGTAGATCGGTGGCTATCAAGTGGGTGTGGCTCCGTTCTCCAGAATGATGCCATGCCATTTGGAACGGGGATATGTTTCGCCATGATCAAATTTGTTAGGGTTTTGGTGAAAACCGAAGGAGAGTTGTTATTTATTGTCATTGGTAGGGCTGGAGGGGGAGTGTGTTGTCCTCCGGTTTTCCCACCGGCCTCACATCCGGTCCGGGATCATCCCGGAGAGAAACAATACTGGAGATAGATTATCTTGGACACAGAGTTGAACTATCTAGACATCGTAGGATATTATTGAAAGATATAAGAATAAAGAAACCGAACTAGCATGGCTATTTAGACAGAATGGGCAGTAGAAGTCTGCTGTTTACTGTGCCGGGCCTGTTGGTGTCGGTCTCCAGAACAAATGCTATCTCGTTTTATACTTGACTATCAAATACTCGGTTTTACTACTCAAATCTCGCACAGAGGTCTGAGAGGAATTTGAATGTTTATTTGAATTTAGTATTAGCAATACTATCTATCCAGACTCAAGATGATGCTTGGGCTTCAATGATCTTGTCCGCCATTTCGGGCAAAGTGTCAGCCATGACGTCCATTACTCCGAACAACTCAGATAGAGATTCCTTCTCCCAAATATGGCAGTAAGCACCTTTGAATCTAGAAATGGATATATTAGCAATATTCAATAAGGCAGGTGCGCAAAGAAAGAAGAAAAAAACATACCCTGCTTGCTTCGCTCCAGAAACGTCCCACATATGGGCTGCAGCAAACCAAGGAATCTTCCCATCACTCTCAGCCTTGAGACGCTCAAGCAATGGACGATAAGCCTCTAGATCTGGCTTGCCCACACCCACATCATCGCAAGATAGCAAGTTTTCGGCAGGGAGCTCCACGCCGGCATTCTTGAAATAGCCCCCAACGCGAGCGATATCCGCAGCAGTAAACGCCCAAACAGTGAATCCGGCATCTCTGAGCCTTTGAACACACTCCACAGCGCCAGGACGGAACTCTAGGTGCTGGTACTCCTTCATAATAAATTCCAAATCTTCGGGACTCGCCCAAGACCGGGGCTCGGCGATACCGGCCATCCATAGCATACGGTAGAAGAGGGCGCGGAAGACTTCGCCAAACGGCACATATCTTTGGGATAGACTGAGATTGGTGTATTCGCGCTCAGCGGCTTCCATCCATGTGTACCCGAGGAGACGGGGCTTGATACCCTCTGCGCGCAGTCGGTCGCCTAGACGAGTATCAAGAGCTTCGAAGACACGATCATAGGCCACGAGGGTCCCCACGATATCGAACACAACGTGCTTGGAGGACATGATTGCAAATGAGAATGCTTATCGTGAGTTGAGATGTAGAACTCGGAATAGCGTGATTTTGAAAGAAGCAGGGATTGAAGCGATAAAGAGCAAGAAATCAATCAAATAAATAGCAAATCAATATTAGCGAATTACTCACCTCCATTCATTATCTGTGAATAATAAGTAAGAAGCCAAGTAGGGTATTCATGCATACCCCGCTCAATCCCGGTGGGAAATCCACCGGCAACGTTGATAGACCGGAATGATAACGATAAGGATAGAACTATACAGAGTGCTTTACTTTTTATAGGCGGTCAATCGTCCTCGGACTTATGCTCACCCCCGAGAATGTCTCGATTTTCCGATATCTCAAAAGGCGCTGAGGTCAAAGGGGACGGCGACACCAGCGATTTGGAGCGTACTGCTACCTCAGGAACTGACCATCATGGCAGTACTGTTACTATTTCCCCAGCAGATAATGCTGGGTACCACCGGTCCTTGTCAAGACGTCAAATCATGATGATGACCTTTGGCGCTGGCATTGGAACTGGTCTATGGGTAGGCACCGGACAGGCTTTGTACTATGGTGAGTGAAGCAGAACATCATGACGTTGAGAATAGATGCGAGATCTGAATGAAGGCTTACAATATTTAGCTGGACCTGCGGGGACTGCAATTACCTATACCATTACTGCGTCTGAGGCCCAAAAACTCCTGATTTTTGGACAATTTGCTTATATCTCCAAAGAATGATCGTCTATGCGCAATACTCCTCCGTCGGAGAGATGACCACATACAAGCCTATCCACGGTGGCTTCATCCGACAATGTGCAGAATATGTAGACCCAGCATTCGGCTTCGCAATTGGTGTTAATTTCTGGTTTGCAGTATGTAATCCCCCTATCCAATCCAAATTTCATATACTGATACAATACAGTGGGTGATGATCATCCCAGCAGAGATTACAGCAGCTATATCAGTACTTAAATACTGGCCCGAAACCGACGTTGTGCCACTAGCAGCATATATCACCATATTCTTAGTGGTAATTGCCGCCGCAAACATGTTCCACGTCCGAGTATACGGCTACATTGAATACTACATGTCATTCGTCAAATGTCTGGCTATTATCATAATGATCTTTTTCATGTTCATCATGACATCCGGCGGCATTGCCGCGACAAATGGACCGATCGAGTTCCGATACTGGAAGAATCCTGGTGCTTTCAATAATGGCATCAAGGGTATTGCGAAAGCATTTGTGCAAGCTGCTTTCAGCTTTGGTGGAGGTATATCATCGATGCTAACGCGGCATTTACCAAACCTGTTTGCTGATTATTCTTTCCAGGCGAACATATTGCAGTCATAGCCGGTGAAGTAGCCGACCCACGACGAACCATCAAGAAAACAGTCCGACCAATCTTCTGGCGAATGTTTACCTTCTTCGTTGTCAATATCTGGCTAGTGGGCATGTGCATCCCAGCCAACGACCCAGATTTATCCAGCAGTGGCACATTAGGAAGTCCCTTCGTTATTGCCATTAAAAGAGCAGATGTATACGGTCTCGCACACGCTATCAACGGATTCATCTTCCTAAGCGTTATCAGCTGTGGAATTACCAGTGCTTATATTGCCAGTCGCAGCCTGACAGCCCTCGCCGATCTGAATATCGTTCATCCATTCTTCGGCAGGAAGGATAGACAGGGTCGGCCGTATGTGTCGCTCATTATTAGTTTGGGTATTGGTGGTGGATTGTGCTATCTGAACACTGACAGTGTTGGGACTATGGTTTACGGCTGGTTTTCTTCTCTGGTAAGAATTCTCGTTCGAGAGGAAGTGTTCAGTATTGAGTCGTTTCTCAGGTTGCCATCGCCACGCTTTTCCAATGGGCTTCCATTTACATCGCCCATCTCCGATTCCGACAAGGCCTTAAAGTTCAGGGCAAGGTCCTCTCAAGTCTCCCATTCAAGGGCTTCCTTACCCCGTGGGCGCAGTACTTTGGTCTTATCATTGTCCTGTTTGTCTTCGGCTGCGAATTCTATCTGGCATGCTGGCCATTTGGGGAGAAGGGCTCGGTGAAGAGTTTCTTCTCCACTTATCTTGCCGCTCCGCTATTTTTCTTTGATTACTTCGTCTACAAGGTGAGAAGAAATCAGTTTATTATGAAAATTGTACACCATCTGACTTGAGCAGCTGTACTACAAAACAAAGATCGTCAAGCTTAAGGAGATGGACTTTGGCGCCGCAAGAGAATTCGATGACCAGGATATGATCGATGCTATTACCACCGAGGATGCAGAAAGGAGCCCGGAGAAGAGCAAACAAACGACATGGACAAAGCGGGCTCAATATATGATCTTTGGATGAAATTTGGTGGATCCTGGTATTGAGCAGTGTGAATTATTTTGACAACAGCGAGAGAATATTCGTATCAAATTCCATATCGTTGTTTGGCCAATCAGGATTGAAGAACCCAGTCATATCATTGAGATCGGGATTTGTGAAGCTGTCGGTGCCAGGGGTAAGATGCGAAAGTGGACTGAAAGATGATAGCTCCAGATTGCTACCGACTGCGCCCTTATCTTTCTTCAATGATTGCGTCCAGTCCTTGAACTTTGCATATGCAGACACGGTGCTTTGTTCTGTGATTGATTGAGAAGCGACATCCCCTTCCGGGACCTCAAGGAGCTGACTGATAGCCGCTTCGATAGACTCGATGTACGATATCTCCGACTGGGAAGAGCTCCCTCCAATCATTTGACGTATCAGACCCATGCCGCGCTGTAGTCCATCTTGTAGCCTTGGAGACTTGCCTGAGTTAAGTCTTTCCGCAAGAATTACGAGAAGAGCAGCCCGACAAGCTCCGAACTCGTTATAGGAGGCTCGGCAAAGACCCACGTGGTCTGATAGAGATTGCAGAGTATTGAGAATGTCCAATGCGCTAGATACGCAGTCATCCACTAAGACCGATCGGCGTGCTTGGCCTGCATCATTATTTGCACCTGGCACGTTTTCGCTATGAGGATCCTTCTTGTCGACAAATATGAACGGGCGGCCCATGTAAACGTATATGAGTAAGTAGCAAAGTCGTAGATGTGAGTTTTGTCGGAAAAGCGGGCCTTGGGAGCAAAGATCTCGACATTCTATCGTAGCAGGTAGAGTGTCCCACCACTGCTTGATGCCGGTCCTTAGGCGGAGCAGTCGCTCGGAGTACTCGGAGAGGAGCCTCTTGGGGCATCTCTTGAATTGTGATCTACTGTAACATTAGTCTCTCATCTCTCTATGCCAAGTCCATCTCAGGGCTCACTTACAAAGTTTCGGCGACTTCGCCCAGGTATGAAATCAAGGTATGAAAGGCAGTCAGATTTGCAAACCGCGGTGATTCGAATGTAGGGTAGTCTGTTGGATGATCGGCATTGATCTCGGATCGAGCTATAGATAGGGGCCGCCCATGCATAATACTAACATACCTATGAAAAATTAGCTTTCATCTTTAAGACATGCCTATCCACATACTTCTCCACAGTATATGCAGACCAGAATAAACGATTTCTTGTTTCAATTGTTCGATCATCAATATCTCCACCAACGTATTTGCGATGCATGCCATTTTGTATGGCCATCTTCATCGCCAGACCGTAATAAGTGTATGCCAGACCACCAGTCGAAACAGGTAACGAGTATGTGGCAAGAAGTAGGAATACCTGCACGCTCTCATGAGATGCAACTAAAAGCACGTCTGGAATGAGTTTGCAGGCCACGTGGTAGAAGACAAGCCCGACCGAGTCTTCAGAGCAAAGACTCAGCTCATCAGCTATTTCGGAATCTAGCTTTGGCTTTTCATCTTCCATGTGTGCCACCTGAGTACCGATAGCGAGGACAGCAAATACAGAACACACCCATGGAAAGTCATTGGCACTGTAATTTGTGGCATGGTCATAGCAAAGGCTCACTTTTTCCTCGATCCACCTTCGCTCCATGTAGAAGGAATTGACCTCCGCGTATTTAAAGAACATCGTGACCAGAAAGTCGGCAATAGCTCTCGGTGGTAGCTGATTCATACAATTCCTAATATCTTCAGGGGATGATTGAAGCTGTGTTGGACGCCAGTATTCTTTGACCTGTACTGTGTTAGAAGAGTTGCCACCTTCAAGGGGAAAACTCACACTGGTATCAAGCTGATCAATCTGGCAGCTCATTTTGCGACGTATCTTTTGCGAAAAGTTCCAATGCGAGAATTCTCCAGAGTAATGCGCTACGTTACTCGACACAAAATGGACATCGAATGACTCGTTCACGTCCAGGGAACCCTCAGGCTGGTTCGAACTTGATGTCTTGTCTTGCAATCTTTCGGCGATTCGGGAAAGATTCGCCTCGTCTAGAGGCACGTCTCCGAGGAAGTGCTGAACAATATGCTCAAGACTTCGTACTCGCTGGGTATCCTCTCTTGGAACAGACGCAACTGGTACAACGGAGGCACCCGGTGTCAATAAACTCGAACTATCTTGTCCTTGAAACCGACATGGTCGACCAAGGCGCTCACATCGCCAGCATGGAGGACCTCCTTCACATTTCTCCTTTTGTTTTCGGCAGGTCTCGCAGCTTCTAGTTGTAAGTATTGGCTCTAGAGCTTCAGCCAGGGCAGCAGTGACTTACGCCAATGAAGCCCGCCTCTTCTCTCCTCGCTTGCGCTTCGCAGGATTCATCTCAGTATTGTAACTCCATCAAAGGCGATAAATTAGAGAGACGAGGTCGAGTATCTTATCATGCGGGGAAGCGGCGACCAATCACAAGCCGTCGCTAGTATGGCTGGTGCCTTCCTCTTTGGGACAATCAAATCCCCATTGGAATGACTTTGAAACCTTCGAGAACAACTTGAGATGCAGTCACGTGGTTTAGTAAGCCCTCAGACTACTTGGGCCTCGAGTTCTGGCTAAGCCAGGATGGATGTGCAACATGATTATAAACTAAAACAGTAGAAGTAAGTCTCCTGGTGGTCCTCCGCCATGCGATCACTGGCGCTTCGTCATTATCAAATTGGTCGTATTGTCTTATGGTGTATTATTAATGCCTCATATTCGGGACTTATGGCTCACATTGAGACTGCTGAAGCCATCAGTACCCCACCGGAAAAAATTGGCCTATTCGCCAAGGATCTGGAAATTGAAATGGACTTCAAGGAGTGTATGTGATTCATTGAGACTTACTTCAAGGCAAAAGATGATGCTCACACACTTGACTGTGATGGGGTGTTTATTGGAGCTCACTAACGGACACTGCGTCCTGGTCAAACGGATGTTGATATACATTAATAAGGTACCTCTAGCTCAAATACGCTCAAAAAATTGGGCCGAAAGTGGACTGGAAACCATCTAATTCTAAAATTAGTTTCAGGTATACCATGGGAGCATCGAGCAAAGCGGAATCTTTGTCTTGGGTATCAGAGAGCTCGGCGATGCCCTCACTTCGTCGGCAATGCTGGAAAACCAGCTCTTCGATTTCACGCACACAGATGGCCTACCAATGGTGGGGGACGGTCTTTTCCCCCCAACCGCGGGGTTCGGGATGCTGATCAACGCCTTCGACGAAGGACTTCCCTGTTACACTGCAAATAAGGCAATGCGGGTATATCTCTGCAATGGCTCACTCGTCCTCGGGGGCTATAGCTCCGGCTCGGAGGTACTGACTTGTCAGATTCCTACCCCTCTTTATAAGGGTAAGAATGAGTGCCTGTCAGTACCTGAGCATCTTCACTAAGTTGTTATGCCAGGATGGTTAACTACCTAACGGACGTGGCCGAGTGCCGTCTTGTCGCCCGTGGGGCTAATGGTGTCAACGCCTTGCTAATACTTGGTATGGAAAGGATGCACCTCTCCTAGGTCTAAGGCAGCCTCGTCGGGTCAGTGGCTTGTGGGGGCCATAGGCTTCTTTTCAAGGGTTTCTTTTTCTTTTTTCTGCTTGGTTTTAGCAAGCACGCAGACTTAACTTCTTCGTTCGCTTATAGCTCAGCTACGTATATTTGTATAATTGTAGGTTCCGTGTTTATTATCTTAGGTGAAAAACGTGAAAGGGAAGTTTGAATTAAGTTAGAGAAAACCCTGGGTTGTTGAACGTCAGCCCTGGGGTTTAGTTGGGTGTTTAATTGATTTAGAAGTCTAAAGTTCGGATAAAGATACTTGGTATCAGATTTAGCATATGGCAAGGATAGATAAATCATATACAGGCCTTTTCCACTAGGGCACATACCTGTCGTACATCACGACATAGATGATAATGTAAACGGTCTATAGTGCTGTTTGCAAAGCCTGTGGTTGCTTTTAACGCTTTTCTTGAACCAGGCTTTAAATACATCGAATGACTGAAGAAGAAGTCAATTAATTCCATGAAATAGTAACCTCCTCCTTAACCTGGATCCTAGATCGCGATGCTGCAGCACTATCCCTACTACCCTTTCCACGCAGGAAGTGCAATGGCCATCCAGGGAAACTTGTCAGCCGGACTTCATCGCCATGGGGTTGATCATCTTCATTATCCTCGGTAGGTTGTTGTCTGAAACGATAAATCATAATAGTAGAATTGCCCGTTCCATAGTACTTTCTCTTGTTAAAGTTTGAATTTCTGACCCCCAGAATAGCCCACCAGCGACGAAACAATGGTGAAAATGTGGGAATGCAGGCATATACTATTCCAATAACCGGCTCGACGCAGGACCACACGAATACGGAGGCAATTGTCCATGATGGATCATCGGAATGCATGTTTTTGTCAAGGATTACAACACGTACTATTCCGGCGATACAGACACTGCTGAGCAAGGCAAGGTCAGATCATCCCTGAGAAATTTTGGGAAGGGGTACTCACAAGCCGCCTAGAAGTAAGATGCTGATTACAGCCAGTCGCTGAGTTTTCGGCATTTGCAATCTCCAAATGATAGGAGCCGGCACACAAAGAATCATCACATCAACCAAGACGGCAGCAATTCCGTTGACCAAAAAAAATTGAGAAACATCAATACACGTTCCCTCAGCCTCCGAGTTGGTATATTGCTCCCAGAAATGTGACAAGGGGGCGAGCAGGCGACAGACATAGTGATAATGACTGTAATAAAATACCCGAGAATGATAGACAGGAAAACGTACAACAACCAGCGAATGTTCAAAATGCGTCGATAAAACGTCACTATGGAGCATTTCGTTAAGAGTGGTGGTAGCCGAATAGATAAAAACGTGTGTAAGAAGGAGCTTCCCTAGCGCTATGAATTCCGAGTCTGTGAGGGCGTTTTGATGCCAGCCGTTCTTGTACTTGAGACCTTCACGACGTTAGACTATTGCAAGTTGAAAATGCGGTTGATTGACTTACTGATTATCACACATGCAGCAGTTCCATACGCAAAACACTGAGCAATGAAGTCAGATAGAAACTCAAACTATATCCACCCCAGTTCAAAGAATCTACACGTACCAGTGCAACAAGTCTTAGGAAATCGTCCAATCCAAATTTTGTTTGGGAAGACTTTGACCGAGTATACACGCGCAGAACGACAGCCAGAGTTCCAATGATCATCAGTGTGATGACCGCACCCAGCATGCGAGCCTGCTGGTTCTCTGCAAGATCAATGCCAGATGGCGTGGGGCCAAAATCCCCAGTGGCTTTCATCATGCAATAGATGAGCCACGCAAACTATGTGCGAATCTCCGGGATCCAGCATTGACAATCAATCGTGCGCACACGGGGGCTATTGAAGTATTTAAGGACTGAGCGCGATCTTGATATTACAATGCTATCATGATGTACAGTTCCAAGGTTGAGTATGGGCCAAGGTGGATCTTAGACCCCAAGTTCCTGAAGAAATGATGTGTCGATCTCTGTTGGCATGTCAGACTCGTCTTAATATCTGCTACTATTTCCCCGATTGGACAGGGAACACGGGAGTTAGCTGTCAAAGTCAGGGACATGGACTTGGCTGATCAAAATGTGCAGTCTATGTTTATTTTAAAAGATGTCATAGTTTGTCTTGTAGCAAGGGCTCCCCTTAAACGTCATTATATTGGAGAGGATTATCTGCATGGGCAGGGTCTTTAGCCTCACCATAACAACAAACTGTCAAAAATATGAACCCTAGCCAATGCAAAGAGGCAGTAGAGGAGAAAATATCACTAGAAATAGCATTTCCACAACAAGTCCAGATCGAGGGACGCCACGAGTGGGGCTGGTTTCATCTATGCAAGCAACTGGAGCGAGACTAATGATTTTGCCGCGTTCCCGGACGCCTGACAGGTGTGATCGCGGGAAAATGACATACCGCATGCCCCAAACATTTCAGATGTAGCTATCCTTAGTCCAATACGTATGTGTGGTCTTCTGGAGAAGGAAGAATGTGCGAGAGAAACTAGCCAACAATGACTATTTTCGCACTTGACATGTGTTATTTACGATCTTTAGCTTCTTTGTGGTCCTTTTCAAGGCAGGTTTCTCTTGGTCTATCTCCTGTATGCCGTGGTCCAAGTTACATTACCTCGCCAATGCGCTGTCGGCAGTGTTTTATGAACACGCTTCATGCAATGACTAAACTGAGGATTTTACATATGTTCGGCTTCAGCAATGGTTATCAAAAGACCGGGATATTGTTGCATGGGCCTCAATTCCAAAGAAATAAGCTATATCCGGTTATAACCCGGGTGACTCATATAGCTTCCTCACCCCAGATATCGCCGACATCTGCATGATCTTGATTTCAGAACCGTCCTCGGTAATCGGAACTATCACTCAGAACGACAACTGCTCCCCGATGGAGCCGATGCAGGTTGCTGTCGGCAACCCGCCGTCGCTTCGGACACGCCTGTAAGTACAGCGTGTCCATGACGCAGAGCTCAAATAACACCACTGCAGAGACCCTGCCATCATAGCCATTGCTTCCCTTGCTGTGGTCTTCACAGGATGTGGAATCAACTTCTCCTTCGAAGTCTACCAAGAGCTGTATGATTCAATGTCAAAGGAACCCAATCCGCCATTTACCGGCGCTACTCCAGCTCAGATTGACTTGATCGGAACCCTTTCTATCGCCATGATGAACATTGGGACCCCAATCGCAACGACGTGGACAAAACTCTACTCTCCACGAACGGTCACATGGGCATGCGGCGTTATTTTTCCGTTGGCCTTGGTTCTGGCGAGTTACAGTCAGGTCCTGTGGCAATTTATCCTTACCCAGGGATTTCTCCTTGGAGTTGGCACAGGTCTTGGATACATGCCACCCGTGACTGTTGCCCCGACGTGGTTTACACTTCATCGCGGTCTTGCGATGGGAATCATCATGGCTGGAACAGGGCTTGGGGGAGTGGTGTGGCCACTGGCATTCCGATATCTCATCGTTCGCGTGGGCTTCCGCAGCACCCTTCGCATAACAGCTGGCATTTCATTTGTTCTGATCTGTGTCGCGGGGACATTCATGCGTTGGCCACCTAGCCAACTCACTCGAATCCAAGCAGAGAATGCAGCCGCCGCTCGATCCTCTGGAGTCCTTCGCTTCCCACTGGTCAACTGGAGTGTCGTTCGTACTCGGAAGTTCCTTATCCACGCCCTGGGTGCAGCACTTCAATCCGCTGCATGCTACACACCAGTGTTTTTCTTCGCCTCTTATGCATGCACGCTCGGATACTCACAGGCAACATCTGCAAACTTCATCGCCATTTCCAACGCCGCGAATGCCATAGGAAAGATCATCATCGGACACATTGCAGATCGAATAGGTCGAATGAACACGCTTGCACTGGCAACACTGATCTCGGCAGTCTCCGTGCTGGCCCTATGGCTTCCATCTTGTCTTTCCGACACACAATCCAGCGGAAGCAACCTTTTCATTGCGTTTACCATTATATATGGTATCTTCGCATCAGCTTACATCTCACTCTTCCCAGCAAGTCTGATGGAGCTATTCGGCGTGCAAAACTTCACCAGTATCAACGGCTTGTTATACATGGTCAGAGGGTTTGCAACAATGGTCGGAACCCCAGTGGCAGGGGCATTGATCAGAAGCAGCCACAAGAGGGTGGATTCTCGGAGCTATGAGAATACCAGCATCATGGTCGGTGTGCTCTTGCTGGATGCAACTGTTGCTGCGTTGCGGGCACGACCTGAAGTGCCGCTTCCCCTTGATGGTAGACAGGGGCGAATGAAATGGCTGGCATAGAGGGGCTTTTGGTATCCGGTGAATGAAGGGGCCTTTTTAACATGTTGCAGACATTTGGTAAGCTTTATTGAACTCAATTCTATGAATGGCATCTGAATGGACGCTATTGTGACTCCTTGCATGAGTTTCTCGTCACGGAACTATGTAAATCCACTTCAGCGTGTTAGGGACCCACCTGATCGGGGGAGACAAAACCAGGGGCACGCAGTACAAATAATGTTTCCAATGGCTATGTGGTGAGTTTCGCTTAGATTTACTGTGCAATATTGTACTTTATGTTGAAATAGCTTTCCTGCGACTGAATTTTGTGAGCTCGAAGATCCTGGAGAATATATCCGAGACACCGAGGTTTTCCGAACCCCCATGGATGTGTTCATTGTGGAGATCAACTAGAGATCGACATTCGTAAAGATCGAAAGCGATCGGAAGGTTCTGCGTGAATCTGTGGACTCGATGTGTAGATACTTCCAACGTATCAGAAGAATGAAATATAGTCCACAATTAGCCCAGAATCGAATGACTTCCCCCAATAGGTAGCTATGCACGCTGATCCTCGTCCTGGCTATGAAGCTAGTGAGAACTACTGACTGCGGTATTTTGCTGATTCCTCATAACTGAATTTCCTCTATAAATTCGCCTCCATCCCACCCTGAGCGAGTCCCAAAAAAAGCCCTCCAATAATGAAGCCTACACAAGGTTTCAGCAATCTGCTGTGCCTCGCCTCCTTGATTGCGCAGCCTGTTAACGCAATCGTCGGAGGAAGCGATGTATCCGCCGGCGACGCACCATTCGCGGCCGCCATTATCTCCAGCACCAATTTCGGCAACACCTACATCTGTGGGGGCTCACTGATCAGCTCCAAGACCGTGCTCACATCTGCTTACTGCGTCGATGGGTCTTCAGCATCGTCCTTAAGGGCACGAGTTGGCAGTCTCGAACACGCATCTGGAGGCAAAGTGAACCAAGTCATTAAAGTCATCAAGCATCCCAACTACAACACCAACACCAGAGACTTCGACTACGCCATCCTTCATCTCCAAGACGCCGTCCCGGATATCACACCTGCGTTAATTGCCAATGAAAAGACGGAATCTGGCGCGCCTTTGACCCTGTACGGCTGGGGAAGTACGGACAAGGACTCCGAAAAGATCCCCAACAAGCTGCAGCAGCTTGGAACTACATACATTACCTCTGGCGACTGCAACTCAATGTGGTCAGATACCATCGCGGTGACTTACAACATGAACTGTGACGCCGCGCCGGAGAAAGGCAGGGGCTCTTGCACCAAAGACCAAGGAGGTGCCGTTGTCAACGAGCTCGGAGAGATTATTGGTGTTATGGGTCAATACAACTATTGCGATAAGGCGTCAAATGGTCGCCCCGATATCAATAGCGATACTTTGCCTGCGAAGGATTGGATTGATCAAAACACCATCTGATTTTGGTTGCAGAGCGACGTACAAATGTGACGATTTGGAGACCCATAATGTGAGAAGGTTGTCTCTGTAGCAAGATGAAAAAGATTTTCGTAAACGGTCCATACAATAGGTGCATGATGAGTAACTTATCGTAGAGGAATGACTGAGAGAAAAGAATGGTCCCTGAGCCTTCAAAGTATGTACATCCAGTGAAATATATAAGAACTGCCACCCTCGTGGCTTAGACTAGAGCCGCAACCCGGCCTCTTTGTGGCGAATGTCTGGGCCTTCTTGAAGCGAGATGACACCAAGGTCCACTTTGCTATAGTATAAGATCGGGGGTGAGACTTTTGCTTAAAACCACTAGCGTGAAAGCAACCAATGCAGGGCCAAACCAATCGGAAATTAGTCTTCGCGAGTGCCATCAACTATTAAATGTTAGCGTGATTCCTGACAGGAAAAGATGCAGGAATTCGGAGTTAGGGCTAATGATTTTTGTCGACGGATCTATTCAAACCCCGGAGATAGTCCGAGTCAAGCAAACAAGAGAACAAGATACGAATCATATCAAAGCAGATATAGCGGTGTATATGTAGCTCATGACTAGCCATTGGTAGGGTTGAATTCTTCAAATTTTGCATCCCTAACGCGCTTCAACATGCATCATTCATAGATGGGTCATAGATCGTTATCTTATATTGTCTCAGGGTCCAGGCGTCTGCGCCCCCTCTCCTATCCCCATCAAGCCACCGGCAAGTCCGTTCATCCGTCGATCCAGGAGATCCTCCTCACTATCAAGCGAGGCGATACTCCGGCCGCGGGGCCGGAACGCACCCGGACTCTCAGGGGCACTGTTTGTCTCATCTGGATCGAACATATCTTGGCGACTAGCTCTTTCTAGATGCCGCAGCTTGGCAATAAAGTCATCCTTTGCGCTGCTATCATCGTTCAATGAGGTGAATCCTCTGAACTGCGAAGAAGCGAAGGATGATCGCGATCTCCTGCGTCGGGCCCGATGCTCGGGTTTGGATGCGGAAACATTCTCGCTGTCATTCAACGACGTGATCTTACTCATACCCATTTCCAATGGTCTATCGTCATCGGCCGAAGATTCCCCAGTGAAGCTGCGATGGTGGTTCCGTCCATTTTGGGTGATACTTGGCTCTTGATGCGTCGAACGAGACCACTTGAGAGAACTGCTGCTACTAGGGGCCTTTCCAGGGTTCAGCAGATCAGAGTCAAAGTTATCGGTCTTCATGTTCTCAAACAATGTCTCAAGCCATTGTGCGCTGCGGTTGATATACTTCCACGCGTCGGGGAAGAACCCGGCCATTTGCATAAACCCATGCGATACTCCAGGGATTAGGGAAAGTTCGACATAGTTCTTTTCGTTAAAGGGGCGTTTAGAACCTTCCAATCCTAGATCTTGGCGCTCGCGGAACTGGTGCAATTTTGCTTGGCGCAATCTGCCTGCAAAGATGACGGTGTCATCGACGAGAGGATCTCTCTCGCCGGTCATGATGTACGTCTTCGGGAACCGAGCAAGTAGAGCATCTGGCGCCAAAACGGGAGACAGGAAGAAGTCCGTATTGAAATCTGGGCGGTGATGCGGTCCGATGTACAAAATGATCATGGCGCGTGTCATCTCAGGGGTGAGGATCCGATCGTGGACGTAAGTGATCATGGATGAGACGGCGAGTCGGGTCTTTATTGGTGCAACTTCGTCCTCTCCTTTTGTGGCAGACGTTTTGGCCATGTCCTCGTTCTTTTGCAACTCCTTCCCTAATGAATTCGCAGACTCGGTAGCCATATTGGTTTCTTCCTGAGTCTTTGGCTTCACGAGCGTCTTTTTCTGCTCCGGTGGTGACAACGCAGTCAAGTCTTCAACCGAGTGTCCTGGCGATGTAAACGGTGTGAGCTTTCGATATTGATCCTGTTTTCGTTGAAGAACACCGCGGTTGGTTTGGCGTGAGCTCTTGTCTTGAATGAGTGACATCTGTTCATCACTCATCCAGCTCTCAACCCTCATGTTCAGAGCCGGATACCCCAAAACCAGCCCATCAGGACTTGGAAGCACATCGTCTCCACGCCATCCTTGTCCCATGGCAGTCTGTAAAATCATCAAAGTCATTCCCACAGCTAAATTTCCACCAGCACTTTCACCCGTAACCAAAATGCGAGGACGATCCGTGCCGCTGAGACCCATACATCGACCATTCGTGGCAATGATGCTATGATAAACATCGTAACATTCGTGCAGCGCATATGGATACGCATATTCGGGCGCTTTTTTGTAATCAACGCTAAGAATCGGAACTTTCAATCGTCCAGCCCAAGATAAGAGCTTGTCTTCGGAGTTCCTGGGGCTCATGGCAACAAAGCCACCTCCGGGGACATCTAGCACCAAGCTAGTCTGATCGCGTAACGCACTTAATGGGCCATCAAAGTAAAGCCATGCGCTCACTGGCTCCGTGTAGACAGAGTTTGCAGGACGGGGAATCCGGATCGCCCGAGCTGGATACCGAGTGAGTCGTGGGCGTACGAGTTTTGCCAGAGTCCACAGATAGGGACTGGTAGCCTTGTTCCAAGATACTCGCAGATGCTCAAGCGTCAATGTTGCCCGGACCCTGCGAACCTTCTCATCTGCATGTTCCGCAGCAATGAGATAGTAAGCTGTGAAGACTAGCGACGCAATATCTCGTAGCCACTTCGGTTTGATGTTCATCGCTGTCCAAAAACCAGCGTCCAAGCCTGTGGTAATCCATGTCGCTCGGAAAAATGATCGCGAATACATATTTGCTAACGGTTCAGGGCATTCCAGGCCAACGATCTTGGCGAAGTTCCGGCTTAGGTATAGCCAGAGGAAGATGATGACTGTCGTCTGCCATGTTGTCAACTTGCCGGTGAATCGGGAGGAGAGCTTTCGAATGAATAGTGGGCCATGTCTATCTGCTCTGTCATGTGCCTCGTTAGATCTGGGACCCCGTAGAAAGCAGATCTATGCTCGTACCTTAACAAGTATACTGACCAAAAGGAGACCACTGCAAAGACTTGGATCTTGCGGAAACGGGTGGATGGCCTCCCCAGAACGTGATCTGGATATGTATTAGTTTGATTTCGCGCAAGGGGGAAGACACATACCTATCATCTCTAAAGCTAGGGCTGAAGTGTCATCAATGTAATATGCAATATATAGCTTGGGGAAGCACGAGGTAGAGTTCACATCAGAGAAGAGACAAAGCCCGCTGAGCCCTGAGGTTCCATTAGCTCAGCCAGCACGTCACTTGAACAAGGCGCATTCCGCTTAGCTTTGGAGAGTCCAATCAACACGATGCGGTTGGAAAGAATCACATGTGAAGGGATCCCCACAATCACATGTGACGTGACATCACGAGATGCGTTTGCACGTGTTTATGCTTTTATGCTTAATTGTTTATTCTTTATGCTTATTCATGATTGTTTACTCCTGAATGTATCTATGTCTTCTGTCGACAGAAGTCTCGTCCATGTCCAACCTGCCAGTTGCACAGCCAGACCTCCCATCCCATACTGAGGAATCCGGCAATACAGATACCACCGGAATCACTGACAGTAGTAGCGCCGAGTGAGAACTCACGATCTTCCTTGGGCACGCGATCGGCAATCTCAGCAAAGGTGTTGACGTATACCACTCCACCGAGGAGACCTTCCCAAAAAACGATAATGAAAACAATCCATACACTGGGAATGAAATCAAACAGGGCGTGCAGGGTCAACAATATGAGGTTGGCTACCTGGAGGAGCGAGGGGATGTAAAGATTGTGGATGCGGTAGAATGGGGTCGAGGAGCGGGAGACGAACACGCCGATTTGGTAAATGGCATTGTAGGTGGGATAGAAGGACCGGAAGTGCTCGAAGGGCGATTCGCGCAAGGGGAAGAGTAAAGTAGGAGAAACTCCTTGGTTGATCACATACTCGGCAATGTAGACCAACAACATTGGGACCATGCTAGATTAACCCGTCAGTCTTGAGATATAACACCTGTAAGAGCACATCCAAAAGATAGTACTCACAATGGAATAAAAAGCCCTTTGACACGGCGCAAATTGGCTAGAGCCCGGTCTTGCCAAGGACCTTCGTCATTGACATGCACCGATTTAGGGATATTGGAGCCACTGTGAGAGGAGCCAAGCAGACCCTCATTCTCCCCATCCATCTCATCCTCTTCCACTTGTTCACCTCCCTCAACAACGCGATATCTATCAGCACCAGCCTCAGAAGATCGCAGGGGAGCCTTCGGTAGCACGAGAAAGAAGCTCATAGCCATAATAGCCGGCAAACAAGCCGAGACCAGCAGCGTGACATGAACAGAGAATCCCAACGCCGAAGTCGCCAAGGCATAGGCACCAGCACCCACCAAACCGGCAGCACCAGTACCACTTCCCCATGAAGCCAGACTAAACGGCCCATAGAAATGCGTAAGACCCATGAAACTCAGCTCACCACCACCGCTGGAAAAGCTAGCCAGGATAATACCCGCGATCTTCGATGATATGGTTCCTCCATCAGTATAACTGGGGCTCATAGCGACGACTAGCATGCCAACGGAAGACAAGAAGACGAAGATCAGGATGCGCATCCAATACGGGACCAGGTGGATAAAGTACGGGGCGACCAATTTGGTCGCGAATGAGGGGATCACATCTGCGAGGAGGACGACGCCTTTGGGCACATCGGGTCCGACTAGATCTACAGCTGCTGATAAGATAATCACGTATATGACGTTGTTGATCAGGCCTGTGTAATGTGTAAGTATGAGAGACGACTGGTCAAGCTGTCAGAATATTGCGCACCAAACAGCCAGAAAGCGATACAGACTCGTGGGTCTGCGCCGCTAAATGCATCGTTGATGCGAGTGCTAAAACGGGTCCAGAGGGATGGTTGCTCTTTGGAGGGAAGCGACGGAGCGTCCTCGTCGGACATGGGGTGAGGCATTCGAAAGTTTCGTTAGGGAGATGCTACAGAGAAGTCATGGAGAAATCCATGGCTTTAGGGGGTTGTATCAGAATTACGGAGACAGCTGGAGTGACGAGTCCTTATCCCCACAGCTCCACGGGGTCCACCGCCTTCCGCCCCAACGCGTAAACACTTCAGTAACAACACTTCACAGTAAGAAAGGCACTTTTCTTTCGCTCTTAATGTCTATACAGAAAATGATAACATGGTATATTTATCACGAAAACAAAGTCATAAGCGGCATTCAGATCAAGGTGTTTATGCCTTCACGACTGATTCCATGGCCTGCTCAAGGATACGCAGACTGGTCTGAATCTGGTCCTCGGTGATCGTCAGAGCAGGGACAAAACGAATGCAGCCTTCACCAGCAGTGATGATAAGCATGCCACGCTCACGGGCAGCAGTGATAATGTCACCCGCCTTGGCGGTGAACTCCGGGGCAAGCTGGAGACCAAGGATGAGACCGCGGCCACGGATCTCAGAGATCACGCCGGGGAACTTCTTCTGTAGGGTCTCGAAGCCGGACACAAAGAGAGCAGACTTGTCCTTGACGGCCTGCTGGAGCTCGGGCTCAGCGAGACGCTCGACAATGTGGTGAGCGACGCGGCAGGCCAGAGGGTTACCACCAAAGGTGGTGCCGTGGTCGCCAGTCTTGATGTGCTGGCCGACAGTCTTGCCAGCGACAATGGTGGCACCAATTGGGATACCGTTACCAAGGGCCTTAGCAGTGGTCAAGATATCGGGGTGGGCAGCTTCTCCGGAAGCCGGAGCGAGAGATGGGTGGGCGTGAGCCCAGAGGGAACCGGTACGGGACAGACCGCACTGAATCTCATCGAAAATTAGGACAGCGCCGACCTCGTCACAGCGCTTACGCAGAGCAACAAGGAACTCGGGAGTAGCGCTGTTGACACCACCCTCACCCTGGATGGGCTCGATAATTACTCCGCAAGTTTTGTCGGTGATGAGAGTTTGAAGCTGGTCGATCTGGTTGTAGTCACCGTATTTGAAGCCGGGTATCATGGGCGAGAAGGGAGTTTGGTACTTGGGGTTGGGAGTGGCCGAGAGGGCACCCATTGTGCGGCCGTGGAACGAGCCGTTGAAGGACACGAACTCGTGCTTCTCGCCGGAAGGGTTCAGAGTGCGGCCGACCTTGCGGGCAAACTTGATGGCGGCCTCGTTGGCCTCAGTGCCGGAGTTGGAAATGAAGACCTGGGACGCATCGCGCATGGCACCAGACTTGTGAGTCAACTCAATGAGCAATTTACTCAGAGCACCAGTCCAAGGGTTATGGTAAAGGTTGGAGGCATGGATAAGGGTTTCAGCCTGCAATTGGGTACCGCAGTTAGCAATTGATCTCTATTGAGTCATGGGGCATTGTAGCGCACCTGCTCTGCAATGATCTTGGCGATCTCGGGGTCACAGTGGCCGAGGGAGTTGACGGCAATACCTGCTGTCAGGTCCAAATAGCGGCGGTTTTCCATATCCCACAAGTAGCAGCCCTGTCCCTTCAGCATCATGGGTGCCGGGCGAACGTAGGTCGGGACCATGAACGGAGCCCGCTCATTGATAAACGAGGCAGTGACTGAGTCCGCTGAGGGGTCGGGGTTGGGGAGAGTTGCCTCCTTCTGTATGACTGTTAGCTCCAAATTCCGAAGCTGAACATGAGCGTGGGCTATAGTCCATGCGTACCTGTGCCTTAGCCACATTGGCAGTGGTGAATCGGCGCACTGGCGATTCAAGGGTAGGGACCAGCTTGGATGCGCGAGGCAGTCGGCGCGCGGCCATGCGAAGAGCAGACATGGCAGATATATTCAAGAGAGAAATTAACACAAAAAATGAAATAAAACAAAAACCGAATGTACAAGCTGGAGGAGGTGAAGATCAAACGGTCTAATCAGATCCGGGAAAAAAAGGCGATATCGGGATCGGCTCTTAGTCACTCGGAGTGACTCAAAACATTCCAAACTTTCCCAACTTCACCTTGCTGGATATCACATACTCCTCATATACCATGTCTTTCTCACTTGCTATTCGCCGTTCAATTCTCTCTGTCCCCGTTCGGGGCGCTGTCCGGCCACTCTCCACAACTCGGGCCCTGCGCCAATCCGACGACAAACCTATACCATTCTCCAACTCCCCGGCTCCTCCGCGCCTCCCCAAGGAGGAACAAGAGATCTTCGAAAAGCTCCAGAAGCAGTCTACTGGTGCATTTAGCACACCTCAAGTCAACCAGTCCCCGCAGGGCGAGATCCAGGCCGACGGCAAAGGTGGCGAACTGCATCCCGATGCGCCGAAGAAAATGATGCCCGAGTTCGAGGGCGAGACAAACCCCAAGACTGGCGAAGTCGGTGGACCCAAAAATGAGCCCCTACGCTGGGGATCTGCTGGTGATTGGAGCTACGGAGGTCGTGTCACTGATTTCTGAGTGAAGGCGACTTGGTCAGGAAGATTTGCATCATGCCGGCGTTGGTATTTCTTCAAGGGTATAAGTCTGCAGCTCTGGAGTAGTGGGTGGTTAATATATAAGTCTGCCTACAGTGTACATAGCAAGATGGCCTGAACTGTCAACTCAAAAGCATATTATACGGATGTTGCGATGTTTCGCATACATGCTCAACTATGAAAATGACAGGGAATTGGGCGCGGATAAAAAGAGAATATGCTACGGTAATCACAGTGATGCTTTTTCTGCCGACAGACGAGAGACAGTCGCCTTGCCAGCGCGGCTCTCATTAGCCCGGCCCAACTCTCCGCTGATCCAGGATCCAATCTTTGACATCTCCTCCAGACTGATCCCCGTGTGCATCCCCAGACTGTGAACTGTGTGGACAAGATCTTCTGTCGACACATTTCCAGTTGCACCTTTGGAAAACGGGCAGCCACCAAGACCTCCAACGCTGCTATCAAAGATGCGAACACCGTGCTCCAGGCCAACGATAGTGTTCACCAAGGCCTGACCATAGGTATCATGGAAGTGGAGGGCCAAATCTGTGTTTGCTATGCCAGCTGCCTTCAGCGCAAGGAGAAGTTCCATAGTTCGTGGCGCAGTGCCCATGCCAGTGGTGTCCGCAACCGAGACCTCGTCTGCTCCCATCTCGAGCAAAGTAGCAGTGATCTCAGCGACCTTGACGGGATCCACGTCCGGGCCCTCATAAGGGCATCCGAGGGCGACAGAGACATAACCGCGGACTCGGATATTCTTTGTCTTTGCTAATGAGACAATGGGCTTAATTCGCTCAAGCGACTCGGCAATTGAGCAGTTGGTGTTGGCTTGCGAGAAAGCTTCGGTGGCAGCGGCGAAAAGAGAGACCTCTGTTGTTGTGGCAGCCTTCGATGTTGACCCAGTCGCATCTGCGGGGACGCCTGTGGTTTCCATGATCTTCACCAAGTTCTCTAATCCTCTGATGTTGGGGACAAGGTAGTTGTATGCAATCGTATCTTGCGCTTTCGGTGGTGTAGTGAGCAGATGCTCACATATCTCCGATGTGCTTGCCATCTGTGAGGTACCCTAGTTAGTCTTGATCCTACTGCCGAGCTGAACGGTAATACTCGGCGCAATCATACCTGTGGTACCCATTTGGCAGGGACAAAAGAACCGGCCTCGATGGTAGTCACACCTGTCTTAGCCAGTCTGCGGATCAGTTCGAGCTTCGTATCCATCGAAATGGACTTCTTCTCGTTTTGCAGTCCATCTCGAGGGCCAACCTCCACGATGCGGACATGGTCCGAGGTTAACCGCGACTCAGTCGCAAAGCGGCGTGCAGAGGGAGGAACACGCAAGGCTGAAAATAGACGCAATTGGGGGCGAGCTGCCATCATTTTATTGAACCGGCCAAGGGGTATAACTAGCAAGGTAACAATTCAGCAAGAACTGGCTGGAGAAGACGAGGGAGCTGTGGAATGGAGGCCGAGATGCGGAGAGCGCCTTACCCCTTTGAGCCTAGTTACCACCCCACCTTCTGACTCAGCAAAAAAAAGAAGTGGGATGATCAATCGACGATTGACTCTTGTCAGTTGTAGATATTTACTTCTCTTATCGGATATCATGGATTTACAGTCTCCTACTCCCTCGGTAGAGGACGGCTCGCAGGCAACTGCCAGCTCACTGCGTCAGCCAAAGAAAAGATTTGTTGGACGACGAACCGCAGATGCCCAAGCCCAGAAAGACACTGGCAAGGATGTCGAGTCGACAGCGGTGCAGACTGGTATGCGCATCTCCTTGAGTCTCGCAAAACCAATATACTGACTTCCATTTCCTTACAGCTGCCCCGCGACGAATCCCTCGTACGCTCAATCAAGTCCCACCAGAGATTCTGAACGATCCCGAAATCCAAGAAGCATTGGAGCTTCTCCCCAAAAATTACTCTTTTGAGATCCCCAAAACAATTCACCGAGTCCGCACATCAGGCGCAAAGCGCGTGGCCCTTCAATTCCCAGAGGGACTCCTGATTTTCGCGACAACCATCTCCGATATCCTGACCCAGTTCTGCCCAGGCATCGAAACATTAATTATGGGCGATGTCACTTACGGCGCATGCTGCATCGACGACTACACCGCAAGAGCTTTGGGCTGTGACCTGCTCGTGCACTACGCCCACAGTTGCCTAATTCCAGTGGACGTAACAAAAATCAAGACACTATATATCTTCGTGGACATCAGCATCGACACAACCCATCTGCTAGCCACCCTGGAGCGCAACTTCAAACCAGGCCAAAGCATCGCAACAGTCGGCACGATCCAATTCAACGCCACCCTTCACGGCCTCAAGCCAGTCCTCGAACGCGCCGGCTTCCGCGTCGTAATCCCACAAATCACACCCCTCTCCAAAGGCGAGATCCTCGGTTGCACATCACCCCAACTAGCCGATACAGAAATCGACGCAATCCTCTACCTCGGCGATGGCCGCTTCCACCTCGAATCAGCCATGATCCACAACCCCACCATCCCAGCCTACCGTTACGATCCGTACTCACGCACCCTCACACGCGAGAGCTACGAGCACGAGGAAATGCACACCATCCGCCGCGACGCCATTGCCACCGCCCAATCCGCTCGCAAGTGGGGTATCATCCTCGGTTCTCTGGGTAGACAAGGAAACCCCAACACGATGGCGATGATCGAAAAGCACCTGCGCGAGCGTGATATCCCCGTCGTCAACCTGCTACTCAGCGAGATCTTCCCGGGCAAGCTAGCCTCCATGGCAGATGTGGAGTGCTGGGTGCAGATTGCCTGTCCGCGCTTGAGTATTGATTGGGGCTATGCATTCCCGCGACCATTGCTGACACCTTACGAGGCATTGATTGCGTTGGGAGTACGTGAAAACTGGGATAAGGGCAATAAGGGTGTGTACCCGATGGACTTTTATGCGAAGGAGGGACTTGGTCGGACGAGGCCAGAGCAGGCTGCTTGATCTGAATCAGTTCGAGGATGTTTGCCTGGTTGGCTCGTTCAGAAAATCAAAAGAATATACCCCCCATAAATAGATCCAGGGCAGCAGGACTGGCTCTGGATTGAGAAGTCACGACAATGATATAGACGGTCATCTTTTTATGAGGATATTCAGGTGGGAGATATATAGTTTCTGGTACTATAGGAAGAGAGCCAAGTCCTCGTATTTTGAGTGTGCTATAGCTTAAAGAGAATCCACATGGCCATGTGATTAGCACGATAAGTTCCAAAGATATACAACTTAGAAATACAAAAGCGAAGGACAACGGTTATTAATGACCGCCGGGCTATCGAAGGCACCGACGGGAGATATCATGTTAATTCATTTCCAAAAAGTCAATAAGACAGACAGAATCCTAATCGAATACAAAGTTCATAATACAATAGCAAATGAAGAATCACCCCTTCACATCGTCAGCACTGTCAGTGTTGAAATCACTGGCACTGCCACGGCGAAGAGAAAGGATATTCTTATTAGCCAGTTCGTCCGCAGTACGCTCAGCAGCACGCCACCTGGTAACAGCTTGCTCGACGTCTCCAAACATCTCCAGGGAATCATGGATGATACCGCCCTCATCGCTGTCGCCCATTTGAGTGCTTTCGCGTGAGCCGCGGTCACTAGTCATGGGGAAGGCCGGCCCGAATCCACGCTGGGGGATGGGGTTGAACATGATGGCGTTGGCGAAGATGCGGATAAACTCTTTCTCCAGCTGTGCGGAGTTGACAATTCCTTTTGGGGGTACGAAATCCTCATTCTTCTGTAACACGAGGACACCGTTCTTGGACGATGGTGTACCGCCGGGAGCGGGAGACTCTCCATCTCCAGCAGGGGTACTGACGGACTCTGCGGCCGTGGCGACTGCTTTGCTTCCTTGGTGAACGGCAGATTTGATAGACTTGAGATCCTGTGGGCGGTAGATGAGATCGTGGTAGCCAGGTGCGTCACGCTCCCCAATTGGCTTACTGAAAATAGACGCAAGCTTATGGGTGGATACATCGTTCATGATAGGAGCAGCAGTTCGGTGGAAGTTGCGCGTTGCCATGACATACTGAGTTGTGTCGAACTTCGGGATGTCTGAAGGGTGAGGTTCCTGTTCTAATGCTTCACTTGGCCCGCGCTTGCGCTTAGATCGAGGTTTGGGGGTCTCCTCGTTCGCAGCAGCAGCAGCGCCCTTCCGGCGGCTCGTTGTCCGCTCTGAAGGCGCGGGGGATTCACCACGAGAAGCCAGGGACCGTCCACGACTCTGGGAAGAGACCGAACTTGCAGCACGTGTCCTTCGAGTCGAAGTTGGTTTCTCTGGTCTCTCAGTCTTAACATTAACAGCAGACTTGCTGTCGGCACGGCCACGTCGAGGTTTCTTTTCCTCGGGAGATCGGGCTCGTTGAGCGCGGTTCATCCTCGGAGGTGGTGACATGTCCATCGCATCGATTGGCGATTGTGCCCTATCACTGATCGGGCTGACATCCTCCGGCAGGGGACGTGGAGGCGTGGGTGGGGACTTTGGAATGCTCAAACGAGGAGTCCTTTTCCATGGTGTCGAGGAACCTTGCGTGTCGATCGACAGCCGTGGATGAGAAGCACGCGATTCAGAGAATGAGGGGAATGTGAAACTTGGAGTTTGAGAGATGCGAGGCCGGCCGATTGGGACAGGGGTTTGGACCGCGGAGGCAGCACCAGGTGTGTTTGGGAAGGGGGTAGATTGGAATGGTACAGGAGCTTGCGATCCCGGTTCCGGTTGGTTGGTAGAGAGAGGTGGTACAGGTCGTTTAATATTGGCTTGGGCTGCTTGTGGAGTAGCAGTACCCGGAGAAATGGCGGGATAGGTAGAGTGGGGAGAAGGGTCGAGCTGCCATTGCTGGAAGCTCGGCTGAGCTGGGGTGCGCTGAGGGGCCGGCGGGAGGGCTGGTCCAGGCTTACCAGGAAGGAGTGTAGGCGTAGGATGGGCACGGGGTGCGATTTGTGAGGGATGGGCCGGGGTGATACGCGCTCCAGCGGGTGTGGTAGGTGATTTCTGAGTAGAGGGACCAAGCTGGGGCTGGACAGGCGGTTTGGCCAAGGGTTGAATGTTGGCGGCCGGCGGCTGTGGCTGCCCAGCCCCTGGAGCTTTGGGCGCAGGAGTCTGTGCTTGTGGTTGAACTGGTGGTTGGCTCACAGCAGATGGCTGTACTTTTGGGATGTTTTTACTCGGAGGAGGCACATTCACCTCGATACGCTGCGGCCGTGGTTCTGGCGGGGCTGGCTTGTCTTGCGCGTGTGGGACAGTTGCGGCTAAAGGCTTGCCTGTCCGATCTTGAACATTTTGGCGGGGCGTTTCTTCCTTGACATCAATATCCGTGGGTTCCTTGTGTGCTGCCTTTGCGGGCTTGGATGGAGTCGCCTCTGTGGGTTGGTCGTCCTTTTGTAACCGCACGAGTTCCGCCCTGATCTCTGTGTACTGCTTCTCATCGTCCCTGATTTCCCTGGTCACAAGGTCTCTGTATTTAGCGTATAGATGTGCCACCAATTCTGGGATAAGCGTGGCATGTGTGACCCCGTCTGCTAATCCTTCTGGTCGCGGGCTCGATATCTTGCGCTTCTTCGGGTTTGGCGGGTTTGAAGTATCTGTCGATCGACCATTGACTGGGAGTACTGCATCTTTGTTGAATCCATCGCGCATCAGAGTCGCATACAGATCTTCCAGCGCCTCGGGTGTCAGGCGATCTGCATTGAACTCGACATTCTCGCGAACCAACGGGTTATTGCGCAAGAGTGTTGAGATAGACCCAAAGCTTGTCGGCTTAGAATCAGAGATTGCTAGCGACTGGAAGAAGAGCAGCGACTCAAACGAAGTGTATGCCGACAGTGGAGGCATCCCCCATAGCCCGTCCGGTCGGCCACTGGGGGAAAGAGCTTTGGGGATGGGGGCCACGGTGGTCGGCGAGATAGGTTACGCGGAGGCGTTTGATATTGAATTTCCGGTATTCTCGGTCGGTTCAGGTATCAAGATCGGGGTAGCCTGGAAAGGAAAGGCGAACGCGACAGACTGGATCTCCTGTATGCGGAGCCTTTAATCCATCCGGGCGGGAGAAAAAAAAAAGGAGTAAAAATTCAAAAAAATTAGCGCCCACAACAGAACACGATAAGAATACGCGTCTCCAAGAGGCAAATAGACCTGGAATTGAAAATCACCGATGAGTTTTGATGAAAAGAGATCTGGAAGGGGAGGTTGGCCAAGGTCTGAGAACGTTAGTCAGGTGACCCTGTCAGGGCTGGTTGCCGGGCAGAAGTCAGAATGCCAGATCTACACTATATTCAGTTCTTTATATTGCACGATTCATGTAAACGAGATCAGATCTGTGCTTAGGACCTATAGGGCGTTGACAAACCACTTGGCCACGTCAAGCCACCTCACGCGTCTACTGCTCCAATAAGGTATCACTTCACATGCACTTTGTGTTCAAGTCCTGAGAAAATCCGACTTTCTCTATGTAATTTTTGCTCATCTTTGTTCTTTTGTATTCAGTGTATTTTCTATAATTCCGAAAGAAATGAAACCCACATTGTGCCATATAGCAATTGGACGCCAATTTCACCATTGATATCGGTGGTTGGTAGACTCGAGTACGATACTTACTTGACTATACATTGATCAAACTTAGATTTCTTAAAGAGCTAGCACCTATGCATTGCATGCCTTATTTATATTTCCCAGTCATTCGAATGGCCCGCAATAGAATGGTAAGCTAGAAGCGCTGATACATGTATACTTCTCTCTTTCAGCTAGAAAAGGAACAAGATCTAAAATAGCCCAAAGAAGCAGAGGTCTTGCATATTCGATGGCTTGCACTTTCGGCTTTGATCCTACTCTATCATTCGCGGTGTGCTGTAAACGTGTTGTGTGTTCTGCTCGTCATAGATGTCAGCCTGGCTGAGTACTATAAGCTATAGATAAGAAAAGATCTGGAAAAGCGATCACTTGGCAACAGAGCCTCCTTGGTTCCTGGGGAAGTCATACCAGTATGAACAGCCAATTACCCAGAGAATTGCATCAAATGAAACAATGAAAAGAAGACATTTACATGTAGATGGTCTTGGCGGTCGCCTCAGGCATACGTCATTCACAGTCAGTCACGTGTGTTACAGTACCTGGAAACGGCGAGTTTGTTTGGATAGCTACTCTACTCTGTACTCCGTACACACTTGGGAAATACCTGTAGAGTGGACTCTGTTAATCTTAATAATTTCAATAAATCCTATTAAGATGAATGTGATCCATGAATAATATTACATTACACAGTAAATGGCTCCCCCTTTTTCTCCAGGTTAAGAGGGGCTAACCCCTGAACCCCTTATAGATGGGCATATCAGACCCCTGTGTAAGACCAATACCGTAACACTTACATGTCTCCTTGCGGTGGATATGGGACTCGAATTACCGCGACTAGTAACGTAGTGGGCTCAAGGATCATCTCTCCTTCATCTTCCTCTTCTTCTTCATCCTCCCTCTTCAAACTCTCCCCAAGTTGACACCGTCTCGCCATACGCTACTCGAGCCGTGCCGCCCGTCTCTATACCTCCGGTATTTACCTCCCCACCCGATCGTGGCGCATAACTATAAAGACTCGAGACTGACAGTGTTTTCCCATAGTCTGAAACCCTTGCGCCCCTCGGCTGGTCCTTGTCTCGACACATCAGCTTAATATCTTAACACACTCCTTGTGCCCCTCACGGTTGCACATCCCTCGGTCGACCATCTTACATCTTCTGGGGTCCCGATAGCGGCCCGTGCTGGAACATTCACATTCAGAAACATCATGTCTGACATGGATCGCGAGTGGAAGCCCAAGGTCCGGCCACAGTCGTTCGTACCCCTCGAGCCTTCAACCCCTCGGTTGTCAACACGGCACTAACAGTGACCTAGGACCATGGCCCAAGCCTTTTCCTCCGCGTTGGACAGTGCCTTCATGCTTGACTCGGATGTCAACAACCTCTCCCAAACCATCGACCAGAAGTAAGTCGCGCGTGTTGACTCCTTTGAGCCTCCAGTCGCGACTTGAGCGACTTTTAATTTACCGGGCGCTAATCGCGCCCCACCCACAGGAAGCAGCAAATGATGATCCAAAGCCGCGAATTGGAAGAGCTGCAAGAGCGCATCCGCGAGGCGGAGAGGCGCCTTCAGTCGCAGCAGACCGGCGCGACCGGTAACAGCTCCCGACGACGGGAGGAAGGTCAGACAGCCGGTGAGCGTTCGACCTGATGGGTTATCCCAAGGCTGGGATGTTCTGCGGGATCTGACTGTGAACAGCGTCCCACGGACCCAGCAAGCAGCCTGAACAGCCTGAGCAGCGAGAAGATAATCCGGTCTGATGCTATTCGCACGGACCCCTCATAGAATATAAGGCTGGGAAGCGTCAGGGATCTATGAGATATGTAGACCCGCGCCGCGTCTGATAGACGCGTTCCAGTCGGCGTGGTTTGGGATGATTTTTATTGCTTTGGTTTGCATTTGAGAACCCCCTGTATCCTCTTTGGAGGTTGCCCTAAGGCGTAATTGCGCGAAATTGCCATTATGTTGAATGTGATAATATTATGCTAACATGAGCTGGAGTATAGAGCATAGAGTACAGAGAGTATGCTATGCTGTCTATAGCATACCAAATAGTATATAGACTTATAGCGTAACATCTATTTCCGCTGCAGACCCGAGCCCAGAATGCAATGGACCTCCGGCTCGACCAATCACAGCCCTATCAAACCCATCCACTTCGTCATACCTGTTTTTTGCTGGCCACAAGTCCCCCCAAAGCTCTTTCTTGTGGAGCTGTCACCACTGCCTGAGCTCGTGGGCGGAGTAGTCTGCCCCTCCCCCATTCCCTGTTCTTCCCTTCTTCTCCTCCAGCTTTTCTACTTTTTCCCATTTTTTAGTAGTTTTCGAGCCTTTTGCCAGGTCGCTTTCTCTCAATTACCGTCGTTGACCATTCATTATGGTGTTAATCGATGGCCATGAGTTCCTCACAGAGGAAGAGAAGCGCCTCAAGGAAGACCGGGAGAGAACCAAGTACTGGAAGAAATGGGGCCCGTACGTAGCCGAGCGTCAGTGGGCGACAGTGAGAGAGGATTATTCCGAGGATGGTGACGCCTGGAGCTGTGAGTAAAGTCCACAATTGAGACAAAACGCCGCTGACCTGGGACCGGGTAGATTTCACTCACGACCATGCGCGCTCGCGGACCTTCCGCTGGGGCGAGGATGGAATTGCCGGTGTCTCGGATACTCATGCGTTGCAGAACATCGCCTTTGCTTTCTGGAATGGAGAAGAGTAAGTCTAAGCTCTCCTTGTGGGTCCAGATCTGGGGAAACTAACTGGGGGATCAGCGACTTCCTGAAGGAACGCCTGTTCGGTCTGTCCAACCCTCAGGGAAATCACGGAGAAAGTGTCAAGGAAGCCCATTTCCATCTGGACAATACCCCGACTGTAAGTCAATGTCGCCCGGGTCCCTGTATCGCTTACTGACTTGGATAGCACTCGTATATGAAATTCCTCTACAAGTACCCCCAGAGGAAGTTCCCATACCAAAATCTCATCGATGAGAATGCCAAGCGCTCGCGTTTGGAGCCCGAGTACCAGATCTTGGATACGGGTATCTTTGAAGAGGACCGTTACTGGGATATCTTCATCGAGACTGCCAAGGAGGCTGACGACGAGGAAGAGCTGATCTTCCGTGTCATCGCATACAACCGCGGCCCGGACCCTGCGAAGCTTCACATCATTCCTCACGTTTGGTTCCGGAACACCTGGTCCTGGGGAGACGAGAAGAAGCAGGAGAAGCCTTCTATCAAGCTGGACGGTGCCTTGCACGCTAAATCTAGCCATGCCAAGATTGGCGAGCGATACATCTCCTTCGCTCCATCGCCTCCCGTTGGCTCCAGCGATGACGATATTCAGCCTCAGATGTTGTTCACTGACAATGAGACAAATCACAAGAAGCTCTGGGGTACCGAGAATGAGACTCCATATGTGAAGGATGCGTTCCATCGCCACATTGTTGAGGAGGAGAAGAGTGCCATCAACCCAGACAATGAGGGTACCAAGTTTGCTGCGTGGTACTCCTTCAACGAGGGTGAGGGAGTTCCTCCCGGTGAGTGTGCCGTCGTCCGTTTCCGTGTTTCCCGCAAGAAGGAAGAGTTCGTCGACGAAGAAATCCTGGACGATGTGATTGAGCAACGTCGTGCCGAAGCCGATGACTTCTACTACCGTATCAACCCTCTCCCCATGAGCGAGGATCTCCGCAACATCCAGCGTCAAGCTTTCTCTGGAATGATGTGGTGCAAGCAGTACTACAACTTCGTCTGGGACCAATGGAGCAACGGTGACCCAACTGAGATCCCCCCTCCTCCGGGCCGAAAGGGCATTCGCAATGAGCAGTGGCGCCATCTATACATCGATGATATCCTATCAATGCCCGACTCTTGGGAGTACCCCTTCTTCGCAGCATGGGATACGGCCTTCCACTGTATTCCATTGGCCATGATGGATCCCGACTTCGCGAAGAAGCAGCTCGATCTCCTTACCCGTGAGTGGTACATGCACCCCAACGGCCAGCTGCCCGCCTACGAGTGGAACTTTGGAGATGTGAACCCGCCCGTGCACGCTTGGGCTGTGTTCCGTACCTTCAAGATCGAGCGTAAGATGTACGGTCGCCAGGATCTGGACTTCCTGGAGCGTGTCTTCCAGAAGCTGCTGCTCAACTTCACCTGGTGGGTCAACCGCAAGGACTCGGGTGGTAAGAACGTCTTCGAGGGTGGCTTCTTGGGACTGGATAATATCGGCCTGTTCAACCGCTCGGAGCCATTGCCCACTGGTGGTGTTCTTGAGCAAGCTGACAGCACTGGCTGGATGGCCTTCTATTGTCTGTGCATGCTGAACATCTCCTTAGAATTGGCCAAGCACCGTCGCACATACGAGGACATTGCTTCCAAGTTCTTCGAGCACTTCCTGCTCATTAGTGATGCCATGACTTTCCGCAATGGAGATGATACTGTTCAGTCTCTGTGGAATGAAGAAGACAGCTTCTACTACGATGCAATCTCATACGGTGGCCCGTGGACCCAGCAGCTACCTATTAGGTCTCTTGTTGGTCTGATTCCCCTCTACGCTGTGCTCACTCTCGAGCCTGAGCTCATCAACAAATTCCCGTCGTTCAAGCGACGAGTGGAGTGGTTCATTGAGAACAAGCCAGATATCGCCGAGCGCAACATCGCTAGTATGAAGCACCGTGGTAAGGATGACCGACTCCTCCTGGCACTTGTCAGCAAAGACCGCCTGGTCAAGATCCTCGAGCGCATGCTTGATGAGACCGAATTCCTCTCCAAGCACGGTATTCGTTCCATGTCCAAGTTCCACGAAGAGAACCCTTACTCCATGGACGTCAACGGCCAAACCTTTAAGGTCCAATACGTCCCCGGAGACTCGGACAGCGGGCTCTTTGGTGGTAATAGTAACTGGCGCGGACCTATCTGGCTATGCGTCAACTTCCTGCTGGTCGAGTCTCTCCTCCGCTTCTACATGTTCTACGGCGATTCCCTGGAAGTCGAATGTCCCAAGGGCTCAGGCGACTTTATGCACCTTGGTCACGTAGCTGAGGAACTGCAGCATCGTATGCAGCACCTCTTCGCCCGCAACGACGAAGGCCGCCGCGCCGTCAACGCCGGCTCAGACCTCCTCGACTTCGACGAGCACTGGAAAGACCACCTCTGGTTCCACGAGTTCTTCGATGGTGACACCGGCCGCGGTCTCGGCACATCACACCAGTGCGGCTGGACCGGGTTGATCGCTAAGATCATCCACGACACAGGTGTCAACTGCCGTCTCCCGCAAACACCCCGCGCTGGCTTCGCCGCAGCATCCCATTACTTCGACGATATCTTCTCACGCTCCGGCAGACCTCGCGGCTCAGGCCGTCCATCCGTCCGCCGCTCATCGACCACCCGCTCGATCGGCAATCGTAGCGACTTTTACTCAGGCGATGCAACCCCCGCCGCCTCCACCGTCCTCGACGACGACGACGATGCCAGTGCCAGCCGCGGCGTCAGCCGTGGTGGCAGTCGCGCCAGCAGCCGTCGTGGTAGCACTGCAGACCCCCAAGACGAGGAGCATGTCAACCACTACGTCGCTAGCCAACTGCAGCGCGTGCGCAGCTCTGCATCTATCGCCGCTTACGAGGATGAGTTCGAGACAAAGGTTGACAAGGAGAATGGAAATGGACAGAACGGACACAAGTAATTGAGATGTGTGGTCTGCCCCTTTTCTTATAGCGTTCATTTCTTTTATTTGTTTTTGTTGACTGGTCATGTTCCCATTTGGTTGCGTCTGGACACGATTTAATGATTCAGTTTACGCTTTTACATCTTGCATTTCCTATCCCAGATTCTATTCATCTCTCGGAGTATTGTCTTGTCTTTCCTTACGCATATGACAGCATTTAGTCGACGTTCACAATATATTAGTGCAAATGTTGTCACCTGATTCTGTTTGTATTGTAGCACATGTACAGAAGTTTATTCATAGCTCAAGTTATAGCTATAGCTGTATCTATCAATGAGCACAGACTACACACTACGATTTATCTATAAGGGATGAATTTGTGCAATTGACAGGTAATGAGAACAAAACAAAATGAAGATTCAAGGGAATCTAAGAATTCCCTTGTCCCTTCCACGAACGCTACCGTTCATCCGGGACGATATGCTAGTCTAACATCCCCCCAAACACAGGCTAATTTACATTTACAAAGCATCGGTGAGAGCCTTGTTCATCTTGGCGATCTTGGAGGAGACGCTCAGGTCGATGGAGCGGCCACCGACTTCAACGACGAGACCACCGAGGAGGTCGGGGTTGACCTATAAAATCAATTAGTTTGATTCGGAGAAAAAAAGGAAAGGTTGGTGTACGCACGTTGGCAACAACCTTGAGCTTCTTGCCCTGGCTGAACTCAGACTTGGAGACGGCCTTCTCGAGACGGTTGAGGGTCTTGGTGTCAAGCTCCTGTAGGTAAACAATTAGGTGAGGATTCTTTAATTTTGGTGGGGAACTCGAATCGAGCTTGAAATTATCGCACCTGGGCGCTGGTGATGTTGAGCTCGATCTCACCGCGGTGAGCGCTCATGAGAGTAGCGAACTTCTCGCAGACACCCTCGAGGGCACCGAGACGGTTGTTCTCGGCAAGGGTCTCGAGGAAGTTCTTGAGGATTTCACCCTTGTCACCGGAGACCTTGGCGAGCTCCTGGACGATGGAGGCCTTGTCGGCGTTGCTCAGGGTAGGGGCACCGAGGATGGCGCCGAGCTTCTTGTCGGCCTGAAGGGTCTCGCCGAGGCTTGCGATGGCACGAGCGGTCTGGTCGAGGGCAGAGGACTTGGAGGAAGCGGTGTACTAAGCAGAAGGAGGTTAGAGAGGGAATCCTGATTTGGTACAGCGCTTTGATGAAGATTAAAGATTGATTCCAACACGGGGGGTAGAGAACTCTGGGAGGGGCTTCGGGGCAAGACGGGAGTCGCGACAGGGGATACGGTCGCGAGGAAAAGCTGAAAAGGCAATGGAGGTGCATACCAGAGCAGTGGCGTAGGTTCCATCAACGCCGAACAGGGCGACGGGAGGGCGAACATCCTGTGCCGGGGTGGCATAGGACCGCAGGCCGTTGACGGCGGCTGTGCGAGGAGCGGAGAACTGCTGGGTGGCACGCAGGCCAGCGCGGGCGAAGCGAGAGGACATCATTGTGCAATTGGCAAGGGGAAGAGCCTCGGGGAGGGAGGAGAGAAGGTGGTGGATGGAGATACCGACGTTCGGAGTGCTTCTTCGTCAAGGATGCAGGTTGAGACGAGGTCCGACTTCTTCCCGGATCACGTGGTTCTTCGCCCGAGCTGACTCAGGACTGAGGTAATATTGAAGGTCATGTGATATCTATCCCAATGGGATTTGGCTTTTGCTGACAGCAACAACTTGACAGCCGCCCTGATTCGAGCCCTGAATCAGGGCCACTCGGAGACTTTTTTTTCCCGGGCTAGGGCGCTTGTTACGAAGTCATGGCTCCTGCTCATCTCCACGTTGTCTGGCGGACCAAAGTTCCGGAATTATGATCCCCTCACACGAACTGTAACCACCCCCAGCCCATGCGACGATCCGGATAACAGCCCTCTCCAATGTCCTTGCAATAAAATATGTGGCTGATTGTCATGGCGCATAATAAAAGGCACTTTTTAGACACTAGGTATACTTTATTTATTTTTTTCGGACCAGATTAACTGTTTGGGCCAGATGAAGTGAAAAACGGTCGTGCCGTGGCCGCTAGCAGGGGTATAAAATCCCCGTTTCCCGATCAGTCAATCGAAATCCGGTTTTTAATCTACATGCTAGTCTCAGGGTCAATCGCCCAAACATGAGAAACAAAAGCCGAGCTCGCGTCATGGTGGCTTAGATTCGTGACAAGGATGTTTCTGTCTCATTAGTGGCTGCCAGGGGTGTGGGCTAGGTTTCTCGCAAGCTGCTCAAGGACATTGATGGAGTCTGATCAGCCCTCTTCGCTGTTTGATCGAGCCTAATGCACTGTTTAACCCAATAAGCGCGAGACAAACTCGTGTGGCGCTTGGCCGGCGGGAGGGGTGGATGTACAATCCCGCCTCTTGTATAGTCAATGATGAGTTCGACCATCTTCCTGCGAACACATATCTGGTCAATTCTTTTTTCTAAAAAATATGCCCCCGAAAGACTCGAACTACTCGAGCATGCCTTTTACACGGGCCCCCGATTCGAATCTTCATCAAACTGGTTCGACTCGAGCGAAGAAAGCAACAACGGCCTGTGAAGCCTGTCAAAAACGAAAATCCAAAGTCTGCGCCCCGTAATGAGCATCTAAATCCTGTGCTGACGCAGGCAGTGTGTTGGAGGCGAACCATGTGAGCCCTGTCAAAAAGCAAACACTGAGTGTGTAATCAACGCAGACAATGATGGTCGTCGACGCATCACTCTTAAGCGCAAAATCGAATCCCTAGAGCAGGATCGTGACCTATTTGAACGACTAGTGGAGGTTCTTCGAAGCAACGATGAGCGACAGGTTCCCGAGATTCTCAGCTTGATTCGAAATAATGCATCGTTGGATGAGATCCGGTTATTTCTGACTGAGAGCCGAGTTTCAAGTCATTTGCTGAATATTCAGATCAAGAGTGCAACCTCCTCTTCGCAACGATATATGGACGTGAGACGTATCTCAGATATACCTCTCTATGAGGTGCCTGCGCAGCCATGGACCTCTGTTACAACCGATGATTCCTTTGTCTCGCACCTTGTCTCCCACTATTTTACCTGGCAGCACAGTACTCTGAATTGGATTGATCGTGACTTGTTTATAGCGGATATGAGAGCCCGCAAGTTGAATTCCCGCTTCTGTTCGCCTTTGCTGGTCAACATTATGCTAGCTTGTGCATGTGTGTGTATACCTCGCTCATCCACTCGAATACTGACTCACAGATCTTTCCTCAAGTTCTATTCCGACTATCCTGAGGTATTCGCCGTACCTGATGAGCCCAGCACCCGAGGTGAACACTTTTTGGAAGAGGCAATGCGGCACCTAGCAATGGAAGATGATCGACTGCGCCTTACCACTCTTCAGGCATGGGGAGACATCTATACGATGTAAGCTAAGGCGTGACTTCTGAGAACTGGCTCTAACACTATCACCCAGTTCCTACATTATGGGCAGAGATAGACTTGGCTCGCAATACCTGATGAAGATAGCAGACTACATCAGCCAGGTCATGGACAACCGCCAGAAAATGATATCCGAGGCCAATGAACAAGCCACAGAAATGGCAAGATCGATTGATACTGCACTCTTTGGCTTGTTCAGTCAGTATCCGTTAGTGAGCATACAGCAGTTGTACCCCTAATAATGCTAACATCATACAGAGTTGCCATCCTAAGCCTCCATCAGCCCGCCGCCATCAACAGACCTACGGACCTCGAATACTTCCCTGAAACCCACGATCCCAGAGACCTTTGGACACCGTATCCTCGTCAAGGCGAGCCTATCGCAGCTCATACAAACTGTCTGAAAAACGGCCTATTCAACCAGGGGCTGATTATGTGGGAGGTATGCGACTATTTGTTTGGAGATGAGAAGACAGCGAGAGTCGATCCCGAAATAATCAATGCTTTCCACCAACGCTTTGAGAACTGGGCCGAGAACCTTCCAGAATGCATCAAATTGGGATATGCTTCAACACCGGGTGTCATGGAAATGCAGTGAGTGCAATCTCACCTTGATCTATACTGAATGATACTGAGAGGAAAAGCATGCGCCATCATAACGCAATTCTAATCATGTTCGGCTTCATCACACCAATCGTAAAAAAAGGCGAATCAACCGCAAAAGACCGCATCAAAAATCTACGAACATCGTCAGCCCGCCATATCGGTAGCATACTCAACCAATTCCGCTCTCTATGGCCAGTGGAATGTATGCCAATGGCAACAATGCAGTACGCGACCATTGCATTGTTCACACTCTTTGAAGATCTGGACGACGTCCAAAACCAAAGGGCGTTTACAGATACTGTAATCACTCTTCGGGCACTTGCTCGCCGATGGCAGTTTGCAAAAGGACTGCTTCGGCTTGTACAGCTAACGACTCTGAAACGGGAGAATTCGCTGCCCAGTGATACCGTGGTTTTTTTGAGAGACATGCCGTCACGTTCTGGGAATCATGGGGGTGAGAGTGATTCTGCGGCTTGGCCGTTATGACATTGGTGGTTGTTTGGTCTGTTGACGAGGTTTGGGTGGGTTGATTTTGTTCCATGGTGGTATAGCTTCATTTGCTTTGAGAGCACGTCCAAAGATGAGAGCGAAAATACTTGATAAAGGAGAATTGTGGAAACGAAAGGGCCAAGTTAGTATAGAAGGAAATGTATTACATACTGCTTCTCCAAAATGGTTTCCTTCCAGCCTCTCATTGGTTCAAGATCCTATACTACACGTCCGATCCCGTATTGTATGTCGAAAGGAAACCCTCTATTTAACAAGTACATCTGAATAATAGGCCATTCTAGTCAACGCGACAGAGTCTTTGTCGTAGCCATATTCGAAATTGATGCGAGGTTTTCCAACGAGCCTACACAGATTGGGAGGCCTATAGTCCTATGATGTCTAGAACTGCAGCCAAGATCCAACAAACCCATGCCATGACTGCTTATATGACTTGGTCTCAACGCAACTAGGCACATGTTGTCTACTTGAGACTGTAAATTGATGACTTGAAGACTACACCATGTTCACATGTCATTCGTGTTTAAAGTATGCAGCACTGAAGTAAAAGAATATCCATGAAATGAAAGTCAGCGTTAGGACAAGCCCCAAACGCCACGAGCTGAAATATCGTAATGTATGCACCGCACCCGAAACGCCGAGATCCCCAATTCCCCCGTATCAGTTATGCGGAGATCAGATGCAAACCGAATTCCATACCCAAGCACACTCAGTCACTGCGCAACATACTGTCGACCAAATCACCCAGTGGTCCCCAGAAGTCCTTTCCGCTAGCCAGTTTGTGCTCATCGATGAAAAGGACATAATGCTTGAAGCTGGTGTTGAGATGGGGTTCCAGACCGAGATGTACCACTACCGGGTAATGATGGCAGTAGATGTGGGCGTAAACACGATATAGACGCTTGAAGATTTGGCGAATGAGACTGGGAAAGGTCTTAGGGAATGGGACGCCTGAAGAGATGCGGTAAGTCATGGAATCAGAAATCGGGTAGGATTAAAACATACCAATTCGGCTGGGGAACATCTGTTCATTATCGACATTGCTCTGAACCCAGGCCATCAAGTGCTCGATATATTCCGGCGCCGACATCTTAGTTGGCCGCTTGAAGTTCTCTGAATCTTGCCAGAGGTATTCAAACTCATCAGTCGCCTTCATCTCAGGACAAGTCTGCGGCGAACAGAACTCGGTTATTGAGCCATAGAGAAGGTTGATCTGGTTGTAAAAGTCGACAACTAGATGAACAATAACATCAGCGACTGCGTCCAATTCAACCAAACCCAACCAAGCATATAGGGTATCTCACTATTCACCGCAAGCCATTCATTAAGGTCCTCGCCCTCGGGCAACTTCACAGCCTTGCGCAAGCTACCACTTCCAAGGGTAGCCTCAGCGAACTGTCGGAGCTGGTAACTACTCGTACCCTTAGCCGCAGAGCGGGGCTTGAAGGGGGCTCTGGTGCGAGCATTACTGGGAGGAGTTAGTCCACAATAGCCTTGTTTGAGAGCGCGCACAGCAGGCGAAAGGTAAGAGGGGGGTTCTAGGAGGGGCAGATGGGAAGTGCGGGTGGTATTGTACAGGGAAGGGCTGATAACGGAATGGGATGGCGGTGGCCGAGACGTAGACTCAGAGGTAGAGAAATGAACAGGAGGGGTAGCGGGGACAGACATTGTGGTGATGAACGAAGCCATCTTCAGAGGGCGCTGTTTTGTAGGGGAAGATTCGGCGGGGTTTGCGCTGATCGCGACGTGCCTGCATTCCAGTGTTAGAATTGTTTTGCTCCGAGATCCGGAGAATGCAGTCAGGAATGCTCCGGGGGTGTACCTTGTGAAATGTCTTGAATGGCTGATGATTCGAGGTCGAGATGAGAAGTGAACGCGCAAGGAGTTGTTATCGGGTTCAGCTGATAAGTGGTTGGGTTGCCCCAGTGACCGCCTAAGTATACACGATGTACAGATGAGCTACGGAAGACAATATTTGGACTCATTCAATTATACATTGATCCCAGAGGCCATGATTCGCGAGTCTCCAGGGGAATATTTAAGGATCAAACAAATCAGATACCTGCACGGCAGGCCACATGAGTACATCTGTCCAGAGCACTAAATCGCGTAGCCCTCGTTCTCTTCGGGCTGCCGCTCTCGAACGGTTTCTCCATAAACTGTTAATGGTATGGCGATTTCGAAAGACTCGCAATTCAGGTGATCCATGGCAGACAGCAGCTTGCCGCGATCATCTGAGGACAAGGTCTCAAGTAAGCGAATGCCCGATGGGCTGGGTCCTTGATCACCCCGACCACAGGACGTGACAAACTCGAATCGCAGCTCCCAGTTAAGGGTCACACCACTGGTGAGAATGGTAGGTGTAGCTGCGATAGGAATAGCCGGACTGAAGGCTGCTCGAGTAGCGTGGAGTGTGTTCTCGAACAAAGATGCATGGATCTTTCGTGTAGTGCGATGGATGCTTGCATTGGAACGAATGGCCAAAGTGGGTGTGACCTTCTCAGAGGTCTCTAATGAGGCCCGTACTGCATAGCATGGAATTGTAGCGTTGCCAAAGTCCATGGTAGCAATAATGGTCTCTCCAAGTCGGTGAACTGGCCGATTCAAGACCACCACCGCAATGCGCTGACCTTCGCGGGCAATCTCAAAGCGATTTGGGCTGCGCCGAGAATTGATTGCCTGGTTGCTGCGAAGGATTGCAAAATCGATTATATCCTTGCAAGTGAGCATCTGAGGGAGTCCTTCAACACTGGATCTTCTCGAGGGAAGAGCACCAGGTGGGAACAGCGTATTAGAACGCGCACGTTGCTCCAGAATTTCATCCACATATCCAAGGAAATCAGTCGCAGAATGATGAGATTTACTAATGCTCTGGTTCTTTGTAGCAACTGGTGTTGTTGGTTCAACTTTATGCACCTTGGCCTCGTCTCGTAGAAGCACATAAGGTGACATCAGATCGTGCCCAAGGATATCTCCCTTGTCTAAACAATATTAGAACCAATTCAAAATTTTGAGTTTGAATATCACTCACCATTAACACCGCTGTAAACACGGAATGGTATATTGATGCGGTTGACCTTTTGAGGCTCGTTGGCTCCACTTGGTCGCTGAGTTCCAATGACTAAATTATATGAGATTTTGATTGCCTTTCCTTTGTGACTCGCCGGGAGTCCTTTGGGGAGGGCAAAAGAGAAGGAATATGACTGTTCCTCCCCTGGCGCTAATCGAAGGTCGACGAAAAGCAGTGATTGCGAAGTCGATAAGAGTGGAATGGAACGAGAGGATGATACGCCACGCATTTCCCGTAAGCCATCCAATTCATTGTTTGGGAGAAGACCATTGATGGATTCTTCGATTGTATTCCACTTGAACGCTCCCCAGAACCCACCAGTTTTACGTGGACGCTCGGGAGTTGCTGGCCGGCCAGGAACACCTCCTGGGCCTGGGTGGCCACCGACAACTCCTTTCCGCTTGACTTCCTCGAATGCCGACTGATTAACTAATGAGCCATCAAGCGTAAAAGAGGCGCTGACTTGTGCATATCCCATGAGCAGCGCCTGGCTGTCAGGAGCCTTGAATGGAGATGTCACCGCGCTGGAATGATGCCGCGCATGTCGTACAGATGGAGGCACTCGTGCACTTTGTGTTGAATAGGCTGTATACTCTGATCCAAGGGTCTCAGTGGAATGGTCACTGACGGAGAAGAACTCTCCACTGCTGCGAGCGCTTCCATTTGCGCTAGTGGCCGAAATGATTCGAGTCAGCTGTTGGTGTGCCGGAGCCGTCAAAGACGCTTCTCTGGCATTAGATCTTCCCCCGGTAGACGTAGTACCGTTTGTTGTTGCCGACTTGGGAGATGGAGTGCGCGCTGAAAGGTTGGCACTGGGTTCAGGTGGAGGCGCGGCTGGGAACTTGAACTCCATGGGAGGTGGTTGTGGCCGTCGCGCAGGTAAACTTATTGGTTCCACGGGTTCTGTTGGACTTGTCGCTAGAGAGCCAGGACGACTGCGACGTCCCAAATTGGTTTCTACGGTCAAGTTGCCATTGGGATGCTCGTTTGGAGCCTCTGACAATGGAAAAGGGAAAGCATGCGTAGGGGATCTCACTAACGAGAGATGACCATTAGCCTCAATTCATGCCGTTCCAGCTTATCTGGTCTTACCTTTCTTGTAGGAGTCCTCGTAGCTATTGTTCCTCCTTGGCAGAACCTGGAGACTCGCCGAGCGCCCATGACCCCTGACTGGCTTCGGACGATTGTATTGATGTGGTGCAGGTGTTGGATCAGTCTGGCCTTCACTGTCGATAGAAAGAATGGACACAGATCGTTTGTGGCTGTGACTTGGTTGCCAAGTGCGCGGCGTAGAGGGGCTGCTGTTCGGGGGGAAGCTATGTGAGCCGACATGCGGAGTGCTCAAAGACGAGGCTGTTCGGTGATAAGGCTTTCGCTGCGAGCTGATGGAGTACGACCGTCGCCCAGAAAACAGGGCCTGGGGTGATTTGAGTCCGAAGAAAGAGTCCGAGTTCGAGTTGGCCGTGTGGTTCGCGACTCGTGAGAGCTTTCGTGAATGTTGACCCCCTTCGCTCCCGCTGGCATCGACGCCTGTCTCAGCTATGTTCTTGAACGTGATGGTACATTCCACATCTTCTCCTGCAAATATGGTCTGGTCCTTCCATTTCACGAAGACCTGGATGTTGGAGGGCATGGCGAGTCAGCATGTGGGCAGTCGGGCGAGATCTAGGGGCTTGCAAGTCGGCACAATGAGCTGTAGATCATTCGAATTAGATAACAGGCCGACATGAGCATTCTGTCAACCTGAATGCATGTTGGTTGAAGTGAAGAGTTGAAGGTTGCCGAGGATCAAGTTGCGTGGCGGACCTTGCTCCACCCCCGAACTTCATACGTCAATGTCTCAACTGGGGTATCAACAGATCAAAGAGTCAGGCATAAGAGAGACCAAATTATTATAATCAGTGTAATTGAGCTACTATTGTACATGTTTCAAAACAAAGATAACGCGCTATTATGTATTGTACAGTGATGCAAAGTAAATTATAACGAACATAGGGAGAATCTACTTGCGTCCGCTCTCGTCGCCATACAACACTCGAGCATCCGAGATGGACTTTGTACGCTTGGTCTCAGGACGGAGACCAAGCTCAGCCATACGACTCCAGATTCGGTCGTGTCGCTTCTCCCATCGCTGGCGCCGGCTCTCCTGCTCGTCCTCTGATGGCTGCCATCTGCTCTTCAAAATTCGACGAATAGCTTCCGGAGAAACCTCAAATTCTTTTGCGAGCACAGGCGTTGTGAATTGCTCAGGAGCTTTCGCATGTAGATGACGAATTCCATCGAGCGCATCAGGAGAAAGCTTCTTAGGTGGATTCCAACCCTGGGGGAACTTCTTTTCCAGTGCGGCTTTTTGGACTTGCCAAGTCTCCTTCTTTTTCTTTCCACTTGATGCCGACTTTGAATCTTTGTTCCCGTGCGAGTCCTTCCCGGAATCTTTTCGGTCTTCCTTACGGGCTTCTTTGCGGGTCTCTGTACGGAATGCCTTGCGCTCTCTGTCGCTTCTCTTGTATTCATTCTCTGGTTTTCTTGGGTGACTCTTCATCGGCTTCCATCCATTCTTGTTGCGCGGGGCGCCAGAAAATTGCTTTCTTGGCTTGTCGGAAGGTGTGGAGGCGTTGGTGACCGGAGACTCGGGTATTATCTGCGCTGATTGCTCACTTTGGGGATCGCGCAAGTATGTGATCGAGCTGAATGGTCGTTGATTCTGGGAGGAAAAGGGAGGGCGAGAGGCGAAACGGTAAGGGATTGTCGAAGAGGCCAAGTCACTGGCGAACTGGGATCGAAAAACATTATGCATAAGGGCCGGCAAAGCCAGCTTTGCCGATGCAGCGCAAGTGACCACCATGACAGCAAAAGATAAATAGGGACAGAGTTGAGTTGGATGTAAGGGAAGTCAGGAAAATATGGTGGCGATAACGTATTCGGTAAGCGAGCTGGACATGTAAGCGAGCTGGACACCCATCCAAAACGCGTAATTCCTATACTACCCTCTATCTTTAACCACCCACTATGCCACCAATTCGCTCTCAAAGCTCTCGAAATCGAGAAGAGCAAGAGGGTAGGATCTTATTAGCTATTCAGGCTCTTAAGAATCAAGAAATTGCTTCTACACGCGAAGCAGCGCGTCGATTTAATGTACCGAATTCAACCCTCTCTACGCGCCTTAAGGGTGTCCAAAACCGCGCGATTTCTCGCGCCAATTCACACAAATTAACGGATATCGAAGAGGAATCGCTTCAAAAATGGATTATCTCTCTTGATACCCGTGGAGCAGCGCCTCGGCCTTCTACTGTACGAGAAACTGCGAATCTTCTTCTCGCGGCCCGCGGAAGTATACTAGTTCAAACAGTCGGCGAGAAATGGGTCTATAACTTCGTGAAAAGGCATCCCGATCTTTTAACCCGATTCTCGAAGCGATATAACTACGAGCGCGCAAAATGCGAAGACCCTAAAGTTATTCGTGAATGGTTTTCTCTCGTCCAAAAAACGATCCTTTCGTACGGTATCGATTCCGACGATATCTACAACTTTGACGAGACCGGTTTCGCAATGGGCTTAATTGCGACCGCGAAGGTGATCACGAGAAGGGAATTCTACGGTCGGCGAGCACTTTTATAACCCGGAAATCGCGAGTGGGTTACCGCAATTGAATGTATAAATGCGTCGGGGTGGGCGCTTCCTCCGTGCGTGATTTTTAAGGGCAAAGTCTTCGTCGAGTCTTGGTTCGACGGCCTTCCGAAAGATTGGCGCCTCGAGGTTAGTCCGAACGGGTGGACTTCCGATGAAATTGGACTTCGGTGGCTCGAAAAGCTCTTTATTCCGTCTACTTCTTCGCGTACGAAGGGGAAGTATAGACTTTTGATACTCGACAGCCACGGAAGTTATTTAACCCCGAAATTCGACGAAATTTGTGAAAAAAACGATATTATTCCAATTTATATGCCTCCGTATTCGTCTTACCTTTTACAGCCTCTCGATATTAGCTGTTTTGCGGTATTAAAGCGCTTGTATAGTCGGCTTATCGAAACGAAAATACGGCTTAGGATCAACTATATCGATAAATTAGACTTCCTCGAAGCTTACCTATCCGCGCGAATCGAGGCATTTAAATCGGAGACTATTAAGAATTGCTTCGCCGCCGCTGGTTTAGTGCCTTACGACCTAGATCGAGTAATCTCGAAGCTCGATATTCGCCTTCGAACCCCGACCCCCCCTCCGAGCCGAGGGAGTGAATCGAGCCGTAATTTCACACCAAAAACCCCCTTTACCGAGAAACAACTACGTCGGCAAGCTTCCTCAATTAAAGCTTTACTTCGTATAAGATCGCGAAGTCCACCGAGCCCATCAGATCGCGCGTTAAATCAGCTTATCAAAGGCTGCCAGCTTGCAATGCATAACGCTATATTTCTAGCGAAGGAAAATAAGGAATTACGGGCCGAAAACGAGAAAAAAAAGAGAAAACGGACTCGGTCTACTAGGCAGATATCTCGAGAGCAAGGCCTATCAGTTTCAGAGGCTCTAGAGCTTATTCAGGTGGAAGAACCAGTAATTGAAGCGCCAATACCCCGTCAGCCAAAACCGCCTCCGGCACCTTTACAGCCGCGTACGAGGGCCTTACCGAAGTGTGGAGCATGTGGAATTGAGGGTCATAAGAGAAATGCCTATCCTAATAGACCTCGATTTTAGCTTATTGAATTTAATGGCGTTTTGGTTGACATAATTGTATTTAAAAATAATTGGTTTGGATGGGTGTCCAGCTCGCTTACATGTCCAGCTCGCTTACCGAATACGTTAAGATAAGTTGATTTTGGATGCCTCGGGGTTCAGGCAACAAGATCCTCAAGTTGACGCTAGATCCAATCAGGTAATTTGGTTATATTTCTCCATTCTGCAATGAACGCGCTTCTATTCTTTAATGGAAAGATCTTGAATGATGCTCTTGGTGGTTTCCCAAGAAAGTACGTCGGAGATTGCATCCCGAATTAGACGACGCATTTGTGAATGTAGTTGAATATATATCTCTGCATAGCGCGGTGCTTAACATGTTTATCAAGATAAACTGCGCACCATTCACTAATTATATACCATAAAGTAGTAGTTTGATCCAAACTAGCACATAGAGTAAGCATCAGCAATTCCTAGAGCAGGCCGAGCCGCATTGGCTCAGCCAGTCAAGCGAAATGGTTTATAATAGCTCGGCTTTGTTCCTCGATATTGGAAAAAAAGTGCTGTATCACAAAGACAGGTCGAATTGGCAAACAGAGTGGCTTGTACTCCGTGGACTGTCCTCAAAGAATATCATGTATTTAGAGGGTAAGTTATCAAATGTTGACCAAAGAGGTGGTGTCGGACAGACTGAAGTAGCACGATGAAGCACGAGGAACTTGGAACTATAGGCAGGGCACGTGCAGCAGACCCTCGACTTCCATTTTCATCTTCTCCTCCCCATCTGGGTCACATACAAACCTCACTTGGTACTAAGAATTGAGCCGAAGGCTGGCTTAGTGCGAGCGACCTGTGCACTCGACCCACCGTTCATCTCACGATTTTTCGCCGATCGAGGGGCTGAGAACGAGGTCTTCAAGAAATCTTCTCAGCTTCTTGATTGAAGACCAGTGAAACACTCTTCAGTGGACTTCATACATTTTTCGCGCGGAAGTCTCGAGGTCGCCGGGACTTGACAGGGGAAGACCCAAGGTTCGGATTCCTCAGATCGTCTGGAATGATCCGCTGTTTAGCGCGGAATGAGCTTGTTGTTTGTTCCCTTCTTTCGACCTTCTTCAAGTCCCTTACACTCCTTTGAAGTGAGCCCAGTGGACCTGCAAGAGACCTTACGGCACTGATCAAAGCTCCATGCTAGCTACCCCCACTAATTCGACCCCGATCTTCCCACACTGGCCCAACCTCTCCTGAACGCTCCTTCAACCTTGCAACACCTCTGACTCCACTGGCGCTTACCGAACTTCTCGATGAATGCACCTACATTTTGATATGAACATACCCCGCGCGCTCAGGGGACCTTGAAACACCAACCTCAGCCCCCAAGGACATGGCTACCACCGCCCCCCTCAGTGCGAAAAGCAAGCTTGCTGGTCCCGGCGCATCATTGAAAATCACTCCTTCGAACTCTCCGATCCTGAGACCGGGTACACGGTCTCCCAGCAAAACCTCCCACAATTCCTCCTTGTCCCTCCAAACCGTCATCGGCACGACAACCACGACCCCCAATGGGTTCTCAAGCCACGACCAGAGCAAGAGCTTTGCGCTGTGCGCTGGATCAGCTGCAGTTCTCGCAGAACTAGATGAGGACGCCAAAATTTGCCAGCGCTTCTTCCGAGCGCGTCCCTCCGCGACCAGCGTCAACCCAACAACTTCTTTTTACAACCAAGCAACTCCGCCGGCCACCCCGGACCCAAGAGCGCGCTCCCTATCTCATATTCGATCCAATCCGCATATCAATATTCACAATGGGTCCCCGTCCAGCGATATCGGTGAGAGTGGCAGCCCTCGTGGGTGGTCCTCGAGAGAAAGAATTAAAGCAGTGACGAGTGTCTCGATTAGCCCCAATGGAAGGTTCCTCGCAGTAGGAGAGGTGGGTAGACAATAGATAACCTGAGTGTAAAACTAACAGCTGACATATCCTAGACTGGTTATAACCCTCGAGTTCTGATCTTTTCAACAGCAAAGGATGCTCTGCCAGATGTACCGCTATCTATTCTAAATGAGCATACATTCGGTATATGCAGTCTGGCATTCAGCCCCGATTCCCAGTATTTGGCGACCCTCGGCAGCCCGAATGATGGGTTCCTTTTCATCTGGGCAATCAACCTCAAGAATGGATCGGCCAAGCTGCATTCAGCGAACAAATGCACTTCGAACATTAAAGACATGTGCTGGGTTGGCCAAAGTCTGGTCACGTATGTTTGATTATAATCATAATTAGTATTTGACTAACTCTTGTGCAGGACCGGCGTGCGACATGTCAAGGTTTGGCGTCTTCCATCGATGCGACCCGTATCTCCTACCAAATCACGTTTGAATATCGATGGAGGTGGTCCTTCACCAAACCCTGCCCCGAAAGCGCTTTCTGGTAGGAATTGTCTACTAGGCGCACTCAGCGATAGCTCTTTCACCTGTGTGAGTAGCATATCCGATCACGAGGCTGTGATTGGGACAGATTCCGGCGCAATCTGCTTTCTCGACGATCGGGAGAATTATCAGAAGATGATCACGGTCAAGCAAGTTGGTTTCAGCATCACTTCTCTGGCCGTTGATTTCGATCAGGAATCTGTCTGGCTCGGTGGGCGTGGAAGGCAAATGCAGCGCTTGTCCTTTGAAGCTTTGCGATTTTGTAGCTCGAACAGACCGGGCTCTCCTACTCGGATTGATAAAAGCATGGTGGATAAGAAAAATAAGGCGCCTGCAATTACCTGCATGGGCTCTCTAAACTCGCATCTGGTCACCGTTGAAGCCACTCGTGAAATCCACATCTATCCAATCAGCACTTTGCGCGAGGAGGGTGAGCAGGAGCATGGCGAGTCCTCCATGCAGGCACATCGAGACCCGATTCTTGGAGTCTGCCACATGAAGCTCCCCAACGACTTCTCTGCAGACTTCTTTTCCTGGTCTCGGAACGGCTCTGTGAATTTCTGGGACGCCCAGGGGAAGTGTCGGGCATCGAAAGTAATTGATCTCGATCAATTTTCAGGAAGCGAAGAAGAGGTTTCTGCAAACGAACTCAAAGTATTGAGAACAGCAGAAAGTGCCAATTGGTTTGTCTCAGGTGACAAATTCGGTGTGTTGAGGTACGTGGCACTTGACAGTATAAAAAAAAGGTCTTCGACTGACTCGTAAATTTAGACTTCTTTCAAACACCGATTGGACTTGTGTCAGCCAAGCTCGCGCCCATGGTGGGGAGATCACAGACCTGGCCATCCAAGAAACCTCAGATTCCTGGCTGGTAGCAAGTTCTGGCCGTGATCGAATGGTGCAATTGTTCGAAAAGCGAGACGCCGGACTGCAATTGATTCAGACCATGGATGACCATGTTGGCGCTGTTGGCAAATTACTCTTCATCAACGATGGCGAAAGATTGCTTTCATGCTCAGCAGACCGCACCGTCCTTATAAGAGATCGTGCGAGCAGAGAAGTAGAGGGTGGCACATCTGTTGCCTACCTCGTTTCCAAAGTCATTACTCTCAAGGCTTCCCCTGTCTCAATGACGCTTTGCCCGGATGATTCGAGCATCTTGTATGTCTCTACTATGGATCGCTGTATCTCCAAGTTCGACATTCCTTCAGGGCGCCATCTGCACTGTTTCAAGGCATCGGATCCGGAGACGACCGATGCAGTGATTATGGGTTCATTGACGGTTGCATCAGAGGTCCCAGGCCAGACGCCAAAGCTTCTCATTGGTGTCTCGACCACTGATAAATCTCTCCGCGTTTATGATCTAGAGCGAGACCAACTTCTCACTGGCGAATTTGGCCACACAGAAGGCGTGACTGATGTACTTCTTCTGGAGGATCGCAGCGAGCAGTCTGAAGGGGCACCTAAGCGCACTGTGATCAGTGCTGGAATGGATGGTATTCTAATGATATGGAACCTGTCCGTTCAGCAGCAGATATCACCGGACCTCGTTCAGAACGCACGGGATGATGATGATACCCCTGCCAAAGAAAACACTGCGGCCAAACCCCCTCTCAGAAAAGTCCTCTCGCGCAGCGAGTTGGCTGGATTTCAACGTCCTGATAGTCCTAACCCTGCGACCCCAACACCCATACGCCAGCGCTCGCCGACTCTAACGAGAAAGATGTCTAGGCTATCTCTAGCACCATCTTCCTTGAAGAATCACTCTGTCTCCGAAACTTCATCTTTCCCAAACCGTCTCTCCCCCTCACCCGGTACGCCAATGGACAGAAGCGGCCAGTCACCGTCACCCGTGAGCCCCCGATCTAGGGCCCCGGTACCCAAAAAGCCGACCAGCACAAGGAACAGCAACCGGCGGACATCGATGGACTTCCGAACCCGTGCCAAAACAACACCACGAAGCGAGTTTGGCAGTCTAGATATGTCCACCGAGCAGGTGTGCCGCACCCTCCGGGCCTACCGCAAGAAACTCAATGGATCCACACAACGCATTCAGGCGCAAAAAGAGCTGGAGCGGGAGCTGAGCCTTACCCTCCGTGTTGTCACTGGCCGTGGCCTCAGTAGCGATGAAAGCGGAGAAACAGAAACCGATAGCAGTGGCAGAGACATGGATCAGAGGCACAATCATTCCTCTCGATCGTTGAAATCGCCCCAGATGCCTCGCCATATGCCCTCGACTCCATCTTTGCGCCATAGGGTGGCACGCCAGGTCTCGCGGAGCCGTTCATACGATGCCACGGCAGATGGAGATGAATAAAGCCTGCGTCCTGCAATATCTCTCTTATCATGCCTCAGAAAGAGGCCGTGTATTCTCATGGCATTTTCTTTTGCCTTCACTTGATCTTCCCCTTCACATTTACTGGCTTGTTCGCCATTGCATTCTCTTGACATCCTTTCCTTCCATTTTTTTCCCCTTTGCATATTTGCATATTTGCATCATCCACTGAGCGGTCAGTGGCTTGTTCGATTTTCTTTCTTTCTATTTACCTCCTGCTGATTTCCTAGAGATCATTGACCTTCTGATGATACCCATATTTACCTTTTCGTGAGTGGCCATAGGCTGTCTCGCTATAATCAAGATTTCAAGATTCTTTCTTTTATACTTCCTAGACCACACTACTAAGACTATATTTGTTTATTTTATTTTATTTTTTCCAGTGCAGCCATCAATACAAGGATTGATCATAGCCCGCTTGTGTACTCAATTGTCTAGAGCTTTATTGAAAATGAGAGACTTTTCTTTTGGTTCTGCTTTCTTGTCACTATGACATGAATTGATATATATCTAAGCTAACTTGTGTGCCGTGGAAACACCCAAAGCATCAACACCTGTGAGCTACTGCTTGACCGAAAGTTGAACATGAACTCAGCCGGTGCATTTCATCCCGATGATTCCTTTTTCGCGTCCAGAATAGTTTTGAGGAGGCTTTTCTGTTGTTCCAATGGAAGATCCCCATATTGTTCTTGGACCAATGTTCGAATGGAAAATTCCGAGACCAATTTGGGGTCCACGGATGAGATGATGACAGCCACGGCGATCAGGTCTTTTGTGATGTCTGTCAGTTGCTTAGAAGAGTATTTCCAGGCAAACATTCGAATATCAACCCGTTGGATCCCCCCAGGTCTCCAGTGGTAATAGTACTGTCCGGGTCAGTATACCGACAAATTAACGCCCGAATGTTGGATCTCACTAGCTAGTCTTTGTGGATTTGTTTCCCTCGTATGAGCCCACAAGAGCCTTGAGGCCGTCTTGGACTACAGAGCTTATTCCTTTTGCCAAATCCCCTTTGACAAACGAGCCAAAGGTATCGGTGATCTCTTTCCCAATATCGTCGGGTTTGGTGGAGATGCCGCATCGCACGATTGACTCTTGATGCATGATCTGACCGACGGGGATCAGATTTGCATCCACGGCACGGTTACTATGGTTTGAAGTGAGTCAGAAAGATGAAAGAGAAGTCTGTCGATCTTCACTCTTTGGCAGCAGCAACTTACGTGACTGCCAGCAGAAAAGATTCAACCTGTTGGTTACCCAACTCCTCCATCTGATTCAAGGCATCATTTGCCAACTTCTGTTTCTCTGCGTCATTTTGAATGCTGTCAATGACTGATGAAACCATTTGACCCATGATGACGAGCTCTGGAACAGATTGAGAAGCAAGTTGAACAAATTTCGGTTTAATTGAAAGAGATTGAGGAGATTCCCCAGAGTACCGTTGATAGATTGATGATACAGCGAAATGGGTGATACCGCATGCTATTAAATATAGTGATCTCAGTCATTCATATTAATAGATATCAGCGTCGTCATGATGTCTGAATGGTAAGCCGCCAGTCGCCACACCATGTGGCTGCCTGAAATGCTGCATTTCAGCTATAGTCCGGCGTCAATTGTGGAAAACATGACTTGTTCGCAAGTTGTTCGCAAGTTGTTCGCAAGTTGTTCGCATAGATCTCAAAGCCCGCCCCACACGCATGAGCCTGCATCGTGAAGGAACTAGCGCAGTACCACGTCACCTATGCAGGAGAAGACCGAGATCTAGCGAACCTGAAAGCCCGAAGTGAGATGTTGCACAGAAGAAAGCAACAAGTCAATGGTATGCACGAGGATGTACATACGTATGGGTCTCCGAAGATCTTATGCAAAGATCTTGGAAACAGTAGCGGTATCTTGATCAATACATCGTCCTTGAACCCAGCCAGAGATTTGGAAGGATATCTTGCGAGATTCAAACATGCTAGAAGCCATTATCCGAGGTCAATTATGAGTGCAATGCCTGGAGGCGATGGGGTTGATTTGAGATCTGCAGAGGATTCTTGATTCGTCCTGCAGCTGCAGCTGCATCCGGGTCCTGCATCGTGCAACCATTCACTGTGACAACTAGCCTGAGGATCTACCTTTGACACGCAGTGCCACCGCTAGCCGGGCGGCTGTAGATGTGATGAATCAATGGACAATGCAGAAGGCTACCCATACTACCCCACAGAACACTGCATGAACCCAGTCATACTTTCTCACAACTTGACAAGTCATACTTGATCAGTGGCAATTCAGGTCCAGCTGACCTTAGACTTTGGGGGCAAGTATCGGCCTTGACTAAGAATATGACTGACGTCGGAAATTGGGCTGCATGTTATGAGCCTCTGAGCAATACTTTTCAAACTCCAAGTAATATAAAAGCCTACCAAATCCTCAGACTCTACAATCAATTATCAAAGTTCCGTTTCTAGTCTTCTGCTCTTCTTCTTCTATCTCAGAAATGGCCGAAATCCCGCCAAACAACCCCAATCATCCCCGGTGGCTGCTTGATCTCGAGAATTGGGCAATCCGTGACTATCGAGAGATCGAAGACGAGGTTCTGCAGAACGGGTACGGGATTATCTCCTATACCTGGGGTAGATGGGCCTCTTGGAATCAGGTCCCTCCGGATGTGCCAGCAGGGCTACAGTGGCCAGTTCCCCTTGTCGAAGTCCTACCTTTGGGACTGGCTAGGCGGGTAGTTTCCAGTATGGGCATTCAATACGTGTGGTGGGACTGGATGTGTGTTCCACAAGGCAATGCAAGCACTTTACAACCAGAGCTGTTGGAGGCCAAAGGACAAGAGGTTGGGAAGCAGATGTAAGCATTTCTTTGTTTTCTCTCTCACTACTTCTCCTTTCAATTGGTTCAAAAAAAAAAAAAAACATGCTGATGCCTATGAGTTAGGGTAATTTACCAAGGAGCAAAGAGAAGCATCGTATGGCTTCACCAGACGACTTGGGGCAAGGAATCTCCGGTCGAGAAATTGCTGAAGAATCAGATACCAAAGCAGAACCTCCCCGAATACTTGGCTGCCGTTGATGGTCTACTCCAAGATATTCAGGCAGCTGAGCCTTGGCTGACCTCTGGTTGGACACTACAAGAAGGCGTTCTTCTCAGTGAAACCCTCTTGTTGGACCACGAAGGGGAGGCGCTACGCGATGAACGTTTCCTTCACAATCAAGGCCAGGCGTCTGTCCTGGACCTCACAGCCGGTCTCACAACATTCGCAATCCACATTGCCACAGCTTTCCTGAAGATGAGTGAGACGCAAGACGGGGGTGATTACGACGAAGTAGTCCAGTTTATCCGTGCCTCGGACGCGAATTACCAAAACGTTGCTCAATTCCTCGGTCGTCTCCTGCGCTCAGGCTTGATCGCCTATACTAAGAAGTCTCCGCTGTACATTCTAGCCGGCAAATTTTCGCGCAACTATGGCGTTCAAGAGGATCAGTGCTGGGCCTTGCTGGGAGCACTGGAGCTAGCGAATGTCACGCCCTGGTACAGCAATGTTGCAGACATGGACCGGGTTAAGTCTGTTTTCTTTGCAAATCTGCTCCAGGAGCATCAGTGGTCCACGCTGCTTGTGGCCGGTGCAGGTGAAGGCGAAGGGGAACAAAAGATTTCTCAGCTACCATGGCACCTGAAAGTGACCGATGGGAATTATTTGCCTCTGGGAATATTCTTTGACGTCAATTGGAAGCCAGACCTCCCGGGTCTGTCGTGGACTTACCCTTCACCGCTAGTGAAAGATGCCATTCACATCCAGACCAAGACTGGGGCGCCATTTGCAGTCCTCAAAGCCCGTGACAATGGTTCTGCGCTCTGCAGGCGCTATGAACAGCTCCCAACTGCGGACGAGGCAGGCTCGATTCGAATTCTACCTGTTGGGCCCTTGGAGCCCTCCAAGGCGCTGTTCTTCCCAATTGCAGATCTGGAGAGTAGGCCAAACATGCCAGGGTCACGCTGCATCGAAATCATTCCTACTGAGACAGGGGCTCATCCCGCCGGTATATTCAGAGGAGTAATTGATATTTGGGCAACTGAAGCTACTTTCGAGAAGCTTCACTACACCAAACTTTCAATGCTGAGCGGAGTCTGATAGTATCAGCGTGGACTGTTGTATTAAGACCAAGCTACTTTCGTGTATGGTGCAATAGTCTGAATATGAGTTTCAAATGAATATTGAAGCTTACCCTATCGTATCTCATATTGAGCTTGATAGTGTCGAACTATAGCATTTCCTATGGAATAAACAAAGACGCGGTTCAATTGACGCATTAGATCACTGAGCGCAAATCTTATCATATGGGAGATGTTGAAGATAAAGAAGAGAAGGATGAAAGAAAGATCAAGGCAGTCTACCAGAGAAGATTTTGTGTTGAGTCGTCGACAACGACCGACTAAGCGACGACGACTACCTATATAACTACCTTCAGATACGCGGATCGCTCTGACAAGACGTCTCAAGACGTGCCAGAGCGCGCTACATCTCAGAATAAACACGATCAGTCGGATCTATAGATATGCACGTTTACCAGCTGAAGCTGATAGCCCAATGAGCCGACAGGCAGTACAAATGATACAGGGAGCATATGAAGAAACTGAACATGATCGCTGAAGACTGTTTGTTGTGGTACATATACCAAGTACTGTACATTTTGTGTGAAGACACAGCCAAATCTCGGGGAATCAAAAAGAAAGAAATGAAAGGAATAAGAAAGCACTGTGACAAGACTGTCTATCTCGAGAGCAATTACTTGCCGATAGGAAGGAAGTTACCAACAATAAGGGATGGACTGTATAAAGCCATTAGCCTAACACAGCAGCCATAGAGACGTTAAGTATCACTTACATGTTGTGGTTATCACGTCTGATGGTAAAGGAGAAACAGCAAGTGATACCATCACCCGTTGAGTTAGGATTGGGACTCTTGAGCGTACAGCTAGTGAGCATGGCCTTCTGCGTATTGTCAAAGGCAATAGCACCGAACTTTTCCCAGTAGCTCACTAGCTGGTCCTCGACAATGATTTCGTGGATAGCGAGTTTGCCCTAACGAACCAAATCATGTTAGTAAGATATGAAGCAGGTGATGATACCGGCCAGACAGCGCTGGGTAGATACTCACATCGCGCAAACCCTCAATGGGGACGTCAATCAGCTGTGCCATTTCATTGTTGCCACGGAAGATCTCGCCTGTTCGGCGCCAACAGCAGGCGGGGATGGCCATACTGGCAAACACACGGTCGTACTCCATCAAGCTCCGCTCGAACCACATTTCAACAAGGATCAACTCGATATCAGTCAGGCTCTGCATGCGCTCTCGGAACTTTGGCCGGAACTTGTCAAGCTGTCGTAGAATCTTTTGTCGAGATAATTGCTGCATGTTCTTCTCCATGTATTGGTTCAATCTTGCATATCCCTTAACATAGTTGAAAGGTTTCAATAACCCGGCATCATATTTGGCCTTGAGAAGCTTGTTCATACGTTCCTCAGGTGGGTCAGTTCCCGCAGGGTCGGCGGCCGTCATGTAATACGTTTCCCGGGCTTTGTCATTGCCCACAGTTGAAGTTGGTCTCTGGATTGAGTCTCCTGGTGGCGCATGACTTTGTGCTGGCAGTGGAAGCTGCGCCGGTGGCGCTAAGCCATTCGGCATTCCTAGGCCGTTCATGGAGTTCATCATGGTCGAATCAGAGTAAGCCCCGGGCATCTCTTGGTTTTGGAACATTGCGCCGTCATCCAATAGACTGTTACTAAGGAAGTCTCCGAGCAAGTTATATTCGTTGGTCACTTCTGGCGCATTAAACATGTAGGACGGGTGGAGTGAATGCATATCCTGGAATTGGTTTTGGCCTCCTACCCAGTCGTTATACGGCATAACTGTCATCAAAAGTCAACTGGGGCCCGGTAAACAAGTTTCGCGACAAGCTTACGCTGAGGATTGGCCTCGAGGTCCTGGCCAGGCGTAGAGAGGTTTCCGGGCGGCACAGTGGAAGTTGGATTTACAGCCGAGGGCGCAATTCCGATCGAAGCTTCAGGGAACTGTTGCTGACCCGCAGCATCGGCTACATCAACACTTCTAGGCATGCCTTGCACTAGATCATTGTTCGAGCCTTCCTCGTCCGCAGCTGAATGTTCGTGTTCGCCACGTCCGCGCTTCGTAGTTTCTCTCGGTTCGTCATGGCACAAGTGACCAATGTTGCGCTTTATACAGCGAGTGCAAGGTCGTTCCTTCATACAGGTCAGCTGATGCTTGGTTCCGTCACTCGCAACTCGAGAGTTTAGTCGCGAACGGGGGAGGTCGTACCGAGTCGCAGGTCATATGCTGTCCCACGCGAACAAGGCTCAGTTAGCAAAAGTATTCCCTCGAGTATTCCCCAAGACAGTGCCAGGACTGTCGCATAGCAAATGCACAGAGTGCTCAGTGAAGCTTACCGAACGGCGACAATAGACACATGCTGGAATGGCGAAACGGGTCAGTCAAGTGTTCTCGTGGGCGCAGACCCCTGTTGCATGCTGCGCGACGGCAACTTACCGTGATTCACCTTCCGGCGCTTCTTAGGACTGGAGTGACTCCCCGCGCCGGTCGATTCGGCCTTGGCTGCTGATGTTTGTTCCTTGAGGCTATCCTTCCCTGTATCCCCGGACCTGGACTTGGCCAGCGACATCTCGGTCATTGCGCAAGAAATTCAGAGTGAGTTGAAGTTCAGAGGTTGGAAACGTCAAAAAGGATGGAGAAAGCGGAGTCACCCCTCCGAACTCCTCCGCATTTCCGCCACCTCGGCGAGGCATTACTTTCTTAGTGCTACAAATAGAGATGTGTACAACAGCTTGTATTATGACTTATTCCATTATTCTCTGCAATCTTGAAGCTCGGGATCTCGGGCGCGTGTCGCCAATCTCTCTAGATCTGGAATTGGGATTGGGTTTGCGTCGACTTGCTGTGCCTTTAGTTTCCTAGGCCAGTATTGATCCTCCTGCATTGGTCCTTTGGTAGAATAGGCATCCAGCCGCGCACGGTGTCTGTCTAATGCAGCTATTCAGCGCATGCGTTGCGATCTGAGCACGAGACAAGCGATTTCTGGGTGATCCTGGATCGCCGTATTCAGTACTCGAGCGGCTTCTCTTAGTATGCGCAAATTCCTTGGTCCGAGGTCTTTCATGTGTCAACGCGTATTGAGCTGGGTATGGTGTTTTGGTATGTGTAGGGTGCAGAATAACCAGCGATCAGTCATTGGATAGTGAGTATAAATCCAAGGCAGCTTGCGAACGAGTGATGGCGTCACTTAGCCCAGCGAATGGTGCAGTGTTGCTTTGCATGGATTGAAGATGGCCATTAAGTTGCTTCATGAGTCCCTGGATTTCAGGGTCGGTATCCAACTAGAATTGAGTATAGCGTGAGTTTCTGTGGCCTGCGTAGCAGATCAAGTACTACGTACCTCATCCAGAGTCGCTTGGCTATCCTTTGCGCCGAGAAGAGTGAACTCGGAGGACATGGAGCCCTCGGTTTGAGGAAGTGCATCCAGCTTTCTCAGAACGGGGTGTTCCTGGGTACACAGTCAGTTGAGAATACCAAAGACCAAATGTATTGTATCGCATACATTCTTCGTCTGTCGTTTTCGTTCAGCCTCGGCCCTTTTGGCGTTCTTTTCCATGTCCTGCAGGGCCTTTTTGTCACGCACGAGGGCTGCTTCTTCGTTTGCGATTTCGGCTTTCAATAGGTCGACACTGTCGGTCATAGTAGTCAAGCTGGATTCGAGTGCACGCTAAAGCATGTCAGTAGGGGGTGTTGTTAGCTGGTCGCGGATTGCGTACATGCTCATTCAGCGCAGACTCGTAGTCGAAATTCGATTCCTTCGTCACAGGTGGAAAAGGCATTCGTGGAAGTCGTTTCCCTAGACTGATATCACGCAGAGGGAGCTGTCAGCGCTCTGGTTCCTTCGAAGTGCCGGTATTTGCGTGTCTAGAAGCATCGTGTAGACTTACTTTCGTACCACCGCTTGCACAGTACCCTGCGCTTCGATGCGCTTTCGCTCATTCTGGCCTCGCATGATGACCGGTCGTTCTAGGGAATGAAACATATCGCGGACTCTTTCTTGAACGGGTTCCGGTAGAGTGGCCCATTTCGACTTGATGGTCTTCTCGGGGACACGGCGGATGTGCGGTTTAAGGTAAGCATAGCGCTTGGAATCACGATCTTCATCCTCACTGTGTTTTCGTTTCGGAGGCATGATGGGCGAGTGGTAGGAAGCAATTGGACGAGGCCGACGCGTCTAAACACGGCAAAACACAAAGCGGTGGGGGATGACGGCAACCGTTGTAGATCATAAGTTGATCGATTCAATCCATTTTCGTCCTTCTTTCCCAACTCGATGCTTGTGATCTCAATTGCAGGGGTAAAGATGCGCTAGGGCTCCGAAGGGTCCCGGAAAGCTTCCAAGGCCCGGGTCAAACTCGAGTTCCTCTCAACCATCCATGATGTCGCTTTTGTCTCTACCGCCCGAGCTTCTCTACATGGTTGTTGGATATCTGGAGTATGACTCGGAGTTTGAGGCTATGAGACAGGCGTTCCAGCATCTTCGTCCCATCTACAGAGAGCCTCCACGTCCGCATAAAACCAAATCTGTGAAGCCCATCACCATCGTACGGGAATTGAAAGAGCTATTGGCTCCTGGCAACGAAAATCGGTTGCGAAATTACCTGCACTGCAACAGCCTTCTCAGAGATGTAGTCTTTGCTAGAGCAGCCTGTGCTAAGGCTGTGACTACGGGTCAATCGAGGGTTGTCAAGGTGTTGCTCACCATCTGCCCATTGGTTCTGAAAAGTCAACCAAAAGAAGGCTCGCCTTCGCTTCTTGACCTAGCTGTATCTCGGAATCAATTCTTAATCCGAGACTACTTGATCAGCTTGAGAGAATTCCTGATCTCGCGTAGATGTGTCACGGTGGGACAAGTTGCACCAGTGCAGATTCAGATTCCTGCTGGGCTTTCTCCTGTCATCTCTGCTGTGGAGCTGAGATCCCTGGAAGCAGTCAGACTTGCCATTGAGGAGCAAAAATGCGACATTCATTCATTATCCCGAGTTGCTCGTCAATTGCACGTGGCCAGATTCGTCCAGTTGTTTCATCCTATGGAATATTGCACGCCTTTGTGGATTGCAGCTGCAAATGGCTCTGTGGAAATCGTCCAGTACCTTCTTAGCCAGGGTGCCAATGCGAACAGTGAGCTTTTCCCGGTCATTTTTGTGGCTGCCCATCAAAATCATGTAGGTGTGGTGAGCTTCCTGTTAGATGTGAAAGAACATCCAAAGCTTGAACAAATCTATCCCGGCCTATGGCTATCTCTACTGTGCATCAAGACCGATGCAACGGCACTTCTCTACCAGCGACTTGATCTTTCGGCAATGTGCACTCATTTCTGCGATATGACCGGTCCAGAGGCACTCGGTCCTGATCTGAAACATCTGTCGTCCCTGTTGGTCCTTGCTATAAAAATCTCCAACAGAGAAGCCATACAGCATCTGATGGAAAGCCGACATGCTGATAATATCTGCCAATATCTCATACTACAACCTGACTTTTCAAAGGCACTTCATACATTCTTTTCGTTTGACAAATTGGCCAGGGAAACCTCTGAAGACCTACTATTTTTAATCGATTGTATCGCTCAGAAATCCGCACATCTGCTGGCTCAGGTTTGTGAGACGATAATAAAAAGGCACGGGCTCTGGTTCGAAATCTTTCTGCAGAGATACCCGCAGGTATCATCGCACATATTGTCCGAGCTAAAAGACGTGGTCATTGACGCGAAGAAGAGACGAGACATTCCTCTTCTTACAACCCTCCTCCGAAACCATGTCAAATACATCACCGAAACCACGTGGCAGAAGCTGCTCGGGTTCAGAATCGACCTGGAATCTTGGGACGTCTTCCTGGAGCTCGGTGCTCTCGACCACATCAACGCCGAGCACGTGAGAGACTATTTGCAATGTGCCTTTTCGGGCTTCAGTAGAACAACATTGAACACATGGCTGTCAGTTTTAGACAGGTTCAATCTCAATTTACATTCGAAATCTACAAAATCTCCGGGATTTAGCTGGAGATATCCCGATGCATCATACATGACCCTTTTCGAATATGGAATCGCAACTTGCGATTACAGACTAGCACCACTGCTGCTCGCTCGACCAGAAGTGAACTTCGTGCCCACAGATGATGCTTGTCAAAAAGCATTAAAATGCATCCTCGAGAAAGGTTCCCCCGTCCCGCAAGACAACCCCCAGAAAGTCAAGCTATTTCTTGAAAAAGGCTTCGACCCAATGCAGCCCTTACCTGCGAAGACCTTAACCGAGCGAGGACTCCCCAACAGGGGCATGCCAATCCTCCACTGTGCCGTCATACACAGCTGCCATGAAACTGTCAAACTCCTCCTCGAACATGGCGCAGACCCGCTGCAAGGCCTGTTCCAATCCGGCAAATCCAAATTCACCACTGCGCTGGGGTTAGCTGCGCGCCATCATCGGTATCCAATAATCAAGATCATTCTGCAGCATTTAGAGGCGCGGAAGATCAGAATTACCTGGCTCTTGCGTTTGTTGCCACTTACACAGGAGGATCAGCGAGAGCTCAGGTGGCCGGAACACCAAGTGCTCCCTTCAAAAAGTAGAGAGTTGAGGAGTATCCAGTTGACCAAGATATTAAGGCAACAGCATTGGCGTTTCATGTACCCGGTCCCTGGCGATGATTGAGGTATTACTGTGGGTTTCAAGGTGTGACGGGTTAAGCCTGTGGTGGTCTCTTGTCGAATATTATAAGATTGCATGCATGTACTTGATTTAGTTGTTGAGTCCATTTTCGTTTGCAACCCAACTTATTCCTTTAAACTTAATATGATCATAGAATGGAGTCAATGGTAGGTACAACAAGACCAACCACGATATTTATCTTATATGTGGCATTCAAAGTACTCTCCATAAGACAACAGGTATATCAAGATTAAGGTATTGTTCAACTCATAAAAATCGAATTATGCACTAGGGTATCGATGCCAACCAACCGAAGGTAATGTGATATTATCAACGGTGGCAAATAGAAAGCCAGAGAATGTAGACCAGAAAGAAATGGTATCTTGTCACCAGGACTGCGAAATGAACGCCAACCGCGCCGGTCCTCCCCAACCCGCTGAAACACTTGCAAGCCCCGTTGCAAGAGACAGAGCTATCCAGATTATATGTTTAAAAAGCTGCCATGGGCTATCATCTTGGCATTACCAAGCCACTGATGCCTTTGAGCTCATGTAGTTGGCGTTGAAGGATATCATTCCCCTGTAGAAGCTCTTCAAGCCAATCAGCAGCGGAAGTGAGCATGGCACTCTTGCTGAAGCCGCCGCCTCTGAGCCCCGGCACAAGGGTACATAGATCTTCGAACCCCTGGCGGATGAGGTTTCGGCGCTTCTGTTCTGAAAGGATGTGGTTTGTCCTCTTCTGCTCTTCAGAGAGGTTCTCTCGTGCAGCTTTTGATCCTGGTTGGATACGAACTTTCCGAGACATGTCTGTTGACACTCGGCGTCCTTTACTGATAGATCCTCTGGATTTTCGGGAATGGGGTCTTCCGTCCTCTTCGTCGGAGTCGCCCTCTTCTTTCATAGTTCGTGGTCGTTTGCGGGCCTGTAGGCTATCGTCTGGGATTGAACTAATGGGCTGTGAGGCAAAGGAATTCCGGTGGACAGGGCCGCCGACCGTCCGTTCTGGACTGGGAGCTCGTGTGTTGGCGGCACTGCTCTGTGTTTCAAAGCATCCCAGATGATCTAGCAGGTCCTTTGTCCGTTGTTCTTCATCAGGCTGATCAGGTGGGCGAAGGTAGCCTTGATCCATAAAACCAACATCTGAGCCCCAGCGGAGACTGCGGACCTTTCTTGAAGGATGCTGATCGGCTGGGATGGGATCTCGCACGTCGAAAAACATCTCTGATGTATGATATCCAGTGGGCACGTCAGCCCGAGACGGAGAAGTACCCGGTCCCTGCCCGAGATTTCCGGCTTGTGAATCATTCCTTATGTGAGTTCCATTTTGCGGCATGGGGTGTCCTGCAAAAGCCTGCTGCGCTAATGTGGACCCGATACCTTGCCCGTTAAGGCCACTTTGATATAGCATGGATGCTGCTGCGAATATGTCCTGGCCTGTAGGATTTCCAGACATCGATCCTCCATTTGTTTTGCCTAGTCCATGCTGCTGAAAGGATGGTTGTGATAAGGAGGTGGTCGATCCTTCGAAGTTCGGAGGCAGTTCGCCAGACCAGTCGAAGTTGGGTGCCCCAGATTTATGTTCTTGTCTCATCCAAAAGTCATTCGTAAAGTGATTCGCATTCATGGTAGTAAAGAAGTTGTCGAGCATGTTGGATTCATTATCATCAAGGAGAGAGGGACCCGGGGGAAGAGCGGGTGCTTGTTCGAATGGGGTATCCATGGGGGAGAGGAAGGAATCTAATCTCCTGTTAGCGGGTATTTCATGGTGCATCACAGAATCACTCACATCCAAAGGGTCCAGACGGGGGTGATGTGCGTCCAGTCTGAACTTCAGTCCCATGACCATCCATTGTGAAAAAAGAGCGCTATCGATAGTCTTTATAACGGGGTATCTGCTACTCTCAAATGAAGAGTAGCGCGGACCAAGACGCAAGTGGCATGCCTCGGTCCAATCTGAAGTATGCGCTATGCGATAAAGTTCCTGAGGATCGTCGACTCCACTAACGAGGGAAGTATAGGTTTATGGGATAGCGATAGTAGTTGCGCAAGGACAAGAGAAGTAGAAGCAAGTGAGAGAGAGTGAGCAGAAGAGAAGAGAAAGAATGTGTGTTGAGAGTCACTCCGGGGAAGAGGTGGAGGTTCATAGGATCACATGCAAAATTCAACTGACGTAACAGTACCAACAATACAGAAATGACAGCCGCACAGAGGGGTCCACAGTGGCTTTTTACTGTATTGACTTGTATCTGTAAGTATCTCCGGGGAGAGCTGTACTTCCGGGGAACGGAGACCCCGTGATCTGTGCCGGATTGATTCGTTCATCTTTTGTGTACTGTGCATGTCTCTCAACCATTTTGGTGACTTACATGCTACTTCCTGCACCTCTCGACTGGTCTGCAGAAACACCCATTATTGGGTCAGTGCGGTTCTTGTTTTTGGCATTCTCATTCATTCCTATTGGTCTCACAATTAAATCATCCGTGGGCCCTTGAGGCCCCGCAATCCCGACTATCGTCCGAACAAGCCGGATGATCGTCTTCTTTGCTTCCCCCTGGGAACTGGGGCTCTCTGCCAACCGAGGTCCGTCGAGCCCACAACACACTTAAGGAACGTTACACGGCTCCACGATCAAAACGATCGTGCAGGTGTCAGGTTTCCCGGAGAATACTACCCAATTTTCGGGAGGCACAATTGTAGGCTCCCGGGGTTTTCTCATTGGGCTGATCATTGTTCAACGGCTGACATTCTCATTAGTTCGGCTGTGATGGTGCCCTCCTTCTGGGCCTGAAGGTTTCCAGTATGGAACGTGTGCTCCCGAGAAGAAACCGGGCAGTGAACCCGTGAGTCCTGTTACCCTAAATTCTCGCTCCCTTGCTGACTGTTACTGTAGCCTTCTTCGCGCCTACGCGCTCGGGTACCTGTCATCGGTGACTCCGAGGTTGGTATCGTATGTTCGCCGTCTGGCCAGGCAAGATTGGACTGCACAGCAGAAACTTCAAGAGGTACGCAGATGTGATCCGTGGCGTCGGGTTGCGGTCATGTTTCAAACTGATATGTGCAACTGGAGCTGTCGCTGACCGTGAGAGTAGCTAGTTCAAGTTTTGACTGGTCCACTGCGTGTGAACAGTTTCCCAACATTTTGTGCGGCCTTGGCAGGCGGCTCAACTTTGCTACCGATAGGATTGTATCGCCTATGTGCGTTGATCCCTGTAGGACTTGCCAGAGGTGATGTTCAAATTTCTAAAAAGCTCGATCGCTTGATTCGATTTGCTGCAGCCTTTCTATCGGGATGGTTCAGTTTCCAACTTATCAACAGAAACCGCATTTGTCTTCGGACAGAGGCTGTCAGGTTTCAGCGGGAGTCGACTGAACGGGAATCTACAGACCAGGAACATGACTCCAGTGAAGCTGGGGCCAATCCGCTTGAGCATCACCGCCCAGAGCTCGCGGGGAGGACAATGGACCTTACCATCTTTTCAGTTACAAGAGCCGTGGATGTCATCGCATGTGTTGCATGGAATCACTGGTCCCGCCACCGCAAGGCCCAGAACCGGTGGACTGTTGTCGAAACCTTTGTCCCTGGGTTAGCGGATGCAGGAGTATTTGCCACGAGTGCAGCCATCGTCATGTGGGCCTGGTTTTACCTCCCAGAGAGACTGCCCAGGACATATGAGAAATGGATCGGGGAAGCCGCTCAGGTGGACTCGCGCTTAATCGAGGCTCTACGCCGTGCTCGACGAGGTGTCTTTGTATATGGAAAGGATACAGGTCAAGCACCTCTCCTCAAGCCTATGTGCAATGACTATGACTGGCCAGAGGCTTGGGGAGACCCAGCCAAGACAGTTCCAATCCCCTGCGAAATGGTCCACATGGGCTGCGGCCCTAGTTGTGAGAAACATGCTTTGTACCGCTTTGCCAGAACCTTTAAGTTCGCCTGCGCAACCTATATCCCGCTCCAGATTGTCTTCCGTCTACGGGGGATGAAGTCTGCTGCTGCTCTCCGACGGGCTATTTTTGATGCTGCCCGATCTTCCACCTTCCTAGCCTCATTTGTGACCCTCTTCTACTACTCTGTCTGTCTTGCTCGGACACGACTCGGTCCCAAGATATTCGATCCGAAGACCGTCACCCCATTGATGTGGGACTCCGGCCTTTGTGTGGGAGCGGGATGTCTCATGTGTGGCTGGAGTGCATTGGTCGAGAAGGCGCGGAAGAGACAAGAGTTGGCACTATTTGTGGCACCCCGGGCAGCCGCCACGGTCTTGCCACGGTTGTATGATAAAAAAGTATGTATGCATCGGACCCTCGCAGCAGGGTTACACCCCCGGCCCCCCTTCTCGACGCCCCGAGACTGGACTTATGACGAGTCCAGAGTCATGAGCGCGTGCTGACTTGTATACAGTATCAATACCGAGAGCGCTTTGCATTTGCTGTCAGCGCTGCCATTCTCATCACTTGCCTTCGAGAGCGGCCCAGCATGGTTCGAGGAGTCTTTGGCCGCATCACTAATAGCGTTTTGAACTAGGCTTTTTGAGGCCTATACCTCAATGTCTCATGATTATTCTTTTGTTCTAGACTTCAGACTGCTTTTCGGGGTGCTACCTTGTATCATTATTCACCTTGCATCGTTATGACTTTAATGCTTCATCATGGCGGAGCCTTCCACATTCAATCAAACTCATTTAATAAATTATATTTTTAGACAATCTCGAGTACTATTCTGAGCTTCTTGAGGCGACTTTCATGAGGTCATCTCAGACATAGTTGTAATAGATGCGCCGATATATACCCCAAGGCTCAGCGAAATGTGACCAGATTTGCTACCAACCGATTTGTATAATTTGCATTTCTGATCAAATCGAGACCAAGGACACAGTTCTATTAGAACAAGCATCAATTTAGCAGATTATCATTCAAATAGTCCAATGGTACTCCGTAGATGGGAATCAATAAATGCAGCATCGATATGGCACCATGCAGGGCTTATCGATAAGGCATCACGTGTTGGGGATAACTGCACATCTTGAGACTCAACATCTGATTGTTCTTACTCCACAAACACCATGTTTTCACGATTACTCCCCTCATGGGGACGCTCAACACTAACGGGGGCAATTCCCCAGCGATCAATTTACCTCCGAAAGAATGTTTTTAACTTGGAGCGGAGGTACTTCTCGAGGAATTCCGTGCTCCAAGCAAAGCACCAAGGATCATCCGCACCTTTTAATACCCCGGAATCGCAAAAGCGCAATACCTCTACATTGTGAGACCCGTTGAGGCCTAAACTTGAGATAATGCACAAGCTAACGGAGTTGCCGACCAGGTACTATACTGTCAGTCTCATCCTCGGAACCGTTGCACTGGCATATGGATCCGTCCCTCTTTACAAAATGGTTCGTAAACCCATGGCTCAATCGCTCATAAACCAAATATACAAGGTGAGGCTCAGACTAATACCCAATTGCAGATCTGTCAACAAACCGGCTGGGGCGGCCAACCCATCCTCACCCACCGCAACGGCGACGGCGATACCGCAGGGCGCGTAACACCAGTGACAGACTCCCGCCGTCTCCGAATCACATTCAACGGATCCGTATCTGACGTTCTCCCCTGGAAGTTCACACCACAGCAGCGCGAGGTCCGCGTGCTGCCGGGCGAGACAGCTCTGGCATTCTATACGGCAACGAATAAGGGCCCGAATGATATCATTGGAGTTGCAACGTACAGTGTCACGCCGGGGCAAGTTGCGCCGTATTTCAGTAAGATCCAGTGTTTCTGCTTTGAGGAGCAGAAGCTCAATGCGGGCGAGTCGGTTGATATGCCGGTGTTCTTCTTCATTGATCCTGACTTTGCGACGGATCCTAATATGAAGGGAATTGATACTATTACCCTGTCATATACTTTCTTCAGTAAGTTTTGCAAACGCTTGTTGTTTGGGCTGGACTGACCCCATGATAGAAGCCAAGTATGATGACAATGGTGTTCTCAAGCCCATTGCTTCATGATAAACACTTTCCAAGGACAGTTCTTTTGATCAGGCTTGCAATGCAGTATAGACTTGAGCATTGAACATTATATGATGTTGTGTTTGGCTTCTTGTATTCTTCTCATCTCTTGGAACAAATTTTGCATGTATCATACATCTCGGAGTTTGGCGGAAGGCAATTAGATGCCTAAGATATATCCAGCTGTATATATTGCTCAATTTTCATGTGTAATTGTGTCCTTCTAGCCTGTACTGAATCTAGTAGCTGTAGCTCTTGCATATCGGAGCGTGCACGGACCAGGCATTAATTGGGCGCGTGTCCCGACGCGTTTTCCAGTCCGCATCCTCTATCGAAAAAACCACCCAGCTCTCCGACACTTCACTCGACACATCCACAGAGACGAAAATGGCTCTCCTCGTTGATAAGCTGCGGCCACGCACTCTCGATGCCCTCACATACCACCCCGACCTCTCTGATCGCCTGCGCTCACTGGTAAGAGAATCTCGCCGCGAAACACGACAGCTCTAACAAGCGCTACACAACAGGCTCAAAGTGGAGACTTCCCCCATCTACTGGTCTACGGGCCCTCAGGAGCGGGAAAGAAGACACGGATAATCGCAACACTGAAAGAACTGTACGGGCCCGGAGTCGAAAAGATCAAGATCGACGCCAGAATCTTCCAGACAACCAGCAACCGCAAACTAGAATTCAACATCGTCTCCTCAGTCTACCATCTCGAAATCACACCTGCCGACGTCGGAAACTACGACCGAGTCGTTGTACAAGAATTGCTGAAAGAAGTTGCTCAGACGCAGCAGGTCGATCTGGGAGCGAAGCAGCGTTTCAAGGTCGTTGTTATCAACGAGGCTGACCACCTCACGCGCGATGCTCAGGCAGCTCTCAGACGGACTATGGAGAAGTACAGTCCTAATTTGCGGTTGATTCTCTTGGCCAACAGTACTTCCAATATCATTGCTCCTATTCGTTCTCGAACCCTGCTGGTCAGGGTTGCTGCGCCTACGGAAAAGGATATTTGTGCCGTGCTTGGCGGTGCTGCGAAGAGGGAGGGGTGGGCTGAGGCCGAGGGGCTTCATTTGAGGATTGCGAAGGAGAGTGGGCGGAATCTTCGCCGAGCGCTGCTTATGTTTGAGTCGATTCATGCGCAAAAGTATGTTGCCAATCCGTCTCTAACTTGGGGTTTGATACTGATGTCTCTGGTGGTTAGTGAAAAAGTTACGGACAAGACTCTCATTCCACCTCCGGATTGGGAGGCTCTTGTTACTCTTACGGCCGATGAAATCCTGGCTGAAAGATCACCGGCTCGCTTGTTGCAGGTTCGCTCACGTCTTTATGATCTTTTGACCCATTGCATTCCTCCCACGACTATTTTGAAGGTATGTATTTCTTTGACTCGAATCTTGTTCAGATACTAATCCGTGATTATAGACCTTGACATTCAAGCTTGTTGCACGTGTCGACGATGCGCTCAAGCCAGACGTTATTAAATGGTCTGCCTTCTACGAACACCGCATCAAGCTGGGAAGCGTAAGCACTGCTATATCTTCGTATCAGGTGTGTACATTTATACTTACCTTTTATACAGAAAGTTATCTTCCACCTCGAAGCATTTGTGGCCAAGTTCATGCGCATCTATGAAAGGTAAGTTCTGGCCAACAGCACAACCAAGACCGATACTAATAGCCAGATAGTTACCTGATGGGCATGGACTTTTAAAACCTAGCTACCAGCCAAACAAAACAATAGATGAATGACGATTTTTTTTCAATAAGCTAGCCAAGTGGAAGGACAAGGGATTTGAGAATCCATGGTCTACTAAACTGTGCAATCTTTTAAATCCCCGAACATCCGGTTCTTGTCGCTTTCGACAGGCGCATGGAGGCAATGAGGACTCCGGCGTCTATAATTGATCACTCAGGAAGCTGCATACATCACTCCACCACTCCACCACTCCATCACATGCCTATGTACTGTAAACTAAACTAACAGTCTCGGCACCGCAAGACCCACATAAGAGAACTAAACCCTTTCTATGAAGTTATCAACTCGTAGATCTGAGGGGAAACCTGTCCAGGGTTCTGGACCGAACCGACGTCATCACATCCCGTCACCACATGTGAAAGTCTTATATCATTGCTTGCTTTTCTGTCCTTTCTCTTGTGTAGGATGATATCTTGCTTGATCAAAGCTCATACAATTATCGGAATATTAATATTAAAATGACGGACCCGAGACTGATTGACATGGAACCTGGTGGAGAAAGCACTCAGTATGGAATCCACTACACTCCCCAGATTTCTGGACTAACAGCTTGATTCAGATACGAGTCAATTCGCCAATATACTATCAGTCCATCTAAGCAGACTGGTCAATTGGGTAGTGTGTTCCCACGATGAATACCATGACCTATATTAGTACCCGAAACTAACCGGCACTAGTAGGCCAACAACATACCAAAAGCGAAGTGAGCCATCCTCTGGGAACTGATACTCCAAACTCTCAACAAAAAGAGGAGCTCCAAGCACAGAGATTGGGCATGGGGGTATTAAAGCCAAGCACAGGTAAATAGTAATATGTTTTCCTTCTGTCTAAACTCCCAATACCAAGACAAGATATCCAACAGAGGAGCCCGAGCCTCGATGGATCATAAAGAAACGCAAACAGCTGATGATAATGTACAAATATATAGCACTTGACGAGGACGATGCAGAGGCCAAGGCCCGCAGACAGCAGGGGTATGGGCCTGGGTCCGGAGTGGGCGCTTAGCCGAATTCAAAACGACAAACAGACACCGAAAGAAAAAATAACGGGAATTTGTTTATGTTTATTGGGGAGAGTCGGGGCTGGAGGAGACGCTATTCGGTGGTGAGGCGAGGTCATTGGTACCGAGGGGCGGGTTTCGGCGCGCCCGCTTGAGAGAGTCGAGAGTAACGCCGTTTCCAAGCTTTGTAATACCGACAACAGGGGGATCGTTCTTGTTGACGAACTCCCAGAGTCCTAATGAAACAGAATGAGCATCATATCAAACCATACACTTATGCAGTAGATCGTAGATTGTAGCAATCCATCGCATGCATACCTGGCAATTTGTGACCCGCCAATCTGAATGCCTCGCGGGCAACCTTCTCGTGAACGTCTCCCTTCAGTTCAAAAACGACGCGGCTAACAGGCAGACGGACAGTCCAGTAGTCGAACTTTCCCTTACCCTTACCCATACGCTGCTCGTTACCCTTGGTGTAGACACCAATGTTGGCACTGACACGCTTGTAGAGCTTGTAGTTCATTCCTCGTAGCCGACGTTTAATAGTCTCTTCAGCGATCTTCAATGCCGACGCGGGCATACGGCGGTCGTGGTCTTTCATGCGCAATCCGAAATCTCCCCAGACGACTGTTGTTCCGCGAGTCGAACCACCAGTAGCGACATGAGGGCGACCCTTGGGTGACTTGGACTTTTCTTGGAATTTCGGGGTGAGCCAGTCAAGCGAGGGCGAAGTGGTAGAGAAGCATCGTGATAGAGAAAAGGTGGCCAGCGGCGCCGACACTGTCGCATTGTTAGTCGACCAGAACTGTCTGCAGGGATTTATCATTCGTACGAGTCGGCCGCGTGCAGGCGGATAGTGTTCCAGCGAACATCTTAATCTGAAGACCCATTGTTCGTGGGGGAATCGGGATATCTCGACGTTGACTCTCATCGGTACTTCCGGCCGGAGCACTTTTCGATTGCTGCGCTAGTCCCAAAGTGGACAGAGTGATTACATCAGCAGTCACGTCTCCCCGTCGCGCCGGCGCGTCACTACGATTATCAGCAACCGTTGCAGCTTCGCAAGCTACGGGGCTCGGTTCTTTTCCAATCGCTCCTTAGATTATCACTGATTACACCTAGCTGCCTACGTGATTTTGAGCCTCGAAATGCCTGACATCCGGAGTTTCTTTGGCGGAAAGCCGAGTAGTCAAGGCTCCAGCGACGCCCCGGCGAAGCCTGTGGCCAAAAAAGAGGTCAGTTGCTGCCTTGTTACACATGATGCTTGAAATATCTTTTATACCTGGGGTGTCTCGAAAACCAAGTGAAATCCGTTGCTGACTTGAATTCTACGATGAAGGACCCGTCCGCCACGCGGAAGAAGCGTATGCTCTTACTTTCCAGTTTTTATATACGATTCTAATTTGAGTACAGGCAGCAGGAAGGTTGTCGATGATAGCGATGATGAAGAAGATGCTGCACCCATCAAAGAGCCAACTCCTAAAGTGAAGCCGAAAAGCCAATCGTATGTTCATTGGTCCCCGGATAGCTGCACCCTTTGCATTTGCTGATACGGTTACAGGAAACCCGAAGAGCCGAAGGGTGAACCTACAACTTCGTCAGACTACTTTGCCTCCAGCAAGAAGAAGGGCAAGCCTGCCAAAACGACAGAGGCTCCGGCCGATGACACTAAAGAGAAAGTCACCAACCCGAAACCTAAGAAGACCGTCCCGGAACCCGAGAAGCAGAGCCGGCCCGCCGCTCGTGGGTCAACGAAGAAAGCCTCAAAGGTCATTGAGGACGAGAAACTTGGTGATGATGATATCTTTGCGACTGAATATGGAAAGACCGGCAAGGGTGAGGACGATTATGTCATGGGAGATGAGGACGACGAAAGCGACTTTGAGCTATTAGAAATTAAGCCCGCCGCTGCAGCCAAGAAGACACAGAAGAAACCTTCCCGTGACGATGACGATGTGACTATGGAAGATCTTCCCAAGGAGCCTGCCCCCAAGGCTCGACCAGGCCGCAAACGCAAGGCAGAGGCACTCTTTGACGAGGATGAAGATGAGGAATTCGAGGCACCAAAGAAGGCGGCCCCGAAGAAGGCCGCTGCATCGCCCGCAAAGAAGCAAAAGGCTACATCTACACCCAAAAAGGCCAAGGACGCTCCGGAGAGCAAAGAGATTCAAGATATCTTTGACAGCATCCCTCTGGTGGATGCACCTGAGCCTCCCCAGGGAGAGGCCAAGAAATGGAAATTTGGACAACAAGCATCCCGGGACCCAGCGATGACAGGGTCTACGGAGATGCCAGTGGGACAGGAAAACTGTCTTGCTGGGCTATCATTCGTTTTTACTGGTGTTCAGGAATCCCTCGGCCGTGACGAGGGCGCCCAGCTAGTGAAGAGGTATGGTGGCAAGGTTACGGGAGCTCCCAGCGGGAAGACGAGCTTTGTTGTCCTTGGTAGTGATGCAGGCCCAAAGAAGCTCGAAACCATTGCCAAGCACGGGATCAAGACAATCGACGAAAATGGTCTTTTCGAATTGATCCGACGACTTCCCGCCAACGGTGGTGATGGAAAGGCCGCCGAAAAGTATGCCGAAAAGCAAAAGGCAGATGAGGATAAGGTTCGTGCCATGGCTGCTGAGATTGATGCGGAAGAAAAACGAAAGAAAGCTGCTGCGACTCCTAAGGCTCCCAAGACTGTTGCGCCCTCATCTCAGACACCTCAGCCGTCTAGCCCGCAAACTTCGGCCGGCGATTTGTGGACGACGAAATATGCTCCCACATCTCTCAACATGATATGTGGTAATAAGGCTCCTGTGGAGAAGATCCAGAACTGGCTGCGGAACTGGCACAACAGTGCTAAGTTTGATTTCAAGAAGGGTGGCAAGGATGGCTCAGGTCTGTACCGGGCTATCATCATTCACGGTCCCCCAGGAATTGGTAAAACTACAGCAGCCCATCTCATCGCGAAGCTGGAGGGATACGATATTGTCGAGACCAACGCCAGTGACACCCGAAGCAAGAAGCTCGTCGAGAGCTCTACCCTGGGCGTTCTAGACACAACCTCTCTCCAGGGCTACTTCGCCGGAGAGGGCAAACAGGTCGAGGGTGAGAAGAAGAAACTTGTACTCATTATGGACGAAGTGGATGGTATGTCTGCTGGTGACCGTGGTGGTGTGGGAGCAGTCGCAGCCGTTCTCAAGAAGACCAAAATTCCAATCATTCTTGTCTGCAACGAACGAAAGCTTCCCAAAATGAAGCCGTTCGACCATGTCACCTTCGATATTCCGTTCAGACGTCCGACTGCCGAGCAGATTCGGGCAAGACTGTCCACTATTTGCTTCCGAGAGGGCCTTAAAATCCCCCCTCCTGTACTTGACGGCCTCATTGAAGGAACGCATGCCGATATTCGCCAGGTCATTAACATGTTGTCCACCGCCAGACTGGACCAGAAGACTCTCAATTTTGACGAAGGCAAGCAGATGTCAAAGGCATGGGAGAAGCATGTGATCCTCAAGCCCTGGGATATTGTCAGCAAAATTCTCAGTGCCCAGATGTTTTCTCCAAGTTCTACGGCTACGCTGAACGACAAGGTCGAACTCTATTTTAACGACCACGAATTCAGCTACCTGATGCTTCAGGAGAATTATCTTAAGACCAAACCCACTCTTGCAGGCAAATATCAGGGCAAGGAACAACGTCTGAAGTCCCTTGAGTTGCTTGACAATGCCGCCTCGAGCATCAGTGACGGTGATCTTGTTGACCGTATGATTCACGGAACCCAGCAACAGTGGAGTCTGATGCCCGTCCATGCTATTTTCAGCTTTGTCCGACCAGCCAGCTACCAGTATGGTAACTTCAGTGAACGGGCTTCGTTTACTAGCTGGCTAGGAAACAACAGTAAACACGGTAATTTCTTCTTCACAAATATTCATACAACGTCTAATCATTCTCAGGCAAAATGTCCCGATATGTCAAGGAAATTCAAGGCCACATGCGCCTTCGCACAACTGGTAACCGCGACGAGATCCGTCAGCAATACATGCCGTTGCTCCAGCAAAAGATGATTCGCCGTCTAATGGAAGAGGGCAAGGACAGTGTGGACTCAGTCATCGATTTCATGGATGACTACTTCCTGACCCGCGACGACTTCGATGCCATGGTCGAATTAGGACTGGGCCCTATGGATGAGTCCAAGATCAAACTTGAGACTCAGACGAAAGCTACTTTCACGCGTCTATACAACTCACGCTCGCACCCAATGCCCTTCATGAAGGCTAGCAACGTGGTCGCGCCGAAGAAGGGACCGAAGGAGAAGCCCGATCTCGAAGATGCCATTGAAGAATCTGACGAGGAGGAGGTTGTTAATGAAATTAAGGATGACGACGAAGAAGAAGAACTTGATCTGAAGAAAGATAAATATGTCAGTATGCCTAAGAAGAAGAAGGCTCCGGCCAAGGGCAAGAAGGCTAAGACGGCCGATGATGAGGAAGAGAAGCCGAAGAAGAGCAAGGCAAAGGGCAAGACTAAGGTTTGAGCTGTGTTTTTTTGTATCATACCATTTATTTTATTGTCTGTAGCATTGTCTGCTTGTTGGTGTTAATCGGTGCATATGAATATGAATATTCACTCTGTCTATACATTGCCCAGGTTGAATTAAGCTTCTTCTCCTAACTATGCAGCTACTGTTTACGCTGGAAGACTAAGATGAGTAGTGTGGTTTTTAAATCACTTAAATGTCCCTCAAACAGTATTGGAACAATAATCAACTATAACTGCAGTAAAATATCAATCGCCAATATCTGCCAATTCTCGCTCAACACTGCCCCCTGGCGGGGAAGCGATCTGCGGAGAAGGCAACCCGACTTCCCTTCCTACACTCACTTGCTACACTCTCCTTTCCTGCTCTTTGCGTCTTTCTGTCTTGCTTCCAGGCGGGTCCTGCATGAGACAGACTTTATTGACGCATGCTCTCTCCCTCCACATGCCCCACGTGAGCATGCGACTTCGCTTTTGAGCTGAGATTGCACGATAACCTCAGTCTCTACAGACTGCGCAGTACGTTACTGGTTGACTAGGGACTTCTGACCTCCCCATCACTGTGAATATGTCTCTCCTTCACAACGAAGAGTAAGTAGCCCCTGGTTTCGCAGACCGTGTCCCGAAGCGTGGCAAGACCAAGGACTAAACCAAGCATAGCTTTGCGATTTGGCAATTACGCTCCTCATATCTCTCGACAATTAAAGATGGAATCGGAGACCGACTCATTACTGTCAATGACTCTATTCTGAACACACCTGGCTTCCGCGCCGCGGGCTGGTCAACGACCTCTGCGTACCCCAACACACACAGCTCTTCCCACCTCAGGCGCTCATACTCCCCACCGATCCCAACCACAGCAAACGTTTCCTCCGAATACTACAGGCTCGCGGAACGAAACGCGAAACCCGCGCAGGATGATGTTCAAGGCCTCGGCTTGGAGGATGGCGAGGATGATGGTGGCATGGTGACCGGCAAAAGCCACGTCGACACAACTGGGCGACGGCATCACGCGCGCGGGGGAAAGAAGAAGAGTCGACGCGAAAGGCAACAAGAGGCCCAGAGGCAGGCAGAAGCCGAGGACGACGACAGCAGTGATCTGAGCGACGACAGCGACGATGATGGGGACAACGTTGGCAGGTCGGTGAAATATTTGACAATATTCTATCTTCAAGTTCTGACATGAAAGTAAACAGTGCTATTGATCAAATCAAGTTCAACAAAATGCCCATTCGCCGAGATCGCGCCGATTCCTCTCCAATGCGCTCCGAAGACCAGCGTGATCGACCAGAGGTGATGATCACATCTCCTTCAACACAGAACGTTGCGAATCAATACCATGCACCAACTCGCCCTCGAAGGGACACGACTACTAGCAGTGACCTTTCTACGGACAATGAAGCGGATTCCCGAAGCTACAAACCAGGACAGGTCCAATTCTCCGGCAGTGATCACATTGTCGAACATACTCGCAGGCGACGTGAGCGAACTGGAAGTCGAGGAGCAGAGAGCATAGCTCTCGGAGAACTTCATGAAGAAGACGAGGACTCGGGAGCCGAGTCCGTTGGGTCTGCGCTCTCATCTGACTTTGATAACACAGCTGGTTCTGGTTCCCTACTGCTGGCAGGTGTCGCAGATGGCTTGAACTCATCATCTCCAATGGTTTTGATGAACAAGTTGCCGCCTGGGACTGGGCCTCAGAATACTTCACCACGCAAGCCCAAAGCACCTGCTCCTGCATTGCAACAACTTCCTCCCCCACGTCCCATCAGTATGATACAGCCGGTCAGTTTATTGACTAGTCAGCTCAAGTCTCGGAAGCGTGCACCAAGCAACCCAGTGGAGAAGTTTATGGTGCTCTATGGGCAAGGCCAGGATGATCCCTTGTATCTGAAGATCTACGTCCCCTTTGCAAGTGACGCCGAAGAACCACTAGACATGCCAATTTTGCGCGAATCTAAACTTGCAGATCAGCCCGCCCTCGTTACCGTCGCTGAGACAATTGGTCTTGCACTGTGGAAGTTTTCTGCAGACTCTCGTGGCCCAGCGATTGAGCGCGAGAAGCTATCAGTGAATCGATGGACTTTGCGGATGGTCGAGGATGGAGAAGTCGAATTTGATTTCCCAGCACTTGGGCGGACACTCCCAATGTCGGATTTCACTTCCAACAACAACAGTAAATCCGGAAAGTCCCGAGGAAGGTCAAGGGGCAAGCCGTATGACGAATTCGCACTCGTGGAAGCCTCAGAGACCGAGTTCGAGAATAACGAGCGTCTATTCCCACATTTCAGTACGACTGTTGGACCGGATGAGAGTGAACAAGCGGCGACTCTCGCAGTACCTGGAGCACAAACACCCGGAGCGCAGACCCCTAACCAGCCCACTCCAGCCCGCTCAAACCCTATTCTGGGTCAGCCGTTCTCCTCAGCGCTCAATCACAGCACTCTTACCCCTGCTGATCGACCTGTGGTTCCTATCTCCCATGCTACTCCCCGTCTTGGCGTTTCCAAGACATTGAAGATTCGTTTCGTCAATACGGAGGCCTCCGCGCATGTCATGACCCTTAACACGTCTACCGACAGCTATATTGCAGAGATATTGGATACTGTTTGCAAGCGCTGGGGCCAGGACAAGGGCAACTATCTGCTGAAAGTGATGGGATCTAACACGATTGCACCACTGGACCGCACTGTAGAGGCACTGGGTAGCATCACAGAGCTTGACCTTGTGCGTCGTCGCTTCGGCGGCGGTCCTCTGGCATTAGGAACATCACCAGGCAGCTCATCGCCAAACGCACCCCTCATGGTAGAAACCTCCGACCCAGCCGCCTCCAAGAAGAGCAAGAAAGAAGCGAAAAAGGGCACTCAACGCATGCTGCCCTCATCCTCCCAGAAACAAGATCATCTTGGTGGCTATTACCGTCGCTACCATGTATTCCGCAAGCAACCCATGTCATTCACAGCATCCAACCACCGCATCCTAACATTCGAAAACGACTACATGCACATCGTTCCAGGGGACACAGGCAAAACAGCCTCCGGTGGCAAGACACGCTCGATCAGCTTCAGTGATGTGATCGGATCAAAGGTTAGTCGTCGACACCCCAAGAGTTTCCGGGTCATGATAGTTCGCGGCAACGATGCCACAGAACAGAAGAGATATGACTTCGAGGCTAGGAGTACGGGTGAAGCTGTAGAGATTGTGGATGAGATTAAGAAGAACATGGCGCATTATCGCATTTGATTGCTTTTTTCGGACATGTACTCGTTTGGGAGGAGAGATTCCCTGGGAATGGGCGTTTTTATTTTGCCATTGTTACCGATTTCGGTCTTTGAATTCATACAATCGAACTTACAGCGCCTGTGGCATATCTAATTTGATGTTCAGTCCGAGGACAAGAGACGTACCATACAGCTACACTTACACCAGAGGGATATCAAGCACCAAGTAGGAGTGAGCCGGAACCTGGGGCTTTTATGCCACGTGATCTATACAAATTGGACAATAGACCACCAATTATCGACAAGTATAGGATTGAAGGGTGATAATAGAGGCAGAAGGCTACAAGTAAAGCTATTAAGAAAAGTATGTTTCAAAAAGCAGTAAAAGTACAATAGGGGAAGCGGCGATGATTGAATCATACTAATCCTACAGTCACAGCCTCCGGTACATTTTATACTGCTCTATTCTATAAGTTGTCTTATTTTTGTTTGATCCCAATCAGCATTCCCTGGCTCAACAATTGTCAACCACCTTCCATTCTGCAAAATCGAAATGTGCTGGCTCGAAACAAGGCTTGTCGTAAGAGCCCTGTTCATAAATCGCAGAATGAGCACCGGTGTTGGGTGATTCTTTCCCATATTTGCGGCATGTCAATGCTGTACTTGATATTTCACTGTATCCGAGGTACCAATTGGCGAAGGACCCGCATCGCCTGTGGAATGTTTGCGGTGCAGCAATTCACCGGCGTAGCATTTTATCCTCAGGTTTTATATCTCCTGGGCATTTGTGGTCTTCCCGTTGCTCTCACCTTCCAGCTGGCTCTGTGTGGATATGGGATTGCCATGTTCGGGAATCTTGTTTCGTGGTTTATCATGAACTACGTCGGTCACTTTGGAGCTAGCTTTGGTATGCTTTGGCGTCTTTGTCTATCAAGGTCCGAGCGCGGACACAAAGCCTGGCTATTGTAACAAAGGCCTTTGTTATTGTTAGCTGGGTCATGAACTTCATTGCTCCCAACCTGATTAACACAGACAACGGTAAGATTGTCGTTCCCTTGGCTTTGGGATACCTTGTGTTTAACTTTATTGACATGTTATTACTTTCTTTAGCTAACCTAGGCGGGAAATCTGCCTCTGTATGGATGTCTCTCTCTTTCTTGAGTCATATTTGGGCTTGGTTCGAAGTGCCGGAATTCAAAGTCTGTATATTTAGTGATTTGGATGAGCTGTTTGTCCAACAAACACCAACAAGGGGATTTAAGAAACAGAGGGTAGGGATGGCAGATGAATCATCCTAGGATGGTAGCCACTCAATGAGCTCGTTTGAAAACAACACCAGCGGAGCTTGTCGTATCTGATTTGAGGATATGTACCCAGTTCAGTTATGATAGTCCAATTGAAGGTATATAAGAGAAGTCAGAACTATGTTTACTATAACACTGATAGATATTAGAATATACAGGATATATGCAGCTAGCTTACCACCGCCGGATTCGTAGTATCATCATCCCAAAAGACGACCAGTCATTCCTCAAGCTTCTCTTCTTGGTGATACCCGTGATATAGTAGGTGAAGCAGTGCGGGTGCTTTCATATCGAGAAAACAAGCTGTCAAACATGCGGTGAAGCGTTGCTTGAAGAAGTCCTCTGAATTTGATGTCACGCTTTTGTTTACGTTTGGGTCGTTTGTATAAAAGAGAATCGTCACATGTCGGCCTCTCCAATTAGGCAGCGCAAGACTTCATCGCGAGATTTGATTTCGCATTCAGCTCGATTTGGACTTATTCCCTTTGTCATCCCATTGCCATGATGCGCATTGCAACCAGCTCAATCATTACTATCACGGGTGCGCTCGCCTACATCAGATAGTCACAGCTTGCCAGTGGCTCTCCTGGAGGTGAGAAAAGCCCATACAATTGCCTTCCGACTTATCTTCCCTCTCTAATCATGAAGACATCACAAAAAGGCAAACATGCCCCTCCAATCGCTTCCCATGGAGACGGTTCTTGGCATCGCGGAGAACCTCACTAAGATGAAGGATATCAATGCTCTGGTGCGCACTCACCCTCGTTTGAGGGACCAGCTGGACTATCACCTTTACAAAAGGGATGTCAAAGACCATGAAGGTGCAGCTGCTCTCTGGGCTGCCGAGAAAGGCCAATTGGCCACTCTGCGCAAGTCCATTCTAGCCGGCGCAAAGATTCCAAAGTCAGACCGGTTCAAAACTCAGGTCAAATCTGATAGTTTTGTTGAATCTCTTTCTCCTATCCCAAGATACCCAAAGGCGCACCCTATCACTGCTGCTGCCATCGCTGGATCCAAGGCCTGCCTTCGGCTCCTGATTCGCTATGGCGTTTATCCCAACTTCCTTGATGACCATTTCGTCACTCCTATTCAAGCAGCTGCCGCCAAAGGCCATACTGGAGTAGTCGAAATGCTTCTCGCCAACCACCCTGAGGTTTACAAGGGCTCTTTCACACTTCGACGCACCCTCAAGTCGGCCGCTAAATTTGGCCATCTTCCTGTTCTCAAGGTCCTTTTTGCTTACCTTGAATCTCGCGAATCTGGCGGTGATCTCCCTGTTGCGCTTGCAGCACAGATCATTCTCTTTGAGGCACTCTGGCACGACAAACTTGACATCGCTCGTTTTGCTATCAGCAAGGGAGCAGATGTGAATGCAAAGAATGCAGAGGCTGCAATGTGGTTCGTGACTGATGTGGCCCCTTGGGAGCGAGTTTCCCGCGAGCGCCGGGTTCTGAGACAGGAGCACAAGTCCAAGAAACTCATACTAGGACAGCATGTGTTCGGATGGAGACAGCATGCTTGTGATATTATGGATGCCGCTATGACTGGCTGCAATTTTTCGCTCGCCAATTTGGTTATTGAAGCAGGCTACAAGGGCTACAACGGTCAACAGGGCATGACAAGTATCCCAGCTGTTATGGCATTGAGCCATTACAGAGCACTCCAGGTTCTGATCAGCACTGGAGACCGCCCTCGGCTTTGGCCCAACGGGAACTGGGGCAACAGTGTTGACTGGTCATCTTGAGTTGACCTGGCTGGATATGAATTTTCAATGTCTGCACAAACATGTATCTGGAGATGAACTTTCAAATGTCTGCACAAACATTGAATCGGATGAATATGAAACTGGGAAAAATATTCTTATGGGAATGCCCCTTTGTGTTATTGGGCTTACATATCCTGAATAGCATGAACAGCATCAATGTACTCCTCTTTTTGTCGATTCCAATTGCCGTAATTCATAGTACTGCGTCTGCTGACCAAAAAAACAAACACCACGGCGCTGTATGCAGTAATTTGAAGGGCAATGGAATTCGAAACAACTTGTACGCTTCACTAGATTGCGGCTTTTGTTCAACGGTGCAGATAAGTATGGGCTACTGCAGTAAGCACAGTTGCTGTGACTTAGGGCTCGGTCGATAAGATGATAAGATGATAAAGTGACGATAATGGACGATAAGGCGGCGATAAGCCGTTGCGAAAGGCGGAGAAAAAGCGGTCATAAGGGCGGTGTAAAAAGAGCGGCATTTCCAACTCGACATTGCATGCCGTATGTACGATCGCACGTACCAACCACCTTGACAGATCGTGTGAGTCTCCGGTCTTCAAAATGGACAAGGGAACTGCAGGAGGAACCACATCCCCGTCTCTCGCAGATCCCTCTAAACCAGACGAATATAACCCCGAAGTATACAGCCAAAGCCGCAGCAAAGGCAAATTCCGCTTCAAACGCTCTTCACGACACTCCAAAGACAGCCATACTCCCTCAAGCTCAAGCGCAAGACCACACCGCAAGCGCCACAGAAGCCACCGCTCCAGATCCCCATCGAAACACAGCAAACGGCGGCATCGCTCCCCCACCCCACCAACACAACCACCACTAAACACAAATGACGCCTTCCGCGAATCACTCTTTGACGCTCTAGGCGATGACGAAGGCGCCGCATACTGGGAATCTGTCTACGGCCAACCAATACACAACTACAGTATACCCAACGTGCCCAAAGGCCCAGATGGCGAACTGGAGCAAATGTCCGACGAGGAGTACGTATCCTACGTACGAACGCGGATGTGGGAGCGTACACGCGAAGGCATGATCGAGGAACAAGAGCGTCTACGCGCCGAGAGGATGAGACACAAGAAGAAAGAAGAGAAGGGGCGTACTGCGGAGGCAGAGAGGAGAGCCTTTGAACAGGCCATGGATGATTCTCTACGGCGGGGCGCTGAGAGGAAGAAGCTTAAGGCTTGGGATGGGGCTTGGAGGGAGTACCTTCAGCAGTGGGATGTTATTGGAAGGCTTGGGAAGGAAGCTGCAGACGGGGCAGAGGGAGAGAAGGGTTCTTCGAAGCCTTTGCGCAATCTGCTCTTTTGGCCTGTTCGGTCTGGGAAAAGGGCTGATGTTGAGCCTGAGGCTGTGGAGGAGTTTATGCGCCATGCTCCTGGACTTGATCTGTTGAGTATTCTCAAGGCCGAGCGCATTCGTTGGCATCCGGATAAGATTCAGCATCGGTATGGTGCGCTGGGCATTGATGATGTTGCTATGCGCAGCGTCACCGAGGTCTTTCAAATCGTGGACCGGATGTGGAGTGAGGAAAGAGAACGGCAGAGCTAGACTCCAGCTTGGTATGTTGGCCAGGCTGGTATGCATATGGTAGCGTTTCGTATATAGATTTTACTTTGATACCCCATTGACGCCTAATCAGAGCATGCAATTTAATAATCATGACTTGGATTCATTTCAAAAAATTGGGAGAAAAGAACACGATAAGTTGTCGCGACAAAAACGTAGACCAGAGAATAATAAAAAAAAAAAGAAGAGCTTCACAGGGGCTATGTATGCAAGAACCATTTCATCAACCACAACTGGGTAAACCCAGACACAAATTTAGACACAGACACTTTTGAGTTTTGTGCTTTGCCAAATAGGCATAAATTTAGAAACGCGAAGACCGGGCCTTGGTCCGGTAGATAGTCCAGCCGAAGTAGGCACCGGCAATAGCGGCGAAGAACATGATGATCTTGAACAGGAACCAGGTCCAGCTGCCGCCCTCCTGAGGTGCCTTGGAACTGTCGCGGCCCTTGGAGCGGCCGTCGGAGGAGCCCTTGCCGGCGTTGTTGTTCCGGTTGAGGGAGTATAGGTTCTCAGCCTTGAGCGAGATGATGTCGTGGTTGTCGCTCAACTCACCGGTCTCAGCGGAGAGACCAAGGTAGGCGACGGAGGGGATGGCGATGTTAGCTTCGTCAGCGTTGAGCGTGAAACAGTTGGTCCAGGAATCCTCGGTCTTGTATTGAAGTTCCAGGGAGAGGGACTTGTCCTGGAAGTAAGTGAGACGGGCCTTGGTGGGGACGGGGGCGCTGCGGAGGCCACGAGCCTATAAAAAAAATCTATTAGAAGAGCCTCTTCGTATCTGCGATTGAATGGTAACTCACAGAGCAACCAGCCAGCTCGTTCGCCTTGCCGTCGTGCGCCTGATCGTAGGTGGTCTGGCCGTCACCCATCATGGCCATGACGTATGGGAAGGAAACACCAGGGCGGTTGTTCTTATAGGTGTCGAAGAAGATACCGAGACCTTCGAAACGGTCTGTCGAGCCAAAGACGGGTCCTTGGGTGGCACGCTCCTTGGTGAGCCAGAGCGCGAATCCATCACCATGCAAGTTGCCGGCACCGTGAATCTCAAACTCGAGTTCGATCTGGCACAAGGGATATGTGAGCTTTTGGCGCACACTTCTTCCGGTTCGAGCTATCCAGTATTTACCTGCCAATTGGTCGCCGTGAGAGGCACGCGAGAGAAGATCCATCCTTGCTGGGATGGGCGGTCAGCTGTAAGACGGAGGTACCTAGTTGCAGAGGAAAGGTCAGTGGGTTTCCTGTTATATATATCCGTCTAGAGTCCTTACTTGTCGGCGCGGACTACTGTATCTCCTCCGAAGTCGAACCAGCGGCTTTGGAAATCCGAATCAAGGTATGGCTGTTCCTGGTCAGCGTTGATGTTCGGCGGACTGCAAACTATGCGCGGGTCACTTCTAGCAGCCCTGGGCGAGCTGCATATTGGTGCTCATCATACCGGAGAAAGGCTGTGGGTGCGAAGCTACAGATGTCACAAGTCAGTACCTCGGTCCCGAGTCAAGTCGCGTTAACAATGCACACATACAGGAATACTCTTGATATTGGAGTCATCGTAGGCAGCTACTGGCACTGAAACCAGGCCTGCAAGGCAGAGAAGAGAGGAAAGCGACGGGAGACGCATATTGAAGGTGTATTAGGGCCCGGGGAGGGGGAGGCCCAAGGCGATTCAAGGATAGACCGGGGGTGGGATAGATAGGCGCGGTGTCACCAGGACCCGGATACCCTGGAGCAAAGAGAAGAAAAGAGACCTGAAAGGTGAGCACAAAGAGTGAATTGGTGAAGTGCAGAAGTGAAGTATACAACCCTGGAGCTTGTTATGCTAAGGTGTCCACATCTGATGTGGCGCAAGATACCAGCCACACTCAGATCCTGAACCTCAATTTGTTCCTGTTCTCCAACTTCATCTTCCCCATACCGTTCACCCACCCACCCACACACACAATGTCTTCTCTCTTCGGGTCTGCCCCCTCTGCTGCTCCTCAGACTTCTGAGGAGATCAAGGCTGCTGTCGTGCGCCAGCTCCAGACCGAGGCCGCCATGTCCAACGCCCGTTCTCTGATCGGAGTACGTCACCATTCCCGGTTGCCGACAACAACAAGCTAACAACACCTGCAGAAAGTGAACAAGCACTGCTTCCAGGCCTGCGTCCCTACCCCCGGTACCTCGCTCTCTGCCAAGGAGAACACCTGCCTGTCCAGCTGCATGGAGAAGTACATCGCCATGTGGAACGTCACCAGCCGCACCTACATCACCCGTGTCGGCACCGAGACCAAGCGCCTCGGCGGACAGGACGCTGCCGCCATTGCCTCGATGGCCACCGGCCAGCCCGAGGGCGGCAGCGGAATTCTCGGTTAAATAGTTTGCATCCAAGACGATCGAGTCAGACCACCAAGCGCGGATGATGAAAGACGAAACCCGAGAAGCAAAAAACAAATCTTTGCGAATGATCTACTGTACGATAGAAGCGGCCTGGTAGCCCGTGTATAATATGGACGTGGCTTTTGTGCCCTAGTGATGGAGTACATGGGCAATAGAAAGGATTCTCAACCCCTGTATATCGAGACTTGAAAGAAGAAAAAAAAAAAAAAAAAACCAAAAAATTCGACTGCAATTGCTAAAGATATGTGGGATGAAAAGTAGAAAGTACGGGATTTCATATAGTGACGCCTGGTTTTCATGACTCCCGCCGGGGTCAATCAGTTCCCGCCCTCCCCCGGAAGGACGTCTCGTCTCGTCATAAATCATACAAGCACTTCAGAAGTCGGGGAAAAGGTGGCCATATCTGCAGGGGTGTTAGCAAGTTGTGGGTAGATGGCGGAACAGGATATACATACGCGTCTTCGCCTTCTTGGCCATAGTGCTCTGTCTCTTCGGGGTACTTGTCATATTGGCTGGCATCACCTTGTCCACCGCGGATGGGAGGGATGTACGGTGCATCAATATCCTTGCGTGCCAATCGGTCCCAGGTGACTTCGGCGAACCAGGCGTGGTTCTTGACATCATCCGGGCCGCCGTGCAAGTTGCCGAGGCGCTTGGTAAGGTCGGAGGTAATCAACTGCGAGAGCAGATCGACTGCGTCGTTGTGCAAGTATGGAGGGTACTTGACCTTGCCGCGCAATATATTTTCATAGATCTTGACTGGGGATCCGCTATCCCAGAAGGGAGTGAACCCACACAGCATTTCGAAGATTAAGATTCCCAATGACCACCTGCAATTGTCAGGTCAATTGCATCGGAATAGCAACAAGAAGCTTACCAGTCAACTGATTTGTTGTAGCCCTTGGAGGAGACAACCTCGGGTGCAAGATAATCAGGTGTACCGCACAGCGTCCACGTAATATCTGGCACATCTTTGGCGAAACCAAAATCGGTAATCTTCAGATGTCCATGGCGATCTAACAGTAGATTCTCAGGCTTCAGATCACGGTAAATAATTTGATGTGCGTGTAGATATTCCAATGCCAAAGTGACCTCCGCGGCGTAAAACTTGGCCACGGGGTTGGGGAATCGCTAACGACGAATTAGCCTATGAAGCTTTTCGGAGAAACGCGCAATGCGACTCACTTGTGACTTGCGCAAAAGACTGAACAATTCACCACCTTCTACGAAATCCATGACCATGTAGAGGTTGCGGGAATCCTGCCAAGTTCCCCACAGGGTGACCAAGAACGGATGGCGAACGCGATTCAACATGCGACGCTCGTCGTTTGTGTGCTCGATCTGTTTCATCTTGACGACCTGGGCCTTTTTCAAAACCTTCATGGCATAGAAGCGGTGGTTATGTTTCGACTGCACCAGGTGCACGCGACCGAAGCTCCCCGTTCCCAAGGTGCGCTGCAGCTGGAAGTCCTCCTGAGAGTACTTCCCCTTGGTCACTCTCTCGGGCTTCTGAGCCGGTTGGCCCTGGCCGTGAGACTGGGTCTGTGATTGGGAATCATTGGAATTGCCGGAATTCGAGTTTATTATGTTGTCGATACTGGCGGCATTCGATTGACCCGTATTTTGGGGCGAGGCATGGGATGCGGGTTGCATGGATGCGCCTGAATCGTCAGTATGTGAATCCCCAAAATCGTGCGAGTCCTTCGTGCGCCGCTTCTTCAGTAAACCTCCTAAGCTCGGCATGGAGAGAGAGTGTCAAGGGCCATTGGGGGTGAAAGAAAGAATGGGAGGTCCGGATTAAGTGGGGAGGGGCAAAGCCAGAATGACGCATTGATCTTGTCTATACTGCAAACATGTACGCTACCAGCTGTTCGCTCACATCTCCTTTGCGAACACATTGCATTCGAGTCGATTGCTCTATGTTGCTTCTGTTCTCTGTTCTCTGCTCTGCTTGCTATGTATTGCCTTCTCTCCTGTGTTTGAGGGCGCCACTGCCGTACGAGAATCTCGTATTTGCCTTATCTTCACTCTTGGGTCTGTTGTTTGAGCATGAAACAAGCTATAAATTGGCTCGGTACTCGAGTACTCCATAAGAAACTCAGAAAACATGAACATAGGAACATACTATTGACCGAGCACTCCTGATATCATTGATATCCAACATAGGAAGCGGAGTAGCCGGCTCATGTATGACGTTGCCAAGTGATGCGATCATCTCCCAAGATAAGTTTGTTAGTAAACTTAGACCCGGTTCAGAGAGAGAAACTGTTTTCGGACATTTTCCAAGTTAGTCGACCTCAACCGGGAGTTGCCGATCTCTCTGCTCTCCTGCTCTCGACTGTCTCACATTCCTGTGGGATTAGATAATGCGAGGTTCACGTAATTCACCGAGTGGCCGCCCCGCCCAAAATCGCGTTTCTAAACTCGTGGGAAGGCAAAGGTTATGACGAGCAAAGAATTCGACGGTCGGAGACCACTTGGATAGCCCGGAAACCGCGCGTAGGTGACTACAATTGAGTCTATAAACGGGTCAGAGGTAGGCACTACCGTTCTGTATCAGTGTGACGGGCAAGATCTGTATCGAATGTTCGTTCGAGGGCCAAATTCATAATTGGAGACTCGAGCTTAGTTTAATCGGGTGGACTTCGACAAGCTTAGCCTTCGGTAGCTCGGAACGCGCTTTAGTCCGTCTACTTCTTCGCGCACGATGGGGAAGTATCGACTTTTGATACGTAACGGCCACGGAAGGTATTCAACACCGGAATTCAACCAAATTTAGGAAGAACACAACATAGTAAGTATGAGCCAACAACGCCGTCGAATTACGTCTAATTATCAAAGCAAGCTTAAGAAGAAGAAGAAGAAGAAGAAGAAGAAACGAAAAATTACTCGATCTACAAGGTAAAACACCTTCTGAAAAAGGTTTCTCATTAATAGCGCAGCTAGAGCAAGCAATTTTAGCACCAATACTTCGCGAGGCGGGGCGAGCTCCGGCACCTTCTGAGCCACCTATGAGTGCCTGACCAAATGTAGCCTATGTGAAATTAAGGGTCATAGTTTGACTCCAGGTCCTAATTGACCTTGAGGTTAGCGTACTGAATATAATGGCGTTTTGATTGAGATAAATGCATTTTAAATTAATAGGTTGGGTGGGGAGCGCAGCTCACTGGTGAATTACGCCAAGTTAAACTAACTTAGCTGAGATAATTATGTGCTGACATAACTCAATATATCTGCCCTACAATTCAGGCTTCAATATGCCTAACTTGGACTGTTCCAATCTACACCATCTGCAACTCACACCACCATGGCCTTAGTAGCCTATTCCGACTCCGAAGGCTCGGACGCTGAGCCAGACACCACTCCGGCTCTGCCGACTGAAAAGACCAAAAAGCCCGATACCAGCGGTTTCCAAGTCGACCGCAGCAACCCGCGCAAGATCCGCGTTGCGCTCCCCGAGATCAAACCCGAGACCCCAGCCGGTCAGGCTGGAGACGACGGCCCCGCACGTAAAAAGCCACGGTTAGGTGGTGGAGGAGGTCTATCAGGATTCAACTCATTCCTACCAGCTCCGAAACGAACAGCCGAGAAGAAATCGCCCGTGGCGTCAACGCGCAAACCATTCAGTCTCAAGACCGGCGCAGGCCCGGGATTCGATCGCACTGCCGATGCAGAGACAAGGAATGAACAAGCTTTCAATGATCCTGCAGCGGATGCAGATGCCGAGGCCATACCTGCAGCTGGTAGCCTCAACACCACCACACCTGACACCCCGGAGGCCATGAAGAAGCCAGGGGAGGTCAAATTGCAGGGAAACCCTATGATGTTCAGACCGCTATCAGTGGGGCGGCCGAAGAAGAAGAAGAGCACCAAGGCGGCTCCGCAGCCGACACCGGGTCCTGCAGCACCGAAGGCTGCACCTCAAGAGTCTGCACCACAACCCCCTGCTCCCGCAGCACCAAAACCCAAAGTCAGCCTGTTCTCTCTGTCATCCGAAGAGAGTCGGGCAGATACAATACCAGGGTCCTCAGCAACATATGAGCCGTTGGTATACAATGCCGAAGGTGACGCGCCACCTGCCGGTCCAGCTGTACCCGAATCTACATATATCCCCCAAGATTACCCCGAACCCGTATCCTCTTCCAACATCTCATCTTTGGATACAGTTGCCAATGATCTCAACCTATCCAAGGCTGAACGACGCCAACTCTTTGGACGGAATGCCATACCTTCGCAGTCACAAGTGCGTACCTTCAACACGGATGAAGAGTACGCATCGAACCAGGTCCTGGCTCAAGGCGAGCTTGCTGCAGCTCAGCACAATCCTGTGCGCGCTATTGCGCCTGGCAAGCACAGTCTCCAGCAATTGGTTAATGCGGCAAGCTCACAAAAGGATGCCCTCGAGGAGAGCTTCGCAGCTGGCAGGAGGAACAAAAAGGAAGCGGGATCCAAATATGGATGGTAGTTCCAGTCAAAGCGGGCATTTCTGGACGCATTTTGTAGCCAAGGGCGTTAGCATTGAGATACCAATACCAATGTGCAGGTAATAAATGGCCCGCGGCAATTGAGTCGAGAAGACAATGTACAGTAATAATTCATGACTCCATTGACGCCTGATAATATATGCCACCACGACTGAGCCACTCTCTGGTCAATATAATGAATGACTAGTGTCTCTTTCGCGATCCATAGCCCCTTATAGCCAGGAAATGCATAGAGAACGACAACGAAAACGAAAGCGACGCCGAACCCGAGCACGAACTCTCCAGAGCACAAAAGCTCTGGAAGCCAATCCAAACCTCTTCCCCTTTCCAATTCCTCAGGGAAATCATCCATCATGTCTATCGCTGAATATACACCACCTTTAAGCTACTTCGGCCTCGCATCCGCCAGCTACTTAACCTACAAGTTCACCAAACAAGCAACAACCTTCCTCCTCCCTTCAACCTTAAAAAGCCGCTACAATCCCAACAAAAAAGCAAATTGGGCCCTAGTAACCGGCGCAACAGACGGAATAGGCTTCGGTTTCTGTCAAGAACTCTGCGCGCGCGGATTCAACGTCATTCTCCACGGCCGCAATGCCGCCAAGTTAACGAACCGGCAGGGCGAACTTGCGGCCGAATTTCCCGATACCAAGACTGGATCTTTGCTGTTGGATGTTGAGTCGTTGAAGAAGGATGATGTGGATGGTATCGCTGATCAAGTGCGCCTGATTCTTGAGGAAGGGGGAGGTGGAATGTTGACGGTGCTGGTTAATAATATTGGAGGTGAGACGAAGGCTGCGTCTATGTTGAGTGAGTTGACATATGAAGATGTTGATGCGACGGTCGCTCTGAATGCCGTTTTCATGACTCAGATTTCGCGCGTCTTGATACCTGTTCTGGAGGGTAATGGAGTGCCTGGTCTTATACTTAATGTTTCTTCTGCGGCCGCATTTGGTTTGCCTTATATCACGGTGTATAGCGGGTCGAAGGGGTATGTGGAATCTTTCACCGGGGCATTGAGTGCAGAGATGAAGGCCGAGGGGAAGGAGCTCGAGGTGATGGCGCTAAAGGCTGCAGAGGTTCAGAGTGGTGGTTACGACGTCCCGACTGGTCTGTTTGTGCCTAAAGCGAGGACTTTAGCGTCGGCGGGACTGAATCGGGTTGGATGTGGGAGGGACATCGTTTGGGCGTATTTCTGGCATTGGGTGCAGGGGATTTCTATGGATATCTTGCCGCGGTGGGTGTTGATGAAGTTTTCGGCGATGAAGCTGAAAGGTATTCGGGAATGGATGACAGAGAAGGAGAAGAGGAAGAATGCCTGAAAGAAAGCGATAGCCAATGTATTATAGCTCGACTACGCCTTTTGCTTCAGACTAGATGGATCAATGAGTTAAGTAGAAAATGTACATTCAGTTGATGTGCATCACATCTCTAACCTCTATCATATACAAATGAAATGCAATAAACGCCATTAAATGAAACAAATAACTCCAAATACCGTCCCGACTCCTTTTTTAGGTGCGAGATCAGGACGACACATCCACAACCTCGGCAAACCACTGCTTCAGTGCAGTAGCCAATACAGAGGGCAACTCCCTCACATCACGGACAACGAGGTAGTAAGGGAAGGGGAAGTGATCAAGGTAACGCTTCATCTTCAGCTTCATCTCACCACCAGAAGCAGGATCAGCCTCGAAGTTAGCCTGCGAGAGGTCAAGAATCGAGCTGCCCTTAACAGCATCAACAATGATAAACACAATCATGATGCGCTCCTCAAGAGCCTGCCGAACAAGACGACGAATAGTATCATGATCTTCACAGATACCATCAGAGATAATGAGCTGAAGCTGCCAGAGATCAGCAGAGCCAGAACCAGGCGAGCGCTTCCAGCGCGCCTCACGGAACAACGCAATCGAGTCGGCAATCAGCTTGCGCACATTTGTGCCAGTTTGCTGGTAGCTGAAGTGCTGGAAGACCTGGGAACCAGCCTCGGAGGAGAACGGCTTTCCGAACTCGTGAGCGACGCGAACGTGGTCTTCGTTACCGAAGCCGAGAACACAGAGGTCTCCTGCTTCGAGCATGCTCAGACTCTTCGCGACGAGGGCCAGGGTCTCGAAGGCGAGTTGGCCACTTCCACTTTCAAGCATGGACTTACTGTCATCGACAGCAAGCATGATCTGATAGTTTCGCTTTGAGGGGATGGAGCGGCGCATCCAGATCTTGTCGCGCTTGTACTGGGAGGCGATATAGGGGATGATACGCTTGATGTTGAGACGCTTTCCGGTGCGGAAATCACCGCGGAGCTTGGTGGCCATTGTTGGGGCGAGGATGAGGCGGAGTTGTTCGGTCAGCGAGAGGGAGAGGTCGTTTGTCGCGGACTCATAGTGAGACCACAGGCGGCGGGCTTCATCTTGCGGGGTCAACGGAGGAAGCGAGGACGAGAGATGGATTGCTGCGAGTTGGGTGTCGACTTCGTCGAGCTCCTCGTTCAGAGCTTCGGCGCCTTGTCCTCCCTCTGCACGGTCTTGAGATTGTTGACCGCCCGGAATGAAGGCACCGGCGTGCTCGCTGTCGGTGGGCGCGGTTTCACGGTCGATTTGCATCTCATCCTCGAGTTGGTTGTCCACGGCATCTTGCTGGTCTTCGCCGGCATCGGGGAGAACGTCGTTCTCGCCCGGCTTGATGTCAGACTCGACGCCCTTGCTCTGGTCGAGAGCTTGTGCTTGCTCTTCATTGGCCTGTCCGAGAGCCTGGGTGTCAGCAACGTCATCGTCGTCCTTGAGGTGCTCGAAGTCTGCTTCAGCCATATCGGTGTCTTGAGGCATAGGCTGAGAATCATCTTCCTCCTGGGAGGGGTTCAGAATCTCCTTTTGTCTGCGGTGCCATTCCTCTAGCATATCACCAAGCTTCTTAAAGGCCTGCATTTGAGGCTCGTTCGGCTTCGTCTCTTCACCTCCACCGGCCTCTCGGCTGGCCTGGCTCTCCTCGCTGTCTTTAGCAGCACCAGTCTGTTCGTCAACGTTGGCAGTGGGATCACTCGAGCCACTCTCCTGCTGGGCGTCGCCTGATGCACCCTTCTCTTCGTTTTGGTCTTGCTCGGCTCCGAGTCCTCCGGTGACAGCCTCGCTAGGAGCGACGTTATCACCGGCGGCCTCATTCTCATCACGCTGTGCGAGGAAGTCGTCCTTTTCGGGCTCCTCGGGATCTTCGCCGCCAGCTTCCTCCTCTTCTTCTCCGCCGGCTTCAGCTTCGTTGGCATCTTCATCACCCATCTCCTCATCCTCACCAGGCGCTTGGTCATCTTGTGCTGCGTCGACATCTTCTTCACCGGCATGATCGTCACCATCTTCGACCTTGCCTTCCTCCTCAGGAGCGGGACCCATGTCATCATCAAGGTCATCCATCCCATCGTCGTCTTCGTCACCACCCTCGTCCTTTCCATCATCACCGTCAAGCTGCATTTCTTCGGGGAGCTCAAGTGTCTCCTGCTCCTCCGCTTGAGGATCGGTGACATCCATCTCCTCACGACCAACTGCCTCGCCCTCGTCTTCGGGGGCTTCTTCGTCTTCGGTTTCCTCCTCCTCTTCACCTTCACCATCCTTGTCTTCGGCCTTTTCGCCGTCCTTGTCCTTTTTCTGCTCCTCTTGAGCGGCAGCCTGTTGCTCAGCCTCTGACTGGCCCTTGCCTTCTTCGTTCTCGGTATCCTTCTGCTGGTCGTCGTTACCACCGTCCCAGAGCTTCTCATCAACAGCAGCTGGGTCGAGGTCATTGACACTGCCAGTCTCTTCATCGATGTCATCTTCGCCTTCATCACCACTCTCGTCCTTATCCTCCTCCTCGCCATCTTTGCGATCCTCAGCGTCACCTTGAAGTTCTTCTTGGTCCATATTGACAGCATCGGCGGAATCGTCCATCTCGTCGTCGCCGTCCTCCTTCTTGTTCTCTTGCTGAGCCAACTCGGAGAGATCTTCGTCATCGCCAACATCCTTGCTGATGTCTTCCGCACCTTCACCTTCACCGAGACCTGTTCCGCTTTCCATCTTACCTTCCTTGCCCTGTTCTTGGGATGCCTCACCGGGGCTACAGAAGCCCTCAGAGGCGACCTGATTGAAGGTCTTTGTCAGAATATAAGATGTTTTACAGATCTCGCGGTGAACAGCGACAAATCGATCGGCAAGGTCTCGGCAGATTTGGTAGTATCTGTTGGCAACGGGCAAGATACTGGTGGTCAAAGCGGCAGCAATAGAGAGGCCAGCTTCGGAGTGGTCTTGCAGGTAGTTCAATTGACCAAGAACCATTTCAAATGATGATGTGATCTCGGTGAGATGGACAGCCTTCACTCCACGAGAGAAGAACTCGTCACTCCTTGACAGCAAACCGTCAAAGTTGATAGCAGCGGGCACATCCTTGAGCTTCTGAAGGCCAATGAGCATCTTGTCAATAGCAGTCAGAAGGCTACTGTCAAAGGATTGGATGGACAGGTTGTTCTCTTCGAAAGTATTGGGAAGAGAAGCCATGTTTGTCTTGATCCAAGGTGTGACCTGGTCCAACGCGAAGGCAAGATCGGGACGAGATTGACTCCACTTCTTCAGATCAGTAGCCAACTTCTCGAGCGAGGCTCGTGTCTGCTGCATGATCTCGTGGTGCGCCTTCGACGCAACTCCAGTAGGAAGAAGAGGAAGGGTCTCGTATGACTTGCGCAGGGTGTCGAAGTAAGCCTTCTTGGAACTGAGTGCCTCGACAATCTTCGATGCATCAAGTCCCGAGAACTTAGCATGCACACCAACAATCATGGAAGCTAATCCAAGGATAGGGGCCAACCAGGCCACGACTCTGGCTAGATTGGTTCGTTCTTCAGAAGTAGAAGCATGATCCTTGGAAAGAGAGTCCGAGGTTGCTGTCCACAAGTTCTGCACCTTGTCAAGCGTGAACTTCAACTTGCCCAGGCCAGTCAGGGCGGATGAGATGATACCTCTCTGCCGACGAACGGTGAAGATAAGGTGCTCAATAGATCCCATACTTCTGAAGACCTCAACGTTGCTCAGCTCCTCGGAATAGTTACGCGAAGCGAGACGTGTCTTAGGCAGGAGGTCAACAAGTCTGTGGAAGTACCAGTCGGCACTTTGAACGGCGCTCGAAGTAGCCGCGCCAGACTCGAAAGCAGCGCTGGTAGCAAGGATCTGCGCAAGAGATTCCTGAGTCTCGATCACGCTGGTTCCAGCATTGCGCTTAACGCCCATCTCGTAGAGCTTTTTGAGAGTTTCAGCGTAGAGACGGCGCTTTTGGGATTTTAGGTGCTGGACGTCATCCTTGTTATCCTCGGTCAAGACCTTGGGTGTCTTGGACTTGTACTCGTTCATGTTCTCAATCACTGACACAATAAAGTTGTCGAGATCCTTGGCAATATCAAACTCGGATGGGATGGCAGAGTAGAGCTTTATCATGTTGTCAGCTGTTCCATCTGGCTTCTGGAAGCGTAGTGCTCTGCTTGACCACAGGTCCTTGTTCTTTTGGCAGATTGCCATCGCCTCAGGGAAAAGTGCAGTAGGACGGATTGGCTCCGAAGAAGACATCGAGGTGATCTCCTCGGTGCTTTCCGGAAGGCCTTGTTCAAGGATTGATTGCACCGGCTGGCCAAGGGCTTCACGGTACTTGCGAACCAACTTGAACAACTTGACGTGAGATCGCTTAGCACTCTCCCTTAGAGCAACAATGTTGATATCCTTCCAGCTGGCCAGCTGAATCTGCTCCTTGATATCCTTCTCGAGAGCAGCACGTTTCTCGGTCAGGATCTTGTCAACTCCGGGTTGGAATGGTCGGTAATGATGGAGGAAATTGTCCATGGCGGAAACAAGCTGCTTGAGGCAAGGGAAGTCCTTGGTAAAGACCTCCAGCAAGGCTTGGAAGTTGGTAACTAATTGCAGGCGACGAGCAAATTGACCGAGAGTGGTAGACTTGAAGAATTGCTCCAAAGTAGACATCAAGCTGTGGGTATGCTCGCTCATGTCCTGCTCCCCTGCCTCTGCCATCTGAATGGGAGCTCCGAGGAGGGCCTCGTAGGCAATAAACCACCAAGCACTGACATCTTCATCACAGCGGTCCTTCTCAAGATCAAGGAGCTTGGCCCAGGTTGACAATTCAAGTCGGCGCCAGCTGATGATGGTGCTGGTGATTTCATCGTACACGATGACAGCGGAGTATTCTCTGCTAGCCACGGTCTGCCACTCGTGCACCAAGGAATGAAGCTTCTCAACCTTGGTCATAAACTTGGCAACAGGCTCTGTGTGCTTGAACTGAAGAATCTCCATGCAGCAAGTAATAA